ACTTGGTTCTCGATGTCTATTTTCAGTTGATATCACTTGATGATGCGATTCAACTTACCTGAAAACTATTTATCTTTGGAATTTTTTCAAATAGACTAGATACTCGTCAGAAATTTGTAGGAAAATTTGATCTATACTGTGAACTCACTGTATAACTAGTCACCTGAAACAAACAAGGCCTGATCTCATTTGTTTATATGCTTTGGTTGTGTTCGTTTGAAATTTAGATATGAAATATCCAATTTAGTTTTATTTGATCAATTACACTTTTGGATCTTAACTGTGCGCGCAACAAAATATCAACCTAATTCATTCTACAAAATTTGACAACTACATAAGTTTAAAAACATTGATGATTACTTTCTACTCTACAACTGAATCTTAAAGAATGGATACATAGATTTTTAAAAACAGACCTATGCCAAATTAGACAGATTAAAAACAATAATGTATTCTAATTTCTGTCATTCTGTTTCCTACTAACCACATATATATAGTTGTTTAGAAATTTCAAAAATATGTATACGTTAAATTAAATAATTGTATCAATTAGAATGAATGTTGTAACAGTTTCAATTGTTAGTTGAAAGTTGAACAAAACGCTGTACACTAACTATATGCTCATTAAGCCTAATAGACAATATTAATTATCATAATTCATAAAATTTCACAGCCAAATCATAAATATCTTGTTTCATTTGAAAAAAAGAACAGATAAATATATTACAATCTTTTTAGACTTGAAAAGAAAGCGGTTTGATTGAAGGTAACTTGCTATTCTTTTCTGTCGTTCGATAAAAAGAAGGAAGAATTCATTTCATTTTCAAAGTGCGTTTATTTTTCCTTGGATTATTTGTCCATGACGAAATTAAAACAGTTACTCCTCTTTTGAAAACTGAAATGGTAATTTTCCCGTTATTAATAATATTATTTGTATATATTACGCTACAGTAAGAAAATCTACTTCTACTACTCAGTCAGTCAGTTACAACGTAGAACTTCGTACGTACGTACATACATCAGTTCAGGTTGCCATATCACATTAGGACACAGATACAATTGTCCATTCAAATCCCATAGTAGAAGAGGTAGTAGAAGTGTTAGCAGTAATCGGAAATTTCAGGGTTCCAAGATATTATTCAAGAAGTAGAATCAAGTGAAATTTAAAAAAAAGAAAAAGATAAAGTGATGAGGGATTCAGAAGGTTACGATTTAAGAGAACACAAAGAATGAATGCTCCTGTGCCATTGCAAACGGTTTTGAGCAATGTTATTCAGGGTCTCTAATCTCCGATTATTATCATCTCACGGACCCCAACAAGGTAGTCGACACCTAACAACATGACTCAGACCAATTGTCAGTGACTTCGTGGATTTCTGCCATGTCTTGATTCAGCCATATATATATATATATATATATATATATATATATATATATATAGCTTACACAGTGAGCAAACATCAGAAAACTTCTAACTTCTCTACTCATTGGAATATTACAAATCTATTGCTTAGATTATTATCAATCCATTGAATGTTCAATTTATCCGAATTTATCAAGTCATTTTTATTAGTCTGTTAAATGCTGTAAGTTAAAAATCTTCGGAAAGTTATTAGGTTTGACTTGAACACCTAGTAAATACAGTTTAATCGTTATTTATAGGTTACCGATTAAGTGTGAAGTAGAAAGATTGGTCGTTTAAGGTCATAAGTTTGTTTGTTTGGATTGAGATAGTTGTTATTATTGACAATTTTGACAAATTAATATATTTGTGTAAATGTGAATACTAAACAAAACCAGTCATTTGACAACTAGTTAAATAATATACTGCAAAGTATGCCTACTATATCATTATGATGATGATATCTCTGTTCTAAGTGTACAAAATGATCACTATAGAATTAGAAAAAATAGTAAACATCTTGAGATCAACAAGAATAGATTCATCAAATCATCTAACTATTTATGGTTGTGTAGTTATGATTAAAAAACAAATTGTTTAGTAATGCAACAAATTCTTATTTTAAGTCTATTTGATTTGAAAAATACATGTATTCACCTTTAAGATAGTTCAATCCGATATGTCTTGATAAGACTTTTTAGTTTACTTGGAACAGTCTATTTAAATGTACGAATTATTTCGAAGCCAGCTCAATAAATGAAAACAATTTTTGAAGTAACATAAATACAAGAAAACATTCATGTAAATTCAGTTTGATAAATTCTCAAAAGATGAGTAAGGAAAAAAACACCTATTTCAATCCATTACTTGTCATTTGTTACCCAAAAGTAGATCAGTGTTCGGTGTATAAAGTAGGAAGAGAATGAGGATAAAACATTTTGTATCTGGGAGACCGTTCTGTCATTGTTGTTGATATACGAATCGTATCTATCAGGTTCACAGGTTCATAATTAAAAACCACTACAATTCCAATGACCCAAAGTAAGAACACCAAAGACTGGTGTGATGAAGATTTTTCGGCTTTACAAGTAAACATACGTCTGTAAACAAGTCTCAAAATCCCATCAGCATTAAACCAAAAAAAATACCATCATTTATGTATTAATTGTTACACACACTTTACAGCAACATACAAAATGAAATAGAAAAGGTTACCATAAAACCTAAAGGAATATATTTCACCCGAATAGATAAAGGGAATATAGTTGTCACGTTGAACAAAGGTCACACGTCAACCAGACCAAAATGTATAAGAAATTAATACAAAAACAAATCGGAATGTCAACAAATATTACGGATCTAATGTTTTTTCGTCAATAACCTGACTTGCTTAACGAAGATAACCCCACTCATTGATATGAAGTTAGTTCGAAATGTTTAATTAAATTTTTTGATGACAGGCTTAGATGACATGTTTGAAACGTTATGATCGATTGGGACGATGTGTTTATGATACTTTCGTAAAAACTAACAAACGATTTGTGATAGTCATCGAAACTTATTAACTTGGGTATCAGCAGTCAGTCATAAGTGCAAGCTTATGTTGGGACTGTAGACTGAGTAATGACGAGATTAAATGTTGGTCGGTAAATAAGGATGGGAAACTACTGGATAAGAGGATGAATCTACACTGACTAAGGTGATTGGAACGTATATCCATATCCAACCACAACCCACCTTATTCTACAAAGTTTGCTAGCGTAAGAACAGATGCGACAACGCGAGGAGCAATCAAATCAAAATGTGGTATCAGTCCATCAAGTAAACAAATGGTGGGTTGAGTATTAGTATTAACTGCAAACAATCTGGTTGAAGTACTCAAGAGGATCGCAACCAACAGTTAGAGACAATGGGTGATATAACTCAAAATTGGTCGTCACATGAATATGCATTTAATCTTTTTTTCCTCAAGTATTAAGTCCTAACATTATCTCATACTTTTTCATTTCATCAATTGTATTCTCTGTAGTTAATAATTTCTAATGCTACAATTGCGTATAAAAACATACGGATTTTTAAATGGTATCATCAACATTATTTAAAACAAACTTATATAACTGTAGACTCTTTTATTCAACCTATCTCAAGTGTACATGCATAGTTAAACATACATCACTATGATAGTGACAACAATAGCAATGTGAATTTTCATGATAATTATAGAAAAGAAAAAAGAAAACATTTTCGTTCATACATTTTAAGTCGTTTTTTTTATGGAAATATATTTTTGTTGTTGTTATTATTGTTGAGGAAAACAGAGCGGATTTCCTAGATTGACAATTGTTTTGTGAGAAACAGAAGAGAAGTGTGAGAAGATGAAGACAGAACAACAAATAAAGTCTTGAATATATATATATATAGCAAGAGAAAGGCAAACAGATCAAAATAAAACGGAACCAAAGGTAATGAATCAAACTACTTCATAATAATATGCATGTTTGCATGATAGTTCAGAGTAAAATATCTATTTGATTTTTGTCAAATTCCAATGAAAATTAGAATAAAAGAAATACAATCTTTTATACTAGATTAATGAAAACCGACAAAAAAGGGGAACTCTATGCAAGAAAAACTAAAAATTAAAAAGGATAGTGTATAGGGGAAAGAGAATATCATCAAAACACATAATTACATGAACAAGATGGAGGCGCTTTCAGAAGTAAAATAAATGTCTGTATCACGTATCAAGTGAAAAGATAAATGAATTTGTATTATGGTAAATTGTTTTGTTACATTCATATATCAGAGATTAAACCGAAAAAAAAACACGAAATAAAATGCTATTTTACGATGAACACATGATCAGTTTGCTGAACATAATTTATATTTGTTTAAAATGGAAAAACATTATTATTCATTGGATTGAACGAATTGTAACAATTACGAATATTTGCAATCGGATAGAAAAAACAAAACAAAAGCAACAACATCGGACTAGAATATGGTGAGTTTCTGCCAATTTTTGAATTAAAAAATAAAAGAAATTAAAATATGATAAATTCCAACGTGTATACATCACATACTTCATTGATATATATATATATATATATATATATATATATATATATATATATATATACGAGACTGATATAACAAAGAGTAGCCTAGAGAAAACCTGGAAGAGGAATAATAATGTATAAAAAGCAAATCAATTGTGAGTGGATTCATATATCAATGATAATGCTAAGACATCTCACTCTGTATACACTGGCATACGATCATCAGCGTACACACACACTATGAATATAAATAGATAATAATAATAGATAGATAATAATAAATGGATAAATACAGTTTACACTTGTGACATGTGAAAAGTTTTACTAAGGACATGAAACAGGATAAATAAATAAGTAAATGAGAAAAAGAATCGAGGATACTGAAAGAAAAAAACAACAACTCACAAAACAATATTATTTAAAGAAAGACCGGGTAAAAATATGAAGAATAATACATATGAACATATGTATCAGTTATATATATACATATGTATTTTCATTTTGTTACATGATATATATATATATATATATATATATATATATATATATATATATATATTTCATTGAAACAAGCAAGACATTTGAAAATAACAAGATGAATGTCTAGCCCACTGTAACATTTTATTCTTTGCTGGGTTTTTTTTTTCAGGCAGAAGAAATTGAAACAGATCTACAAGTGATCAATTTATTAGTTAACAAACTGAACTTCTTTAATTAGCTGTAAGAGATAAGAAAAACAATAAAGAAAATCAATCTAAATGAAAAATGTTCAGGGCTTTTATTAATAAAGCCTGATTTTATAACGGTGATAAGAGTAATCATAATAGCAGAGGTCTGGTGATAATAGATTAAAGTCGTTAGAATACCCTGAAGCTAGGTTTTGTGTTACATGTTACTAATCAACAAGATATACCTGTAATATTTAGGGAATTGGTGCTATCTGCGGGATTCAATCTCATGTTTAATTCAGCTTCAATTTGAAATTTTTTTTACTGAGCTATTAAGATGACGACTGATCTGCAGAACTGAACTATTTTGCAATTCATTAATCTTTGTGTATAAAGACCTCTTAAGATTAAATAAGACATGGGTTACTGTTTAATGATTAATCAATCGGAGTTCATGCAATGTTCATGCTATGAACATGGGCAAAATGATTTCGAATAGAGGATTTAATCAATTCATATAGACTGCATATATTCCTTATTTGCTATTTCATATTTATTTGTTTACATCAAAATTGACTAACATCTAATGGTCATTTAAGTTTTATTATATAACCAATCGTCAACACTTCGTTAATCATAAGACAGATTAACTTCATGATTCAAAATAAAATAAAGCTACATCTCTACCCTGGATTTACTAATTCATTTTATCATATGGAATTTCAATCTTAACAAATATTCTTCATACAAAACAAAAGGAATCCTAATATCAATAAATTTGAAATTGTATATCATAAACTAGCGCCTTACTATATCTGTCTACACGGTAAAAAAACACAAAATGAACAGATTGTAAATTATGCTAGAATAAATGTTTCACACTGCAATTTCGATATCATAATTTACGAATAGAAAAACAAATGTAGGACGAATCAAGTAATTTTGTTGCCACCATCAAAATAATGATAATAGTGACTACTACTTCGAAAAATGATGATCTGAATAATACTTGTATGTGTATTTAAATTTGTCGAGATTTCTTTTATTAGTAAGCAATAACAAATTGGCAGCTAAAATTAAAAGAAATAATCAATATTGAAACAACATTTTGCATTTCGAGGGGGAAAACCGCATCCCGAACATGTTTGCATTAATGCTTAGGGTAGTCAGAAGACTCTGCATTTTGTCAGCGTCTTCACTAAGTAGGACTATGTCATCGGCATATTCTAAGTCAATAAGCGAGCCACATGGTAAAAGGTCTACTCCAGAAAATTCAGACGAGGATAAGGTTATTTCTAGGAGTAGGTCTATGATAAAATTAAACAAAAATGGAGAAAGTGGACATCCCTGACGGACACCACTTGAAGTAAAGAATTCCGGTGACAGTTCGCCATAAGCACTCACTCGACCTGTAGTATTCGAGTAGAGAGCTCGTATAAGGTTAATGTACTTCTTTGGTACACCTTTCAATGACAGACAATGCCACAGAACCTCACGAGACACAGAGTGGAATGCCGCCTTAAGGTCCAGGAAAACAACTATTGTAGGACGCCTAAATGTATGTCTGTGTTCCAGGACCTGTCGTAGTGTGAAGATGTGGTCTACACAGCCAAGTCCAGGTTTTCTCTAGTCTGCTCTTCACGAGCTTTCGTTAGGCGCCGAAGTATTATTGAGGCCAATATTTTAGATACTATGTTGGTTAGACTTAATCCCCTATGATTGTCACAAGAAGACTTTTGTCCTTTCTTATAAATTGGGACAATCAGTGATTGAGACCAGTCGGATGGGATTACGTCCAGTTCCCAGATTCTACCTAAGATCTCAGTCAACCTAGCTAATAAAACTGGACCACCATCCTTAAATATCTCAGGGGTCAGTCTATCAGGACTTGCAGTTCGCCCTCGCTTCAGATTTCCTATAGCTTTCTCAACTTCATAAAGACTAGGAGGATTTACATAGATTTGCCATTCAGGATGACTGTAGATCGTGGGTAATCGAAGAGTGGATCGAGGCCAGATGAACTGATCCCTAAAGTGTTCTGCCCATCGATCCAGTCTCCTGGATTGAGAATAAATAATAGTCCCATCATTTTACGGGATAGTCTCACTTACACTAGGATTCCTAATACCAGTCGGAAAAGTTGTCTACTGTTGCCGATCGCCGCTGCCTTTTCCATCGCTTTTGCTTTCGCCGCCCACCACAGTTCACGGTCGTTGCTCAGGCTTTTATCAGTCTGCGCCTAAGCTGACTTCGTTCTTCATCATGTTCACAGCCAGGTGGGATAAGTTTTCGAGCATCCATCAGATCGGTGGATGCTACTGAGATCCACGGCTTCTTCCTAGCCTCATGGTTAACCTTACTGGCAGATATCACTGCTATTTCCACAGCCTTTTTGATATCATTCCAACCTGCCTCCGGATGAAAATCGCTTAAATGGTCGCCTAACTGTCTTTCTAGTTGTTCCTGAAATATATTCTTCGCCTTATTATCATTAAGTAAAACCCTAAGAGGCTTTCTTACGGTGTCTTTCCTACGCCCAGTAAGCTTCAAACAAATACGCGCTCGCACTAGGGCATGATCTTAATCTGAACATGTGCCCCACAACGAGCGACAGTCTTCTATCGAACCCCTCCATCGGTGGCTGATCTCAATGTGATCTAGTTGAGTCCAACGTTGAGACGACTTTGGAGGTCGCCAGGTCAGCAGATGCTTTTCCTTATGCCTAAAGTTAGTGTTTGCTAAGAATAGGCGGTTGTCTGAGCATACTTGCAACAGATGGTCGCCATTGTCTGTTCTCTGAGCCGCGACACCATAACATCCACCTAGGTGTCTCTCCTGCTCACTTAGTCTACCTACCTGAGCATTGAAGTCACCAGCCATTATTACTATATCAGAGAGCCTAGCTTTTTGGAGGAGGTCCGAAAGCTTTCTGTAAAACTCATCTTTAACCTCGTCTGAACAGCAGTCAGTGGGGGCATAGGCAGATACGACGAAGAGGCAACGGCGAGTGTCCCTGTCTTTCCGAACCCTTACTGTCCCGTTTAGTCGGACAGCGCACAAACGAATATCTACTGGGATCCAGTCTAGGAGAGATTGTTCAGCTCTACGACTCAATGCTATGCCTACGCCAGCAAGACCCCGGGAAGCAGCATCAGGGCTTCCAGATACACGAAGAGTAAATCGAGCTGCTTCTTTATTTTGACAAGGTGAAATCAGATTAATAATTTTACTAGGATCCTGTATGCGCGTTTCCGAGATGCAGCATACACCGATGGTACGAGATTCTAATGTTCTAGCTTACGAAGCCTGTTGTCCTATTTGACACAATGTCCGTACATTAAATGCTCCAACATATAATCTAGAACGAGGTTTCAAGAGACCAGGAATGACGTTTCGTGATTTCGTATCGTTTGCATTTGCGGTGCCGTCAGATAAGGGAATGTGGGTGGAGTTAGTCGTGGAGACAAAAGAGGTATGTGTGGGTGTAGGAAGGATTTGATTTTGACCGGTTTGGTCTCGTGTGCTGGTACGGGTATGAGGGCAGTTGTCACTTCCCGGCTGCCCACACCGTGGAAAATTGATTCTAGAGGAACCTGAAAGGGAAGGTAGATTAGCGTTGGTCTTAGAGACCTGGGAGCGTGACCAAAGAGACCAGGGGACAACTGCTTGAGGCCGGTCACGCACGGCCTTTTTACGAGAAGTTTTTCGAGTGTTAGCTCCGCTCTTGAAAGCCCTCAGTGGGCACCCTTACCGCCGGAGACGGAAATCCGTGAGGTTAGGTGAGGTGTGACATTTTTAGGGTCGACCTTTTCTAACCCTTCCTCCCTTGTCAGAAGGCAACATCGCTGCAGATGCTGGTTGTCCGAGGGAAACACTTTACTGCTGTCACACCTCTCTGCAGTCAGCATTGCGACTTCGCCCTCAGACCTTGGGTAGCTGCTTTTAGTCTCATCGTCCTCCAGTCGATCAATCTGGTATGGTAGAACCATCAGGAACATTAGTTCCAGCCAATATAACTCGAATGGGTCATGACGATAGGCAAGCCCGACCACCACGTCAAGGTAGCAGCTTCGGTAGGGCATGAGATCAGCTTTGAGCAATATTTCTTATGTTACTACTATAAGTGATATCACTCGATTAGAGAAAAATTGGTAACTGTAAATGATTAGCTGACAGTTTAACAGCTAGTTTAGAACATTTAAGTCCACAATATATATAGTCATTATTGACAATTTGTTAAGGTTGTCAATAGATATGCTCGAAACTATTACAGGTTCACCTTAGTCGATAAACGATAACAAAACAATGAACCAGAGTCCAGGTAGGCTACCTTGATCCGAAACGGCTAAAGAGAAGTCTTGGTATAGCGTGGAAAGTATATTCTATAAACACCCAGCAAGCACGTTGAATTCAAGCACACAAATCGTGTTTATTTATACATCATGGAAACATCCTTGGGACAGTTACGAAAATAGCACACTAAAATACACAGCAACTTATCACGGTAAAGGATTTTCCCGGTGGGATATGCGATCTCAAGGTCAACTGATCAGCCCATGCAGGCAAACGTGCAATCGAAAATAAGGCATTTATCAAGCGAGTTCTGGGGATCTAAAGTCCCCAACACAATTTTCAGTCAGTTCCAACACTTTGTAATACTAGATGATGTATATACGTCGATTAATGGAATGTTCTAAGTGATACGCTATTGTTCACTTTAAAAAGAATACTAGTGATTGTCAAGTTAATACATGAACGGAAAACTTTCGACAAATTATCACATTATACCCATGAATGCTAGTTAGATAATTTGACATCTACATGAAACTGGTGCATTCCTAGGCAGTGTATTAAAAGAAAACATGAAAAATTAATATTAAGTAATAAATTCATTAAATTCAATCATTACCGATTTATAAGAGATAGTAGTAATCTGTCATTTTATTTTCATAGATGAATGCCTCGACTACTTTATCTTTGATTGTTGTGAATTCCACCAGTTGTCATTGTATGATTAAATGATTGATTGAGTTCCAGTTTATTGTTTGACTCTTTCACTAAATTACAATTGGTTTGACGAAATGTATTAGTAAAATCCATACCATGCTGTGTAGACTGAATATTGTCAGGACATTCAGATTTACTAGTCAAATTGTTATTAGTGTTTAGCTTTTTAAGTACATGTGTAGTTACAGCACTGCCACTACCACTACCGGCAGCACTTGCACCAGTTCCATTTTGACGACTTGCAGAACTAGTACTGCTTGTGCCTGAAAATGTAGATCAAGAAAAAAAAGTATTGGAACTATAGAGAAATGTTGGTTAGAGAAATTAAACTATTAAACATATTACATATAGTAAGAAAAAATATATATAAATTAGATGAATTGGAAATATGATTAATTTTTGGAAAAGAAAAAAAAGGCGTACAAACAAATAATGCCTTTTCTAGCATAAACCATGAGTTGTCAAAGAAATTAAAGAGTGCAATAAATTACCATTAACTTAATGCATGAAAAATTATTGTATTCCATGTATGAAAATATAATCAAGAAAAAAAATGATACTTGATTTATTGTGCATGAAAATTAAACAATAAACCTCCTGAATGATGATGATGATGATACATTGAGTATGCATTATTTGAGATTATCTACGTATAGCATATAACAGGCTACATATTCAGTCATATAAATAAAAAATAATAATAATCTATAGTAATATATGTATATACATATATATATGTACAATATCAAACCTGATTCATGTATTTTATCTTCTATTGATGATAAATGTTCAGTACTAAGATCATTATTGATGATAGTGTCATGATTTGTCAACAAAAATAATTGAGTATTATAATTATGATTGTCATAATTATTCACTACTTTATTGTTACTATTACTATCACTAACAATCGTTGCTGTTGATTGTACATGATCAACAATATTTTTTGTTATTTCCTGGTTTAATGATTTCATTGAGTATGATTTACATTGACTATCATTTGTAGCAGTAGTATTAGTAGTAGCAGTAATCAATGTGGTACTAACTAATGATACACTGTCAGTTGTCTTACTATCATTATTGTTATTATTCTCATCTGTTAGTAAAAATGAATTCTTTGAAGAATCTTGTTCATGAAGATCAGAATAATGGTCATGCATAGCGGTTTTAGTGTGACATGGTTGTGTTTGTTGCTGTTCTCCTTGCTGTTGTTGTTGTTGTTGTGTATCTAATTCTTTACATGCATTATTATTATTATTATTATTATTATTATTATTATTATTTGCATGCGATGATGAATGAAGAGTTTTTCGAATGAATGGCATACAAAAACAAGGCTGAGATGAAACTAAACACACATACATCAAAAGTCAATGCATTTCAAAGGAAATTTGAGAGGGATGGGTTTTATTTTGAGATAACGGGTTCGGTGTACACACACAACAGTTAACATGTGATTTTTTGTGATGATAACCATGATCCACAATGTTTAAACAAAGAATTAGTATTAAGATAAAGCAAAATTTATCATTATTAGTATTGTTATTATTATTACATAACGAGAATAACAGAAGCTTAGAATTCGGTTATGGTACAACAATAAATGATGTAAAAAGAACAGATATATATACACACACAGATATGTGCATATATACAAAACAATACAATGAATTAATAATCATATTCGTAATCAATATGATGATAGAGAAATGATGAAAGCAAGAATATCATGATATTCAAACAACAAATAACCGAAGATAATTAATGGCAAAGTAAGGAATATTATCAACAAAAAAAATATTGTATTGGTAACCACACACACACACACACACGCAAGCGTTGCAGGCACACATACATACATACATATAAACGTACACACACACACATGTGTGTGTTTGCATAAATACCACATTTATACACCCCAATTAGAAAGTAGTCCATATTTTGTTGTTGTGGTGGTTGTTTTGCCGAGGTAAAATTTAAAAAAAAAAGAAATGAGAAAACAAAAATTGAAAAAAAGACTAGTGAGTAAACCGATCAATGAATGATGATGGTTCAAAATGAATTACAACAAAACGGTTGTTAATTTTCAATGTATAAAACAATGCGTATAAGAAAGAGAGAGAGATAGAGCGAAAAACCTAAACATTTTTCGTTTCACAATAAATGGATTGATCAATTCATTCATGTACTATGTGCAGATTTTGTTGTGTTGAGCTGTAAGCCAAACTTCATTCACTCTGTTGGCCAAACTGAAATAACCGAAGCAGGGTTCAAACTAGAGACCTACTGATCGAAAGTCGAGTGCTATAACCACTAAGTTACCGTTCCAGTACGAGTGAATTGAGAATTTTTTTGGAAATGCACGCACTGGATTCATAAGAATTTTCAAGCGCAATCGGATTAATTAATGTGCTGTCGATCAGCGATTTTAATTTTGAAATAATTTACATGGTTTTTTTCATTTTATTAAGATATGTGTTCTTGTAACTAATCGATTATTTTGCAACAATAGTGAGTCGTAATGATTTACATTGGAGATTAAGTAATGTCACGATGACACTTATTACTTTAAAAATTTAATTATGGACTGACATAAAACCCAATCAAACATTACTTAAGCCAACATACTAGTTTTACGGACGTAAGTTGTAAATTCATAAAAGCAGAGAAAAGACTTTTTCAGCTGTTAATTGATTGTCAGCTATTCTAAAGTTGATATGCAGCTTAAATGTCGATGTGTCTTTTTAATGTATCTTACTTAGTGAGTAGTAAACGGTTTAAGTGCACGACTTAAAGCTATTTTATCTGTGATAAAGACTACCTACCTATATTATCCACTGGCTTAAAAATCAAAGAAGATAAAACAAGTGTGTTCATCAAACCTGTGATTCAATGATTGACAATCAAGTAATTAATTGATTTTGCTATCTACTAGGTAACCACTACACTTAAATTATCAACTTAATAAAGATAATTAATTTCGCTAAAAAGAATATACTCATAGATGAGAATTCACATACTGATAAAAAAAAACAACTCATTTCATATAATTAGATATGAGATATGATCATCGAACGAAGTACCTTATTCACTTCATTAATTATCAAGAATTTAACTTGTTTTATTAAGATGAAATTCATAAATTAATTGTTTCAAGGCTAAAAAAACCTCATCACCATAATTAAGAATACAAAAAAGAGAGAATATCACATTTGTATGAAGTTTTTTTCTTTTATAATTGAGCTAAACTTCATATGAATGTCTGAAACATAGCGAGTGATACTCTCTCTGGTTGACTAAAGTGAATCAACTATACGATAGGATTTGAACTTGGAACGTAACATTTACACATGAAGCACTGGAATCATGAAGATATTGAACCTATTCATTATGAACGTTTAGTACAAAAATCATACAAAAACACTATAAGAATTACTTTGATATTATACAACTAAATTCTTCAAAATATCAGCTTGAGAAAGTTGAATAAATAAATAGATCAGCTGAAGCAGAAATTTGATTATGATAATAATCATGGGATTTTTGAGAAAAAAACTTATTTAAAGCAAGCACGTACTGTGTATGCAGATTATGATAAACACTAAGAGTTATGAGTCACCTCAATAACTAGCATAAACACACGCAAAGAGAGAGAGACGAAACATTCACATTTCAAATTATTCTACAACATGATTAGCATTAATAAGATCAAACTTATTATCGTTCTTTACAATGATGTAGAAAAACGACTGATTTACCGGTACATTTAATTGCATAACGAACAAGGATAACATTGTTTGCTAGCGCTATTACAACTACTACTAATATTATACCACTTAAATGTTTGTAATCATTTATGTAATTTGTTGTTGCATGCAACTAAAATACCAATTTGTATTTAATATTATGAATGAGTTTAAACTTCTGTTCGACAAACATTTATAATCTCGGGAATAATTTTTACCATCAATGAAAATTAACACCACGAAAAAGTGGTTGTTTTGATGAGAATAACCAGCCTATTCATTCATATGTTTTTCAACTATAAAGTCAATCAGACAATTAATTAAGTTCAAAAATTTATTAAACATAACCGGATTATATATATATATATATATATATATATATGAAATACACAGCAATTGAAAAAAAACAACCAGCCCCATGCACAAACATGTGAACTCTTAAAGTCCCATAACTTTGAAATAAAAACTAACCGGAAAGACTTTGTACACTTGATGGATCAGTACGTCGTTGAATACCCTTATTTAAAGAAGGAAGGCCTTTAGAAGCTGAGGTATCTAATGGTGTATTCATACTTTGAGGAACATTGGTGTTAAGTGTTTGAGTAGTAGTGTTAGCCGATAGACCAGGTACATGTCTGTTACCAGAATAACCGGTAGAAGAGGAAGATGTTGAAGATGCAGAAGAACGAGATGAACTAGATGAGGAAGAGTTATTTACTTTCTGCTGTTGTATCCTTTGATTTGATGTAGTATTCATAGTCGTAACATGTGTCTGGTTAGGAATAACAGAACGAGTATGAGAAGCCATGGTAGTGGTATTTACCGGATACATGGTAGAATCCACACTCATTTGACTAAAAATAATAGATGAAACAGAACTACTGAGGAGGTTTACGACTAAACAGAGATGAATAAAATATAAAAACTGAACAATTAAGAGGTAGGTTAGTGTTTTAAGAAAATTAGAAAAAAAAACTAAAATATTTGAATTCATTAAATACTCGGATTTCAACCTGTTATACATTGATGAAAATCGTGTGAACATTAGAGATGTACAAAGTAAACTGGTTACAGAATCATATAAAAACTAAATCAAACATAATTAACGCTCTTAATTGTAGCATTTTAATCTCGGAAAAGTCTAGGAGTAAAAAGATCTGAAGCAATTCAAATAAAAAGAACTAAACATGTTAAATTGACATGATCTCGTGTAAAACAATATTTCATTGAACAAGAAATTATTTTGAACTTACCCATTATTTGACATTCTATTTCTAAGACCAGGAAGAGCAAATGAGTTTGGGTTAACAAAGTTACACTCATTTCCATTTGTATCAACATTACAAGGACCAGATGACGATATAGGAGCTGTTGATGGAATAGGATAAAGTACAGGTGGATAAGGATAATGAGAGCCAGTCTGAGCGAGAGAATTCCCTTCACCAGGTACAGGTGATGACATTAAGCCCAGATTAGGATTAGATGGAGCATTTTGATTTTGTACTGATGATAAACCAGTAGCTGAACTACTGCCAGGAGCGTCCGGAAGCACATGATGAACATGAGGAAACATTTGAGGCATCATAGGATGAGCTCCTGTATGAGAAGAATTAGCACCAATTTCAGAAACTGAATCTACTTCATCTAGATTAAGATGAGATAAGGCTGAAAAAAGAGAAAAAATTGAATATTATCAAACTCATTTATTGGAGGGTGCTTATAAAGTGGGATATTCGCACAGGTAAAAATAACTTACTTGTGGCTATATCTCCAAAAGTGTAGTAACACTGTTCAGAAAATGTACTCTTATTAACGGTATGACAAATATAACCATAATGCAATAGATTAGATGCATATCTCCGGGCATCTCGTCGATCTGCAAAACCATCGACATGTGTGAATAGCCAATCAACTAATTCGGAACCTGCAAAGCAATCAAAAGAATATGTAAATAAATAAAATACAAAAACCACAAAAAAAAGATGCAACATCTATGAGAACATAAAGAGTAAATGGACCTACACTATTGTAGCGAATTTCGAACAATGATGTCAAGTAATGTCTTTAACCATCGATTAATGATTATCACGCTAATCCTAACCAAGTAGTCTGTACCTAACAACACAAATAGAATATTTCATTATTAACTTTCATTTGGTTTTATTTCATTGCTTATTGACTTCCTCTTATATATGTGATATTCAGAAGACAAACAATAACATGAATCGGCAAACTACTACTACTAGTACTACTACTACTTTTATGTAAACAATAATCACTGAGTTCAATCAATACAAACGTTTAAATGAATATAGTTTTGTTTTTCCTAGGAAGTAAATCTAGTATGAAAATTATTGTCGAGAGAGCAATACAATAAAAAGCTAGTGAGTGTACCAGTTTATGTGTATATGGATTTTCTTTTTGAATATTTGATTAGGCTAAAATAGAAAATAAGGTTTTCATAGAATATACATAACAATAGATAAGATGAAGCACCAAAACACAGCAGGTTATCATCAACATTGTCGTCATTCATTTGAATTTTATGACAAACAAAAAACAAATGTGACTAGGAAGCATAAACATGAGAAGATATTGTAGAAAAAGAAAAGAGAAACCATACTTCGAAAAAGACAATCACAAAAAAATGGTCGTTATTAAGCCTGGTGCGCATGTACTACTGCTACTAGTGATAATAATAATAATAATAATAATAATAATAATAATGGTTAATATACTAGTGTATAAGGAAAAAAACAAATGAAAGGTAGGTCAGCTCATTAGTACTGTAACTGATTTTTATGGTGAAATATGCTGAACGTCACATATAATCATCTACAGTGGTATATTAAGTACGTTAAACTAAATTGTTCAAAATATTTATCTTGTAATGATAAAGACATTGAAAGAGAAGTAAAGAGGTTAATTCCATAAGTTGGTTAGCGATTGACAATTGACAGTCAATTAGAAGAAAAAAAGACGAACAAACAAAATTTCATATTCAAACATAACAGAAAATTCCTTGAAATGATACATGAATATATGATGATAATGATGACTGAAGGTGTATTTATTTTTTGTTTTGAACAATATCAAAGTCTAGCAAATAATGGCAATTTTTTCAACGGCTAAAATAGTTAGTTCATAATTATTGAAAATAAAAAAACACAGCTGCTGTGTTGGGTGCAAAGAAAACATACAACAACAGTTGCAAAAAACACTGGTAAAACAGAATGAAGTGTTACGGTGTAATGATGATAATAATGATGTTAAAAGTAGTAAACGTTAAAAGTTATTTTTTTCACAAAAAAAACCCAGAGGAAATTAGGAAATGACGTAACACTGTATTAGCTATGAAAATTTCCGCGATAATGAGGTACAGTTATATAAGAGCATTGTTTTCGACACGTAAAAGATACTATTTTAAATATAAGATAAAATTTTTATTTTCATAAACAAAAAGCTAGAGAATTCGGATTGTAGTATTTGCTTAAAGTAACACTAGAAAATTAATGTTACCCACAAAATAAATAGTTATTTTGTCATGAATAATAAAAAGTATTTACTAGGATAAATTTTTCTCAATTAATTCTCAATGTACTTTTATGAAATACAAAAATTCATCATGTAAAATGAGATACATTTACGGTAGCGCAAATTCGGTCAAATGAAAATGAGGTATAACTAAACTGAAACTGATAATAAATACTAGGGCAATTTTAAATACATGAATACTAAGAAAGTGTAGCTATCATTTCCGAACAATTTTAATCTATGTATAAACACTTTTACAAACGAAATTCTTGAGATACAGACTACTGAAAAGTTATTGTTCATAATCACTAGTGAATAAAAGATAGCATATAAATATGTTCAGATGAGAGATGGTAGTGGATTGTGTGTTACGTATCGTCATCGACTAATTCAGTGAGCTTTCTAAGACATCTGGTGCATGAACACTTTAGTTCTGAACTATGAAAAGAATGTAAGTATGAAGAGCTCAACTTGACTTCACTTTCGGTACAAAAAGCAAGCTGATTTATAGATAGTTCGGACATCTTAGAAGCTTCAGGAAATTATTAAACTTAGTAATAAGATAAATAATGACCTAATAAAAGTGTGACACAATCTGTTGTTTATCTAGAAGTCTCTCAGAAGATCCCATTTGACGCTGATCAGATGATGTGGTTTTAAGCCTTTTCCTTGTTTTAGAAGACTTATTCGAGAAATTTCTTGACAACATTCAACACTTTATTGGTTAATGTATGGCTGAGTTAGGAAAGTATCAAAAAGTATCAGACCAAAGTTAGTGTATACTATCTGTCTAGTGTCCCGAATATAACATTGGTTTATGAAGACACACTTTAAATGACAAAACTCAAAACCAGTAATGGTGGTGAAAGTGATTTTATTATTTACATGAACATTACATATTTGAATACCCTCAACTGTATTCACTTTTCTCTTTTAACTTTTTTCTAACAGATTATATTAGAATTTATCTTTTTCTGTTCTTAATCTCACATTATCGAGACAAAGATGTGAAAGTTTGTCAGCTTCAAAGAAGATACACATTTTAATTACTAGATTTTAACATTTGCTTGTTAAATATTATGGAAGATAAATGAGAAAAAGTCCTCATATCATTGTATTCCTGAATGCCTACTACTTTCGGATATTCTTTAGGTAGATACTGATATGTTTGTACACATGTTTCACCTAAGTAGTATTTTGACATTAATGTTTTGAATATATGAGAGTTTTGAGTTGATTGTCACTTACAAACTTGTGGGAAAATGAAAGCGTATTACTGTTATTATCACAGTTACACTGCTCGAGTTGAGCACATTATTACCACTTTAAATACAGTAATTGACTAGCAAAGCACATAACTTATGACAGCATGATATTATTTATTTTACGTCAAAAAAGTGTTGAATTGGATCTTGTCATGGGGAGGGAGTGTGGTGAATACGAAAAACAAACAAAACCGAATGAGAAGGATTGCTAGCAAGCTTTCTGGGAACTTCATATTTTTGTCAATTCATTATGAAACGAGATGTCAACCGTAGACACCATACACAGTTAGAGTAAGTCGACAACTGATACATATCAGAAGAACCATTGACGAAAATATCCACACTAACCAATCCAATGAATATATTGATAGATATGACTTGAAAAATAACCCTAGAATATTATTACTCTCTTTAATTTACCGATAGTCAAAAACTGATTGGAAAGTGAAACCAGAAACAAAACAATAATGATAATAGTAACTACACAAACAGAGTCATTGATTTTATCGATAAAACTAAATACAATCAATTCAGAATTCAAAAGATACTTTTTTTTGACTGGATAATACGTCTTTCATCAAAACGTGGGGGGGGGGAGGAAAGGGCGTGTATGTTAGTTTATTTGTTTTCTCTCTACTACTGAATTAATCAGATAAGTGCATTAGATGATAAAAATAATAGTAAGAATGATAATAATAATCTTATATTTTATTGGTCCATCAAAGTAAAGTTTTAGTTGATCGGTTTCAATCAATTCTGCATAACTGTCATACATAGTACTTTAATTATGTAACACCTTTAATTCAGTTATCTATAATTAGTTTACAATTACCAATATTTCAATTTTCGCAACTAATTGCAATGATTTATACTTATTTTAGTAAACTGCTAAAGTAAATTTAAAGTGAAAGAAAGCTAACGAAGCATTCAATTTAACGACTTTATAGAATAACTGATTGTAAATAATTATTCATTTTATTTACAAGTATCAATGGGGAGCAATATGATAAAAAAGAAGTGGACCCTTCTAAAACAAATTCGAAATGACTTGATCTACATGTCTCCCATAAAACCCTTCCAAGAATTTTACAGTTTCAGACATAAGGCTTCTTCAAAAATTATTCAATATGGTTAAGCGTTCGCACTGGGACACAAAGGTATCGATCCCTGGAGTGGTTAAAAGTATTCACCGAGGAGAAAAAAGAGGTCCACTGCTACCTGGTTTTCAATGGTACTCCAAATAAGGTCAATCTGAGATGAATACAACCTACAAACTACTCAACAGTCAACTATGGAACATATAATCACAAAAATAAATCCTAATATTGTACTTCCGTTTGATATATCAATGTAAAATAGGTTAAGGTATCTGAAGTAAAAAAAGATAAAGGAAGAAATGAACACGGTTGAAGATCCGATTTTAAAGTTGTCTAGTTATTTTCAGAAACCAGAAATACATGCAGAGTATGATAAAAATTCTAGGTTAACCATTAATACAAACGGTTTCATTTATAATGAAATATGTTACAGAAGTTTATAAGTGTACACTAGTCGAAAATAAGTGAATCAAACTCACCGATGAAAGCATTTGGAATGGTTATTTTCAGCCAAGTTCTATCACGTATTTCTAGACCAGAATCAGACATCAACATGTCATGAACTACAGAAGCCATATCAGAAGCTACAGTCAGTGACGTGGATGATTTGCCATTTGCACCAGAAATAAGTGACTGAGTACCTTTAGCATCGACAGTTGTCTCACCTCCTGATCGGGAACCGTTAGTTTTCGTACTTCCTGGCCCACCAACAACTCCACTGCTTGCTGGACCTCTGCTGCGATGATACCCACCAGTTAGACCATCACCGTCAGCAACTTCCGGTAATGATTTATTAGTCATATTAGACGAAGGGATTGTATTGATTCCAGCCAGTGAAGGTGGTAGAATTAACTGAGGCATACCAGGAGGCATAGATGGTACGGATAATCCAGTAGACGGAGTCATACCCATAAAATGTCCTAACAGGTAAGTTGAAAACATGAATACAAGACAGTGTTGAGAGCACAAACACAAACACATATCAAGGAAATGTAAACTAATAACTAGTAAACTTAGAAAACAAGTGGTGGTTTGTAGCTTATCACAGATATTTTAGTGATATCGTGTTGGATTGATTGCAAGACTTTCGACGTCTTTCGAACCAACAGCTATTACAATTTCTCGTACCATTAGTTAACAACTTTTTGTGGACGTGAAATATGTACTGTTATCGTCAGTATTTATCCCATCAATGTATTTGCATAGATTATGATTTTTTGTCTATGGTCTTACAAAGAGACATCATCTTTCTCACTATTTCAGGTTCAGATCCAATTGCTGGGGATACTATGTGCATAAATCCAACATATGAGAAAGAAGTTCAAAACGTCCTTGACTTCATATATCTAGTTAAGGTGATTTTAATAAGATTGACCCTTCTGGAATAGAGTCACCGGATGTGGTATTGCAGTTGTCGTTACAGTTATCGAACACCCTTATCCATATCACTGACTAAAATAATTCGTCACCTCTATAGCTGAAAGGATTATATTACATTAAATCAAGAGTACAATATTCCTTTCTTTTGTTTTATAGCAAATGCAAACTAATCAGTATGATAAGCATTGAAATAAAATAACTAACTTGTGCAATACTACTTATGATAGACTAAATAAAAGAGCATTCCTCACCAGGAATCATTGTCATTCCAGTCGCAGGTGATCCTGAACCTGCAAAAGGTGTATTTCCATCGAATCCGGGTGTTCCAAGTGCTCCAGTCATCGCATTTGTATGTAAGACCCAAGCCCGAGGATCGATTGGGCGGACCGGTTCCTGACGAGGAATTGTGAAATAGTTCTTTGGACTGGGATCCCAGCATTTTGCCACCACTAAAGTTATTGGACTATAAAATAAAAAATAAGGTGATATTTTAGTTTGCTTAGCTGGAAATAGGAGTAATTAAAAATTTTGGTCATTTGAATAGGTCAAAGGTTTCTGAGAAGACCACTGAGACGCAGCCAAAAATGAATACTAAAGTTACATATTGTCAGGATATTCATCCAATATCCTAAGAGAATTGTTGTAAGTCTATTTATATTGGTCAGTTCTTATTGGTCGTCCTAACTGTCATTGTCACAGACTTCAATGGTGTTTCTTATTCGACCTAACTGTATAAATATGCATTATCTGTGACGCTTTATGACCCCGACCTGGATCCCTACTCCGGATCCTGATTCTCTTCTGGACTCAAACCTTGTACTTTCTGGATGCTTGTAGAACACAGGTTCTACTTCATATCAAGTCTTCTTCTGTTACTCAATCTGGGTTTGGGACGCTCGGATTAGAGTAGCATGTCGTGTCGCCGGATCGTCGCTCTCGTTTTCCGACTAAGGTAAACTCGTAATAGTTCAAGCATATCAAATGACGTGTTTACGTACATGCGTAACACATAACGAATTGAAATAACGTAAAATAGTTTGGTAAAGCATGAAAGCATATATATGCATATTGAAGAAAACTTGTGGTTCCGCTGGATGCATACAAGCATCTAACAAACTATCCAGGGTATCTTTAATATTGTTAAAGGGGGAGTGAATACCCTAACACCAACTAGTTTTTTCCATAACAACAGGAACAATATTCATTTGTTTTACGTAGCGAGTACAAGATAAACACGGTGCCTCAGAAAAAAGAAAAACTTGTATCCAAACCTAGTGATCATGATTACTTGTGTACCAGCGGTTGTTGATTGAAGGTAACATAACAACTGAACCGCTACACAGGACAGAAAGGACGCGAAATGTAGATTATGAGGCGCCGACAAAAAGCGACTTCCTAACAAATATGAACCAATCAAAATAGACATTGTTTATGTAGCTGAAGTTTCTCTCCATAAGTGTAAAACATAAATACCATTAGGTTGATAATGAATCAGATCTAAGCAGCTCACTAAATTCAATGTGGTACTAATAACAATGAAAAAACTATCACATTTTATTGCAAGTTGTCTGAAGTTTGACACATAATCCTATATGGCTTTTATTAGTATTATATCTTGAAATTGAGGTTTAGTATAATTCAGTGGTAATCGTTAAATTCAGAAAGATTGAACCTATTCTACTACGAATAGGTCCAAAGTTAGACTCAATAGAACAGCTACTAACACACTGTACTTCAATAATAATCCATTATTACGAAGGAACACAGGAAGATAAGAATGGTGGAAAACCTGAAAATCGAGCAGAAAAATCAGAATAATAAAATTCTGCATATGTATGACCCTAAAGCACGTAGAAACTTAGTACACTAAGAGTAGTGACAATCAATCAGAAAAGAGTACAAGTCACTAGAAAATATATATTAGAAAAATTACGCTCGTGGATTTCGTCGCCGTAAAAAACTTAACAGATACTGACAAAAACCGGATAACCCGTGATTTCTATAACAAGTCGTTCATCACCAAATATCAGTTTATGAAACAAAAATCTTTCACGCCCAGAAACAGACTATGGTAGTTGTTTATTGTTGTATTGTTTGCCTTATTTGGATTTCATTGAAATGAAGTCTTTTTAAATTTTAGTAAAAATAATTAAAATAACCAATGGATAATTAAGTAAATAGTTAGTACCCAATGAATTACCCAGGTTTTTGAACTTCCTCACGTAAAACTCTTACAGCCTCATCATTACTCATATCTTCGAAGCTGATTCTATTTACTTCTAATATCATATCTCCAGGTTCTATTCGACCATCTTGTGCAACAGCGCCACCACGCATAATAGATCCTACATAAATACCGCCATCTCCCGCTTTGTTGGATTGACCCACGATGCTAATCCCCAAAAAATTCACGGAATCCATATTTAAAGTTACAGTAATTATATTGAGAGACATTGTGGAATCAGTTACACTGCTAAACGAAGTAGCCTAAATTGAATGAAAAGAGAAAACATAATGTGGTGATGCCTGGCGAAAGTGATCCTCATAATATACAAAAAAATCAATAACAAGTGAGAATTAGATCAAATTATTTATACATAAACAATAATCAACTAAAACCAACATAACTCTCAGTTTATGATGCACATGATCGGTTGAAATTAGTACTTGGGGAGTGAGTAGTATAGGTACACTGGGTAATTACTAAAATTTCTCACGATTAAAACATATATATACCGCTTGGCTTTAGCCAATAGGACTTTCTTGTCACTCAAGTAACCGATTGGGATTAGGTATCAGTATCCAAATACGACAACATACAACACACCACCTATAACCATTTGTAGCTTTTCTTCTTGAATTTCCTTAACTGACACAAACGTAATTCATAAACACTTTGAATTATCATTATATCTTTTTACAGCTTAGGTGTATTGTCTTATTGAATTGTTCCAGGAACTTGATATCTCAAATTGTGTTTACCCGATAGAAATTCACAATATAAAAATCTGAATTTGATTTACTCAACAAATCTAGTTATCCCCTTTTGAGTTATGAAAAAACAAATAAGGTATGATTAGATATTTTGGCCGTCTGACTTCCTATTTAAAACAAGATGCCAGGGAAAGTAGACAACACCATAAAATCGAATTCTGTCCATAAATCAGCATGACGAAAAAAAGTCTAGATAGCTTGCCCAAAGAGAAGAAACGTTAAATTAGACGTAAACGATACAAATCTGATAAGATTAATCACCCGGAAGCTGGACATATTACGTGATAAGGATGTAACCGTTTTTTTCAAACTGTCATTTGTAAGTGTATTTACTCTTATTTGTCTGAATGCTAACAACAATAAGTTTAGTATGCATGACAAGTCAACAATTCTAAAGTAGTGATCTATCAAACTACAACTACTACTCACGCCATATGGGTATGCGACAAAGCAATAAGTATGTAAAAAATAGTTTGACAACTAAAATAAAATATTCACTTAAGTCCTATAGTTTTTATCAAGATATTACTCATCGAAATAACAGTAAGAGGCACCAATTGACATACGGTATTCAGGTTAGGGCTTATATTCTACGTTAGACAATGACCAGTGCAAGTAACAAATATGATATTAGTTGCCTGCAGGCTTCAATCGATTGTACTTTTACAAGTATGAGTCACTGCTTGTGAAAACGTAGTCAGTTTTAAGTAACCCTGAATTTTATACAATTGCATAAGCTGCTTTCAAAAGCATTCCATGTATGTACGTAGAAGAGTAAAATCTGATTATTAAATAATGTATTTGAGGGAAGATTATCTAAAAGGCTGTATTAGAAGGTAATTTTCATTGAAAACTGATGAAAGATATACACTTTCGCTAAACATAATTCGTGTCTAATACAAGTCAAATCGGCAAGTAGACTATTATAACTTTTATAAAAGCGAAGTACCATATTAGTAATACATAAGAGGAGCTAGTTTGAGTTCAACTTTAACAAGAGCTTCATCTTAAATTTACTTTACACAAGCATAGTTTTTTCTCCAACTCTGCCCTTAGAATTTCCATTTACCAGTAGCATGTTTTTAAATCTGTCTGGATTATAATATAAATATATCACTATAAGATTATCGATCAGGGATAGAAAATGTCAAAATGCAAATGAATGACATATTTACGTATTAGTGAAATGTCAATAGTAGAAGACGATGGATTTACATAGGAATAAGTTTCAACAATAGGAAAAAAGCAAGAATTCTATGACATTATTTTTCTTATTTCTGATCGATAGAAAATAAAACTGTAGAATTTAGAAGAGAAACAAGAAAAAAATGTAAGCAGAAATGCGATAAATACATTTGAATGACAGCCAACCTATTTATACACATTCATTCATTAGTCAGGCAGAAATGTAAAGGAAAAAAATTGAATATGAGGATGATGAACAAGTTTCTGCACACATATCGCATGGTAAACTAATTAACTAGCAGTGTATACATTAAAAGGCTTCATGGTATCACTACTACTAACTGTTATTGATTAATTGTTATATGATGAAGTATGGAAGCGTAGAGTTCGGATAATGACACAACACTTGAATTATATCCGATGTATACTTTAAGTACGATTAGGTGATGTACAAAGTTATGAAAAATAATAAACTAGACCACTAAACAAAGAGTGATTAACTTTTAATAACATTTAATTAGTCAACACTTTACCTTAGAAAGACATTACTTATTGAATGGTGTAAGGGATGTTGATTAGAAGATTTACGGATTAATTTAATGAATAGCAATATTTTTCAGGTTGTAAAGACTAAGAGCTTCGATGAAAGTGAAGATTAAGGTGGTGAAAATACAGTTACTTTCTATGTAGTTGAAATACAAACTCGGGTAATAACTATAGAACTTACATCCTCACTGGTGCGTCTTATTGGAAGAATTCGTCTGTGCCTTCGTTGTCTTCTGTTTCTTGCGTATTTAACCGATGACATTGTTGTACCTGTTGCTGTTGAAAATCTAAATAGGAAAAATAAGAACTAAAGCTTATATTACAACAAAAATGACACTAATAAATCAAACAAGGATACGAGAATTACGCTAAAATTATAAGTAAAATGGGAAAAAATTTTAAATAACACTTCTCGTAAGCCAAGATCAAGAAATTAATGAGGAATATTTCTAGCTTATAGTAACGAAGTCTTATTAATAGTAATCTTAAGACTTGTTTGATATAGGGTGGAACTTCTAATTATACATATTCCAACCATTTTCAAGGAAAATTCAAACCATGATTCCTATATGGAACGATAATAAGATCACTGGTGTTGCGAGAAGGTAGGCAAGAAAGGAACAGCCAATTTCAACAAAAAACGACATGAATTATCAAATTATCAACGTATTGGCAAATTCGACAAGAACTCGACCAAACATTAAGTCAGGAGAACCTAGTTAAGACATAAATTGGTGTAATGAAGTAGATTAAATCGAGAGAGACAATACTATTAACCATCAAACTGAAAAGAGATAATACAACGCGCCAAATAATCACATCAACCGAGAAAATGTAATGTAACTTATTGGAAAAATCATGCAAAAATCTTAACAAGATATTGCTTTGGAAACAGAACACCTCAAAATAGTGACAATAAAAATATACCATTCAATGTAACTGCGATTTTCACACTCAATATCGTCAACGAAGCAGTTGGTAATCTGAGCAATGGTTAGAAAGTCCCGAAACATACGAAATTTAAGAAAACTAATTAGTTCTTGGTTTAAAAATAAAGAATAAACAAAGTACTATGAATTTTTTTAGCAACAAAACTATTAATATGAATACCAAGATTCTTAATAACTGAAATTACTAAGCCTAAACCTTAGTTAAAATATGTCAAGGATACCATTTTAATTTATTCCAGTGAAAAAAAGTAGAGTACTATGAAGTAATTGCGTTCTCAGATTCCCTATTCAGCAGAACACATGATAGAAACTTATGGACAAGTGTATACAAAGACAACTTGACAACAATAACGAAAACCGAACATCTTGTAAAAAGTCATGTACCGAACCTACTCTCACTTTACTTGAGTTAAAGGAACCAGATGAAAATTACATTTATGAGATGTTCATCGTTAATGAGCGTTCATTTAGGTTTATCATTTAATTAATAACAAAAAGCAAAACATTTATGTTAGGATGTGAGGAATTACTAATTATTCAAATCAAAGAATTCGATTGATTGCTGTCATATTTTATACGGAAGTAACACGCCAATGAAACAGCTAAAAGATAACTCTACAAAATAAACAACTGAAACGATACAGGTAGACAAAACAAATATATTCCATACAACCAACAGCAAACCGTCCGCACAAAGAACTCAATTAGTCTAGTTTTCGGATACCTCAAAGAATTTGAGTTAGCAGTCAACTAGCGTTATTGATCTAAATGTATATAGACGTACATAATCACGGGTTGTATGGGGGTGGTGTAAAAAGCATAACAAAAAGATTCAACAACCTGCAACCTTCAAAAGGATAGAATTCAAATGGAATGCAATCTAAAAGATAAATAGTTTCATATCGAACGCAAAGACTGCTTAAAACGTTCACCTACTGAGAGGAAAAGAATTTGTTTGAAACAATATTGTGATTACGTCAATTACAGAAACTACATCATAACTAACAAGGCCTATTTCCCCTGCATAGAAACAAAAATCAAAGTAAAAAAAGTCATCTTACGCTTACAAGCGAGTCTAGTTAAAAATGAAGATTTCGGTCATACATTTGTAAAACTTCGAAGTAACTGAATATTTTATGAACTAATCTGATGAAATATATATAGCTGACAAGCTAAAAGAAAAATAAATAATGTCAACCTTCATCCCAAGCTACAAACTTTCTCTACATTGAATGTATCCTTCAAAATCAACTACAACAATACTTATTACGACTACAAAGGAGTTTGATGCTTGTTCAGAGACCCTTGCTGAATGAATTTGCCAGATGTTCTGCAGCCGTAGCGTATAAGGTAGAGGTCTAAAGAAGACGTTTGCTCCTATTCGCATAAAAAATTGGGAATTTTTTTAAATTGAGCTAACATACCGGCTTGATTCATCTTCTGAATCGAAAAAGCTGGTGGATTCCAGATCTGAACTCATCATAGACGAAGAAGTTTCATAGTTCTGAATTCTTTGACCAAGTTTAGCCAAGCGTGAACCTGGAAAGAAATTGAGTTTTCTTAATAAATCTTTGACTTAAGTATATTGAATATGACAGTTTTATAACCAGTAAGAAACCTGAGACGTCTTTCGAGATAGGGTTGCAAAATATGACAGCTAAAAATATACCATTACAATAAAATTAGATGCTTAATATTTGCAGTTAATATGACAGTTAGTATGCAACATACTACATAATCACATATTAGATTCTTAGTTTTTTGATGGTTATACATGATTAACACAAGGACGAAATGACAGTAAAACATGTAGCGTAATTTTGAACAGACTCATTCAAATGAATAAGTCAGACCTTTGTTCTGATTTTACTTAAGTTAATATTTATGATTCTTGATACTTTGATGAGTCACATAAATTTCAGAGAAAGCTCTATGTTTGAACGACAGTATATAACTAATGGAAGCGGACCAATTTAAATAATTAACAGGTCCAAACTGGAGCGATAATTTTCTTCATTTTGAGATATAAACTTAGTAGCTTACCACTAATTAAAAGTGAATTAGGACATATTTATAAAACTATCTGCTACACTTTGTAATTATCTACACGAGAACATCAGTTCTTAGTGAATAGATGATTTAACAGAAAAGCAAAATAAGTCAGTAAATGACTATGAGAATAACAAAGATAATTCACAGGCCTAAAATTTTATTGCTTACCATGCTTATAGTTATGAAAATTTTTCAGAGGAGGAACCCGATCTATTAAAAAAAATGAATTTAAGACAGGTTTAAACATATTGATAGGAAGCCAACTTAACAAATTCAATAAACATCTACTTTTGTTGGCAAATCAGTTTACAAAAACAAACAGCTTTAGATTTTATCGTGAAATATTTAGGACTATCACAAAAGAACATTGGCATTAAATTTCGAGAAATCAAGTCTACATAAAAAAGCATAGTTGACATCGTCCTATACTGCACTCAGAGTTCAAACAAAAGTTCACAATTTTACTTAGTACATTACAGAAATAAATCCTGTGTTTTTCATAAAATATCACAAAATACATCTGACACAACTAGATTTGGAAGTACAAAGTTACAGTATGTCGACAGTTACATATCCGTACACGTATTATATAACTCCTTATACTGGAAGACGTTTGCGACTCACAATGAACTATATATCCCTTTCTTAGAGCCAACACCATCTTAGCTAAGGCTCAACCAAAGACAAAGGGATGACGATCTGAAAATTTTTAAACAAGTGGTTTTCTGATGTGTTACACCTGACCAGTACAGTATCTGATACCGATTTACCTGAAGTTCAACCGCTAGAAATAGTAAAAGTAAAGACTCAGAACAAGAGGTCACGAAAATTATTGGTAAACCAAACTGAAAACATCGCGAAACTTACCACCACTATAAACTGAGTCGGTTTCGACGCAAGTATCACATTCTTCGAGACCATGTCCTGTTGTCCCAATGGCATGTTCTTGTTCACTGGGGATTTCATTTTTTGACGCACCGTGGATATTTTCGGGAGTTTTGTTGAAGCTGAAATAATATAGTTCCCACATTATAAGGAATGACACCATGCAAAACCCAACTTACATTTACACCTGTTTAAATACTATAGTCTTATATTACTTCAGGCCAACATAATAAGACAAATAATAATGCAGATGTTAAGATAAGTTTCTTTGGTAGTGTGAGAACAGAACGCACTGAGGATTTAATGACGGTTTATCGCATGGACAAACTACTATGTAAGCATCGCAAAACGGTAGGTGGAGAAGACTGAAAGAATATAAGAACTTGTTGAAAGACAGTATGCACCTCAAGGACAAATGTAATATATGCGAGTTTGAAGAGGTGTCTTGAAATTTCCAGGTAATAACTTTAATAACGTTATGCACGCGTGAAGGATGTAACCCACTGAACTATCCACTAGCCAACTAAGTGCAGACAATATATCATTCTTCCACATTACAGATACCTGAATACGGAGGGGATCCCTATAAATCTCAGAACAGCATTTCATTGTCATCAGTAAAACGTTTTATTTCCAGATTATGGTTCTACAAGCTTGGTGAAAATAATTTACCAGTGTTAGATATGATAATTACTTCCATCACAATTTGTTTAGAAAGATATCAAATATGGTACTTTTTGAGCAAAACGAAGCTACAATCAAGAATATAAACTAACGTAACTTCGTTTCCTAAATTCGTGTGACAATCTCGATAAATATCACCTACTACTAACGAGCCTTTACTTTGGGAAGTCCCATTTTATTTTAAACAGGACTTACTTTGTTGAACTTTTATTCTGACCAGAGAAGTGGTTTTCACCTGTGCCGGTTGAGTGGTTATCTGACTTCGTACTGCTATCTGCAGAAACAAGCTAACAAACATAAAAGCAAATGACTGTGAATACCCATGAAATCACTTTCCCATTGAAACATGGCAGCCTTGCATCATCATTTGCTATTTCTTCTTTTACGACACTTATTTAAGAAATATAACAATTATTTTTTAAAATGAACAAACCCAAAATCCGCATCAACTGACTTGAAGAAAAACTTATAATTTGGTCGGTTTAATGCATTTTTGAAATCCCCTAAGGTAACAGCATTGGGACATACAGCAATTTTAACTAAATAAGGGGTTTCTTCATCATCTATATGGTATATAATCTTCGTATCGTCCATTTGGATAGCACTTATGGAGACACATTCATAATGGGACCAGTAATGAAATTTTACTGTTGCTTGGTTCAAACACTAGAATCGACGGCAGCTACATTTCCTTATAGTATTTTTTTTGTGTAGGCCTTGTTTTTTGAATGAATAATGAGAATTCTACACAATAATTCAACCTAGATTGGAATATCTAAAATCTCCAATATCTTCGTCATGAGTTGGCATCAGCCAATTGATTTCTTTGCGCTCGATTCTTGTTCTCTCGGTATGGTTCCAGGTGTTTGGTAGTGATAATGGATGGTGGTCTAGCCACTCGAATGTACTCATTCTAGTCATTTGGCAGTTGTTAGTGAGTGTGTATGTCCCACAGTTTGAATGAGCACATGAACCTGGATATTCGCTGTTTGATGCGCAATATTGGAGGATTATCTCGAAGGGCTTGGTGATGATGCTTCGGTAAGATTCTCACACTGGGATGACTCGGCGTACTTAACATGTTTTACGCCATAATCAGATCACCTCTTATTCTCCAGTAAGTCAGAATCACAACAAGTTCTGGAGTCTATCTATGTAAGTTTTTTCTTCAAACATACCACCCATTTTGTTGCTTGTCCCTGCACTCGATCCAAGAGATTTATGTTTCTTTGGAGGAGAAATGGTTAAACATTGTTGTGAACCTCATATATGGGTGTGCGTATCTCTTAAACAACATCAGGAATAATTCAGGCGTGATGGCACCAAGTTGTATTCGTATAAAGTGAAGGGTTGCGTTAGTCTTGGCTGGGTCCCCTATATATTTCAAGTTACTGTCCAGGGAACTCGGCTTTCCCGTGGTTAATAAACGGAGATCACGCTCTGAGGAGACATTGCAGAGCGATCTTCTACTGAGGATAAAGGTGTCACGTTGGGTAGAATGTCTGCTGCCCATTCCTTAGTAGATGTAAGGCCCTTTGGAATCTCAGTTGAATTCTCTTAGTTTCTTATAGACCCCCATATCTTTACGTAGATCAATGTCGCCGAACTAATTTTGTCTAACAGACTATTAATAAATATCACTTAGAGAGGACAGAAAATGGTTACCATAGAGACTCCGAATGTTGAGACTCGCCAGCTCACGTGCACTCCATTTACCTTGGTGTGAAACTTTATCTCCTTAAGTTAGTCTCAGGGCCAAAAATCTGAGTCGATGAAGCCAATTTTCGCGACCTTCACAATTAGGAGTGTCTGAGATACTGTGTCGAAGGCTTCTGCAAGTTAAGAAATATTATATGAGCCTGTATTTTTCAGTCTCGGAAGATTTTCCAACTGTCCCAAGCTATGAGAAGATCGAATACCCACGACCTGCCTTTCCGAAACCCGTGTTGAGCTTCCTGGAGGATTTTGTTCTTATCCATGTACTCCGTCATTTGATTATCCATCACCTTTCCATTACCTTCGACAGTATCGGTAGTCATGCGACTGGTCTGTAACAGGCTGGGTCCTTTCTATCTCCTTCTTTGAAGATTGGAGAGACCTGCCTGTTTGCATGTAGCTGGGAGTTAGTGTGACTCCAGTGAATGCTTGAACAGGTCACATGTCGATTAACTGAGTGCTTCTGGACACTGTTTCAAGACAATGGAGCGAATATTGTGACATCCTGGCGACTTTCCTAGACGCAAGTATTTTAGTTTTCTTAGCACGAAGTCAGTAGTAATACGGATATTCCCTGGGCTATCAGCCAGTACTATGTTTCATTAGTACTGTGAACGTGTATGTGCTTGGTTTAACTGATTGGTGTGCATCTGCACCTCTGCATCAGGAGCGACCGTCAGATTTTCAAACGGGTTGTTTGAACTGAGTTTGCCGGTTCTGTGACAGTTTTCCCTTGCGAATTTTTTGTCTGTCGATCGGCAAGACCATTATATTCGTGTCTAGCAAACGTGGGTTCTTGATGGAGGTCAACTGTCATCTGAGTGCGTTTATTTTGGCCTCCATGTTATCTCACAGATTTAGGTCCGCTGTTGCGACACCTTGTGTGACTAGAGAGATCGTCGTTCATGCCGTACCAAGCCTGAAGCGCCTCAGTTAGGTCTTCTTGATTTCCGAGGTCCATAGCCACATGGATACTTAATTGTCCTAAGGAGTGACGGACGAGGCAGCTAAGAAGTACTTATTACCACAGTGGCGTGAACGCCCATGCTACGTGGTAGCCATCGCCACTGTTGCATGTAATATGTATGAGCTTCATCCGAGCTACGACTAACCAGCTCGCGCACGCCATGAACTAACATAATGATCTGTTCTTAGGTGAGTTTTGACGTCTTGGCTGCTGCTCGCACTGACCACGGTTTGCTATGCCTGACTGGGATCGGGAAGGAAAAATTAACCGAGGGTCTCTGGGATGTTAGGAGGACTTTTCGGCAACCCGTGCCGAGTCTAAGGTTACTCGCAGCGGAGGGGTTTCCTCCTGGTGACGTTCTGACCCTTGAACAGAGGGCACATTTTGACCAGGGTACTGCCCATTTAAAAGATCGCGCAGTACTCGTCTCACTGTTCTTTATCAAAGACAGCCCTACTTTTTAGTTAGCTACCCTCCGATACTGGAACATTAAATAAAATTAGTGAATTTTATTTAACTTCCCGATCCCTGAGTTTTAGCATTTTGCCAGCTATGGTGTTGCTGTTTCATTCTTTCATGCTCACTCAATACTCTATGCTATCGACAGATAGTGCGGGGTTTGTGACAGCCGGCAGTTTCGTCGATTTGCTAGTTTGTTAACGGCTCCCTTTGTCATCTGCTTCGTCGGTTTAGAGTTGTGAGTTCGGTTTACTTGTGGGGATTTGTAGGCTAATTTTCGGTGGGGCCTGTGTCTTTGTTAATGCTACTTTTGTGTCTCAGTGATTCTGCAATGTGACACAGAACCACGGACAGGGCAGATTCAGTCGCCCGTTTTGACCAGCATTGACCAGGCAATAGAGTTGTCCTTGTATGATTTCTGAACGGTTGACTGTGTAGATTGAGCTTTTGGATGCTCTTTTTTCCTATTGTTATCTTGTCTACTGTTTTTGTTAGGAATTAGAATCTGAGGAGTGTCTTTCTAGTTTCACGCACACTGTATGTGCTTGTGTCAAGTGATCTGGATTGTAAAATTACACCGTGGTACACTATCGAGGGACGTTTAGAGATTTTTTCACAACTCTGTAGCTTGAAAATGGGGTTTTTGACTTACCAATAACCCCGGAATTCCTACCATTATTAGTTTTCTTAGTTGTTATAGTTTAAGAAGTTGTAGCGACGCTATTACTTAACATGTTACTTCATAGGTTTTAGGATGGAAAACGAGATAATTTGGGAAAGAAATTTCAGAGAGAGGGAAATGATAATATTACATACAAAATACGCAAGAATATAACCTGTAAGTCACCCATAATTACAGCTTGAAATTAGCATGATACAGCCAGGAGTCTGTATTTTACTCATTCAATTTTGTTACACCAACTTGTGTGGACAGCACTCACACTGTCTTTGTTCATTGGTCTATTCGTGGAGACAGGACTACATTTTGTATGAATTTCTGGATTTATACTCCGTTTATCACATTAAATACAATCGCTAATTATACAATTTTCCAATTTTGGCTCGCCTAATGATCTTTCTGAGTTTTTTTGACGTTTTACGACGGGCTAAAATGATCAGGTTCAGATTAGGGGCTTTAAAATCTATACAGCAAACCAACTTGTTGTCACTTCTCTCCAGCAAACATAATGTGAGACTACAAATGAGGCGGCTTCATTATTTGGTAGCAAACTGTTTGAAAGACTTTGGGAGGGGGCCCTTATCTTGCGGCACGAAAGGTTGAGAAGTGACTCTCTTGATTCTCACAATAATCTGAGTGGCCCTTGTGTTCTACGTTAGGTTTTTTCACCTGGAGACCTCAGCAGTGGCCTAACAGATGATCTTCACACAGTCATCAGCATAACAGTGAACTGTTTTGTGTGTTTTCGATTTTCTGCACTATGAATAATCTGTGATGAGTTAAGCTGGGTGAGTAACACCTAATTACTCTTATCGAGGAGGCCCCTAGATATTTCGAAATATGTTGCTTGATTTCGCTTCATAATCTGCTTTGTTTATTAGTTTATGGTTTTGATAACTATTTTCAGTGATTTTCATATGTGCACATATATAGATTTTTGAGTTTGATGATGAAATGTCTTGGTTTTAATCGAACTATTTTTAAGACGCCAAACATAGAAGTAAATTATTTTTAATTGTTTGTAGTTACTTATGAACAACATTATAAGAATTTTATGCCCCCAAAAGTATTTCTATGAATAGTTTTGTTTACGATTCTCATCACGGAATCCGTAAGATGGATTGTAATAGTACACAGGAATATTGTTGAATCCAAACAGAGGTTTGGAATTAGAAATAACTATTCAGGAAGTTTAGATGCCTGTCTTGCCCAGTTGAAATCCAAAACAAGTGACCTGGGTAAGTAACGGTTCCAAACAATATTACTACTGTTATTCCTTCCATAATAACAAAGCATGTTTCCAATTCTCGAAGAGTGATCCAAATTCCAATCCAAATTGCACACTTCCAGTCCGTGTTAGTCCTCCAACCGCCAAAGGAACAAAATCAATATGGCTGTCGCTATAATTAAGTATCAACTTAAACAACAATGCAGCTAGGGAAGAAGCATTGAAACTCAAAAAGGCACAGAGAATAGAAACTATAATGAAATACAAATATTAACATCCTAAAATGGAAGTAAACAGACTACCAAAATGTAGAACTGAAAAAATCAATAAGGACATATTACAAATGTATACAGAATTTGCTGATAACAGCTCTTCATACTGAAAAGCGTACAGCTTTGGTGTATGACATAAATTAGCAAATGTTTACCTTACGCCTAATGGTATGTCAAATGAATTCATTAAACATGCTTCAAGTTGTGGTTCCGTCTCTTAGATGTGTCTAGTTATAAAGCTGACTGCAATCTGTATATCTTTCTGCATAGGATGAAGTGAGAGCCACCTAGTAAATCATTTGTGGAAGAATTATCTAAAAGGATGGACGCAAGTAACAGTATGAGTGGTCGATATTTTAACCGGTAGATAATTGAGCACAAGTTTTATACACTGATTTGGTTTTCTTCTAAGTTGATTACGTATTATATATTTTAAATGTAATGCGATGCATCGTTAAGGCGAAACCGGTAAAGCGAGTGAATTTGTTCATTTTATGATGATTATAGATGCGAAGCCTGCCAAAGTTCAAATTCTGAAGTCAGCTGTGATACTTGGTAAGCCGCAGCTAAATAAAAGTGTGGACACTCAAAACAAAAATGAAACTATTGTTTTTGTGTCATCCATTTTATTTGATGCTGCCAATAACGTAATACTGCTCAGCCACATGGAAGTTATGGAAATTGAACAGATGGAATTTAATAGGAGCGGAAGAAGCTCAGCTGTATAGATGAACTAATTTCACCGACAATTCGACTTTATTTGAGGGATATGTTAGATCATTTGTCAGGCCTCAATAAAAGTCACTAAGGAATTTTGATTTGTTCGAACATCTGCTTGTCTTAATGAATCAGTGTCTTCATACTTTATTGAAGTCATAGTCATAAATAGTAGATGGCCGAAGATCACTTCACCGAGTTTAACAGACTAACCATCAAGTAATCTTTTGTAATTTTTCGTAATTAAGTGAATATTTCTCTCATTGTGCATAATGTGATATGGTTTAAAAGAGTAAAATGTCATTTATAGCGATATAGTCTCATTCTCTGGGCTGCACGTCCTGGTTGTGGAGCTTTCATTGTTCTTCTGAACAGCACCATTATTACAAGCTTTATTCAGAAGTGAAGTATTCGAATTACGCTATATATGACTCATAGTTTGTTCTGTACACCCAGATCTTGATTGGTTATTATTTTCTTTTAACCAGCCGTTGATCGCATTTTTATTTTGAGTATATCCCCCTTTCATCGGTTTCTTGATCTAATATTTGTTTACGATCTTTCTGGTTAGTTGATAAATACACCAATTTCGATTTGTTGGTTGACTACTTATTGACCTGAGTGTCAAGCTTCTAAACAATTTCTGGTATCAATCCTATTCCTTCTACTCAGTATTCCGACATTTTTCTGATTGAATTCATATCATCAGTTGTCCGTCGTATTCAGATAAATGAAGGGAAGTCAATACGTTTGACTGCTAGTCGATGTTCACGTAATTGAAGCTGAAGAGGTGTCGCATTTCATGCAGTCTCAACAGTTTGTTTTGCAAATGATGTTCAGTTTTACATTTTGTCGTTTTATCCTTTGGTTTATATAGGATTGATTGAAGTGATGCATTTGGCTTGATTAATCGTGCTGTAATTTCCTTTATGCCTTATATTTAGGTTAGGATGCACTGCATAATGTTGCTTTCATTTGACTTCGTTTCTATTGGCGGATTAGGTTGATATTTTTCAATGAGTTTGCATGGATAACCGTTCTTCTGGAACATAGTTATAAGATACATACTTTCGCTTTTTTGTGCTTCATCAGTGCTGCAGTGTGCCTTTACTCTCTTCAACAAAGTTTGTGCGCGGTTGATTTTGTAAGTTCTTGGATTTTTGTTGCTGTAGTTGAGAACTTGATCTGTTTATGCTGGCTTCCGACACAGATCGGTCTCAAGTTTTCTTTTGTCAGCTCTGAGGATTAATACATCCAGACACAATAATTTGTTGACTCTATTTCCTAAATGAATTTTATGTCATCAAAGACGTTGTTGATCATAGGTGTTCGCCAACTCTTATCAATGCGTTGTCTACCCCAGCCCGAAGCCCCTCTGGGTTTAATACTGCTTCCAACCAACTCGCTAAAAAACGCTAATCAGGGAATAATTCATACCATTTTAACTGTCCTCTGTCAGTTTGAAGGTCTTTATTCAGAGTAGTTCTGACGTCTCATGATGAAACCTTAATTCCTTAGGAAGTCAGGAGGCCGATGCCTCTTCTGACTACCACAGCAAGCATTCTTTTAGGTACACAAAATGTTCGAACATTATAGAAATGTTAGAGGTGCTTGGAATCAGTGAAACGTATTGGACACAGGTCGGACAACTGAGACTAACTTCAGGAGAGCTGCTGTTATACTTCGGCCATGAAGAAGAAGATACCTCACACACAAGGAGTTGCGCTAATGCTATCCAAACGTGCACAAAAAGCACTAACAGGATGAAAATCTCATGGACCCAGGATCATCAAAACGTCCTTTCAAAGGAAGAGGGATGGTTTCACAATGCTACGCACCTATCAACGACTACAATAAGGATGTTAACGATCGATTTTACGAGATGCTGGAGCCAATCATCTAGAAATGCTCATCAAAGGATTTGACGATTCTGAATGGAGATCTAAATGCCAAAGTTGGCATGGATAACACTGAATATAAGACATCATAGAACGACATGCACTGGGAGAAAGGGATTGAGGTGGCGGGGGGTATGCAAACCTGTGTGCCTTCAACAAACTGGTCACCATATTCCCACACAAATGCATACACAAAGCTTCATGGTTTTGTCGGATCACACTACACAAAACCAAATTTATCAAATCTGTATTAATGAAAAGTTTAGAAGGATGATGTAGGACGTGAAAATCAAGAGAGGAGTTGATATAGCATCAGATCACAACTTACCGGTCGCTTGATTAAACTTAAAATAAAGAAGCACTGGGCAATTGAAGGATCAGTATTGTGAAATCTCATCATAATAACATTAATGATTAGTCGTTTAAATAATTCAATGATTGCATCGACCAATTTTTATATTCATAATGATTCGATAAGAGAATTGACTACGTCGATCTCTCCAGGCAGCATATAATAGACTCTAAAGGACTTTTTGTCACAAATCCAAGTACTGTATCACTGAGATCGTAGATGATAAGAACATCGACTGGCTATAAGTCACTTACTAAGGAGACAACGGACCTTCAGTCGATTCCCTTCCTAAAAGATAGAACGATATAATTCCCGCTATCGAGATGCACTTTCTGTATTAACTGACTATGACAAATGATTCGCTGGTATCTGATAATGACGCGTTTCGAAAGAAATGCGAGCAAATTAAAGTAACGCTGTTCCGAGTAGGAGTTTTTTGTACCTACTCCTCTTTACTCCCACCATCCACGTTTTAGAACTTATTGGTTACAAATTAAAATTTATTGCGACAAGCTTTTACATATACTTATTGCATAAAGAAAAAGAAAATTTTTGTCATGTTTATGTATATACTTTTATTATGCACGTAGTGGAAAACCATCCTGCTAAGTAGGTAATCTTTACTCTCTAACGCCTGTGAACATACGCATAACAACTGATTTTCATGCTATTCGCCTGCTTGCAGAAACACAGTTAACTTTTTCTCCAATTTCCCAGGGAAACTTAGAAAAGTTTGAAAAACTGAAGGTTAAGACGGTGAATCTAACACTTTGACTTGAAGATTTTCACTACACGGCTCATCGCTCTCCATAGTAGGGAAAGATGATCAGAAGCTTCCGGGCTTAACAAGCCGCCAGGAAAAGCTTTACGAACAATAAACGGGTTTGAGCTCCTGGGTGGTAGGTTTTAGGATCTATGCCACCCAACTGAGATAAAAAATAAATAAATTCTTGAATCGAGATGTTCTATTAGTCTCACACGCTGATTTTAGTGGTCGAACCTCTTTGAACGGGTCTGCGATCCCTGAATAGAAGTGTCGTCGAGAACAAAATTATCAAGCAGTGTATATCTATCGAGTATTTGGGTGGACCAATTCATTTCCTCTATTATATTATCTCTAGTCATATTAATCCAAGTATTTGCATCCTTCATATAACAGTCAACCATTCTCCTGTCCATTACCATGATAACTTCTGTCACCTTTGATGGTACAATCAAGTGGCTAAACTTGTTTTCATGTTAGCAAAGTCCAGGAACTATACCGTGGACATAAAGCACTTAGTTTATAAATAATTTGTCTCACAGGTGTTGTTAATTGAAATTAAGATGTGCGCTACATTGGTCTTTCACAGTTCCCGATATGTTTCAAGAACAATATCGTGCTATGCTCTTCTCAAATATCGGTTTATTAATGATCCTAGTCCAAAGTACCTTCATACGGGTCTCCAAAACTGTATGCCTTTCATACCCATGGTGTTAGACAGAAGTACAAACGTTGAGCGATATCATGACATATATTCCCGTTTATTGATGGATCGGATTATTTGTCTTATGGGACCGGTCACCGATGAAATAGCTGGGTCAATTATCGCACAACTCCTGTTTTTACAGTCAGAGGACAAGAATACTCCTATACATTTATATATCAATAGTCCAGGTAAAACGGGATTTTGTTGCCATACTATCTTCAGGAGGTGTTGTTACTGCAGGTCTAGCTATTTACGACACCATGCAATTTATCAGAGCACCAGTTGCCACTTTTTGTATAGGACAGGCTAGTAGTATGGGCTCTTTGTTACTAGCAGCCGGTGCTCCTGGTTGTCGATTCGCTCTTCCTCACTCTCGCATAATGGTCCATCAACCATCCGGCTCTGCTCATGGTGAGCTAATTTAAAGTGATAACTCCTCGCAGGTCAAGCTTCGGATATTAAGATTCAAGCAGAGGAGATTATTCGGACTCGTAATGTCATAAACACTATATACGAACAACATACAAAACAGTCCCAGGAAGTAAGTAGTGCCTCTATATGTTTCTGTTCAATTTCCTCAGGATTCGTATTGTTCTTGTTTTCAGGATTTTGTATCTTAAATTCCCTCCATCCAATATTTACCCGTATGATTATATGAGTTGTCCCAGATCACTGTCGAGAACATTCTGTCGATAAGTTACACCAGCTATCGGTTTTTATTCACATGTGAAGCTGATGGGCATCATATTTAAGGACTAATGTCCGATTCTCTACCCAAAAACATCTATTGTGGCAAGTTATGTTCCGCTGTTCGTAAAGCCTACCTCTCACCTCATTCGCTGTTATTATGTTATATTCATTCATCAATATTCTTGTAGCTGATGTAAATATAGAAATCGAGTGATTTCTGTGTACTTCTAAATTAATTTATTAGAAGTTGGTTGACATCGCATCACTATTCCTCCTAACCTGTCACCGTTTAAAGTGGATAAATAATGATGAATAAATTATTTAACCAAAATAAGTTTTTATTTCCTAACTCCTGATAAGCTACTCACCGCACAGTGGTAATGTTCAAGAATTGCTTTGAAACCGGACCATTAAATCTGGGACCTGGATGGGTGAATCAATATTTAGGAAAATATATCTATAAAAACCGTTTTACTACAGTTTTTCTCAATGTGCATCCATTCTAGTTCTTTGTTTAACCAGAAACCACTATAAAGCTGAACATATTTCTGATAACATTCGGAATGGTAATAGTTAGTGCGACCGTATGTGTTGTTGTTTTCCGTTTGGCAAGAAGCACCTTTTTCTGTGCAGCACTGTTATACGGATATTTATTCGACTCATTTATTAGGTGCAGGTTCGTATATTTGGCTTCAATCATCACTGTGTAAAGGCTGTTGTCAATACCCGGTTGCTCAACCTGAAATAGGTGTAGTCGTGTTTGAACCTGCAACTTGGGAGCTAAAGGTCGAACAGTCTAACTACTTAACATCCACTCCACATAGATACGTGAAAAACTAACATGTTCACGTTAATAATACTCCACGCTTCATTTGTACCGAGCCAAAAAATTCACTTGAGGACCGATCGGTCGTTTGTTCTCGTCTGGGTTTGTCAGTTATCAAATCTCAATTCTGCATTCATATTTTATAGTTTTATTTGCGGTATAGTGGTTTTACTAAAAGAGTTGTCGAACATATTTTTTAACTTAAGAAAACTAGTTTTGGTGATTTTTGATGATGTAGTCGTTGATTGCCACAAAATTGGGCAATGTTTATACCCATCTTTTTCCATTCAATTCAGTCTAAAACTGGAAACAGAGGATCCACCTAAAAGCGTCGGAAAAAAACCAGATTCCAAACCAGTAATGCGCATGGATTCCAGGATTTCGAAAGAATAAATGGCGTATAAAACCTGTTGTTGGTTACCGGTTACCATAAGACTATGTCTCCTGACATTGCTCCAGTGCCTTGTGGATTAGACCTCTGAGACAAAGGCTTGGGGAGTGATCTAAAAAATCACTGGCTTCAGTGTGGGCATCTCAGTATCTCGGCCCACACAGATTCAATTGCTTGTGTCGCATATGTATCTTGGTGCCCCTTTGTACAAATATTTGTGTTAAAAAAATGCAAGTAAGTCCATTTTAAGTAGCAGTCCGGCCAGATATCAGTAGTGAAAACAAATTATACTGAGATCGGTTAAACTCTGATGTTCTGTTGACAAACCACACTCAGTAGTACTCCATTCTTATTTAATTTTGTCACTGAGATGCTGTTAGAGACGACATTCAACGTCTGACTTTTCAGAAGTTGACCTTCTACCAGGATACTCTCTCGTTGACTTAGAATATGCCTATGACACAGTTCTATTTGATGGAGATGCTGACAAAATACAGTCTTCTGACCACCTTTGGCAACAATGCAAGCATGTTCGGGATGCGATTCTCCCGTCGAAATGCAAAATGTTGCTTCAAGATTGACTTGTGTCGGCACCTGAACTAGTGATAAGAAGTGAAGTAGTTTAGCCTGTTGATTGCTCATCATCTCTAGCCGCTTGGTGTCTGATGAAATTTCGCACAGATACAGAAGGTCCGACCGGCTTTTAACTACTTGCGTCACCTTTGGCGTAGGCAAGATATCTGTCTCATAACCAAAGGACGAGTCTACTGCGCAACAGTTCGCTCTGTTCTGACCACTGAGAAGCGAGAATATTCGTAGGTTACTAGCACTTGATCATCGGTGTTTCCGAAGCATTACTTGTATATCCTGGGACCGCCGAGTAAGCAGTGTTGTCGTTTGAACGAGGGTACTGAGTGAGGATGGCAGATTAATTGATGAAGTAGTGAATGTTCATCAGTTGAGGTGGTTGGAATATGTTTTACGTATATCTAACCACGTACTACTTCGACTAGCAATGCTGTCTGAGGTGAAGGTAGACTGGAAGAAAGTTAGGGGCGTTCAAACCAAAACATGGCACAGATCCATGAAGTCACTGGATCAAACCATGTTAGTAGGTGTAGACCACCTGGTTAAGATTTGCGAGACAATCGTAACCGGTGGTGAGAGACACTTAATGACAGCTCAAAATCGTTCACAATGGGCTCAGGTGCATCCATTCATTATCTTCTCTAAAAATCTAACCTGAAATCCTCATGTCATTTTTTCTCCTTTTAAATTTATTTCACCGTGATATACTTTTCGAATCATATCTTCGATCCCTTACCTTTTCGGTTATTGCTGATACTGTGACTATTATGGGATTCAAATTGACAATTCCATCTCTTTGTGCTTATGTGGTATGGAAACTTGAACTGATGTATGTACGTACCGAGTTCTACGTTGTTGCTGACTAACTGTATCACTACTAGTCAGCAAATTGTTATTGTAAGTTATTTCACGTCCGTTGATAATTCGAGATCTGGTTATCTATGTTTTGGATTCTTCACATACAGACGTATTTTTTAGTGATTGCATTTAAGTAATTGTAACTTTAAACAAATTCACTGCTTACTTACGACTGTTACCCATAATAAAGCTAAAGCCGCCGACCAGCATTCTCCAACCTACTCTGTCTTGTGCCTGCCTTTCCAGTTATATCCAATTTCTGTTCATTCTTTTCACTCCTGCTTTCAAATCTCAGCTTAATGTGTTCTTTGGTCTTCCTTTTTTTCTTTGGCCTCAAGGTCCCCAAGTTAGGGCTTGTATTGTGACAATGTGGCATGATGTGTTCCACCCACTTCTAGCGCATTTTCCTAACTTCGTCAACCGGAATCTGGTTTGTTTTCTCCTACAGTTGGTTGTTGCTGATAGTGTCTGGTCAACGGATCCGAAGTATTTTGCTTGTACAACTGTTAATGAACACCTCTATCTTGTGGATGATCGGTTTCGTGGTTTTCCAAGACAGTAGACTTGTCTTGACATTTATATTGAAAATTCTGACTTTGGTGTTGATTGACAGTTATGTCGAGTCCCAGATGTTCTTTAATTGAATAAACTCAGCCCTTGTCTTTCTAATGTGTGTCTTCACATTCGCATCAGAGTTACCTTGTTTACCAATGATTCTGTCCAGGTATGTATACGTTTCCACATCTTCCGAAGTTTCTCCATGAAATGTGATTTGGTTGGTGCGTGCTGTGATCCCCTCTTTGTTCTGATGGAGGCTTTGATGCTCAGGTGCCCATGAGGTTACAAACCTATCAGTGCAACTCCTTGTGTATATGAGACCTGCCCTTCTTCATGGCCAGAGTATTACAACATCTCTACTGAAGCCAGTCTATCATGTCCAACTTGTGTCCAATGTGTTTCACTGATTCCAAGTACCTCCAGGTTGTATCTTTTCATTTCCAAAGAAACTTGAATGACTATCGGTCTCCCAAATCATTTCATATACATATATTAATGGTTGCTCCTGTTTCAGAAGAGGCATTGGCCCTCATGACTTCCGAATAAATTGGGCTTTCATTATAACTCTTCTAAATGATGACCTTCCAACTCCCAGGTCAGAGTCTAAATGGTTTGGATTTTTTTTACGGTTAGCGCTTTTTTATCGTGTTGGTTTTCTGCGGGATGGGGTCTCTTACCCTATGCCCAACCATCCTGCTTTTTCTAGGCTTGTAATAGGCTTAACCCCAGAGGGGCTCGAGTCGGATTTACTGTCTGGTCAAGATAGTTCCTTATTTTGCGTTGTTTGATACATGCATTCTAGGTGAATGTCTTCTTAATAACAAGAAACTAAGAAATCGCAAATGTATTTTTCTTAGTATACACAAAAATAGCTGTTCCTAATGCTTGATTTTTATTGTTTAAAGTAATTATGGTATTTGGTACCTACTTCATTTTCCACATTGATTTCTTTTTAACAAAGGTGATAGAAAAATGGATGGACCGTGATTACTTTATGTCTGCAGAAGAAGCTGTATCATATGGGATAGTTGATAAAGTATTACATAAATCTCCTGGTGAAAAAGTGAATGATGTGAATCCTCAATCTCCATGTTAATTCTGAATGAAGTTTTTTTTAAAACACGACGTAAACCTAATAATTCTTTTTCTGGGATATATTGTATTTTATAAATATATACTTATGTTTACACTCACAGTTGTACTTTCTTGCATGTAGCTTGATATTTTAGCAGCATGTATTATGCGACTGCTGATTCCATGCTTTTGCATACTATTATGTGGTTGTCAGATGAATTTGCGTTTGAGGTTATTTTCACTTTGTTGTCATCACTAATTTAGTGCCAGTTGCTACCACGTTTTGCTTTTATTGGAGGGATGATTCATTTCATAGGTATATAACTCGTCAAGTACTCATTCAAATTTTCCAAGTTTTTCGGAGCATTGCCTGCTGTTGAAAACTCTTGTCATAGCTATATCGCTTACAGTCCACTGTAGAACTGTTAGTCACTGACAATCACATTGAAAAATTTGTTTAGGAGGTGTTCAGGACTTTTCCTTATTTGCTATATCAGTTTTATTTTAACCTTCGATAAGGATCTGAAGATCAGTGTACCGAATGGCTGAAAGTGAACTATCAAAAGTGGTCCTCCGATTAGCGTAGGATCATATTCTAAAGTTTATCAGTAAACATTCAACCATAGTATTGCTAAATACCACTGTTTTCAGGCGAATCTGTTTTGTGAATAGAAATAGCTTTACGTTTTATTAATCTTTGAATCTATCACACTATTTTAAAATGCTTCAGGTATTTTCTACCCCCAGCCAGACGAAATGAACCCTTACTCTAAACGAAATTTGGACGACCTATTTTTTACCCAAACCCTTACAATAGGTAACCATTTGTTATGTTCAGATGTAACAACTGGCTACTTCAGGATGTGGATTGCTGTATTGATTGTCCTACTGATCCTCATGTATCGTGTCTTGTAAAAACAGGTACTAAGGTTATTCTTCTTTTAGCGTTCCAGAAAGATTGGAAATCTGCCAATTTTCTAAAGTTATCTCTAATTATAGTGTTTACCATTTTCACTTCAAACCGACATTCCGAAAATACTGTCAAGGCTAGCTAGGCTCGCTATTTATAGGATCATTCAGTCACAAGTATACAATTAGCTATTATACAATAGTTCCCAAATATGAATGAGCAATTTTTATTTGTTTATAGGGTCATGAGTGTTTGTTGAGCCATATGAAGTCATCAAACTGTGAAAGGTGAATGAATAATTGAAATTCTACTGTATGTATTTGTCTGGAACATTTAATTTAAGTGTCCTGTCATGACAGTTTAGGCATTTACTACCCAATCTAATATAAGGTTTGAAGGTTGGGTTATTTGGCTCTTTACATCAAGCGTGGTTTGCGAAGAAAATGTTTATACGATTTTGGGTAGACTGTAGGAGAGTCAATATTATTGATGACTATCTGGAGAAACGAGATGAAATGCGGAAGGATCGATATTGTCTCCATTAAGTTCCAGAAAAGAGAAATAGACTAGTGATTCTACACAACAAAAACATTCCAGTGATTCCTGGTCAACTGATACACTTCCCTGTGCAAAGCATGCCTGATTTTAGAGACTATTTTTGGTTCACAATCAGTCTGGTCTTATCCAATTAATCCTTTCCAGATTATGAATGTAGAGTACTTGGTTATGCTTATTGTCACACGTCATAAAGATGTGTAGTTCACAAATTCTCGTTCTGATGCGACTTTCGACAGCGGAATGTCTTTGCGGGAAATATCAAATTATAATAATGAATACTATTATTTTTCACTGAACTGGAAAAATACAAGGATTGTGTTCTACTCTGAAGGTATTTGGACAGGGCTACTTGCATCTGTTTCTTGTCACGCATAAATAGGAATATCAGAATCAAATTATCTATTATGTGAATACAACAGGTGAAATAATCCCAGGTTTTATCTATCGGTATATTTTTAGTATTTTGACGAGTGTTCTACCTACATGTAGATTATACCAGCCTATCCTACCTTTCGTGCCTACTCTTCCCTTCAGTACATCGTTAAGAATCTTGCGTTCCAAGTTTACTAGTGACTAAATAGTTTCAATTGATTAGACAGCCATTGGTTGGAAATAATAAAGTGGTCTTAAATTCAATTTTGGACGGATAGATTGACCCTGTATTTCTTCAATCTTGAATACATTATTTCATATTTATTTGTGTGTTATCTTGCTGTTTGTCGAAACTTGATATATTTTCACTCTTCTATTTTCTCGTCTAATTCTTAGTGTTAAAACTCTAGCTAACTCAATACTTCGCCATATTTTACTTTCCTTTGTTTTTATTGACTCAAAGTTTCCATAACTATTTTTGGTTGAGAACATTAAAAATATATGTGGCTCACTTTCTATGCGTTTCATTTCTTTGGTCAATCACGCAGTATAAATTCCCATGACGTACCCAGTATGTTTTTTCACAATATATAGTATGATCTTGGAGTTAAATAGAGCCCATGATTACCATAACAGTATATAAATCATATAACTAGTATAAACCTACTCTGACTTTCGTTTCTACTTAATTGACAGATTTCTTGTCCATGTAACTGTTTCTTGAAGTTGTTATCAGATAGTAACTTTTTGATCTTGTTACCATAAAAATGTCGGTTTGCAAACATATATGTTGTATAGACCAGGATATACTTTCTGGGACTTCGGTGTGATACTTTTTAAAGTTTCTGAACCTTACCTTCTTGCCTAAAGTAAATAAACAATTCTAAACACAGTGAATTATGCTAACTTTAATTTTAAATCAACTTGGATGCACGTTTGTATTGATTTGTATCAAGAAAATTCCATGAATTCAAGTAACTACACTTTCATGAGTCAATTGTTTTAAACAATTTTATTGATTATATACATTCTACTTTAATGATCTCTATTGTTTATTTAACAATGAAATTGTGATACATGGATTTATATAATTGGAAAACTATACATATATTCTCATACTAAAACCATTGATTAACTATTTAAATCCTATTTTTTATGCGTAATGATCTATATTTTTTAGTTTATATTAAATACTAAATTCTAATCAGTGTCTATCACTATATGAATTTCGTATATGATGGTGTCTCAGTATTGTCTCCATTTAAAAGTCCATTTTATATTTTGGATATTGACCAAGGGTGCAATTTAGGACGTGTATTTTGTCATATTCATAATGGTAAAGGTTTCCATGTCAACATTAACCCACTCTCTATGAAACAGAATCAGGAACTTCAAGTTCTCATGATGAGTGTAATACTGTCAAGAAACCTAATGAATCAACGCATACTTAAGTTATTTTTTCGCTTTAATCTCATTTATTGGAAATTGTTGGTGACCGGTATAATGGAGTAAAAAAAATCTATAGAATTTTCATCTAATTAATTGTTACTGAATTTAATTTCTCTCCATCTTAAAAAAATTTCTACAGCCGCAGTCAGGTAACCTTCAAAGCCCTGGAACTCCTAGACGTGGTGTAGGCCTAGGGGCTTCAAATTTTGGAAATGGCATCTACGGTCCGAATATTGGTGGTGGAAGCGATTCCCGAGAGCCTGGCTTTCTGGCCAAGTTAAACACACTGTCACGTTCCCGAAGACGGAAGCAAGAAGCTGAGGAGTTGGCAGCTGAAGCACGACAGGCTATGGAGGATCCACTACTTCCAGCTCCAATCGATCTAGGTATTGATGGGTGTCAGCTAGCTGAGGGTGAAGAACGCTCTATGATAGAGCCTCAGTCAAAAGTTAGTTACATGATGTACTTTGGTACTCCTGTAAAAGCGGACATTTATCCTGATTTATTCGATGTTTGACACTTCTCTTTCATTTTGTTAATTTATCTCCTGTTTTTCTTTAGAATATGGTACGCTAATAAGTCACGTTATCAATGTTAGTCGAGTGTTTACAATTTAATTTCAAACATTATCTGCCTCGATTGTCATAGATTTTGATAATTTTATTCAGGTTTTATGGAAACACTATGTCTTTAGACCATCGAATTGAAATATAGTGTTTCACCTTTTTTGATTTCCATCAATTTGTGGTAGAGTTCTGTATATTTCATCCTTTGATAATTTTTCATCTAACCTTAAGGTATATCATATACTGCTGGAGTTACTAGTACAGTATCTGTAAAACTCTTAGAGAGAAGAGAAAAAAAGAAAGCTGACGAATCAGTAAGCACATAGAATGTACTTAAACTTAAATAGTGAGAGCGATCAATCATAATTAGTGATTAGATGTGTGTATTATTTTGCTGGTCATCGTTTTTTAGCGGGGGTCGTAGATGCTCATTGCTGGAAAGTCCCATACTAGGACGAAATGACCGGCCGATTCTTCCAAGTTTCTAATGGTAGTCTAAATATGATTCATGATCTGAATATAATATATATGTATATATTCACTTGCTAGAGAGTACAAACTGATGTGATTTAGTGCTAGGAAGATGGAGAAAAATACAACAAATGAATTACGATATCTGAATACACTGATCCTTTGTTTATTTTATTTGCTCCCATCAACAGACAGATTTTAAATAAGCTAAAGCCGGTGGGGATTGACATTTACCGACCAGTCGCTCAATATACGAGATCCGTATGTAATATCATAAAATTTGATTATTACAACTAACGATTAAAACATTTATTAAATCATACAATTATTCCTTTCTAACAGATATCAATTAAAGTTTACAGTACTTCAGATTAAATGTGTGGAAAGTTTTAGTTAGCTGCAGTTATACTGGTATATTTATTAGAATAAAGCAGCATAATTCTTGACCATAATTTTGTTTGCAATTATGCAAACTAGATTATTAGTTTGACAGGACATCTAGCTGACAGGTCATAGGTAAGACGAAATACACGTCCCAGATTCCATTTTTAGTCATATACCAAATATACTAATACTTCTAACTTAAAAGAAATATGGAAGCAATCCTCCCAAGATGCACATACACTAACAGCAGTTTACCAGCTGCAGTCTTGAATACCAACTTTTGGAAATTACAAGCCCTACTTAATAGATCTTAGAGGATTATGTATAGAATAGAGAAAATTTATTTGTTTCTTATACCGTTTAATTCTAGTCAAATATATGAGTTCTGTTTTGGCGGTTTAATGAAAATAAATAGATAGGTACAGAAAAAAAAACTTTAATTCGATTTGATTGGTATTGCAACAATTTATGAGTTGAGATTTACATCAACATTGACATGGATCCCTTTTTCTTTTGAAAATTTCTTTTATTAGGAACATCCATTGGTTCGTGATTTATCGTGTTCAATTATTGAATGGATTAATACAGAGCTTGTAGATGATAGAATTTTAGTACGTGATCTGGAAGCAGATTTATTTGATGGACAAGTATTGCAAAAATTAATTGAAAAATTACTGAATATTAAAATTAATCATCCTGAAGTAGCACAAACTGAAATAGGACAAAAACAACGATTAAAGGTGAGTTACATGTTTTTTTTTTCCTACCAAAAAATTACTCTTTGTTTCAAACAGATTGTGGTTGATGAATGTTATTCAAATCGTTACTGCAAGTTCCTCGTTTTTAGACAATTGACTATCTATTATCATCTAACCCTAAGGCTAAGGCTTGTTTAACTTTCAGTAATTGGGATAGTAAGTCGATGGGCTTGTCAGTCTGTGTAATATGAATAAGGCGTTTATCTTAATAAATAATCATGAGAAACGTAGAAAATACAGTTTATGGAAAACACTTAGTTCATTGTGTTGTAATACTCTCGATTAGGCTGATAATATGATGACCGTTAAGGGTCAACAAACAACCGAATAATTATTAAGTTTATTGAATTTCGGAAACTGCGTCGGAATCTAGTGTAAGTATAAAGTTGATCATTTTAAACGTTGTAGTTTGCTGTTATGATCTCATACAATGCTCATCAACTGAATGTGAACTAATAAGCCTGTAAATCTCCTAAATGATGTCAACAGGACTGTGAAAAGTGTGAACTAGACTTTTGTTTTTATGAACATTCCAGGCTTCAATTGTACTTGTACTCTGTGTCAAACAAATCACTTTACTAATGTTGTACTAAACAATCGACCAGTTAATCAAGTGGTAATACTAAAATAGATAACTATTTTCACAGTTACTTTCCTCTTATCGTCTAAAAAAACTTTTCGATACATATTCACTAATCTAGATTTTGCAGGTGATAATCAATTTTTCGTAAAACTGTCTATTGGCTGTAAATAGAATCCAGGAAACAACCTTGAGTGTGGACTTTTTCATGTTCTGAATAAATAAGGGTATATAGAGATAATTGCACGATAATAAAGTCGGAAGGATAATAACGTCCTTAAAGCAAATGAAGTGTAACATGTTTCATTACTCCTACTGCAAAGTATCTTTGATTTATATAGGCGCTTTGGTTACTGGCTGAAAAGTGTTGTCCCTAACCGTTGACTAATATCACCTGACAGTACCACCAGTCGGAATACGATTTCGTGCTAATAACCATTAGTCATCTGCTAAGTTCCTATTGGTTCACAGTCCTCTTCTTACCATGCCTGTTGAGTTCAGAAGTTCGTAACCAGCCTTCACTGTATGAATCATATATTTTATACTTATATGGTTTATAGACAAGTATACTTGACCACATCATACCAATAGATGAAAAAGAGCAATCATACATGAACTGGCTGAAAAGTGGCTATGAATAGAGATGACTGTAAATAATAAACTGGAAATGATTTAAGAGTAGTAAATTGTATAACAGTGGTTGATGAGTTAATTAAAAGCTCAGGATGCTAGGTATAAATATAAATGATAATCTAGTTACTTAGCAATTACACAATAAGAATATATCTGATAATAGTTCATGAATTAATCCTGAAATTCATCATTGTTTCAATTTTCCCTTTGATATATTTTAGGAATCATTCATTCAGTCAACAACAACATAGAACTTCGCACGTACGTACATCAGTTCAAGTTGCCATACCACATTAGCACAGAGATCCAAATCTCATAGTAGTAGATGTAGTAGAAGTGTTAGCAATAATCGGAAATTTTAGGGTTCGACGATATTATTTAAGAAGTATAATCTAGTGAGATGAACTTAAAAAAAAGATACAGGTGATGAGAAATTCAGAAGGTTAGGATTTGAGAGAACACGAAAAATGAATGCGCCCGCGTAATTGCAAACGATTTTGAGCCATGTCACTCAGGGTCTCTAACCATCGATTACTATCATCTCGTGAGCTCCCTCAATCATTCAAGCTCATTCTTATATTATAGTTACTTTGATAGATGTGACAGACTTCATTTAAAGTAGTTATGTAGTTGTTTATCAAAGTTAAGTTTAGATCAAGTCATTACTAACACTTCAATTCAATCATGATTATTTATAATTTTTTTAAAAATTGTTTTATATTTATCTATTAGATTGTACTTGATGAAATTAATGCTGCATTAGGCATATCACCTATTCGTGCAGCTCAATTATGGCCAGTTTCTGCTGTTTATGATCGAGATTTAGTGGCTATATTACGTTTATTAGTAGCATTAATTCATAAATTTGCTCCAGCTATAATTCTACCGCGTAAAGTTCAATTAACTGTTTTAATAGTTCGAAAAATCAATGGAATTTTACAACATCGACGTCAAATTGAACCAGTCACTGATGTTGGAGATGAACAAGGTAGATTTAATCAGATAATTATGATGCATATACGTTACATTTTTAATTTGTGATAAGTTTTAGTTATATGATTTGTTAATATATGAATAACTTCTCTAAACTGCTGTCTATCTGAAAGATTCTTTTAGGAAATACCACTAACTTGATAGTAAAAACAAACAACTATTTACTATAAACTTGATAAGAAGAGATATTTGGATACTTCTAAAGAATGTTAAAATTTACTTTATTTCTAAATATCATTTGTATTAAACTCTATTTGGTTTTTTTTACAACCCTTCTCAATTTTTACTGTATTGTCTTTCCGTAAAAGTTTCTTATCTACTATTTCTATGATAATATTTAAAAATAAACATAGGAAGAAATTATACCAACATTTTGCTTATGAAATCATATTCAGAGTTGCATCAAGTTTTATTGTAATTATGCATCATTCTATGAGCTTCAAATTTTGAATCGTAATTTGAAATGATCGAGAAAAAAATGAATGCTTACAGATCATTGTTTGTTAAGTTGCATTTTTTAATTTCAATTATTTCCACTTAGTTTCTTTTTTTAAAATAATACGAGAAAAACAAGATTTACGGCAAAACATGCATCACATGCATATGTTTCAAAGCTTCTCATCAGCAGAAAACGGTCTAAGTTTACATCAGTAATATTATTATTATTATAGAAAGTTTTACGTAGTGTGTATTCAATGAAATTTATTTGAAACAACATGAAAAATAAGAAGGAGCAACAACATATTTCACATAATAGTTGAGTGTCAACAAGGTGCTGTAAAGATTGTCGAGTTTCATTGAAATTGTGAACCGATCAGTGTTAGACTGTCGTTAAAAAAAACTTGGAAACTCTGGTTGGCCGTTTTGTTTCACGATGAATAGGAAGTCATACAAAGAAGGGAATGAAGATCTAAATGAATGATAAGCAAGTCATCTAGTTGACAGAAGTTCAACTTAACGTTGTTATGTTTGAATGCCGGTGAAATTTTCTATTTTCACTTACGAAATATGAGAAGGAGATGATGAAATTGGCAAAGCTTTGAATAATATAACTAGCTATCTTACTGTGGCAATCAGATGTTTACTGCAATTTCTTTTCCTAGTCGAAAGCGTCTGATGGCATTAAACTCTGAGAAGTGGAGTAAAAGTAGTGTTTGTTGGTTGTTGGTTATTTTAATCTATTTTTTGATATCCATCTTGTGTTCACTATCCATCAGGAGATCATACTTAATAATACTTTACTTGGTGGAGAAAACTTGTAGCTCAGGTGGATGATTGTGGTGGTGTTTCGTTCTCTGAACCAGCTCAGAGAACGAAACACCACAATACTTTACTTCCTTGCAAACATAACTTCTGAGGAACATGTTTGGAAAGGCTTATAGAGATATCTGTTATTCACTTCTTTCCACAATTTTTTTTGTATCGTAGATAATACAGAAACTGATCATGATGCCATAAGTGCATTGGTCGATTGTGCCATACCAGAACAGTTAGCTTCATTTCAACAAACTTTAAAAACATTTGTAAATCGTAATTTGAGTAAATTGAATCTATATGTTACTGATTTAGAAAATGAAGTAAGTCAACTGTGTGCGTAGGCATGTATTTTGTATTATATAAAATATAATTGACTAACTGCTTGTAAGATTCAAAATTTATGTTTATAATTATATTATTATTAAAGTTTCAACAAAGAAAGATGTTTGTTCGAATAGGCTGGAGTGAATTTCACCAATTACGTAACACTTTTCTTTGTGTATTTCATCAATTTCTTTGTTGCACTTCCTCTTACCACAACACTTAAAAAAAGGACTTTCTGCTATCTTTTGTTTATCGCTTGTCAATCAATGCTGACTACTAGGAATTATTGAAATTGCTTAAAGTTGATAATACCGATTATAGAATTCTGCCTCAATCAAACCTTAAGTAGTCTGGATTCGATCGCTAATGAATTTTATAAGTGTATATTGCTAAGTAATATGTATTCAAAACTTTCCGGTTTTCAATTGTCCTCTTTAATTGATACATCACTCTGTGATGAATAATGTGTTCAACTTAGAAAAATTACTGTTCCACCGCTATTTCAATAACCCTGATGGTCTAGCGCATTGTCCGAACATTCCGTGTACCTGTGCCGATCGTTGCCGTAGTAGCTAAAAGGGATATCGGCTTCCCAACTTTCGAGAGATTTCGGTTTTCGCCATGAGTCGTTGTAACTTCTGTGCAATAAAAACATTTGAACTCTTAGCCCAGATTTTAAATGATTGTTGTAGTTACGGTTTTTTTTAGAAAGATTCTATCCCACGGTTCATAGTTATTGTCATAAAAACATGTAATATCTTAGTCAGAAAGAGGTGTTAAAATAAATCTTACTTTGTCACCTTTCTAACCTAGTTTTAAAATTTAGCTTTCATTCATTGTCAATTTATCAATTTTCTACTTATTCTGTTTTATTATTTTTTAAGATGAGTGATGGTGTCTACTTCATTTTATTACTTGGTTTACTTGGTAATTATTTCGTTCCACTGCATGCCTATCATATTACACCAACAACAGATGCTCAAAAGTTGGCCAATCTCCAAATGGCTTTTCAGTTGGCTCATGATGTTGAAGGTATTGACTTAGAATACAATCAACCTGAAAGTGTATTACGTCATGATTTAAAGGCAACGCTACGTCTATTATATACATTATATACTCGATACGGTGACACTCAGTAAAAAAAATAGTTATTTGAGTGAATCTGTATCCCTTCATTAACTGGTATTTTCCTTCTTAAACTACATTGTTATTCTACTGCAATTTGCAGAATGCATTTATATTTTGATTACCGTATGATTTCCTTTAAAATTAATCTGCTTTGATTATTCAATTGATAAACGGTAATCCATCTCATTTATATTCTTTCATAAACCATTTTTTACTTTTTGCCTTTATTTGCTTTTATTGTCAATGTAACAAAAGAATGAACGCAATAATTGATTTATATTAGTTAGAAAAACCGTGTACCATATGTTATGCACTATTAAATAGATACTGAATTACTGATACTAAAACTTATACAAAGGTGTGAGGCTTTTTGATCGTGTACAGTTGTGTCTTCATACCTTACATTGTTGGTGTACAACGGCATATTATTATTACCACTTCTGTTTGAATTATTGTGGCGGGATATATTTTTCCAGCTACACAGTAAATACGCCTTATTTCAACTTATGAGCTTTTTTAGTTTACTAGTAACTTCCAGAGATTATGTCGCATGGATTCTTTTGTGTATCATGGATCCTCGTAGTTGTACGTTAGTGATGGAGAGAATTAATTGTCACATATGAATGGTCTTGAAAGATACTTTGGAAATTAATATTCAGCCTCAAAGGTATTTAGTTCTATTGAAAATATCTTGAAATATAACACGAGTTCATTAAATATATTTGCACTGTAGTTAATAATAAGAGTTTGTAATTAGTAGTTTAGTAGATATATCACAAATAGGTTGACTTAATAAGTCAGTACTATCTGCATTCGAGATATTGTATTTGAAGAGTGGATGAATTTTAGTGGAACAATACACTTGTGTAAACTGCGGAACCGTTTTATCTATATAAATACGATGGAAACGCTGTTGTAAGAAAATTAATCATCTCTTATTCTCTGACTCACAATAATTGCTTTTATTTTCAAAAACATATCAGATTCCTAATTAACCATTAAATGGCATAATGATATTTATTATCTACTTCTAAATCTGAGGTCTAACAACACCCCGAACTTCCTGTTCCTTCGTTTAATAGCGTTTCTCATCTTAAATTTCACATTTCGGACAGAGTTTAGTCAGATAACCAAGGAAAACACTTGACAGCCACTGCTCCTCACTTTGCGACTGGAGAGTGTACATCTGTGATTCAAAGAGGCATAGGGCTTGTGGTAGACTGTTTACTTCTAGGCTGCGGTTGGCGTTTAGTGGCTTGCATCCAAAACTACATGCGATATTGGGTAATCATCATGTTTATCTTTCAGTTTCAATGGATATTGTTTATTTCATGAGTTTCCATCCTGTCAGTTTCCATTTTTATTGTACTGATGTGAAGTCTGACAATGCAAACCGAATATTGTCATCAGTTCTAAGACTTACTTTTATACACACAGTCTCTTTTGTCTCAATGAGAAATGACCAGGTGGAGTTCGTAGTGCTTAGTATTAACAGACTGCTTAATTCGTTTGATCTTTCAAATTTCAGAAAATAAGAATAAGTTACTACTATCACACTGGTGTTTTAGGTGTAAAATATGTTAAGCAGAAATTAAAATGCAGGATTGCATGCTGTAAATATGGTCTGAAAATGAATGAGCTGGTTTTCAGGTTGCAATAATCAGGACAGCTACATCAATAAAAAATGGTCTGCATTTACCTTTGAGAATAACATTTATCTAGTTGACGTGTAATCCATGGAGACGAGTGTCATAATTGAATCCGAAATACTGCACTTCCCTCAATTTTACTCGCAAGATTATCACAACTTCTGATGTGCTGATTTATAGAATAAGTAGTATCATACTGCTGGAAAAATAAATTAAATGGTTGCAACCATATAGATGTCTTTCTATATCATTCGTTTATATCAAAATTTATTACGAAACACTTTCTTATTCTTAGTAGTTTACTGATAGTTGTGATAAACACCTTCACTACTGCGTATTTATAAACTCAGTGATAGCATAACTCGGTAATTTTGCCGTGACATATTATTTACGGCTTTTTGTAACCAAACTGAGTTCCTTATTTATAATATGAAATAAAGTATCACTTGTATGCAGCATATTTCAAATGTGTTTTTGAGATTATTAAACTGTGTTTACAGGTGACGATGATTACCGGCAAAATAACGGATCAAACAAATCCTATTTTCCATATAGTCGTTAACACGGATACTATACCTGTCTTCCATTTTGCTCACCTTACTCAAGCTATCTAAAACATACGAAACAGCAAAATTATCTATGAAGACAACGTTATGATTAACTTAATATAACCACCTCATTTCATGTAACGTCAAAATCTACCTTATTCGCTATAAATCTGCTTGATCTGTTGTCGTAATTTATTATTCATATAACGGATAAATGTGATGTCGGGAGTTTTCACAATCAGCTGTAGCTTTATGAATTCGATAATATTTTTAAATGTATGTTAGGTAATGTCAGTTAGGCTGATGCGAAACAAGAAATCAGCGGATGAACTGTCGCACACTGATGCTAAACATTTATCCTACTGGCATCCGATCAGCCACGCTTGAACCTTGTTAAATACCAGACATCTTAGCAAATATCTTTTCCTGTACTACAAATACTTCTTTCTAACTATCTCTGTCGTTAGAGCCTTTTTTTAGTGGAAACATAGCAGTAATGTCAAATTTGTCTGCAAATGAGTCCTTTTCGTCTTTCGACAAATACAGAGCGCGTCCGAATTACACACTTGACTGATGAGTCCATTGTGAATTTAGTGACACAGTTTTATATCATACCTGGAATATTTTTTAGGCTCTGAAGTTTAAGTGCGACTGACAAACGTTCGACACTGCCGACTTTCAATTAAACAACTTTCTGAATGACTGACACCTCTACACGTCAGTTGAATGGTTGGGCCAAGCCTGAAATTCATCAAATCCCGATGTACGATAAGGCGTTCAGCAGTCTCCACTAACTCTCATATTCATTAACTTCCCCGCCAGAAATCCACACATCTAAAGTCCGTGTTTACACAGAGGGGTAACAATATGTAGGGCTATCGCACGTAAGGGTAACACACAAGAGCCTCGTTGTATTCTGGTGCTACTGTAATATTGGATAAAAATAGCAATATCAGCGAATAAATGCTTATCTTCTCTGTGGTCGACAGCGTGAGATGTAATTAAGGATTTTTATGTTTGAAATAACGTGAATATCAGTGATAGCTACCAGACTCACATGAAGAAATCATGACATACTATGGGTGATATAATGTATGTGACCTACTCGAATCGTTGATATACTCAGGTTGGATGAAAATCATAAGACTGTAGTCGTATACTTCTACGAAGATAACACAATCGCTGAAATGGAAACATTTATTATTGTACTTAATTCTGACAATAATTTTCATATTGTACTCCTTTTTAACTGTACAAAAGACTATCTCTCGCGCGCTAAGCGTGTCCTACCCATTCCGCGTCTTTTCTCGGTGGTTGTTAGCGGCTTCTTTATTCCGGTCTTGATATTATTTCGATATCACGAGGACTCGGACAAATATACTTCTTCTTCCGGAAATTATTTGTTTCCTGATTTCTGGATCTATCGGGATTTAACTTGGTAATCTCGCGAAGAAGGATAAATCTCGTCTCACTATTTGACTTTCCAGTTCTACCCTCGTTTCGCACCCGATCTGGCTTCCTCCATGAGATGATCAAGTGACTTGGTTCCTTGGGTAACTGACTAGAACAAGTAATTTCGTTGAAACGAAAACGGATTTTAGTAAGAATCAGTTATAAATACAGAGTGTAATTATTAGTGTATTCATCTGTACATGGCGTGGCAATGATTACTGGCTTTTGTTGTCTCTGACGTAGACGAAGTTTGGTTAGCTGCTAAACAGTCAGTGGTCAACTTGAAAAATGAAGTTACCGAGCCTTAACAACAATTAGCATCATAAAGTCTTCATTTTTCCTTCAAATTCAGCTAGCAAAGGCTGATTATCGAGTTTTCCTTGACATTTCGTAATCTTTATTCATCTGTATCTTCGAACTCACCATTTTATTACACTCTTTTCATCATGAGAGAATTATATATATACTACGGATTGAAAATGGGTTTCGCGAATATGATCTATTTCTGGTTTTCTACATATTTGCTAAACCGAAGGTGAGAATCATGATCGAATATAATACTTACCATAAGCATATGATTGGGTTTGTTGCATTTTAACTGTGGAAATCTGAAAAGTGAAGAGAAGCGTATTGATGATTTGTAAACTAGAACCAAAAAATTCGAAACCTAAAACTGTGAATTGTTTCCCGATTGTGTGGTTGAGGGGCAACAAGATTTTTATCGATCGTCCCTCAAGATATTGCAAGAGTATGTATTTAGTTGATAATAAATTTCCTAAAGAAGAGGAATTTTCTAATAGGTATTTAGGTACTCAGAAGTGTATGGTACAAGGTGTAAGTTAGGCTTCATAAATAGACTTGATTCGTAATGTGGTACCAAAGAATTAAGAGGAAAACGTCTTAGTATACGTCAAACAGAGTGATCTAGTGAAAGTAATTGTTACTGAAGTTCCACATCACATGGGTTTGAAGTGCCTCAGAAAGTATCATTTAATACAGGCCAAACACTCAAGCAAGCCATTATTCTCGCAATGTGGTCAGAGAAATTTTAGGATAAATTTATTGGAAAAATAGTTTATAAAACAGGCATAAGAGTCAAACACACTATTATGTATTGTCTTATTTTAGATTAAACAGGCGATCGATGAAAAATTAGCACAAAAAGCCCTTTGTAAATTTAAACCTCTCTGTTTTGGATTCATGTGACTCTATTGAAATCCTCACAATTACCAAATGGATCGAATGTATCTTAGCAAAGATAAACATCCTAACTTCAAGGATTGCCAAGAAATAAAGTAGAAACAAGTGCAGAAGTCTTCAAATCTTTTGATCCAAAGGTGCTGAATATATGTTAGCTAACTTGTTAATCCGTTGAACTATGCTCAAGATGTACATGGTTAGATCTTTTAGTTACAGTAGTTCAGTCGAATAAGTGGTTATTTAAGTGATTTGAATAAACTTTATCTTTAATGGTGAGACATACCTGTCTTTTAGTTTAATCGACTGACATTTATTTCAGAAGCCATAATTTGTTTTAGTGCTTCAATATACCGCATATTTAAGTGTTCTGAATTCTAATATACATGTGAGTTTTCGTAAACATCGAAAATCGCGTGATCTTGTTTCCAAATTCAGTAGGGATTATATAATTGTTTTAAATACTTTCCCATGTATCATAGTTGGTTTAATTCATAATTTTATCAAAATTTGACCAAACTAATTATGTTTAACGCTCCCGATGTACGTTCCCAACTAATTGTTGACCCTATAGGATTATTTTTATCGATAGATTTTTCTTACTTTTTTTAAATTATAGTCGATTACTATTCGATTATTATAGCCTAAACGTCTTTACGTGTTTGTCCATCATGGTAACGAAATTATGAGAAAACATATTAGATTTGCATATGCCTTGCGAAACGTTGCAGCTGCCATTTATGAAGTATAGAAGAGTCATTTTATATTATGCTTGTAATCTGGTTGACTCAACTGAAACTAATTTACTTTATTCTTGAGTAGTGTGTATATTTTCTATTCTGAATCGTTAGAACTACTTTCAATTTTTAATTCGCTTTCAAAATCTCTGGAGGCTAATGTTCAAAATGCTATGCTAACATGGGTGGTAGTTTGACGCTAAAGTTGCACAGCTGACATATATACCTCATGTCTCGACTGAATGGTTAGGCAATTTCGCATTCATACTTTATGTTTTCCTTGTAATGTTTACTACACTTTTTGACATAGGTCACTACCAAATGTGTTAGTTACGGAATGTCTTCTTATCCTACATTTACAAGAACGTGGTGTTATAAGGTCTTTTATCTAGAGTGTTGTTTTATCGATTCTCGATACTGATGAAATTTGCAAATTGGTTATTTCATGTCGTGCTTTTTAGGGTCGTATAGAAATCGTTTTGAAATATTTTAGAATAAGGGTCTGTAATATCAAGAGTCTTCTTTATCCACGGTTTTGGCTAAATTTATCGAGTAGTCATGAATATTTTGATATTTTCTATGCCTAAACTGGGAAAAAAATACTCGTCTTCGGTAATATTTAAGGAAATAATCGTTATTAGGAAGGTGCATTTACCGAAATTCATCACACTTTTGAACATGTACATCACGTATTTGTGTTTAACAGCTGTTGCTGACGACTAAAAGAAATTTAATATGACATTTAGGACAGGTTTTAATTACTAAGTTTCATTATTTAAACAATAAGGGAAAAGAGTAGAGATTATACAGTGATTGAAAAAGCTATTTTCTTTGGCCCTTTTTCTGTCCAATATCCCAGAGTCAGACAACCATAATTCGGGAATAAAATAGTTTAGAAATATGTCCAGAAAATTGTCAATGCATCGAGAAGTATGTCTTCCTATCTTACTGTTGTAAAAAATGATGATTAGTGTATACGACTGCTCTATCTATTCTATATAACTCCGCCAGTAGAACCTTCGGGTCTACTGCCGGTCCCAAGCCCGAGCAAAGGAGGAGGGTTGGACATAGGGTTGGCGATCCCATTCCATCAAAAACTAACTTGCCAAAAAAACGCTAACCAGAATCTGTTGTATATACTTGACGGCAACGCCTACAGTTGGGAATATCTCAACTAAAACTAATGAGACTAGAATCATTGTTAAAGATCCATAAAACTGTTTGTTTTGGAAACATATTTATCGTTATGGAGCCATGGTAGAAAACATGCGCAAAACATACATGTGTTTGATAATGTCGGAACTTGAAATTTCGAATGCTTGATTTAAATTAATTATAGCTAACGATCAGGCTAAAATTTACGGATTCGTTGCATTAATTGCTACATTCTTCTGAAATTTTAGGCATTAATGACCCGGTCTCTATGAAAGGACGCCCACTACGAATGTCATTTGTGATCAACTATTTGGGCTATATTGGATCTAACATTCATAGCTTAAATGTATATTTGAATTTAAAAGCCTTACGGTGAGTTTAATTTCAATAATATAACTAGGAATTCAGTTTTAATGATGAAGACCGTCTAAAGTATATGCTTATGATTTCATTTTATGGTCTGTGATAAAAATCTTATATGGAAAATAAGGCTTTCTATATCTGGGCGTGATGTTTTGTTGTAGTGCTTTGGTAAATACCTAAAAAATGGATAGCAGTATTTGCTAAGCATCGATTCGTTAATCTGCCCAGTTTTCTAAAAATTATTTTGTATATAGTGGCTTATAGAGACCTCCAGGCTGTTAAAATGTTTGTCAGTGTTATTACAGGTATATTTTAAAAGTAGCTGAAACGGAGAAAAATGTTGTAAGTTAGGTTCACCAGAATGTGTTGATGGTGACACAAGTTATATAAGCTGTATATTATGGTCTGGAGTTATATATAATGAAATCTTACACATATTTTGACCATATACCGATGGTTCTGCGGCATTCGATATTTTCCGATTTTAAATTGTGTGACATTAATCGATTAATTTGGGCAAAGGCAAAAAGTCATACTAACATCAAATTATCCAACACGGAAATTAAGTACATCGAAATATTGCTTAACGTGTCACCTAATGTTGCCAAACGGAGCTTTACATCTTAAAGGTTCATGAGGCTGTCTACAAACTAAGAATAAACCGTTGGCTGCTGTCGTGAATACGAATATTTTATACTTGACGGTATTCAATGTCAGTCACTTGCGTAGTCCGTCTTTCTTCAGTAACAAATTTACTTAACGTCCTCAGCAAATGCTTTAACTTCGTTCGTTATTTGCTGTTTTGTGCGCTATTTGGTGTTACCTTGATTGACGTTATGAAAAATTGTGAGTGTGAGTCGTTCATCAACAGCTAACTCATGAATTCTAGCTTTTCATTGACTTGAAATTACTAATGACATAACATTGATCCCAGACAATATTTGAAGAGCTACGTATCTGATACTGCTTCTGAAATATTCGTAACATAATATCACTGGTAAAAACTTCCCCATAATCATGATCTGGTTGCAAATTATGTCGTGATTTAAGGCTAATGAATTTTTCCTACAATCACAAAGTATTAGAGAGTTGAAAGTCATATTTGCTAGTCAGTAAATAAACTGTTGGTACTTGAACACAATTATTGGGAAAATCATTACTGGTTGACTAAGAAAATATAATTTCAAGGTCCAAACTGTAGGGCTAAGCCAGTAAACGTCTCTATAATGTGCTCTGAGCATTACCAAGGGCTATTAACTATTGTATCATCTAACTCAAATGTTTCTGTATATGTCATTTAATAGCCCCAATAGATTCCGTGTACTTAAACATTGGTTTAATAGTGTTGTGTATCAAATTAATTATTTAAGCCTCTGGTTTAGTGAATCGTACTCATACTATATGCAGTTTGTTACATGGGGGTTTGTTAAGTTAGTATAATTAGAGTTCTACGATAAGTTTTAATTAGCTTGAAAGAAATTCATGAAACCTAGTTTCCGTCATTTGATTTTTTCCTCAGACCAGTTGATTAAATCCCATACAGCTTGTCGTCAAGGAATGTTGATGTGAATAATCGTACCTAAAGGAGCCAAGAAATGCAAACCAATAAGATGAATGAAAAGAAACACAAGTAAAACAATTAAAATGATACTAAGTGATACGATGTTCAGCTGATGGGTTTATAGATTTTGAGAGATATTACTCTAACATCTACTGCATTTTTAACACAGTGAAGATCAATCCAGGGAAGCAATTACTTTTCCGTGTAATGCAGACCAACAGCGATTGATAACTTATTTTGCCAGTGTCTCAGAGTACAGTTAAGTTTACATAATTTTCAGACTTTTTCCAACACTTGTCAACAATCTTGACCTCAGTCTACGGCTGATTAAAGTGTTTTCTGAACACTTCATTTGGTGAGGGTAAACCGTTCAATCCAAAAACACTAGAAGACCGTAAAAAGTTTATTTAGAATCAACAGCGACCTCTCACTGATTACAATCTGCTGGTCTCATTGACTTTATCAAAATCAAGTCAGTCAGCCAGATATAACTTATTTGGAGCTTAATATTAATTTACATGGTCGTAAGTTACCATGCCACGTTATCACAACTAGACGAAATGGTCAAGATGAATAGTGAAAAGTCTAAATAACATGGTAACAATGACAATGAGAAAGACCTAGTGTTTATAGAATAGTTCGACAAATTAGAATGAAAATAGATATCTACAGAAATGTTGGGACTTAAGTGTAGGGCAAGATGAAAAGAGAGTGAATTTCGAATACTTTGACCCGTTCTAAGTCATATCATCTAAGTACCCTAATCGTTGAACATGGTTATCGATTAAGTTCCGACCATGCTGATCTACGTCTACCATCGTGGCCCATACCAACAGTCAGTGACTTTATGGACTAATAAAATAGTTTGGTTTTGGGTTCAAACAGGTGCTCTTAAAGTATTAGAACTTCCATATTTATAAACCTTATTGTTCATTATTTAATCAGTATTTAAGTGATAGAATGTTAGTTGCAGATTACGGGTTTAATTTTAATAAGAATGCTGTTTTTGTTAACTCAAGAAGACTGTTAGTGTTATCAGATACCTAGACTATAGAAGCTTACATGTTATTCACAATTTACTTTTCCGAATTTAAATATAGGGTTTGAGCGGTCAAACCTGAAGTTAAGTTTACGACACATTGAAAAATGTTGTCAGAGATAGTTATTTGAAAAATATAATCTTTTTCTCTACATGCACTGATAATTTATAGATGTAGGCAAATAAAGAATAACTGATTTTATATCCTTCATTTTCAAAGAAAATTATAGAGTACTATTGAACGAAACCCACTTGAATTGGTTCTAGGTAAACATGTAATCTAGATTAGTTAAAAAACTTTTAACAAAAATGCTGTTTTTCAACCAGACTGACATTGCAAGAAATCAGCTAAGACGATATCAGGAGCAGTTAAATCATACGAATTATACAACTGTAGATGTTTATGATATGATGGGATGAAAAGGCAAATTATAAATTTGGCTGTTTATGGTTTTCGTTTAACATTTGTTTTCGTTCAAAATGATTACTAAGAGTAGTAGTCATCCCATTCTCACTATGGGATTTTATTAAGTATGATAATTGGTTTATTTCAGTGTGATGTTTAGTTGATACGAATAATAGTCAGTATGACATGCAGCTTGGGATTTTGTTATAAAATTCATACATATGACCTAATTAACAATCAAATAAGCGCATAAACAAATATATTTTCGACTAGGGCTGGTTTCCTGTTTTGGAGAGAACAAATGTTCACTAGTACCAGTCTTTGTGTTTTAACTTCGCTCTGTGGGAATTGTAGTGGTTACTTATTTTCAAGTGTATGGAATAGGGCCATGCAAATTAAAAACCCTAACAACCAGACATAATAAATGTCGACGGGTGTTCTGAAAACCACAAAGACATAACAGTTTAAAATTCTAAAAAGTAATTGTCCTAAAGCATTTGAATGAATCTATTTGGAACATTAAGAACATTGAAAGAATACTTTGAATAATGTTGAATAAAGGGGACAGTGAACACCACTTTTTGATTTCGAAACGCGGCATACTTTGAATATAAGCACATCCATTTTTTGAAAAACACTATAACAATGAAAAACGGTGAGAACTAGATGAATTTCAACGTCTTAAATCCACCAAGTAACATTTATTCTTTATTTGCAATTTCTTAAAGCAATGAACTTCCAGATATGCAACAGCGTATACATTTCTATGTTTCGTAAAACAATCTGTTTACCTTTGATTTCATGTTTAACTGGAAACAGACAACAACAAATCGACAACTTAATTATCTAGCTGAATACCATTTACTACTTAAATGAGATGACTTTTTTTAGACCTTTGTTCTTGCAAATCATACGATCTTTTCCTATGAAGAGATCTAAAAATAATGTGTTATTTCTTGTTGAATATATCTATAACAAGCGAATTTTTCTCGGTATCGAGTAAAAAAACAATCAGAGCCGGTTGCTTCAAATGGTAATTCATCATCGCAATCTCTTTCATTTACAATTGAACGAATATTCTCACAAAAAGTAATCACAATTAAAGAACCGTTATCAATTCAGGCGAATCGTATAACTGTCTTATTCTAGCTTCCAACTTTCAATGTATCATACATTTAAGTTATAACACATTGACCGCTTTATTCTTAAATAATAACCAAATCCTATGATCTATCGACTTGAACGGAAATAACAACAAATATAATTATTCTAATTTGTGCTTGCCTTTTACAATACCCTACGTATTAAAGGAGAGTTAAGTCTATTAGTTTAACTGACAGATGCTTGTTTAAATGACACATCGCTCATCTGTTTGAATATATCTAAACTAATTCGTATAAATAATTACTTAAATATAACTATATGCGTTTTTATTAGCTTCGTAACTCATTGATTATATTCAGTTTCAAGTTGAATAATGTACTTGCCATTTTTCATGAACTTGTAGAATGTTAGACTTAAAAAAATTAAATTATTATATGTGGTTTAGTTATTGCGGATGTCTGAGATCTGGATGTGATATGCTCTAATCTCCACACTGGCTACTCGAACAAAAAGGCAAGAACAGAAGAAAAAGTCTGTTTGATTACCAAATAATATATATATATATATATATATATATATATATATATGTATATATATATATATATTTTTTTATTTCCTTAGAAAAGGAAGCTACTTCTTGATCAATGATACGTATTCGTTCTTTAGGACACTATTGATGGTCATCAAATCGTCTTCTCACTTGACCACTTCTGGCTGGCTCTGAGTATCAGTATATATTTAGAGTTAGATATTAGATGGATATTTTTGTGTTATACTTATTAAAGTCAACAATTATTTATATTCTGCTTATGTTGATGAAAATTTGATAAAATTTCTTTCAAATTTCTTTATTATCTGACTTTTGCACAGGGTCTTTTGAAATCAGAGTTTTGAATCTTCACTAATATGATTCCAACACCTGGACAAAATCCTTGGGGCACTCCAGGTTCAGGAGGAAATGCATTTTTACAAAGCAACAAGCCTCTGATAGCTGATTTAGCACTTGCTGCCCTTAAAGAACGAGGTGAAGTGAAAAAGAAAAAACTTTGCCCACAATTTCGTACAGACCGTTCATTATGTTTGATGACAAAGAAAAATCCCCTTAGAAGGGTTTGTATATGTATAGTGGATGCACGGTATCCTTTATTTCTTTGTTGAGCAAATTGAAACTTTTTAATTATGTATAGTTTTTAATATCCATCTAACCAGGACCAGTTATTGTAAAACCTATTTTGTGTAACTGTAAATAGCAGTAGATTCACTCTTTATGTATGTATACCCTCTATGTATTGAGAAATCAGATCCTAAATAGCTATGAAATTGTTCATCCGTCAACTAGAACACTTCTTTAGTCTACTATGACAGGACTATGTTCTACTTGATTAGATTTTTCTGAGCGTTTAGAACTGCTTGTTATAACACTTAAAACAATCTTTTATATTCTTAAGTAGATTTCCAGTTTTTAACATTATTTCATGGATTACATAAAGCTGTTTTATTATTATCATTTTATCTTGACAACAAATAATTATTGGACGCCGAGTATATAAAAGACATTATTTGTAAAAATGATCTAGGAAATAATGTAACCGTTTGAAATTTTTATAGTAATTCCAACGTTTCGTTGGAATTATCCTGAAGAAGTTCAGACAGGATAGCTAGATGAAAGGTTAGAACTACTTAAGATTTGAACTGCTGAGATTATTTCAAATATAATTTCCACAAACAGATATAAGGTGAATATGATTTCAATAGTACATGAATAAAGAATGAATTATTATTACAACAATTACATGTTTCATTGTTTCCGTAAAAAAAATACATGGGATCACATAAAAATTCTTACATCAAGTTGTAGATTTGTATTTACGGTTAGATGTATATGTTGTTAACAATGATTATGTATATTAAATATTACAAGAATGCTATAGCTTCTAATCAGTATGTGTCTATCATGGACGTTATGGAATGGAAGAAAATTCAGTATGAAGTAGGAAATATGTAAAACGTTAAAAAGTCTGATCATCACAACTGATAAATAATTCGAAGTTTGATAAATATTTGTAAGGAAATGTATTATAGCATTACTGATATTCAGGACTGAAATTTGATCAGGCTTTTTCGGCACAAGTGCATCCCATTGGATGCTTTATTAAAATCTTCTGTTCCAGATATCTAGTCTCTGTAGCTTAGTAAATAATGCACTAAGGTTTATACCTCATTCTAATTATCAATGCTAGTATCCAGCTATATACAGCTGAAGAGTTCCTAATGGGATAAAACGTGCTTTCTGGACCTTAATTTAGTAAAATTTGCTCGTTTTATTTCAGGCACCTATTTGAATGTGCTGAATTAACTTCGTGAATTTGATTATTTATTTTAAGTATAATGATAATTTAATGTTGGAGAAAACAGAGCATATCCCATTGCTCAGTCATACTTGCTTATTAAGTAGATAGTTGGTAAACATATTATTGTTCTTTTTTCCAACCGATGTGACGTGAACAATATTTTTCCTACAGTTTCACCACCGCATAGAATAGTTTAGATGTAGTTAAGGTTAAATACAAAATCCAAAATAAAAAGGAGCTAATGTGAGACCAGTGGAAATGATTTGTCTATTCACAGTTATTTGGTCTAACTACATAATTAACAAAGATTTGTCTCATTTGATGATGTATAAACTTAACTACTATCTGACAAATTAACATTGTCGCTTCAAATTAGCCATTTGAATATATAGTACTCGATAGTCGGTATATGACTATGCAATGCTAGTAATTCATTTGTAAATTGCTTCACTCATTGTTTTATGCTTTAAAAAGTTTTATTTTGGGGTTGTTGGCTGAACTTTTCTCATGTGAAAAACAATAGATACATACACAATTGCACTCTTCTAACTGAGAACAAGGTAGTTTGTTTGAAGATTAACTAAACATTATTTATCAACTCAAGTAAAAATAATTGTACACAATTGAGTTTCAGGAAGATTCCATCATAATCAATATTTTTATGGAAAGCTTTTCCACCAGACAGTGTTCATTTTATGTTTTTGATCAAATATCCAACAAATTGATTTTCTGTCTAGCATATAATCTAAACTTCTTGGGATCAGAGATTTTTATTATTTTACTAAGCTAATATGTTATTTTTATATTTTGGTTTAAAATAAAAGCTAATTTCATTTTGTTTTCATTATAACTAATCAATAATCTTGTATATTGAATGGAAATAATTTTTTTGCCTATGGTGCATAGAAAGAATAACAAATTAAAGTTGTTCAGAATATGTGCTTGTGTGCTTATCTGATTATACAAATAGTGTGATCTACACTTTCTAACTTAAATACATGTGAACGAGTTCAATCTTGTTCCCTTTCGAATCGATTTTTACAAACAGCTATCATGGCTAGGCAGTTAAGGACACAAATCATTTGGGTATGTTTGAAGAAAACAAGATTTATTATTTTATAAGCCAATAGGAATTTTCTCTCTTAGGATGCATGAAATACAATCAGCCCGATAACAGATTTGTTGATTTACGCATTGATCGATGCCTAAGAATACACTTTCTAAGTGAAGTTGATATAGGAAATATCTAGAAAATGTTATTCAGAAGAATTTCTGAATGGCATATTAAATCAAAAACAAATGCATTAAAAAATCTGTTCATTTTGTTTGTCATTTTCCTGAAGAGTTAAAATTTTCAAGTTATTAATTTCAGTCTACACTTTAAAAAGAGTAAAGTATTTACGTATGACAGTGTTCTGTGTGTAACTCGTGATCTTTAGATGAAATGCTGTATAATAAGCAAAGTGATGAAAAAAACAATATTCACTCACACTTAAGGGAAGCATGTTTTCATTTACAGTTATCACAGTGGTTAGATTACATTTCCTATCTGTTGTCTTTAAATCTTAACAAAATAGATTAGACTAATTTCACAACTTTCATTTTGTTTTATTGACAAAACACTAACTGTTTCAGTTAGTTGAGAAATAACTGTTATTATGAGGTGTAACCTGTTTAGTGACTTAGGTTTTGATTTTAGTCCGTGTTCATCGATATTGTGAATTTTCAATCTTCAGGTAGGGGATTCATACGTACTTCAGTCACTTCAGAAGGATCAGTACTGAACTATTCATAATGCAAACAACTTCTTCCAAGACTGAAGTTATTACCTAACATTGGGACTTGAGTATTATATAATGATCGATCAGCTCAGATATCTGGCATCATAGTTTTCTTGAAAGATGTAATCTTATTTTCCAAGATTCACTGACTGAAATCACTAAATCTAAAATCTCTTGATGTTACCAACTATAGTACACTGGTTTTTGCAAGTCATTAAGTTTAAGCATTTTATTGTAATACTTCTTAAACTTCGGTGGGACACATTGTCTTAAGTGACGTTATAACCTTTACCCAAGATCTTCAAGCCTTATTCCATACATTTATGTAATAGAACCACAGTATTATTGTACAGTGGTACAAATTTACATCAGCCAGTTGCATTAAACAATAGTTGAGCAATATAAATTGTTAATCTTGATCACTGAACAATTTTAGTGGTCATTTTTTTAAATGAGAAACTTAAATTCCATCGGTCTGATCCCTACTGGGATTATGGATATAGACTACTTAATAGTTCTATACAATGACATAGTAGCTGTCCAACACTTTGGTTTTCAATAGTGCTGAGAACGATTCGTGATAAATACTTATTATAAATTAAAATGATCCTAACTAAACTACTTTACTAACATATACATATATGCGAGACTATATACCTTAATGATATATACTGGATAGACCATTTGAATATTTTATATTGGCAACGATATTATGTAATTGTTTGGCACTGGCATTTAATCATCCCTATCCTGGAGAAGATTCAAATGCTGTAAATCAGGTTTTGGTAAGTGCAGTTTTTCTAAAATGTAGAATATTGTTGGTTGTTACATACAAACATATTATTTGAAATATTATTTCCAAGTTGTAATATAAGCCAGTCTTTCCAAAAAAATACTCTGCACAAACAGAAAACAGCATAATGTTACTTATTTATCTGAATAATTTAAATGAACAGTAACTATGAATCTTATGACATAAAAACATATGGGAAGTGAAATTTAACCTTGAATTTCGGTCGAAACATTTCATTTCACTGGGAGTTCGTCACAGCAGATGTATAATCGATATTGATTTCTTAAAGAATTTCAACTTATTAGTAGATTCCCGATGAAACCAGCTCTGGAAAGGAGACCGTACAGCGGTGATAAAAGGAGTAATCACTGACCAAATGTCAAAAGACAAAACTGATTCATATAAGTCGCTTCTAAACGAGACTTTTAAGAATATCTCAAGTGCGAACTGCCGTACCTGAATATTTTAATTCTCGTCATTTTACTTTGAAAGTATAACTGAGTAGAAGTTGAGTTTTCACTATGCTGTAGTATATATTTTTTTATCAAAGTACCTTGATATTTAAAGATCATTAAACGTAGATTTATTATTAATAACATATACAGCAAATGTGTGACTATCTCCCAGAAAAACGTTTATTTGAAAACAATTTAGGCATTAGGTGTTTGCTGGTTACATGTAATTATCTGTTGTAAAACTATGATATCATTGAGAATATTGTTTAATGTGGCTTATTCAAACTATTAGATCAACGCATATAAAGATTGTAGTTTTATTAATTTATTTTGTTTGAATATAGTTACGCATTGTGACAACGCTCTGTTACTAACTATTGCATGGACTAATAAAAATTTAAATGACGAGCATTATTTGCAATAACTTAATCTTCTTTTATACATCGAGAAAATGATGTTCAACTAAATGGTGTGCAAATATACATTAAAAAAAATAAAGTACATATAAGCTGAAAAAGTGTTGGATTAGAAAGTATCTTGATTCGGCAGTTCTTTGTTATATGTGACTCTAGTCTTCTTTATTAATATTAATACCTCTACTATCTTTATCACTATGGGATTTGATTTGACATTTGCGTCTCTGTGCTAATAATCTGGTATGGCAACATGAACTTATGTACATACGTACGAAGTTCTACGTTGCAACTGACTGACTGACTGTTATATGTGACAAAGCATAGAGTATTAAAAAAGCCGCTATTATTACTGATATCATATATATATATATATATATATATATATATATGTATATATATATAAACCCCTTAGATGCAGCTATAATATTCGTTTCTATACTCATATTTTTTTCTTAAACTGATTCATGTATTTCATTTTTTTTCGTAGGAAAAAATTGAACTTGCATTTGTAATAATTTTTACAACTGAATCTGCTTTGAAAATTATTGCCTATGGGTTTGTACTTCATCAAGATGCTTATTTAAGAAATTTTTGGAATGTCTTAGATTTCAGTATCGTATTAATTGGGTAAGTTTGTGTTTTATCATGACTGAATTATTTTCTTATTATTTTTATGGAATTTCCATGATCATGTTAAAAGTCCTTCTTAGTTTTTTGGAAAATATTATCAAAAAAAAATATTTCATACAATAAATGTACATCTATTATGAAATCACATTATGTATTATCCATCAAACATCACTTTACAAGACTATTGAGTTATAGAGTCAACCAATGAGAAGCTTGCTTCATACTCTACAAACAAAAGATTTTCACTTCAAACAATAACATGCATAAATGACAACAGCAACAGGAGATTCTAATGTCTACTGGATTGAGCCATTGCTTTTAGTCCAAATGGTCAATCTGAATATAAAAGCGGCAAGCCAATATTTCTTCTAGAATGCAACTCAAAAATGCGTATATAATAATATGAATCATTTACAAAAGTACATGTCATAAGAAACGTGAAATTGCAATTTGTAGATGACTGTGATGCAGAACTGAGTAATATATATATATATATATATATATATATATATATATATATATATATATATATATATATATATATATATCGGTATGTGATATATAAATAGGTAAATAATTAATGAACGGTAATTGGTTAACAGTAAAACATATTTATTATTGAATTAAATAAAGGCATAAAATTGAGATAATATAAAAATACCAAAAAGTTAGTAGTACATAAATGTACATTAGAAATTTACTTAATAGTCCATCATGGAACAGTTACCAATTTTTAACTGCTAAATATTTGAGAGAATCTTATTTTCGTAGTTAAAATAATGAACTGATGTTAGTTAGACCACCATCAGAAATCTGAGCGTACTGGACAACTGTCTCATTCTCGTCTGCGATTCAACAATATGTTTGTATACACTGAAAAGTACATCAAGGTTTTATTCGCTTACTCACAAAACTGAAATCATCTAGTTAAATAAACCAATTTTCGTTAATTACAAAAAAGTAGTGATTTTTATTTTTAACATAAGTTTGTTGACTATGTTATTATATTTCACTCATTAATAGTGAGTGATCATATAAAAATGAGTTGACTTTGTGTTCAACTGCTCTAATTAAAAGTGAATTGGTAGATACTATGTTGTGATTGTTAATTGTGATACACTTATCACTTAACAAAATATTCTTATTAACATGACTGAAATTTTAAAAGTTTTAAATTTTATTATCTTAATTTCTTAATATCGAATAAAATTATTATATATGAAAATATCATAACAGAGTAAATTATTAAATTTTTCCATTCTTTTAGTTTATCATCAAAAGCATTGGAAAATATGAATATCGATGTAAAAGCACTTCGAGCATTTCGAGTTCTACGACCATTGAGATTACTTTCTGGTTTACCAAGTAAGCTATTCATTTGTTATAAATACATGATACATTTAAAATTAAATATTCTGAATAGTTTTTTTTTCAAACTTTTATCATACTACTAGATAACGATGAATTTTAAAAGATTTATTTATACATTAAAACTATTACATGTCTTAATTTGTGTGTAGTTGAGTTTATTACAAGGTATACAACTGTTATTGAAATGATATTGTTCTTTTGAAATGATCTTACTGTGAAACTGCTGTTGAATAAAATCTAGCTGTTTTTATGTTTCACAGTTAATCCGTTCTACTCACAAGAACAGTTTAATATTGCAACATCGACATTTCAACCACATTTCTGTATCTAACTGTATTTTGACTATCATTATATCTTTTTTCTTCTTCTTCAGGTCTTCAGGTTGTGTTGAATTCTATTATCACAGCTATGGTTCCATTGTTGCATATTGCACTCCTTGTGATTTTTGTCATTATTGTCTATGCAATTGTTGGTCTTGAATTATTTCAGAGCAAATTACATTTAACCTGTTATAAAAATTCATCATATAAAATTCGTGAGTTATAATAAATTAATAAAAATATCATTATATAATTAGATGTGTACGCATCAGGCAATTTACATGTCTCATCTGTTTTCAAAGTGTGCATAGAGTGCTTTTGTTTTGACCGACTACTACTTACCCGTGAGCTTACATTCAAAGTTGAAGACCTCTGATGTCATAAATATTACATGACTAAAGTAGCAACAATGAAGTGTTTGACACACGTAAGGATTTTGCAATGGAATATATAGATTTAAAAGTTAATATAATACTTGATAAAGAGAACTATATCAGGAGATCTTACTGAAAATGCTTGCAATCAGTGATATATAATACAAATAACTAGTTAGATTTTTTCATTATGTTCACTATATTTAAGCATTTGTCATGGGATTAATCTATTATTAACATCATTAGGTGCCACGTAGAAAATTTATTTCATCTCCAGTTTCATAAGATTAAAACGTAGTACATGCATTGTTGAGTCACTTGGACAAGTGACCACATCCCAAATTGACTGATAGGATCCAATTAACAGAGAGAAATAATAAACAAGTTATAGGCTACTAGCTGATGATCAATCATCGTATTTGATTCGTTCATTAATGCATCAGAAAATGCTGAAACAGTAAAGCCTATTTCTACTTCATTTGTGTTTGAGATGTTTAATTTTTTACTCTTTTTGTCCTGTCGACTAAGATTTTGACTTTTGTTCGGAAGAAGCAGGTGAATAGTTAAAATCCTTTTAGGAAAGCTACAAAAATAAAGTGCGCATGTGTTTTTATAATACGTAGGTAACGATAAAAAGTAACTGAAAAGATTTTGAGTTTATTTTAAATATTTGATTACCCAAAGGTTGCTAGTTATAATTAATTAAATCAATTAAAAGAAACCACTATTCTTAGAGGATAAAATGCGTCTTGAATGTCTACTATGTCACACTGCCTACTCATTATTGAAGTTAGATTGTGACCATCAGTGGGATACGGCTGAGCAACTATCGACAAGAATCCTATTCGTTTGAATCTTTAGTGATTCTGCCCCCTAAAATTAGGCTTATTTGATCGGTTATGTGCTTGATTTCTCAAGTCAGCTGTCGAACCAGGAAAGTTCAGAGAATAGGTTCTCAATTGGATGACTAGAAATACTAGCCTGATTGGTCGATTGGCAAGAGGGACAGGTTTACATGTGAATACAGTTTCACACCCTTCAAACTTGATTTACAATGACAGTACATCACTCGTTAAATACTGGATTCGTGTTCCATCTTATTCAACATTCAAAATCCGGATATTCCTTCCTCCCAGTATCGTTGTTAACACTAAAAATCAAACCCAGTGCTTTTCGTGTAGAACGCCATTGTGTTCTCCACTGAGCTGCCGAATGTCTTAAACTACAATATTAGCCACTGTTCACCTATAATAAAAACCTGTGACTAAGTTGACATATCGACGCAGTTCCCTGATGAAGTGCGTATGCCAATAGAGATCGACTACTTACATTTTTCTTATCGATTATGTTAGAATGAACTAATCGTAAATTATGTTTTATGTCAACCTTAAAATACCACCACGAATATGAATGGGTGGGTTAATTCTCGGTTGAATTATTTCAACGGAATTGCAATATAATACTGGAAGTTTTGAACCGGTTTGTTGATAAAGATTCATTTAAAGTTGTTGACATAGTTGAATGTTTAGTAAATAATTAAATAGGTCTTTTTCGTTTTAATACACTACGGTATTCTCATAACTGCTAATCCAACGTTTTGGCCTTAGTATACGATAACTATGTGACATCATTTAAGTAGATTTTACTATACAGTCCAATATTAATTTATTTTATCACCTAACCAGAATTTCGCAATTAGTTGGTGAAAGTAAAAAAATTCAAGTAGTATTTACCAGTCGTGTTTGGTATCATATACAAAATAAATACAGGTGTCTAAAGGTTTCTAATGAACCAGAAGACTATTTCATATCAAGTAACACTTTCGTTAATCATAAATTGAATCATTTAAATAAATTTAAATTTACCAACAATATAGATAATCACTTTTGGTTAGGCTTTGAGTTGGTTACTCCTAGTAAAGTGGTAAAACCCTGTCAAATCGTTTATAACAATAATTAGTTTATTTCTATTTAAGAAAATGTTTGTTTCCCAAAGGTTTGATTCAAAATTTTTCTAAAATAAATTTCTGTAGCTGAAATGATGCCAAATCCTCGACCATGTACCTTTGAAACATCATCAATGGGATTTAAATGTAGTGAACTTGGACCGGATTATTTTTGTGCAGATATGTATGGCAAAGAAGGAGAACGATACATTGGTCCGGAAGGTGGTATCGTTAGCTTTGATAATTTTCTCTATTCTATGCTTACTGTTTTCGTATGTATTACAATGGAAGGTTGGACTAGTACTGGTTATTATGTAAGTCAAATATCTATTCATATTTTGTGGGAATAAAAATCAGTTAGAATAATTTATGAAATAATTTGTTCTGTTATTTTGTAAAGTATAGTTATATTGTGTACTTTCAAGTAAAATCAAATTATAGTACATCAGGTTCTTCAAATAACAAATGTTCAATCAAGCTGATCGGAAAATCATTATTTATTTTATTTTCCATAAATTTCTCAGAATTGATAAGACAAGTAGAAATAATTATTATTAATGCGGTCGGTATTCATGCAGTGTATGGATTATTGTTATCTAAATTTACTGTAAATTTAATTTCACAGGTATCTGATGCAATCGGTTCATGGTGGCCTTGGATTTATTTTGTAACCCTTATTCTACTTGGCTCGTTTTTTGTTATGAATCTTGTTCTTGGTGTACTAAGCGGGTATGTAACTTTGTTCACTGTTTCTATGGATAAAATTCCCATAATTGTGATTGATTATATATTAACAATTATCTATTATTAGATGATTAGTGATATACATCATATAGCTTTTTGATTCAAGATAGAGGTAACTGTAACCTAGAATATAAACCACCTTGACAAAATTGCGCACATTTTAAAACAAGGACTTAGGCACTTTTGAATAAATCATATATTCATGTTCAATACGATTGTAGGTATTTGGTTTAGCTTAACGTTTTCATGATAAAAGTAAGCCAAGCTTGTAAAACAAATCACCTAAGAATATGTTAATGAGTCATCTGAAAAGGGGAATGAAAATTAAGTATTGTGAGGTTAAATTATTTGCCTGTTAAAATTATTCTCCTCTTCATAATGTGTTCAAATCATTGATCTTAACTTACAATGAAGTATTTTAAAGAAACTGCATGATAAACAGTTGGTGTTTGGATGACGTTTCCAATACTGAAATAATTTCATTTTTTTTCTGAGTATCGTATCAAATTTCTTGATTTGTTGATAGATGACCTCCTGTCTAGTTTAATCATAAAATTCCTTGAATTCACACTATGATGTTTTTTTTCTTAAATTGGTTACTGTCTTACAAACCTGAATTTGTACATTAAGTAATCAATTATTCGGATTGTGAAATTGTTGCTCAAATACCGATTGCAAAATAATCGATACCGTCTAAAAGTACTCCAAGTTTATCAAATCACAAAATGATACTTGACGAAGCAAGGAATATGATTCCTTCTAGTCTAACTGTATTTATTTGAATAGTTTTCAAGTTCCATTTTAAAGGTTAAATTCATTTTACATATTCATAAGTAATATTGTTAGTATAACATTTTGCTTGCAAAAACTACACTTACTTTCGGTTACAGCAAATAACTAAACTTGCTTGTTTTAGACAAATCACTCTACAACTTACCAGCGAATCATATGAAACATTAGTTTTATTATCGACATTGTCTAACCATTATCACTAGACCTTGTTTACTAAACATAAAAGTAGGCGTTTCTGAAAATGCTTTTTTAAATGAAAATACCCCATATAATACAAAAAATCTGCACCATATCACTGACTTATTGTTGTCCACTGGAGATAAATATCAGTACTGTGAATGAATTTTTGACAGCTCATTTAAATGTTCGTAAATTATTTACTTATGTCTTTTTATATTGACCGGATGTTTCTTTTTTAACCAAAAGACAACAATTATAGACCTAACGAGAAACTGAACTCTCATCCTGATCTACTTATGACGTAATTTTAATTAGATAAGTACTAGAAATATCATTGTATATGAACTGTACAATTATCGTAAATCAGTCAAAGTTGAGAATTTAAATTTTTACAATCTAAGCAAGGTATGAATAACTTAAATACTATTCTCAGAATACTTTCGTGCGTGCGCACTGCCACAAAGTGATCAAGCAAGATGAAATAGACGTCATCTGTCTCTTGATTCCTCAATCAGTTTAATGATTATATCTAATTTTGTACTGACAATTTCTAAACACAATAAGTCAGACTGTTTGGTTCACATTAATTATTTAATTTTTCATTGTCTTACAGAGAGTTCAGTAAAGAAAAGGAAAAAATCGATCGTACTCTGTTGTTTCGTAAAGAAAGACAAGAAAAACGTGAACAACAAGATTATCTGGGTTACAAAGAATGGATTGAATTGGCTGGTAAACTAATTCATTGATTATTTATGGTTTATTATGGGTGATAGCACACAAATTATATTAATGTCTAAATATTTTGAGAGTTTTAATATTATTTACTCAACAATATATGAAATTATTAATAGTAATTAATAATCATTTTGATATCAATACATGCATATTTTAATTTGTAATCGTTTGGATTATCTGATGGTTGATATTTTGACAGAATTCTGATCAGTCTTTTCAGCTAATATATATCCATTTTGATTGCATAGATATAGTTTTTTTCTCCTAAGTTTATTTAGAACAGATGGAATGTAAATCCCAGAATGGACATAAACTTTAGGATGCAAATACATCAGCTGATCACTTCGAAATGGAACGGAATGGTTATCCTAAATCGTACAACTAATCACATTTCATTTATTCGATGTAGAATAAATTTTCTCTAATTGACGTTGTAATTATCTTGTAGTGTGTCGATTTACCGCGTGTTCTTAAGCTCGGTAATTAACTCGTCCAGACAATCGTTGCTAAATAGCGTCTGACGGTTTATAAATCAGAAGGTGAATTCGTAGTGATGAATACGTTTATTCGGGACACACCACAAAGCGAAGCGGAGAAGTAGTGAATAAAACGAATGAAGGGACGTGAATTGGAGAAGGCTGTTGAGCCAACTCAAAGAGATAGAACATGACTAAGAATATATAGTCAGACAAAAATAAGGCAGACATATGACAAGCGAAATAGACGTGCACACACATGAATAAAAGTGACGAATGATTGACAAGGTCAAATGACAAGTGGGACATGTCATGTGAGCTCTTACAAACCAGACAATAATAAGAACGAATGGTACATATAAACTGTTGCTATACAAATGGCTTGATTAAATAAATTAATCGAAAGGGCTTAACCAAGTTAGATGTAAGCGAACTGAAATATATATGGAGGCACTACAATCTCTTAAATACAGGAACAGTATATTTTCAAGTAGTTCCACACAAGGAGTAATTATGACGATATATGATCTCTCTGAATGAATAAATATTTATTTTGTTTACAGTTGAAAGAGATAACAGTCGATCTTGATAATGAGAAAACTGATAGATTACTTTATTTAGGTATATTTAGATACAGATTATTCAAAGATTGTTTAGACCTTAACCATATGAAAACCTTAAAAAATCTCATTCAATAAAACTGGGTTACGTAACAATCCTCAAATCTATGTTATAAACCATGTACTTTAAATCATGAAGAACAAAATACTGTTCAACTAATGAAAGTTTACAAGCTGTTGACCTTTGTAATCACAAAGAACATAAGGAGTAAGATGTGCAACATTCAGGTAAACTGTTTCGGCATTTGTAATATTCAGATCTAACTTAAATGTTAGTAAATGCTTCGTTTTGCTCGTTGGTGAAGTAATTTACAAAAACACTCTTAAATCGCAAGGTTGTTTATCAGCTGTTAGTGATCGCATAGACACATTTGTATTTGTTAGTCAGCTGAAGCAAATCGGTAGGAAACATTGTATCTATGTCTTATGTTAGTGGGCATTCGTCAGCAATGCATACCTTCACTTTTGATGGAATCGATAATCACTGTGGGATTCTAAACTCGTATAATTTATATCTAAATCTGAAATGCTTCCATAATTCTATAGTGTTTGGCGAACACTTACGAACTAGATGTGGGAAACTTGATCGATATAATCCGATTGGCATTTAGGAACTAACAAACATGATTTTGATCCATAGAATGTAGTTAGTCAGTATAACCGTATTTTTGTACATTAGATCTAAATTTTGATTGAACAGTGGTGAAACATAGTATACTTCTAACCGTAATTATGTAAAATTGAATCTGAAAAATCTGGTTTTATGAATGCTTCTTTCTTTTTCTGAAGTTTATTTATTCTCGGGAACAACTGACCTGCATAAGTCTTATTTATTTATTATTGTTAATGCCAATAAACTGAAAAAGTTATGACTGTTTAGTAAAGCAAGAAGTACAGTAGTGATAAAATAATGATATATAAAATGAGCTAAACCCATGTGAATTCAGATGATCATTTTATTGAGACTAATGAAGACAATGCTAGACTCTTTCATAATGAATGATCTATACAGTGCTGTTTCAGATAGAATTTTATTTCTAACCAATAGAAAAACATATTCCATTACTCTTACATACCATCTTCATATTAAGTTTATGAAAATTTATTTAGTTTTATATTTATGCTCTTATTTTGAATTTCCTCACACAATTTTTGTTATCCGACCTTTTTGTTTTTCCAAACTAGGAGACAAAATTGTACCAATTTAATGTACAATTTCGTGTAAAATAATAGTAAACTCTAATCTTCTAAAAAGAAAAACGTTCATTACCTGTTGCGTATTTTACTGAGAACGGAATAATCAGTATGATTCACATTGTACACAAGCTTATTTGTATATGTAAACATATGAAGGTTGAAAATGTGTTTTGTATGTGTATATATGTGTAAACTGACAGGATGACAAATCAATTATGAATAAGCTTTGTGTTGTGCTTAAGATATTGTTGTCCTATTATTACGATTCACTGATTTATTTTTAATTGTGTGAATCATTGTTGCTAATCCCCTTTTCCATTTGTTGGTGCTGTTGTTGCTATAACTGTATTGTATGTTGTCGGCTTAACTCCGAGATTGTAACAAAGTTTTTTTACTGAGGACAGAAAATGATTCATGCTGGATGTGTCCGATTTTTGAATTTTCATCATGTTAATTCTTATTTCTGTTTCTTGAAATTTCATTTTAGAGGAACTAAGCGATTCTGAAGGTGATGATAAAGAAAGTCAAGATATAGAATCAGGTAAGTTTTTTTCTAATATTATTTGATCATCCATTGATAGAGCATATTTGTACCACTTAGTCTATCACGAACATGTCAACAGTCGTAGTGGATTGGTGTCTGATGACATCTTGGAACAGGTTCAGAAAAACTCATTTGATTTTTGTCAGCTTGAGTCTTCTCAAGCGTAGACAAGATGGCCATCGTTTAACTAAAGGGCGAGTCCGACTTGTTCGACTTTATGAGTGTGGGAGATGTCTAGCCAAAACATAGGATATTCTTAAGTTAGGAGGTAGGCGGTGTCTATTGGGACTATCGAGTGGACAGCGCTTAGGTTAGGGATAGGATGCTTTGTAAATATAGAAATTCAAGTGATGATGTAGTGAATTTTCATCAGCTAAGATTGTCAGAACATTTAATGAATATGTGTAATTACTGTCTAAATTCTGAGGTTATGTTATCTGGTTTAGGAGATACAAGTGGGTCAACCAAAGCTTAGCATCAGTTCATACAGTCATCTATTGTTGAATTCAGCCTCGCCGGCAGATGTAGACTACCTAATTAAGGTTAGTGGTTGGAGACAGTGCATGAGGCATTTCACTGTTAAGAGCTATCGGGCAGCTGAATTCCATCGTTGCTTCTTCTGAGACCATAAGTTTCAAAAATATCTCATTCTCTCTTTCTTCTTTCTTTGGTGCTAGTACTAGTAAAACTAGTACAACCATTACTAGTACTGTTACTTGTTCTACTACCCTTGAAAATATCTAGGTAATATGACCAATCGGTTTTAATTTGTCTCACTTAACTTATAATTAAATTGAATATTACTAATTTTTTAGGTGGTGGTGATGGGATTATTGAAGAAGAACCCGAGATGCATGTTGAGGAAGTGGTTAAAACACACTGTCATAGCACACTTCGGTAAGAGTCAGTTATGTAATTCATCTAAAATCAGTGTCACTTTCATAATTTTATGAAGTGAATATATATGAATTATAACCATTTAACGACTTCAAGTGTATTTTTTATTAACCACAAAGAATGTAATTACTTCAAAGAGAATTATTTTAGACTTGTTACTGCAATACATTTTTACCTAAATGTAATCAAGTAATTAACAGATTATCTTAGTAACAAGAGGATTTTTGTGACTAAAATCTTTGTATGAGAATAAAGTGATTGTTTATTAAACTTGTCATTATAACATAATGTATGAGCATTATATCCATGAAAATGATTACAACTTGATATATTTTGCATTTCATTTGACTGATTATGTTGACTTTCTAGATGGTATAGTTATGTGTAATATCTGTCAGTTATCAGCAATGCAGTTTTAATGATTCAAAAAGCTGAATTATTTTGATTGATGTCTTAAAACTTGAAGACGACTTTTAACTCATCATTTCTATGTAGAAAAGAAAATATAAATCTTTTTATTTATTTCATAGTTGTTCACTTTGTTTGTAAGATTCAGCATTGTTTGGTGTGAGGATCAGTAATTTGACAGGCAATTTAGGTTGATGCAATTCTATGATGGTCGGTTGGTTGGTTGGTGAAACTGCTGTTTATAAACATTTTTAAAAAATCACATACTGTCAATGGTTTGAAAATTACTGAAAATCATAGAGAGCTGTCTTAACTTTGTGTGCTCCCCACGAAAAGACTCACTTCCCATTATGCTGAACACTGGATGGAGAACTTTCAAGTCTAGAAGCGATTACGGTATCATTAATTCAGCAAGATAGAACCTAATGATCAACATTTCTAACTCCGTTTCGTGATATCTGGTGAATTTCATACATTTTCATCGGCAGTGGGCACCTTACTCAAGTTAGGAATGAATTTTCTCAGTTACTCTTTTCAGATCCGACCACTTTTAGCTGTTTTGATAAGTAATACTGAAGAGTTTCATCCAAGGAAGAAGCAAATATTCCATGTTTCATCGCTCTTTATGATTTCTCAGCCAAAACGTATCCGTAACGAGAACTCTCACATCAATAGATATAATTAATATATCGCAGTTACCGAAATAGTTAGAAAACATTGCTAATAACTGTTGTAACTAGGAGTCTAATGTAGCGATCGATTTGGAATGCAAATTCCTCGATTTCACTAAAAAATTTCAACTATTTGGTTGGGGAATAATACTAATACAGTAAGAATATTTTCACAACGGTTTTTAGCAGTCAGTATGTCTCCAATAGGATTCATAGTGAAATAACTTGTAATATATAATAGTCTCTTGTATTTAGTTTAGGTGGATACATAAATCTATAATGTTGGACAACCATAAATCAGTTCGCCTGGATATATAAATAATATAAATTGATATCAAAATAAACGCGCTGAATGAACTGAAGTTCCCTAATACTTTAACTGCTATCGTATCTTCAGGACAGGTGAAACATACCGATTTAAGCATCATTTCCTCTCAAATGAATTTATATCTAACTGTTAGATTACATAATAAAACAAAGAATTTGAAAAATGATATCCTTATGGAAATTCTAATAATTATGAATTAAATCAAGTCATTTTTTTATTAATTACCTCTCAAAATGTTTTAGCCGCTTGAGAAAATTCCGTAAACGGACACGACGAGCTGTGATTGCTTTTATCAACAGTCGTCAATGTTTTGCACTGGTTATTATCTTGGTTTTTCTTAATACCGTAGTCTTAACCACTGAACATCACAATCAACCAGAATGGTTAGATGAATTTCAAGGTTGGTCGATTGTTTTTCGTTGGAATGTGCTACTGTTATCATATTTTTGTTTATATTATTGTTTATGACAGCAAAATTGTAGAATAAGTGTTTTATGAAATGTCAGTTTGATTAGGGTTATACTACTATACTTTTTTTCGATTCATTTGCCTTGTTAAAAAGACTCATACTACTAGTGCAATTTCGTAAGTCTACTTTGAGTCAACAAAAATGTCGTCATTTTTTTAAGTAAGTTTTATGGAGCACTTCAATAGTCTTATGCTAAAGAGCATAACAGTCTGATGTATTTGTCAACTAAATCTCAACTGTTTCTACACCAACGGACCTTTATTTTCCACATTTTATTTAAGGAAGGAAGGGAATTTCCTAAGAAAATATCATCTCTTAAATAAGAATAGATTGACGAACACATAATACTTTGGTTTATAAACTAGGTTTAACATATCTGCAGAAGCAGTATTTAATGGTTGAACAACATCATTTCTTGGATATCAATGTTGATGTGATAGATTTTAAGAACAGTTGACAAATTATTTGATGAAACCACGCAGTTGTGTAGATTAAACGAGTCAGGATGTGAATGTTACTATTGGTAGTCTATTGCATAACTCAAGATTCGGTATCAGAGGATAGGAGAGGAAGGAGTTTGGAATTAGTTAGACAAGTTTATAATGACTGTTTGTGATATAACTATGTGTTGGTTTTGAATGATACCAGAGGAATGGAATCATTCTCTTACAGTTAGAATTTAATATTTCAGTATTTGGTGTATAAAAATCAGAAAATCAATGTATCGCCTGATTTGAAGGTGGACTATATTCAAACATTCTTTTTTTTTAACCAGTTAAAATATTGTAGAAGACATCTAGTTTTTACATTTACAACACAGTGTAGTTATGTTCTCTTTTTCTTTCAGACTTTGCTAATGTTGTATTTGTTACATTATTTACAATGGAAATGGTAATTAAAATGGCGGCATCTGGTTTCTCAGACTACATTTCAAAATTGTTCAATCGTTTCGACTTTTTTGTAGTTATATTTTCTATATTGGAATTAGTTTTTGTGAAATCTGGTTTACTCAATCCAATGGGTGTTTCTGTGCTGCGTTGTGCAAGACTACTCAGAATATTTAAATTGACTCAGTACGTTTGGAAAGGTCCTATTTTTTTTCTTGTGAATTATAAAAAAATTTGAACAACTGTAAAACGTTTTAACTTAATAAGTGACTTCCATTATGAAGTGTTTACTCCAGAGTACACCAATTTTGGTTATCAATTTAGTTAGTCAAATAGAGTAATAATTCTGCTCAGTATTGCAAGTCATAACAAAACGTGTTTACGGACAATATCCTTCAGATTCTTTGTTCCAAAAAGTTCTTGTGACAGTGAGAACTATTTGTCTTTGGATATTCTGCTTCGTTGAGCCAATATATCAATCGATTTTACCATACTGAAGCTTGATGAACTTATAATTTTGACATTTGTTAAATTTTTGATAAACTGTGATCTACAACTCTGACAAACATAATTCACTCTCAAATCAACTTTCGTTTAATCAAAATATACTGTCTATTCATCCCTGATTAATAGTCATTATTTCAGTTAGTACTGTCATACCAATTACCATGTAAAGACTGTTCATCACCCCCCGAATCAGTTTCGTCATCCTCATACTTTCACATAACAATTGAACTGTAATTATTAAAGTCCTGTTTTTAAAATCATTATGATTAATTTACTATCTGTTTTGTGATTACTACTCATCTCTATCATTTTTATCCATCTAATTGATGAAAATTCACCCTTTTTTAGTGGTCAGATACATCTGATCATTCTTACTGATTTCGTTCTTACTTAAAATGAACCTATATGACTGGAATAAATAGCTTTAATGACTCCTCATCAGTAAACTGAACTTTTTCACACATGTTTTATAAAAAATCACTTGTGTGAAGCATTTCACTTTCTTAAATTACTGCAAATAAAAATGATTTCCATCACACAGAGATAGAGTGATTTTTGTTCAGTTCATAGACTACCTATTGCTTTTTTAATTACCTACCAGGTATTGAACACTCAAACATTGCGTATATTTGATTCAACAAACCTTCCTGCTTAATATTTAGCAAGATGGGAAAGATGTGTAACTCAAATAAATGATTACGGTAAACTTGAATTCACTAAGCTGAGTGGTTTGTTTGTGACAATCACATTGTCTTCATAAAAAACAACCAAAGCTTCAGAGAAAATAACCGGATATTTGATCAAGTGAAGAGGTTATCAAGTTCACAAAACAATCTTATCTTTAAAGAAAGGAGTTGTAATGACCCAACATCTCGTCCAAACTAATTTAACGAGTTTTCAAACCAATTCCAAATAACTGTAAAATGTTTCATGTTTTCATGAATTATGTTACGCAAAGAACTGAAAACAACAGAGAATACTCTTGTTACAAAGTGTTTATTAAACCTTTGTTGTTGATTGAAAACTTATGATACAAAATGAAATGATTTTTCCAAAACATCAATACAGCAATACAATTATTAATTATATAAACTTTTGTGTAAATATTAAACTTGGTAGAAAATTTTATCTTGGGTTAAATTATCCTGATAGAATTTTTTTTCTGTTTCCTTTTGAAATTTTAGATATTGGGAAAGTCTTCGAAGTTTAGTAGGAAAATTATTAAAATCTGTACGATCAGTAGCTAGTTTGCTACTTCTCTTATCTATATTTATTCTTATTTGTTCATTACTTGGTATGCAATTATTTGGTGGTCGATTTAATTTCATTGCACATGAAAAACCTCGTGCTAATTTTGATGGAATTTTACAAGCTATGCTAACTGTATTTCAGGTTAGTATGAATTTAAAGTTATTGACATTGTTAATTATGCTTCTCTTCACTCTGTTCACTTGCCATATTTCCAAAAAAATCTATCTTTCTTTTCAGTAGCATAAAAAACTGGTCTTTATTTTTTTTTTTAACTGAAATCAACATGAGAAGCAGAATTATCATGGCAAACAGACACTGCATTTTTAATTATAAATATGAAATCAAAACACCGAATTCAGCAGTAATCATTGTCTCTCATTCATGCGGAAGTTATCCATTTCAGACAATAGAAGATGTGAAATCATGTTATTTTCAACTGAGTAACTGTCTGCTTTTGAATTGCATTAGTACTTCATTATTATTATTATCATTATTTTGTTGAAAAAGAATTTAGCATAGACATTCATTCCCACTATATGATTAATTTTTACGTAATTATTCACTAATTGACTTGTGTATTAGAATAAATCTTTTATCGTTGTATTTTCGCCACTCAAACTTCAATAAATAGAACAATTTTATAGTAAGATACCTTGTCTTCTTTGTGTAGAGCATTATATCAATGCAAAATTAATTCCATGAAGAGTTCATGATGAACGGGATATAAATAATCATTTAACCATTGACAAACTCTGGATTTGATGAAATAATTTGTTTAAATTAAATATTACATATATATATATATATATATATATATATATATATATATATATATATATATATATATATATATATATATATATATTCAATCATGTATTTGTTGCACATCGAAGTCGCTAATCAGTCATTTTTAGTCCGCCATTAGAAACATGGAAGAACTGGATGACCGTTTCTTCCTGTTATGGGGCTCATCAGCAGTGCGCATCCACGACTCCTGCACCTCGCATGATACGAACCCATGACCTTCGGTCTTTCGCGCGAACGCCTAACCTCTGGACTACTGAGCCGGCATCCAAAGGTGTTAATGCCTAACTCTGATCAATCTACAGATTTTGCGCGACCTCACCTATTTGTCTTTGATAGTTCCATACCAGGACGAAACGGCCGTCCATTGCTTCCACGTTTCCAATGGTGGTCTAACAATGATTGATTGATGATTTCTATGTGCAACAAACATTAATCTCCATAACTCTAATTGAAAAATCATGTATTGTCTTTACATAGTGAGAGGCATATTCTCTTATTTTATTTTATTTATTTATCTCACAATAAAGATTCTTACCGGTGAAGATTGGAATGAAGTTATGTATCATGGAATGAGAGCATATGAAAATAGTCCTTGGTATGGAGTTGTGGTTATCTACTTCATATTTCTTTTCATTTGTGGCAATTGTATCCTTTGAAAATGATTTGATTACTTTTTTTTTGAATACTGAAATCACATTGCATTATGGTTAAGTTATTTTTCCTAATTTTTGAGAAAACATAATTTTTGTGATTTTATTAAAACTCATGTTAGGCTGGTCTGACACTATAATGTATGTAGAATTTATAGTCTATGTGGAAATTTATTGTGGGAGTCCATTTGAATGATATATGAAACCGGTGGTATCCTAACATATATGAAAACGTTGTTATTCGAAAACACTAACATTAAAATGAAAACATGTTTCACTGTGTATAATTATGCAGGGATAAATAGTCCATGTGAATAGTGAAATGAAATGTCTGTAAAGCTTTTGTACCACGTATTTTATCGATTGAAGAATGAAATTATAGTGTTAAGTTGTCCAGACTAAGGTGCTGGCACTGTTGTCAAGAATCGAAAGGACTATATTTTAAAAGTATTTTTCAATTCTATCTGATCGCAACAAATTTCTTAAAATAAAAGTTCAACATGTTACCCAATAAGCTGAACAGAAATTAATCTGAATCTTTATACCTGGTAACCTCTATAAAAACAAATCCATTATTCCACGAATATAAGGTCTCCCTAAAGCATATAAGAAAGCAATCCTTCTACGTCCTGTATTAGAAAATGAATAACTCTCGATTTGCCATTACTAAACAGACTGTTGGAATTCTACGATCAGTCAGAAATCAACGCAACAGATATACCCCTATTAATTTGTTTGATTTCAGTGATTCAGTATCATGTATCAGCGTATCGGAAAGGCTGATAACCTCACTAGGTTTTACCTCTCTTTTCACAAATGTAACTCTGTCGAAAGCAATCTACCTACTGTATGATTATAACGAAAACAAGAAAAATTGATGTCGATGTTCGAGTACACGATTTGAGAGAACTAATTCTTCGATGCACTTTCAATATTCAATTTATATTTAGTAGCGAGTTTTAATGACAAACTGTAGAGGTAGCAATGGGGTCCTCACTTGAACTACTTCTAGTTGACTACTTCGTTGCCAATCTCAAAACATTATACTCTTACCCACAAGTGGTAACTTCTATCTATACAAGAAATAATCGTATGAGAATTTCATTAATTGAGACAAAAATCAAGTAAGTTCACAGTGGAGTCAGAGTCGGATTCATTATTCGGCTTCTTAGATGTCTAAGTAAAGTGGAAACTGAAGGTCTTTGTAAAGATTGATATGTAGAAAGTCGACATGGAATAGTCAGTACAAGAAATTTCAAAGTTGATGAGAAAGGGAAACTTAATTCATTCCCTCCACCCAAAGGCTAGAATAGTCTGTAAAATTGGTATGGAACTTTATAAACTACGGAAGATACTGATCAATAAGTGATATACACCTAGATTTATTGAGAAAAATCTGAAACCAAAACAACAAAGTGAAAGTGCCCGTACTGCCAAAGAAAACACTCTTCATAAGCAGCATTCAGTTCAAAGGGGATAATGCAGCAGAATCTCTTAAAAAACAAACTTTTGGGATCTCTGAGAAGAAATATTCTATTCGGCTGAGCTTCCTATTAGAAATGAAATGTAGTTGTGAAGAATAAGCTCACTCTTCAAACTACATCAACGCGCAATTATTATTTCACTTGTTCGTACGAAGCACGTTATATTGGCGACAAAAAGCGAGTTCTTTCTAAATGCGTCTCCGAACAACACCCTCCCGGGCTATCTAAAAGAATATAGATGTTAGACGAAAGCTCAATCTTCGGGCATATACTCAATTCTGGTTATTGTGTTTCATTAGAAGCCACCTCCGAAATCATGCATACGATCAGAAGAGTTGGCTCAAGAGACATTCATGTGAAAGTTTTCTGTACAGAAGAGGTCATTGCTATTCAGCAGGTCAAGCCTAGACTTTGCATACAAGACCGGCGTGTTTAGTCTCTCATTCTCCTTTGGTCTTAACCTTTCTTTCTCTATTACGTAATTAATCATATTTTTCTTGTCTCTTTCTAATGATTATTTCTGCTCTTTTCCTATTACTTTATTAAATACTAATTGGTCATTATTACAACTTTTTATGACTCTGCTTAAACTAACAAATGGACTGTTATCTTCACTAAGCACTATTCACTGTTCAGTTATTACATAACTTCCTTTCAGCTTCTGCAGTTCGTAAACTATTCATGAAAAGACACTACTTCAAGGTTTTTAATGATTGAACACCATTCATTTTTTACTTTTTTGTCATTTTAACAAATAAAATTAAGTTATAATACGATTGAACAGTTTCTGTAAATGAAACCGTTGGAACCAAACTTCTCTTCTCAGAGTTACTTTTTTTCACTTTAACCTACGCCGTGGAGGGATTCCGTTGTTCATACAAAACGTTCACTTTCCAAACACATCTTACAATATTACTCGGCATGGCTTTTCAAAGGGGAATGCAAAGACATCACTAGCTGAAAACAGGAGCATCTGATCAACTCTTGGCATACTCCTCCTAAATAGTTATCCTTTAAAGTATTATGTACAGTCAAAAGAATTGGATTTAACTGAGCTCGAATCAAAAATTCATACTCTGTTGAGGCGTTAGCAGTCCATCAATTCAAGACTGAACTTTGCATTCAGAGACGAACTTCCATCCTTTCCTGGCCCTAATCCTCATCTCCATAGGTTTTATTTTTACACCGTAATCAGTTACGGTTATTCTCTATCAATTTTCATGATTATTATTTGTCATCACAACCTTGGTGTTTTTATTTTCTTCATATCAGTTAAGTGGAAAACTATGTCTCGGATATCTGACCTTTAAATTATTCTCATCCTCCTATTCTTCTAACCCCTGGATTATTACGTAACTTCCTTGTGATATTTGGAATCTCGGATTAATTGTAAATATTTTGATAATACTTACTGTTCTTGATCAGATCTCAAATGTCATAACGAATGAAATGTCAGTGAGCTTGTATGATTGCATATGTGTATGCCTTAAAAGATTCGTTTTAGCACTTTGATTTTAATTTAATAGTGCAGTTAGAAACCACAGATGGATCATTTTTAGATATCCTTTAAAAGGAGAACTAATAGCATCAGTTTTATTTTAATTATCTTGATTTGTCAAGTAATAAACGTTTACTATTCGAACAGAAGTCAGTATAATCGATACCAGGTTGTTATTTGTTACATGAGTGAAACTATATTTTCTTACATAATATGTTATTAGATATTTTATTGAATGTCTTTTTGGCTATTGCTGTGGATAATTTAAACGAAGATGAAGACGAAGAGGAAGAAGGAAATGGTGATGCACAAAAAAAACAAAATGATACACCTGAAATTACAGAGACTGTTGAAAAAGCAGCACCACCTCCAGAACAGCAAGAAAATGAATTACCTTCAATGTATGTTTTATTTAATCACTTAGTATATCTATATGACCAGTTCATTTTGTTTCATGAAAGAAAGAATTCATAAAGAATTAAAATGATCAGAAGTTCTAAAAGGAATTGTATTGTGAAATGTAGACTTTCCTATTAGAACCTGTATAAGAGTTGGGATTTATGGTTAGAGATATTGGATGACTTAACTGGAAATCAGTCAGTGCAGAAGCTTGTCTACTTTATGCTATATATAGTGTTCGGTGAAATTTCATAATTTTAATTTCATTTTATTTATCCCCCTACTTTCGTCATTTTTGTTATCCATCTGATTGTTATGATGTTGATTTCGGTAGATCCGATATTCACTCATTACTCATAATTCTTACATGTTTTGTGTTTAACTGACTGAGTAATGTACATTTTTCTAAAATACATCTAAATGATGTCAATGAGAACCAAGCTTATTACGATTAGAATGTTTGAAGTGAATTTATGTAGGGCTTGAAACTGTAAGACACAGAACAGTTGCTAGTATCGATATTGTTTGTGTACAGTGAAAATAAAGAGTAAGTCATGGCTATATGAGACTTAAGCTTTACGAACTGTCATCAAGTTTGACCACGTATTAAGCTTGCCCACTAAGTGACTTCCCTGTTCTGCTTATCAGTACCGTAATCAGTTGATAACTAGTTCGAGTTGGTCAACCTAAGAAATTTTACCGTTCTGGACTGTTGTTTGTCAATATTCTAAACCATGATGGGAGGTGAAGTTTCCTGTCTTAATATTTATAAGCTGTAGCTGAAACTTTGAACTCGTAAATGTAATTTTATTCGAGATTGTTTGCTTTCCAGTTTCATATGTCTCCATTCTCCACTGATATTACTATCTTTTTACTGTTATTCCATTTTCTAATCAATGTCTTGTATGCGACTACAAAGTTTTATACTTTGACGTCTACACATTTCTACATCACTGTATACCCTCAATATGTTAAAATTTCTCATTAACGATCATGTAATATATATCTTACTTTAATTGACTTGTATAGAAATAAAGTACTTTTGATTGTTAATTTCTGTTATATATATATAGGATGAAAATCAAACATTATGAAAGAACAGGTGAGTAATGAACTGTATTCACATTTAATAATAACTGGTGTTCATTTGCAAAACCAATGAAATTGAAAGTTATATTCTAGAGATTTAAGGTGAAAAGTTATTGTAGTTAGTTTGATATATATTTACATATTCATGATAATTGATTTTTATTCTCATTAGTATTTATTACATGTATGACTCAATCCTCTTTTCATAGATAATGAAGATCAAACATACGAAGAAATGTTTGCTGAAGATGAAGATGCTGAAGAAGAAGGAGATCTAGATGGTAAAGATGGAGATGACCAAAAAGACATGTCACCGCAAGACAGTCGAACAATGCCACCTCATTCAGCATTCTTTATATTTGCTGATACAAACAAGTATGTTTTTCAAATGTATTATCGTCTCATTTGTTCTCAATAATTTTGTAAACAATGAATTTACAATCAGATAGACGAGTACAAGGTTTTGAATTATAAATAGGTTTATTTTGTGATAATATGACTGTTTACATTTCTGGAGACATCTCAAAGTGTATTTTGTTTACAATTCTATCGTGAGAAGGCCATAACTTTAAAAAAAACGATTGAAACAGAATGAATTGTAAATATTTTCATAAAAGTGTACAAAATAATTAAGTCTAGAGGCTAATTTTATAAATATTTCTAACAGATACACTGTTCTTCAAAATAATAGCATTTTGTTGAATAGTTTGATTGATACATGAAATGTATTTTTCTCAGAAACTTTCATTTAGGCATTTCGAAAAGTAACACATTCTAAAGGAAAAGAAACCTATAATAATTTACTGCATCAGTATGACTTCATATAATATGCGACAGATTTATCATCATTGAACTAAGAGAATTAGAGAAATAAATGAGAGTATAAAGTTGAGCAGAGTATTGATTTAAGTTTCAATGATTTTGTTCGATAAACTTTTTATTACCTTGTTATTATAAGTGACTAGTTATATGATGTAAGGTTGGCTAACCAAGGATACTTGTCCCATTTCTTTAGAAAAATATCTATTAACAAAGTAAATATCATGATGAACAAAGCTGTACATCCACTTCCAACTAACGAGTACAGTCATCACATGCCCGAAAAGTTTAGTTTAATCCAATAAAATGACAGAATTTGCAACTAATTTCTGCCTTAATTTTAATACAGCCAAATGTTAGTGTTTGCAATTAAAAGATTTCAGTTAACCAAATATCAGACCGTGAAGTAATTGTTGACTGCTATTACTTTTAAAAAATAATCATTTGCTGGATTTAGTGAAGTGGGTCGTAGGCTATTCTGATTGTTTCGTCGACGTAACTACACATATCATAATACGTTGGAGAGAGAAACTACTTTACCATATTTTCGACAAACTATGAAGTCTAGGTATTACGGCCTAGGAGAGAATCTAAACCTTGTCGCTCAATGTTTTTCTAAGTGAACCGGGTACCCGTTTGTCGTTATCAATCTAGGGTCACTTAACACTTGACTGTTTGCTAGATTAGGTGTCTACCTAGTTTATTTAGCTGATTATAAACTATTTTTAGACTTTCATATGATACGTTAATCACCAGATTTTATTTTGGAACATTCTCAGAACTCTGAAGTAATGTCAAACTAGCAATGCAATAATATTTACAACTGAAATAACTGTACTTCTACATCTTATATTTACTTCGTTTGATTATCTTGAAAAGAAAAATTAACACGGATTCACTTTATTTTGTAAGGTTCTAATCAGCTGCTAACAGCCTATAATAATTTAAAAATCAGAAATGTGGTACTGTCTACATACCTATAGCAATATACACTATCATAATGTAGTACAGAGATTGAAGACAAAGAGTTTAGTTGAAACTATGAACCGAGTAATGGTAGAACACCAATAGAAGACTGGAAGTACTAGACGACCGTTTTTTATTATTACGGGACTCCAGTTGAACTCTACTGGTTACGGATTCCCACAAGAATCCTGAGAAGCTAATCACCACTGAGCGTCTTGTAATTACCACTCTCGGATTGTGGAGTCGGTTGTGCTTTACCGTTCGATGCCGACGCAGACGTCAAGAGGTTAAACTATCCCTTGTGATACTGAAAGTCATGGGTTCGATTCTTGCTAGCAGGATCATTGACACGCACTGCCATGGAGTGCCATAATAGGAAAAAAACGTCTGAAGTTTTCGAGTTCCGGTTAACAAAAGGCCCTGGGTTCGAATCCTGAGAAGTGCCGGATGCACAATGCTGATGAGTCCCATATCAGGAAAAAAAAGAAGTGATTCAATCAAAATTGGAGATAGAGATAAAGGAACAGGTTTGCAAGAATGGCGTTATGAACTGATGATAAAGCTATCACGGTAATGAAATATTTGGATACATGAATCCGGCTTGTGGCGTTTGATGTCAATGGCTTTAATATTTTAGTAAATATTTTCAAATTTATTATCTAAATTCATTAAACTATAAAAATTTTATGACTTCATAAAATCTAAATAAATAATATGACATTTTCCTACAAAATGATAATGATTTATCAAACACATTGGTCTGAAGTTTGTTTACTACCTTTGTAAAATGTATTTTTTATCTTGACAGTTCATAAATTACTTCACAATAATAAATTGTCTTTAAATATCAAGATATCTGTTAGTAGTAGTCTTCACTTTTTCATTTCAATATTTAAACATTTGTAAGACTGGTCAAAACATTCTATGTTTTTAATGTTTCATTTTGTTCTTTTAAAAAATCTGTTGTTTTTTTTTCGATATTTTGGAATAAACAGAATTAAGACTTTCAGTAACTATTAGAAAAGTTAATTTTTCAGCGGATAGAATATTTTTTTACACACAAATTAACAAAATTTCCAATGTTTTACCCTCGTATAAAAGGAAGAAGCTCTAATAGAGAAAAAAATACCAATTTCAATGTAGCGGTTAAAATAAAAGCATAAGATTTTGTGTAAATGAAGTCTGTACATTCTTTTTGCAATGACCTAATTAATATCTTTTATTGAATGAAAAAAATATTTAAATAAAGCATACATTATATGGATAAATTCTGCCTGTTTTATCGATTTAGATTTCGTATATTTTGTCATAATGTGGTCTGCTTTTCACATTTTGGAAATATTGTACTGGTTTGTATTTTGGTAAGCAGTATTTTACTTGCTGCCGAAGATCCATTACATGCCAATTCTCCGAGGAATCGAGTACGTGTTCTTCTCATTGTCATTTTTATTATAAAATTAGAATATTTTAAATGAATTATTGTGAATAATTTCTTTTGAGCTAAGTACATCACCATACTACTTATTTTCTTAACTTATGATTACATTTTGTTAATATTCAGTTTATGCATTCAGTGACTTAACAACTTAGAATAATTTTATTCACCCGAGTCAGTCATCACGTTTTGATCACTAAATAGTTTATAAAGAATTTAGTTAATCAGAAAGTCATTTTGGGAGAATAAATCGATCCTTCAGTGTAATTGTATGGATTGTAACAGTAAAGATATATATATATATATATATATATATATATATATATATTACTATGTGTGTGCATATGTTCATTTACTTGGCATTTTTCACTGACCGTTATTTCAAATATCCGAGTTACCTCTTTTGTTTGATTTTTCAATGTTCTTATCCTGTTGCATTTAAGTTAATTGAAAAGATTTGCAAAGATATCTTTTTCGAAACCTTACTGCAAACACTAAGCCTTATGATAAATGGTATCATATATCTTTGGATTTAAAGTTATTTATGTAGTATTATTTTGAATAGATAAGTATAATTTTGACTGATAATCATTAGTTTTTCTTTCATTTACAATCTTACGCTATTCAAAGTTTGCATACTCAATAAATTTCGTTTATTTATTTCAGATTCTGAACATGTTTGATTACTTTTTCACTAGTGTTTTCACAGTTGAAATTACTTTAAAAGTAAGTTGATAATGAAATTTTAAACTTTTAGTAAAAACTAAATTATTAATGTTATTTACATGAGAAATTATGTGGATTAAAATCCAATGAGAAATTATATCCTACTGAAGTTTTATGCAGTTACATGAATTATCAAATTTACGTTTAAAAAAACGTTCTCAATGAAATCATTCTTATCGTTCTGATATTTATATGCATTTTTCGACCTATATGTTATTGGAGAGCTTTTAGAAATTCTACCTAGTATTAGTTCAGTTGATGTCTTTGAAAACAACAATGAAAGTCACACAAATAAATTATATAGGTCAGAGAGATGAACAACACCGAAATCATTCACCTGTGATGCAAATCTTTTCTGTTGTATATAAATATATCTATCTATATATTCTTCTGATAATAAATAATAAGAAACTTATTTACTTATCGTGTAATAGTTGATCACTGTTGGGGACATTAGATCCTCAGAAACTTCAATTTTTTAATGTTTTCGCGCATCAGACGCTTAGTTAACCTTTAGCTTACACTTCCCATTCGAAAATCCTTGACTGTCATTGGTTGACGCATTGTTTTAGTACGCTATTGTGGCTCTCCTAAGAGCGTTGCTATCATTGTATAAAAAAGCTCGATTTGTGTGCTTAGCAACCTCAAATTCTCTGGATGCTTGTAGAATACATTCTATACGCCATATCAAGAATTCTTGTTTTTGTTAGCTGGGCTGGGGACAACGGATTGGAATAGCCTATCGTGTCACTGAGTCATTGCTCTTCGCTCCGTTTACCGAGTAAGGTGAAATCGTTATAGCACTCAAGCATATCAATTGACGAACATATCAATAACATTCATCATTTGAAATAAACTTTTGTTTGCTAAATTATAGACAGTATAAAGCCAAATAATAATCAAATGAAACTTAAAACAAAGATTTGTGCAGAATATTATTGATTCATTTTATTATATATTCTCTTTAAAATAATCAAAGGAACTATTTGTATGAAGTTATATGAAATGATTCCTTGATAATCTCTTATATTCTCGATGACAGTGAACTGCGGACAGAATATTATCAAGTATCCATTAGTTAGTTAGTCATTCGGTTATAAATATATAAAAATCACAAAATGTATGCTTAAATAAGAAAAGTAATGATAAAAAGATTAAATATTTTCAATGTACTAGTCAGTAGAAAAGTTAACTTTTCTGACGTTTTGTGTCTCATTGTAAGCTGTTCACTTAGATATGAAGGAAATTCATTTTCTCTCTAAATAAGTGGCATACATTAAGTCAGAAATCTTAATTTTTCTACTCATTAGGATATTACAAATATACTATTTTTAATAAGTAACGTTCCACTCAATTTTTTTCTGAAATCAACAGTTCAAACCTTGGCAGTGATATCTACAAAGGAATAGTTTTTAATTTACTAAATAATACCAAACATTTAAATATATTTCATGATAATATCCTTTATGATCTTAATCGGACTACAGAAGGTGAAAAATATGACATTAAATTCTTGTAATTTTGTAAAGAATAATTTTTATGTGATGAAGTTTATACATATTTCAAGAAGCTCCTGTGGTCTTCGTGATGCGTAGTGACTAGTAGGGTTCAGATTGTTGAAGATTTTTATTTTTCTTATTTATCATAAATCGATGTTTTTTCCATTGTCAGTATGCTTCTCAATGTATATTTCTTTTTTCATTGCATTTCAGATGATTTCCTATGGATTTGTACTACATGAAGGAGCATTTTGTCGTAGTGTATTCAATTTACTTGATCTTATTGTTGTTTGCGTAGCATTGGTTTCATTTGTGTTGCAGTGAGTTATTTATGTTATACATCAGCAACATTATTTTAATTTGTTTCGTAATGAAACCAAATTCTTAGGAGCAGTTGATGTCATGGTTATATCGAACTTCGTACTTCAGGTTGATGAGAATGTTTTATGTTTAATAGGCTGTCGTATAAGAAATAGTTAGATTCTCTCTGTAAGACTTGTTTATACGTGAAATGCCAAACAACCCTTTATATTTTTTAGGATTAGATCGAAACATTCGATAGATGAAGTTCCAATAATGTTTGCAATCAGTTGACACAATTTTACAGACGATCGTAGAAAAAACTTATTGACAAGCGCCAATGAATATGTGGTTATAATTTTACACAAACAAGTTATATTGTTATACTGTAAATTTTTAATAAACCTTAACTATACTCAGTATGTACAATATCTTCTTGATATTCTTTATTGTCAATACTTTCCACTGCTTTTATGAAAGATTAAACACTATGAATTTTATTTGTTTGTAGAAATCAAACGATTTCTGCAGTAAAAATCCTGAGAGTTCTTCGGGTGCTTCGACCTTTAAGAGCTATTAATCGAGCGAAAGGATTAAAAGTAAGCATTTTATATTCTACATTTTATATAATGTACTGAAAAGTGTATATTGATATTTTATGTATGTAGTGATGTCTATGTTATCAATTCACAGTATCCATTAGAAGGATATGTCAAAGACCATTTCACATAGATTACTTCATTAAAGTACAAAAAGAAAGAAGTCAAGTTGTTAGCTGGATCAAGATATGCAAGTCAGTTAATATTTCTAAGCGGTAAATTATCATCTCAAATATGTAAAAATTCTTTATTCTGTACTTTGGAAGTTAGTTTCTTTACACTAATTAATATAAACCAAATTTTGTCAATGGAAATATCTTGCATTTTCTATGCAGTGATTCACTCATTTAACAAAACATGAACAAATTTCAATGAATATGATCTTTTTTGGAAATATTTTGAATGTATGCGCTATTAAATGATGCGTTTCTGTTTATTTTTTCCTCAATTTATGATATATAGCATGTTGTTCAGTGTATGGTTATTGCCATTAAAAGTATTGGGAACATAGTACTCGTCACATTCTTGCTAGAATTCATGTTCGCTGTAATTGGTGTACAATTATTCAAGGGTAAATTTTACTCATGTACAGATATATCAAAACATGTTGAAGAAGACTGCAAGTAAGTTCTTTTATCCGGAGTAAAATCACCATAACTTGCCCCATATTCAAACTAATGATTTAACCTAACTTTACTGGATTGAAGGTAATACTATTAAATGACTGAAAATAAGTGATTCATAGTCAATAAGACTATTGTAAATTATGTTTCAATCCATAATACGAATGTCTGTATGACTCCTATTTTGTACGACCAGATAATTAACTGTCCAGTTATAGAAATATTAATGAAAAGGTTCTATATGTTACTGATTAAGAGAAATATCTGTTGATATATTCAATTCTATACTACTCACTACGGCGAATAATTCTGTAATTGTTAGATTTTTGTTCCGAATGACGTCTTGACTTCAACATAATATTCATCATATCGAGATATTGTTCACTATTATTCCATTTTGAAATTGTCAAAGGCTTTACGGTATCAAAAATGAAAAACCATCTAGTACGCCATCATTATGCTACTATTTTCCATATTGTTTTTTTTATCTTTTAGAGGTCAATTTATTGAATATAAAGATATGAGCTTAGAAAATCCTATTCTTAGTGAAAGAGAATGGAAAAATGCTGATTTCAATTTTGATAATGTACCAAATGCTTTACTAACACTATTTGCTGTTTCCACTTTTGAAGGTTGGCCAAGGTAAATGTAAAAAACTGTTTCTCTTTATTATACTACAATCTATTTAAATCATATTTATAAAACAAAATAAATACTTTTCATAGAAGATGAATTGAGAAAGTGACTTGTGTTAAGCTTTTTTTGACATTATGCAGAAATGTAATAACTCTGAGTGTTGATCATATATTTATCATTGGATAAGAATTATAGAAATATTTATTTATTCAATTAATTCAAATCTATAAACAAAACTTACAGATTATGAACCGTAACAAACAATACTGATTAGATTTTGTTAGGAGTGGTGAAGTGAGAAAGCTTAATTTTTTATGATTATCATTATCGATAGTGAGGGACCTATTTTTTTTAACCTTCAACTGAACCGTTACACTTATAACTAGAATATTATGATCTTCTTTCTTCTGTTTCTACATCTTCAGTTTCCTTGTAAATTTCTCACTGGGCATTATAAAAACAGGGGTACATTTTGCATAAAATTACTGTTGATTGTCAATTTACTTATAGATAAGAGCGATCATTATTAAAATGAGAACCAACGTTTGCTATTTGACTTACCGGACATTGTTTACTGACATTTATTACCTAAAGAGTTTATGAGGTATCACTATGATGTTTTTGTTTACAACGAATGTTGTAAACAAAAAATTTGTTTCTAGTTTATTGCGTAATTTCAAGTGCTTCACAAAAAACTGACAAAATCTTTCATCATTTTTGTTGACAGAAACATGGGCTTGTTTAATAAACACTTTTTTACTTGACAATGATTTCTTTTTCTTGATGCCTTGAATAAAAATTCAATTTGATTAGGTTTGTATTTCTATTGAAAAATGATTTAAAGCACTTTAATAGATGAACAAGTAATTCAAATTCATGAAATCAACGGAATATTTTTCCTATTTCACACTGTTTAAGCACAGATTATTTGTCTGAGTTCTGAGAAAACCTAAGATTAAAAATAAAAATATTGCCAAAACTGTAATTGCAATAATATTTGTGAATTGTAATTTTAAACTATTAAATTGAAATTCAACGGTGTACATATTTACAATTTCATTGTAACAACCATCTACTACTGTTGACTATATCTGTTTTACTTTTGATATAATTCTATTCGTATCAAATAAACACTGTTCTACATGTGCCTACATGAAGTGTTATATATTATTTTGTAATTATTAATACGCAATATTACAATACTGTCAAACAAAACACTTAATTATTTGTCATGTAAAGGAAATACTTCATCAGTCAATTAAACAGTTTTATTTCCATTAAAATATTTGATTAAACGGTTATGCAGGTATAGTGATTTCCAAAAACGCTCTCCTAACAAACCTAACCCCGATCACTAAACATTAGAGTAATTATTTCTATAGGATTACTCATAAAATTCATACAGCTAACAAATATGAAATCGATTTCTTATTTTGGTTACTTTATGTGTATGTTTACATTGTTTTGTTTTCAGTTTATTATATCGATCAATTGATTCGAATGCGGAAGATCATGGACCAATAACAAATTATCGACCAGTTGTTGCATTTTTCTATATTACATTTATTATTCTCATTCCATTCTTTATGATTAATATATTTGTTGGTTTCGTCATAGTTACATTTCAAAAAGAAGGTGAAGCAGAATATAAAAATTGTGAATTAAATAAAAATCAAGTAAGAAATTATGGATAATCCGATATGATGAATTCGTTTGAGTTAGTAGTACTCAATAGCTAATTGAATGATGTTAAGCGGTCATAAACAAATGATTAACAAGTCCTGTCTGACCTATATTTGTGATAGTTGTCTGTTGTCAGCATGATGTGTGGTTTCAAGCTTGGATGAATTTGATGCATTCTTTAAGATCTAAATCTACCACACCAAGTATTGCATTATTTAACACTCGAGATGAGTTATTTGTCACAAAACTGACTTTTGTTAGGACTCATAGGCCTAACCAGCATTACAGTTTCATCGATATAGTACTATCAGAATTATGCAGAAGACAACATGACATTCGTTCCCATTCAATGTTTTACCTCAGACATTTCAATGTCAGAATGCATAATGACGAACACAAAAGGGATAATCTTATCCTGATAAAATAGGTAACATAATAGTTGACTAATTTCCAAAACCGAGTAGCGAACCTTGAGTATGATGACAAAACATTTATACAAAACATTGTTTTGAAACTGAGTGACATAAATTAGTTCTGAGTTGTAATTTAGGTAAAATGATGAAAAAAATGCTTACTTCCATAATTTTATGATATTAGTTACATAGGAATCTCAAGTGATTTTTATCATTCCAAAATCAGTAAAAATGATAAATGACTGATCAAAACTGTGCTTTGTTTTACTAATAGAACCCATTAACATTCTATTGAATCATTATACACTAGAGAGAATAAACATCGGGTGTGATGGATAGTATCGGAAAAATGTAACTTCCACTAGTTGGTATATTTCTAAATAAGAGACATCATATATAGCTGAGAGTGTTGTCTGCAATATCTAAAAAATCGAAAGCTATTCAGATTTTTCCAAAGTAAATAGAAGTATTGCTAAGCCAATCGGTTTTTTAACTTAGTCATATTTAGCAAACAGATATGTTTCAAAAATTTATCACCAAAAGTTATCATTACTGTTTTCTTCGTTCCATCTTATTATTTCTTTGTTTCATAAAATTCAACAATATCCCTAACACAAATATTCTTTTCATTGTTCTTGTGTTTTTTTTAAATACTTAGCGTAAATGCATAGAATATGCTTTGAAAGCTAGACCACGTCGACGTTACATTCCTAAGGGACATTTACAATTTAAGATTTGGTCTGTAGTTGTATCAAAAAAATTTGAAATATTAATTTTCATATTCATATTTATAAACACTGTGGCACTTATGTTAAAGGTGAGTAAATATGGTTTTTTTTTCATGTTTTAATCTATCTTCTCGAATACTATAGAACAGAATTTGTGTTAGGTAATGAATTTTCAAAAGCATATCGATCTAATTATCATTGAAAATGAGTTACTCTGACAACATATATCATTTTATTTCCTAGGCGATATGTATATTTTCGTCAATGATAGGTTTATCAAGAAGTTAACGGATCATTATTGTATTTTGTTAGTATTTATTCAGTATTGTATACTTACTAAACATCACAATTTTAGTTGATTTTATTAGCCTCTACAACTCTACGATAGCCAAAGTATCAAAATCTTGAAGAAATGTATCTGATAGAGTCAAATCGTCTCTAGATATTTTAATATATTTACCTATCTACTTAAAATAGATATTGAAGTTGTCAGTTGAAATAATGTTTTGTAAGGAATCAGTGAGTATTCGATCAAGCCATTGATTGATACATTTCGTCTTATTTATAAACCTCTTCTTGTTAGTTCATTAACTTTAATTGGGAATACTCTTAAGATGAAAGATTTTAATCTATGCATGATTTCGAATAATCTTAAATGTATATTTTAATGGTGTAATGATGCTTTGAACTAGGCTATAATTGATAAATATATCTTATCTGCAAATTATGAGAACTGCTTTTTCAATCCTAATTTTTGTATGAGATTAAGAACAGTTGAAAACTTGAAAAACATGAACTAGATGTTTCATTTTACGTTGAGATATAATATAATACGTGATGAATGTGTACTACTGATGTTTTACGAATAAGTAGAAATATCTTTTTAAGATTTTCAAACTGATATTAGATTTGAAATCACGAAATGCTCGTGGATGCGCACTGATGATGAGTCGCATACCAGGACGAAACGGCCGTCCAGTGCTTCCAGGTATCTAATGGTGATCTAACTTTGATCGATTCATGATTTCAAATGTGCAACTTAACAGTACTCACAACCACGTAATGATATTAGATTATAATGTAAAGCTTTATATTCTTAAATCGTTGGAAATTAAAATTATCCAAGTGAACACTTTCTATGTTATTTATTTCTTTGTAATATAAAAGGCTAAAATTTATTTGACACATTTTCTTTCTACTTCATAGTATGATAGACAAGGTAAATTTGAAGCAAAAATATTAGATTCATTCAATTATTTTTTTACTGCTGTATTCACAGTAGAATTTGTTCTTCGTTTGTCAGCATTCAGTTTTCGAGTAAGTATGATGGTTTATTGTTTATTTTTTTTCAACGGGTTTGAATGTGTACTGAAATCGTTGAGAAAGTTCATAGCTGATAATCTTGTACTTTATTCTATTAGACAACTATCTATTTTTAAGAGATGGTCTTAAATGTGACTGACTAACTGGAAAACTATTCAATGTTCTAATTCTTTATTGCTGAAACTATCCACCTGAGAGGAAAATCAAATTTTTCTTCCAAAGAGTGTAGTAAAAGCTCTGTTAGCTCAGAAAATGATGATAACCGTTGAAATATCAGCTGTTGAGCAATCTTAAACGGTTGGATATCAATAACACTTCTTCGGTAACAATTTCAAAATTATTTAGCATTATTTATGCATCTGTAGGATTTTTTGTAACCAGCTTCACTTCAAGTTTACTACTTATTTCACTATTCTATTAAAAATTGAGTTAAAACAAGTTCCAAATTGAAGAATAATCTTGGAAGCTGTTTTGCTCAAGCTAACTATTTCGTCATTTTTCAGAAACCAGATAAAACAGTTTCAATGTATAATTAATCTGACTTACTCATTAGAAAGGTATATCTATGGCATTCAAAAAAGATTAATTCGGTTTATTAGACTGAGTGTCAGCTGATCGATTTATAAGTGAACATGACAGAGGCGTATTGTAAGGAAAAGTGAACAATGTACGTTTGTCAAAAGAAAACGAATTTATTCCAAATAAAATTATGTGATAAAATTATTAAATGAAGAAATTTATTCAATGATGGATGATTCATGTCAATCAGTCATCAGGTAGTTATGAAGACAACTTTTAGACTAACTGACACACATCAACACAGTATGTAAAAATACATCCGCATTACAATAGTCGTACTTTATTGTGTAAAAAAAAACCGGTAAACATTCAAACTGTGACTGACAAACATTGTTATGTATGCATTCGACAAAAAACAGTAACAGTCATACATTATATTATGAATTATATGTAAAATAAAATTTCATTTGTTTTTTGAGGGTGATTACTATCACTCATTGATGATTTCTGGCTTTTTCTACTTTTTCCTTTACACAAATTCATTAGCATTATTTTAGTGATATATGGAATGTGATTGATTTTGTCTTGGTCCTTGGTAGTTATATAGATATTATTGTAACACAGGTAAACAAAATATATTTATATGAATTGGTTTTTATCAGTGTAAAAATTTCATGTATATCAGAATATTTTTCATGCGTGAGACTGTATAACATTCAATTATAAGTAGTTTAATGTTTATTAAAAAAGGGACTTAAACTTTGGTTTCATAATAAACCAGAAACATTTACTGATTTCGCTTGTCTTATATTTCCAATGATATATAGAAACATGATTTCGTTGTTAATATGTCAGACTGTTAGTTGATAGAATAGTGAAAATTAAAATTATTTAACAGTTTTAAAATAAAATTAACTTTCAAGTTTGTGTATATATCTGAATTTTGTATATTTTATCGCATATGAATGGTAAAATGTAACAATCAATATTAAGATATCGTTGTAATTTTTTGTAACAACTTTTGAGAATTACACATAGTTAACACCAAATTTTCATGTGTAATATACAGTTGGCTTATTAATTATTTCTTATCCAGACAATGTGTTTGTTACTGTTTCGGTAAATTTATATTGTTTATATTTTATATTCGGTTTACAAATTCTTACAGATTTATTGATTCATCAATGGAAAATGTTCTTCTTAGAAGTTGTACATATATAGTAGTCCATCATGTTGTATATATCTATATTTTATTAAGACTATGGATGGAAACAATGAATTAACTAATTAATTAACATAAACATCCGCGTCATGATAGAAACATCGAATAGGAGCGAATATTGTCTATTATCTTTTTTGCAATAAAAATATCTATTTAACATGTCTCAAATGATGATGAAGCGGTTATCCACTGTGTATAATCAATAACGAGTGTTAAAATCCCCATATATATATATATATATATATATATATATATATATATATATATATATGTTCTATCATATTTCTTCTTTTCACTGACACCCTAAAATATCTGCTACTGCATTGGTTTTCATCGGAATTGTTGACTACTGTACAATTAAACGATAAATTCCCTAATGGGAATGATTCTTAAGACTGTTAGTTAACTTTCACTTGTCATAACTCCAACTACATTATATTCTGAGCAAATAAAGCAGTTTATGTTAAAATTACCAGTTAATTTCTTTTCAAATCTTGCTACATTTATATTTTTATTTATCATTCTTTTATTTTTTTTTCAGTCTGATATAAGTCAAGTGAAATTCAGTGTAAATTTTTTCCGACTATTTCGTGTTATGAGATTAATTAAATTGTTAAGCAAAGAAGAATCTATACGTCAATTATTGTGGACATTTATCAAATCTATACAAGTAATTTATTTCATTTAGGTTTTTATGTAGAGTGTATTTATTGGCGACTTCATTTCTACAATATTTCGTATATGTTGTAAATGATGTTTTATAATTCAACTTATAGGCTGAGCATTTCTTTAGTTTACAGTATAATAGTATTCCTAAGTTTTCTTAACATTTTTTTATAAGTTTGTAAGCATCATTTTTTAAGTTGACTATTCGAGGAGTATATATTTTTATTCCCGCCTTTGATCAACATTTGAAAGTGTGAATAATTCATTGAAATACTTAGTTCATTTAATCAACAAACCCATGAAAGTTTGATTTACACAACTTTATTCTATTTATACATGAGATCACTTTTCAAAGTTTTCTATAAATAGGTTATCGTCATTAATAGTGATATAATCATACAAAAATTTACATTTGGCAACTCATTATTCGATAAATTCCATTTATATTATTAATCAAAGAACAAATTCTTCATCTTAAAAGCTTCAAGATTGTTTTTTTTCTTAATATTCTCTTCTTACCCACTTATTTTCGATGTTTTATTTCTTTGAAAGACTTGATTATATCGAAAAAACACTATGAATATTTTAAAGCAATTAAAAGTTTATAGGAAAACGAAAAAATAAACGAAGCGTACACTAGATATCAATTATTTTATCACTGAATGCATGTTTTATTCCTTCACTATGAAATGAATTTCTAGGCACTATGTAGACTTTAATTGTAACATCGTTTATTGTGTTTTGCTATTGCAATGATATCTATTGTTTGCAGTAAAAACTGTGACTTATTAGTAGCTAAACACTGTCTCTTTAAAAACATACATATCCTGTTTTGATTTTAATGTTCATCGAATTATGTCAGTCGATCTGAAATATAGTCTCCTAGGTAGAATAACAAAACATTGTGTGCAAAGTACTTTGATATTAAATGGTTAAAAATAGTTGATAAATAACTTGACGCTGAATTTGTACTAGTCAGCATTTATCGGGAATATGTATGCGTTTCCTTGCAGGAATCGATGTCCCATGTGGGATTAAGAGCAGAGTTACAGAGTTTCACTGTATGACACAAAATCACTGAGCTATTTGGCTTTTGTAAGACTTGAACATCTACGTTGATTGATATTAAGAAATTAACAGGGGTTAGCTTATCTTTAAAGTCAATGTTTGTTGTAGTCGAAAATGGCATTAGCCAAATATAGAAAGAGCAAAATCAATCGAAGCAAAACCTCAAACCATGATAAATCATATAAAAAAGATTTTTTGATATTGTTCTCAATAATCTAAATGTCGCATAATTACCCCTAAGCGTTTAGGGTATTTCGAAATAGATCACTGTTTAATGTACTTTAAAAACATTCATTTCATCACAGTCAGAAGAGAGAAAAACAGGATAAACACAACAGGTTCGTCAGTTGTATAACCTAACGCTCTCAACCGTAGGTAGCAACTACTATGTGGACATGAACCAGTACGTCTACATTTCCACATATGACTTGTATTCAAGGATGTTTGTTTTTGCTCAAAAACTGATATACCTGATCATGAATGCATTTCATACACGTTGACTGAGTTAATTAATTTTAAAATGAATTGATTGTTTAGGAGAATTATTATTTTTACTAATATTTTATTTTATTTTTTTTTCATTGGTTATAAATGTAGGCATTGCCATATGTCGCCTTATTAATTGCAATGATATTTTTTATTTATGCTGTCATTGGTATGCAATTATTTGGACAAATATCCATTGAAGAAAATCCATTAGAAGAAGAGGAATGGCCTACTTTACATAGAAATAATAATTTTCAAAATTTTTTCTATGCTTTATTAGTATTATTTCGGTTAGTATTTTTTTTTTAAAAAAAGTTTTAATTTGGAGTGCAAAAAAAATTTATTTAATTCCAATAAGTGAAGTGATTGGTTTCAGCTTTGTTGATAGAATTAAACCGACATTGACGTGTCATAATTAATGATACTTGATTATATTAGCTGGTTAATAGTGATCAATTCATGATTTCAATGAGTAACTTAACAATCTCCACAACCCCGTAATGAGAAATATGGATTAGTGAAAAAATTCTCATATCACTAAATACATAGATTATATGACAATGTTTTATTATTCGCACAGTATTAATCAATCGCGCAATAGGTTATGCGTAATTTTGTCAATAATTCATACAATTTACACTTTTTTTCGAATTTTTATTTAGATGCGCAACTGGTGAGTCATGGCAGGATATCATGATGGCATGTAGAGAAGGTGAGTTGTGAAATTGGTTTACTTGTTTATTCACCTGATACCTTGATTATTTTTCTAAACATGATTTACTTGTATTGGTTATCTTTATTTCTACTTTTATTATTAGGTCAAAAATGTTCAAAAGATTCCGATGAAACTGAAATCAATGGATGTGGATCAAAATTAGCCTATGCCTACTTTATTAGTTTTCATGCAATCAGTGCATTTTTAGTATGTTTAAAATAAATATATTATTTTATTGTTGTGTATTTCATATCCGATAATATCATTATTTTCGGATGGTTTACAGTAAGTGATTGGTATTAGCTAAACAACCACAGTATAACTGTTTCATTCTAATATGAGAATCCGTACAACCACTCTTCGGATCGAACACAAGATTTTCAGATCTCTTGATGAGAGCTTAGCTTCTCAACAACTCAATCTATGTTCAGTAATACACAATTCTAAATTCAATAAAATTGCTCATATCATATTTTATAGGGAAAAGTCCGTGTTACTGGTTCAGTTGTTGTAGTTTTCTGTGTCTCATGTTCATTCTTTTACAGAATATTAATTTTATTTCAAGAACTCGTAAAATTTCCAATCCACTGAATATCTTTAAAGCTAGAAATACATTTCAAAATAATTTGTAATTTTCGGTTTTTAAATATTTTTACACTAAAATATCAAACATAAAATTTCAAAAATTACAATTCATATTTAGATTACAATATTGTGTCATAATGAGAAATCTGTGTTACTTGATTTTTAGGTTATCAATCTATTTGTCGCTGTTATAATGGATAACTTCGATTATCTTACACGTGATTGGTCAATACTTGGACCTCATCATCTAGATGAATTTGTAACAAAATGGGCTGATTATGATCCAGAAGCAAAGTGAGTAAAAATAATTTTGAGATACAGTTATATACATATTTTAGAAAATTTGTCATCATACTGTTTTTGATCAAGTTACTTTTTCCCTAAAGAAAGATCAACTTAATTGACGATCAAACGTAGTTATGATAAGTTCCACTTGTGTTTACTACTTTTCTAAGCTCATCATTTTATCCTACACTTCAAGGTAGTTGTGTTCATACAATAACTCAATGTGAAATTATTCAATGTTAATTTTTTCATAGAAAATGAATTAGCAAGTTAATTCATTTTTAAAGTAACTGCAAATGATCCAAACACTAAGTATGAATCCCAATGTTACTACCTGGTTGTCTGAACTAAAACCAGTGAAGCACTGCTTGAACCTGAAACTTAGTGGTTGAAATTCAATGCCCTAACCATTAAGCCTTTGCTCCAGAAAAGTGGCTGAATCACTACCACTGAATTCAGAACGATTAACCCCAGATTCTTTAAATAGTAAGAGAAAATTACCAAATATTGTTTTGTTACACTATTTCTATTACTAAAATTTACAGTGTACGAAATAAGCAATGTATGAGACAATGTATCATATTTCACATTTTTAACCAGGATTAATGTGTATGAACTTTATTTTTCTTTTTCTAGAGGAAGAGTTCGACATCTGGATGTTGTTACTATGCTTGGAAAAATAAGCCCGCCACTCGGTTTCGGGAGCATGTGCCCACACACCAGAGCATGTCATGTAAGCACAATGGAATACTGATTTATTTTTTGGGATAAAATACACTTAAATAAAGCTTTTATAATTCATGCTCATTTCAAATCCATCATATTTCATGCCGAAATGCTATGAATTCACAATGTTTGCTCACTGAGTAGCGATAGACTTTATGCTTGTCTAGTGCATAGTAGTAATTGAATTCTATCAATCTAGATGTAATATAATCACGAATTTTGATATTTAGTGGTTGGAAGTAGCAGGAATAAAACACTGAACCTTGATTTTCTATTAGTTGGCACTCTTCAGCAAGACATATGCGCAGTTATAAAGGAACTAATACTTCCCGCATCCCTGAAAAGGTAATATTAACATATCTGGCTGTACAACTGGATGTGGCGGTTTCAAGTCCCACAGAAAGTCCTGGTTCATTCAAGTTTGTAGATAAATTTTTTTGATGAGCTTCAAACATGTAATAAAATCAGACCCAAAGTCTGCTGGCACACGCTTCCAACTACTTTTATCTGTGAATCATGATGTGAAATGACGCGAAGCAAATACTTACAATTCAGGAACTATTCTTCAAAAGCTGCCAAAATGAAATTAAAATAAACAAACTCTGCATGGTTAGTAATTTGAACCAGTAGGATACAAAAATCGGGTGATAAATGTTGATCCACATGGGTTAGCTACTTACATGCTAGGACTGTAAATACATGACATCTTTACTGAGAGTCATAATGAGGACTGTTATTAGTTGACCATTTGAGGTATGTTTAACATAAATTTAGCCATTTATCACACAATTAGCTACTTGTTTCTTGTCCTGTTTGAATGGTAACAACGGTTTTTCTCAGGTACTCTTTCGTTCGGTAAATGAATTTGCTAAACAGTCTTTATTAAATTTTGTATATTACTTATGCCGGATGGGTGGGTACCTCCAACAGAACTACTATAATGACTAGAACACCTAAACTAAACGACATTCCATTAATAAAATCTATAAACTAATGACAACAAAGAAAATTCGGTACTTTTCGGAAAGCTTTTATGGCTCAAGAAAATACGAGTGTATAAGGAAAACACTAAAGTCTATATGTATATCAGGTCGTAAGGATTAGAAACACTGATGTTTATCAAAGGCCATAATAACAACAATCGTTTCTGTATTGACTCTCCCGGAAGATCATAAAGAAACAGCAGCAAGAGCGTTTAAACTTGTTTTGTTATTTAAAAATGCATATATATTATTTGATATGCACTTCACATTTACTCTGGGATTATTGTTTGTATTTAACTAAATAGATTTCATCAAAGAAGAGGTTGTAATGCAATGTAACAGGGTATATACATCTATCTTTAGTTTTTACAGATACATACTATGAATTATGTTGTGACAACTGATAATTTCTCTTTGAATTTAAATTTATCTTAGAAACTGGTCAGAATGAATATGCCTCTGAATAGTGATGGAACAGTATTTTTCAATGCAACATTGTTTGCTTTAGTGCGTAGAAATCTCAAGATTAAAATTCCTGGAGGTAATAATGAAAATTGATAATTTTGTTTCTTATTCCATTCATCTGTTTATTTTCATTGAAATAATAATAAAGGATTATTGCATCAATAACATTTAATGAGTAGATGGTTGTCAACTGATGTCATAAGTGATAATAGATTACTTGAATGATTATCTCGTTGCACCACATATGTTTCCGAAAGATTGTCGCAATATCTTCCACTTATGGAAACTATCCTTTAGCCAATTTGACAACTAGCTTGTAGATGCTTTTCATCTTATGGTATACATATTCAACTAACAGTTCAGAACCTTCGTTTAGGAGTATGGTTGAATCAGGAGTTTTCCGTCATGGACTGACCTTAGTTAGATCATTAAAAACCAAAAACGCCGGACAGGCTACTCATGATTGTGGATGATTGATAGAACGGACGAGATAAATTAAACACCAAGTCACCTGAACTGTAATGAATAGCTTTAACATATGTAAGTTTGCATTATTGCATAACCATCACTCATTACGTTTGGTGATAACTGCTTCATGCCTGACAGATTTGTCTGAATAAAGTTAGATCATGATCGAAACCGTGTTAAACACTATGAAGATATCTGAAAACACTTGAAATTTCATTCAAACTTTTCTCATATATATAAATGGTTTTTGTGTATACATTTCAAACCAATATTAAAAAATATGAATGCAAGTGATAAATTAAGATAACTATTTAAGGAGTGATCATCAAGGCATTTAGGTTTGAACAACACAGCACAATTGTCAAGTGAGAGATTTTGCATAACCCTCATTTGGATATTTAGTGCGTATTGCACACAAATTCACACTTAATAAACACTTAATTGAAGCAGTTAGTGTATTTTTTGAAGAATATTTCCATCATGTATCCCACGGTGTTAAATTGTAATTATTATTGTTTAGTTTGTTCCCTAATTAATCTAAGCTTGTCCAATATTCTGAAATTTAATCGTGTAAAATAGTTTAGAAATCCCCACCATATATATATATATATAAAGAATATTAATTTGAATAAATTCTCTTCAGGTTCTACAATTATTTGTCTAAATTAATAACCCAAGTAAGTGGTTAGGTGGTTTAAGACAAAATACATGGTCTTAAGCGTGTGAATTTAAGATTTTCTGCAAAATAAAATTATCAACAATTTAAAATTGTTTATTAATCATACAAAATGTTTTATCAGTGATCTGTGTATTGAGAATTTTCTTTTAAACATTCATGAATAAACAATTTGCAAAGACATTTGAGTAATATTGTCTATCATTGAAATACTTCAAAGACATTTGTTACTTGTACATAGACAACTATCATGTTCACTGTGAGACTTTCGCTTTTACTTACTCACTAACTCACGCCTGTCACCCACAATGGATCATAGGCTGTCGACCAGTATTCTCCAACCGACTCTGTCCTCGGCTTCCCTTTCCAGTTCCGTCCAATTTTTGATAATGCTTCTCATATCTTTCTTTATTTCTCGGAGTAATGTGTTTCTTGACCTTCCTCTTTTTCTTTTACCTTGAGGGTTCCAAGTAAGAGTTTGTCTTCTGACGTAGTCGAGTGCTTTCCGCAGTGTGTGTCCTATCCACTTTCACCACTTCTTCCTGATTTCCTTCTCCGCTGAGATCTTTCCCATAGTAGATTGTTACTGATGGTTTCTGGCTAACGGATCCGAAGTATTTTGCGTAGACAACTGTTAATGAATACTTGACTCTTCTGGATGATGATCTTCACCTACACATGATGTTTAAATCATAAAGCCATGCTCTGTACACTCGGAATAGCATTCAACAACAAAATATATAACATGAAAATTTAAGTTAGAAACATATGTTGAACAACTGATGTCAGCATATTCTAACCAGAAAATAATAGCTTCATTGACTAAATAATTGGCTAGTTTTACGCATCAAATAATGTTATGTTTAAAACTGATATCTCGTCGTAGCTTTACTGTATAATTGCTTTTACAAAGTTTCTTTTAAAAGATATGTTTATGGTGTAATTGTCGAAGCGATTATATAAATTATTGATTTTCACTGCAACTAAATTGTTTACTTTTTACAATTTCCTAAGAAGAATGCAGTGAAATCATTTACATTGTGCACTCGTTTCTACTTGTCACATACACTCTCTATCTGTAGATTCTTTTTTATTACCTAAAATTACCATGTTCCACTGTTTTCTTTCTTATAACTGCACATATTACTAGCATACTCCTACGTACTAAGCAGTAATATAAATGTGCAAAATTATTGGTTGCTAATGCAAATGATCTGAATATTTCTATTTTTTGACATACTGACATATTATTTTATGTTTTCTAGAGAAAAAGAAAGAGCGATGATGCTGATAATATTTTTCTTGGTTTAATGCCTAAAGTTTTCGCCAAAAAAATCTGTTTCTCTATTTGTTTGTGAAAAATTTTAGCTGAAATTGGAGAAAAAGAAAAGTCATTAGATCAGTTAAATGAAGAACTGCGTATCGTGATCAAACGTATCTGGAAACGTACTAGTCCAAAATTATTAGATCAAATCATACCACCGAAAGGTACGTTTTATTTATTTATCAATCAATCCTCTCCTTATTAGCACGGCTTTTTGAAAAACAAAAGTCATGTTTCTCAAAAGAAAAACAGCTTTACTTGATTATTCGGTCATTTGGCATGGAGTTGGGTGTATCCATGACTGACTGACTGATATTTTATCCAGAGTTGTAAAAACTTTCTTTATAATTGCAATTTGTTCACTAGAATTCACAGTCGATAACTTGAGTTCAACCATTCTTTACAATAAATTATTTCAAATATATATATACATATAAAACGCATCTAATTTTATTATTGTTACATATAGGTAGTGACGTTGTTACAGTTGGTAAATTCTATGCAACATTTCTTATTCAAAATTGGTTTCGTGAATGGCAAAAACGTAAAATGATACAAAAGGATACACGATATATTCCACAAATAATGGTATGATCTGCATTAATCAATTTTATTCATTCATTCATTTTGATTTTACTTTCAGTTCAAATAAATCCTTTTTACTGAACTTATAAATTGCTTTGAGCACAAAAATAATGGGTTGTTGCTCCAAAACACTGAGTATGCTTAAGTTTACAAGCGTAGATGCTTACCAATGAGTCGGAAGCATATATATATATTTATCACGAATGTGATAATAAGCTAAAGAAAAATAATTCACTATATTATCACATGAAGCTAGTAGTTAACTGAGTCAAACATATTTGTTTCAAAAACACTGGATAAATGAAATTTGTTCATCCTTATTTCAAGCAAACTCCGCCAGTAGAACCTTAGGGGCTACTGCCGGTCCCAAGCCCGGATAAAGGAGGAGGGTTGGACATGGGGTTGGCGGCCCCATTCCGTTGAAATCTAACTTGCCAAAAAAACGCTAACCAGAAAAAATAATTCAAACCATTTTAACTCTGCCCTGGGAGTTGGAGGAAGAATTATGACGTCTCGTGATGAAAGCCGAGTCCCCTCGGAAGTCACGGGGCCGATGCCTCTTCTGACAACCAGAGCAACCATTTTTTTAGGTACATGGAACGTTCGTACATTGTGGGAGACTGGAAGACTATTTCAAGTTGCGGCAGAAATGAAAAGATACAACCTCGAGGTGCTCGGCATCAGTGAAACACATTGGACACAGGTAGGACAACTGAGACTAGCTTCAGGGGAACTGCTGTTATACTCTGGTCATGAAGAGGAAAACGCTTCACATACACAAGGAGTTGCACTGATGCTGTCCAAACATGCACAAAAAGCACTGATAGGATGGGAATCTCATGGACCGAGGATCATTAAAGCATCTTTCAAAACAAAGAAACAGGACATTACAATGAACGTCATCCAATGTTATGCACCTACCAATGACTACAATGACGACGTTAAAGATCAATTCTACGAAAGGCTGCAGTCAGTCGTCGATAAATGTTCACCAAAGGATTTGACGATTCTTATGGGAGACCTGAATGCCAAGGTTGGAATGGACAACACTGGATATGAAGACATCATGGGACGACATGGACTGGGAGAAAGGAACGAAAACGGTGAGAGATTTGCAAACCTATGTGCCTTCAACAAACTGGTCATCGGTGGCACAATATTCCCGCACAAACGCATTCACAAAGCCACATGGATTTCACCGGACCACACTACTCAAAACCGAATTGACCATATCTGTATCAACAAAAAGTTCAGAAGGACCATGGAGGATGTGAGAACCAAGAGAGGAGCTGATATAGCTTCAGATCACCACTTGCTGATCGCCAAAATGAGATTGAAGCTAAAGAAGCACTGGACAGCGGGGCAGACAACATCACACAAGTTTAATACGGCCTTTCTTCGGGATACCGTAAAACTCAACGAATTCAAGATAGCCCTCACCAATAGGTTCCAGGCCTTTCAGGATCTACTCAATGGAGAGGAAGCAACATTGGAGAACAATTGGAAAGGGATTAAGGAGGCAATCACTTCAACATGTCAGGAGGTCCTTGGTCGCAAGAAGCAGCATCATAAGGAATGGATCTCTGTTGATACTCTCGCAAAAATTGAAGAAAGGAGGAACAAGAAAGCAGCAATCAATGTCAGCCGAACAAGAGCGGAGAAAGTTACCGCACAAGCTGCATACACAGAAGCAAACAGGGAAGTGAAGAAGAGCATCAGAGCTGACAAACGAAAATATGTGGATTATCTAGCAATGACGGCGGAAAAGGCTGCAAGAGAAGGAAACTTGAGACAATTGTACGAAACTACAAAGAAGCTCGCCGGAAACTATCGTAAACCAGAACGACCAGTGAAAAGCAAGGAAGGGAAAATAATCAGCAACACTGACGAACAGCGAAATAGGTGGGTGGAGCACTTTAAGGAACTATTGAATCGACCAGCTCCACTGAACCCACCCAACATCGAAGCAGCATCCACGGACCTCCCAATTAATATTGGTGCACCTACGATTGAGGAGATCAGTATAGCCATCAGACAAATCAAGAGCGGCAAAGCAGCAGGACCAGACAACATTCCAGCAGAGGCGATGAAAGCAGATGTGGAAGCAACTGCGAAAACACTTCAAATCCTCTTCAAGAAGATTTGGGATGAGGAACAAGTACCATCAGATTGGAAAGAAGGATACCTGATCAAAATACCAAAGAAAGGCGATCTGAGCAAGTGTGAAAACTACAGAGGCATCACTCTTCTTTCAATACCAGGCAAAGTCTTCAACAGAGTATTGTTAAACAGAATGAAGGACTTCGTAGACGCCCAACTTCGAGATCAACAGGCCGGATTTCGTAAGGATCGATCGTGTACTGACCAAATTGCTACATTACGGATCATTGTGGAACAATCAATTGAATGGAACTCACCACTCTACATCAACTTCATCGACTACGAGAAAGCATTTGATAGCGTGGATAGGAAAACACTGTGGAGGCTTCTTCGACACTACGGTGTGCCTGAGAAAATAGTCAACATCATACGGAATTCTTATGATGGATTCAACTGCAAAATCGTGCACGGAGGACAGCTAACCGACTCTTTCGAGGTGAAGACCGGTGTCAGGCAAGGTTGCTTACTCTCACCCTTTCTCTTTCTCCTGGTCATCGACTGGATTATGAAGACGTCAACATCTGGAGGGAAGCACGGTATCAACTGGACAGTTAGGACGCAGCTGGACGATCTGGACTTCGCAGATGATCTGGCTCTTCTATCGCACACCCAACAACAAATGCAAGAGAAGACGACCAGTGTAGCAGCAGCCTCTGCAGCAGTAGGTCTCAACATACATAAAGGAAAAAGCAAAATTCTCCGATGCAACACAACATGCACCAATCAAATCACGCTTGATGGAGATACCTTGGAGGACGTTAACACCTTCACATATCTTGGCAGCATCATCGACGAGAAAGGTGGATCGGATGCAGATGTGAGGGCGCGGATTGGCAAAGCGAGGGCTGCATTTCTACAGTTGAAAAATATCTGGAACTCCAAACAGATATCAATCAACACCAAAATAAGGATTTTCAATACAAATGTGAAGACAGTTCTACTGTATGGAGCGGAAACATGGAGAACTACCAAAGCCATCATCCAGAAGATACAAGTGTTTATTAACAGTTGTCTACGCAAAATACTTCGTATTCGTTGGCCAGACACCATCAGCAACAACGAACTGTGGGAGAGAACAAGTCAGATTCCAATGGAGGAGGAAATCAGGAAGAAGCGGTGGAAATGGATAGGACATACACTACGAAAAGCACCCAACTGCGTCACTAGACAAGCCCTCACATGGAACCCTCAAGGCAAAAGGAAAAGAGGAAGGCCAAGGAACACACTACGCCGAGAAATAGAGAAAGATATGAGAAGAATGAACAAACATTGGACAGAACTGGAGAGGGAAGCCCAGGACAGAGTTGGTTGGAGAAAACTGGTGAGCGGCCTATGCTCCATTGGGGGTAACAGGCGAAAGTAAGTAAGTTATTTCAAGCAGAAAATTCAAATACATGTTAACATTTTTGTCAGCTAACATCGCCATAGTGTAGAAAAATATAAAATCATTATGATCATTAATGAGTGGAAAGATGAAAATGATATATTTATTCTTCAATCATTAGCTTCTACAAGTGGAATCGTAATATTTCAAGTGAAGATCAAGTCATACTCAATAGGCTAGAATAAGAACTATATTGCTTTCCGAAATTCCTAATGATTTTTGACAAACCATAGTATTGAAAACGTAGTGTGCTTAAATTTGTGAATATTTAATGAAAACATTTGAAAAAATTTTTAGAATATAACAAAATCTTTTATGTTGACAGGCCGGTGACCGTGCAATGCCACATCAACCTACAATAATTGGATTTCCTCGGCGTTGTTCTTCAGACCTTACTGGTGATGAGATTCAACGTCGACGTGGCGCGGATAAGGTTTGCATAGTATTTATATCCTTACAATGATTTGCTTATTTTTTATACTTTTTTGACGGACTTATTTTTTGCTGTTCAGTCAATAAATTTAATAACAGTCAATGTTTTGCTCAGTAAGTAGGCATTCGAAATACAATGGTAATCTGATAAGTTAGTTAAAACAACAGATGGTGTATTTTTACACCACTGTTACAGTATTGAATAAACTAACCAAGTTTATTTTTTGAACTAAGGAAGTAGAAACTCTTATATTTTGCCTTTTATAGTTAGAAGAAATAACGGTATCTTTGAAGAACACTAATTGAATACTCAGAAACAATGAACATCAAGTGTAATGTGACCAAATAGCCTAAGTGACTCAAGATTATTGTTCAGTTTCTGTGTGTTACACTGAGGGAAACACTTGGCAGAAAGCTCTGGATCTACGTTTCACTGTAGTTGATATCATTTATTAAGACCTATCTTCATTTTCGATGAGATTGTGACCCAGTAACTTATAATAATAGACACACCAAGGCTTCATTAGTGGGAATAAACTAACAGTTAAAACTGGACAAAATGGCATTGGCTACTAGATTACAGGAGTTTAGTTTCAGCCAGAATAGCTCAGTAGCACTGTTTCTGATTGTGAAAATGTATGATAAGAACTCACATTTAACGTGGAGTGTCGGTTCTCCTACGAACACAGTTGCACGCCCCCGATGAGTGGTAGGTAACAAACAACCCCCAGATCCAAGACTCCCAGATGATCTGTTATTACCAACTTGCATTAAACATTTCTCTAATACTCTGATTGAGTTCTAGAACTATGAATTACAAATAGTTGATTCAATCTGAGTGTACATTGTAATACAGTTCGCTAGAAAAACAATAATATTCAACCAGCTTGTCTATGGAAACAATTTGCATCTTAGTTGTGCCCAATGACTAATTTTATTTCACTGATCGTTCACAGTAAAAACTATTGATATTTCTACATTCAAATACTCAGTTAAATATTCACTAGTTATGATTTTAAGAACGTTCCATTTCATTTTTGAAATACTGTCATTTATTCAATGAAAGCTTTAACATCTGTCCTAACTGCTGAATTGTCGGAGAACTTATTAAGAAAAACGCTGCTACATGTCTAATCAGTTTTTTTTACTTATTATTCCGATAGCGTGATACATCTGGTGGAATTTTTGGTCGAACTTTAAGTGAATGGACTAGACGCAGAAGCAGTAAACGTCCATCAGGTCGTCGAGACATTAATACCCAACAAGCCAATGGAATGTATGATATTACAGGAAATCATTTAAACAATGGGGTGGGAATATGGAATGATATGCTTTTAAATGCACAAGCGGGTAAAACTGCTCATCCGGCTGTTGTCGCACTTATGGAAAAAGAGAGAAAAGATGCTGAAGCTAGGTAAAAACATTTATCGTCTTTGCATTTTGAAGAGTTTCACATTAACTAAGGTCACGATTCACTTCACATCAACTTGGTTCTTTTTTATTTGATTGTTTTGTGAATGCTGTCTGTCGCTAGAAAACTACATCACAGAACGGATGTTTACTCACACAGATCACATTTTGTCCGGACGGTGATACTATTTAAATATTGAAACAGTGTCGTGTATCTGAGACTTTTTATGTTATTGGCATTGAGTATCTTATTTAGTTTCGAATTTATCATGATTTATGACAACATCGCTATAGATATGAACTGAGAATTTTATAATGTCAGTTTGAATTTTGATGATCTGACTACCCTATGGTTATTTGGTTTATCTGTTTGTTTCAAAGAATAATATTGACTATCATTCAATAGACTACAATTAATTTATTGAGGAATTTACAAAACAAACAAAAAGTCAATTATTAATAGGATTCTTTAGTTGTTACCATCAGACGGATTGTAGGACCATGAAGAATAAAACTACTACTTGACTGTAAACAAACATTATTCGTGATTCTCAAATCCCACAAGTTATTGATAATAATTACATGGAATAACGGTTATAGCCACCTGCAAGTTCCTATCATCTAATATTATCCATAGACTTTCTTATAATGATTTAACAGAGGAAAATGCCTCAGCTTTTCGCTAAAGGGACCTAAAACTGTTGGTTAAATACTCTAAACACATTATATGTACCGTTTGTAGCTCATAAATCTCCGTACTGTGATAAGTACAGTTAACTAGGTGCTCAGAAAATAGTGGTTACTCAACCAATTCACTTGTTAAAGTCTCAACAGGTGAATATAAATTCAAAGCATATAAGATTTTTAGCTGTGGCCACTCTTCTTCTGGCTAATAAGTTTAAAGATTTCTCAGTGATGACTATAGACAGATTTAAAATTAACATATCGAGTACTCAAAACTGTAATAAGGAGTCGTTAAATGGAGTATAATTGCTTATTTGAAAGTTGAAATATACTCTGATAATGTAATGAACAAATTTATCTGAAATTTTCTTCTTAACGTTTACACCTTCGTAACAGTACTTTATCTTGTGGGTTCTTGTCTGGAGTTATTTTGATTAAATTGTCAATATGAAACCTGATTTATTTCTTACCTGTCAATTAACAATTCGTCTTTTATTTGGATATATTTAAGTAATTTAGCCATGCATGCTGTTAGTTTGCTAATACCTACAGTATTATAGTCTATTAAAATCATGAAAAATTTTAAAAACATTGTTGATCACATTATTGATATCTTATTCGATCAGAATCTACTTATTTTATAACATAATGATCAACTTAAATTGTTCTTGTTAAATGAATTTGTTTAAATGCAAACACAGTAATTATATTATTATTATTATTATTAATATTATTATTATGGGGTACTGATTGAGTAGCAACTAATAGAAATATACAGTAACTAAGCTTTCTGGATTAGATTCTTGCAAGATGTGCATGCATGCTCTTTTGAAGCGTCTCAGTCGATTAGTTCTCTCTAGTTTCTAGAAGTAACCAAATTTTTATCTGTGTAACGAAATCTAATCTCAGTCAACGAAAGAAGATAAAAGCACTAATATAAATATCGAGTAATTTTGTGCATGTAAAAATATTTTCTAGTGTTCTGTTGCATGTTCTTTTATTTTTCCTTCAGCATGCCTTTATTAACATCATCATTTATTCAAAAACAAATAAAACATTCAAATATCAAATCTTCTAGACACAATCAATCAATTGATAAATACAATTGCAATAAAACAAACATGGTATACAATGATACATCAAATGATTGTTTACAATTCATTCAACAAACTCCTCCTCCTCATCATCATCATCATAATACAGTGAATTCATTCAGCAATCAGAAATATGTTATCAAAAAACGTAAATATCCAAGTCATATTAATGAGAAAGATAAACCATTGAAAAATATTATTTTAAAGCCTAAATATCCATTTGATTCAAGAGAAATTCAACAGCAAAATTATACAAATCCAAATGTGCCATTATTTCATTATTCCCAAAATAATCATGATTATAATAATCACAATGTTAAGCTGCAAATGAAAAATCCCATTTTTACAAGTAATACCAATCAACACATTCATAATTTACATTCATCCTATCATCAATGGGATCCAAATTTATTTTGTCCCGGTTATTTGTTTACACCAGAAAAGTTAGATTATTTACTTAGAACAAATAGTTTCATACAGTAATAAAATATTATTAATAATCATCATAATAATACTGATTTATTATCAAATAGTTATTTATAAATAATTAGATTATTGTTTTTTTTTCGTAACTTTCCCATTTTTGAGAAAAATCTCTTCGTTTCGGTTATCGATGTAATGTTGCATGCCATATTTTAGTAAATAGTAACTGGAACAATGGAAAACTTCATTAGATTTTTAATGACCATCACCTATCCAAAGTTAGTTTTTTCTTCGTTGTTTGGAACCATTAAGTGAGGTATCGAAAACTAAAAGGGAAAAAATGGACAACTGTTTTTTTTCCTAGTTCTCATGGGTCCTCAACAATACCTTGTAGTGATTATTCACTGTCTGAAACTTTGAATCCATGGAAAATGTCAGTAGGAAGACACTTTTATCAACTGTTTATCTCATTCTATCAATAATTTATGTAATTCAGTTTAGCTTTAGTGATCTTCATTTTCTTACTGATTTTCGTTATAATTTCAGTAAATTCATCTTGAAGCCAGATATTACTGCTTATATCATTGTTGTCCAGTTAGGTGATGTCAGTTCATGAAGAAAACCAGATGGTAATAAAGTAATCTCTGCAAGTCATACAAATAAGTAATATGTTTATCAGTTATAAGGGATATAAAATATAGTACAATATTAAAATATTTATGTTTATTCCTAAACTTTGGAAGATAATTTGCACTTTTGGATGCTTGCCCTTCTTTTTTAACATCAAGTTATGTTTATCGTATCAATAAGGGTTAAATTAATATTTAATGAAAGTTATTATCTGATAAGGTGTAACATTATAGTACGAAGCCAATCAAGTTAACTATTATGTTAGCTTTCTGTTCAAAATTTAAAAAGTCATTACGTTTACTTGAAAATACCTGTGTAGGAGATATATTTTTATTCCAAGCCTAAATCATTCGGAATTCATAAAAAAATATGCGGATTATGTCTAAATACAGTACAAACGATTCTGTATAAAATAACAAGCTTGCATAATTTCTTTTCATTAAGATCCTATTCAACATAAACTCTAATAAGAATTTATCTTTGCCTTTGTTTACAACAAACTCGTAACCAAATTATTCATCACTAAACTATTGTATCATATAGATTTCTTAAAATGACTACTGCTTCAATGTCTATTTCCAATCCATTATCTCATAACATAACTTTGAATGTGTAAAATTGTAAAATTAAAAGCAATTATTTGTATAGATACTTATCACCTGTTAACAAATCTAAACCATCAAATGAATGATTGTTTTGGTGTAGAAATAGTTTATCTTGTGAGAAACAATAAACTATTTGAAACATTAGAAGCGTTATAAGCGATTTGTGTACTTACAATATTTCTCTTCCTATTGTTGTCCTGTTGAAAATAAAATTTGTTTGTTTTAGAAATATGGCCAACGTTAATCATTTGACCGATGTACATAATGATTCTTCCAAATTGAATTATGATCCAGAATCTGGTAAACTGATTAATTTGGCTGGTAATATGTTAGGATTTTTAAACTCAGGAAATTATCGTTCATCTGACTTAACACCAGTAAGTGGATATATTTGTTGTGACCACCTTTAATCATTAAACAATCAACCTGATGTTACCGTGCACAAATAATCTCTTGTTCTTGTTTATCAGTAAAACAAGTTACTATAATATATAAATTATCACTTCCCTGAAATAATTAAGCACTTATAAAAAGAAGAATTTCTAAGATTGGTCATGGTTCAGTTCAGTGGGCTTTCACAGAACATGAAGTTGATTTAAACCACTGATAGTAATATGATGTACGAGTTTCATAGTTTTAAAGTTAATTAACCGTTATATATATATACACGGATTTGAGGTCAGCAGTACCGAACGCATACCAATTAAGCATATCCTCAGAAATAACTAGCGAAAAACATGACACAGTTCACTGAAGATGATACATTGTTACTTATTTTTCTAATAACAAAAGATTGTTATGAAACGCTTAAAAAATATTTTGATTGTTGTGGTGTTTCTTTCTTTGAGCTGGAAGTTATGGTTGTGAAGTTTTCATTGTTCTTCTAAAAAACATCATCGGCAAAAACTTCAGATGGAGGTGAAGTATTCGAATTTCTCCACGTTTGACCTGTAGCTTGTGCTGTTAACACCACGGTCTTGATTGGTTGCTGTTGGCCTTAAGCCTGTCGTTGTTTGCACCTTTGATTGTATTCCCCTTTGATCTGTTTCTTGATCCAATGTCGCCTATGATTCTTCTGATTGGTTGATCAATTGGGTCAATGTCGATGTGTTTGTTGATTGCTGATTGACCTGAGTGCCAAGCTTCTAAATATTTTCTATTGTTCTTTGTACTCTCCCTTTCAATATTGCTCCAATCGAATGCATTTCCATAATTGTCGGTGTGTATTGATATAAGCGAAGCGTTGTCGTGGCGTTGACTGCTAATTAGTTTTCACGTAAACGAAGCCGAAGAAGCCGTCCACTTTGTCCTATGTAATGTTCTTCATAGTCTGAGCAATTTATTTTGTAGATGATATTTGGTTTTTCTTCTTTTGTCATTTTGTCCTTCGGTATACTTAGGATTGATTGAAGTGATTCCGTTGGGTTGTGTACCACACCTATTCCAAATGCTCTCAATAGTCGTATTGTATATTCCGATATGTCTTTTATGTATAGTAGGATGATCCGTTTATTGGTTCCTGTACTTGATTTCGCTTCTGTTGACGATTTCAGTTGACGTTTTTTGATGAAGTTTCTTGGATAGCCGTTCTTTTGGAAGATAGTCATCAGATGCTTTTCCTCGTCATTTAGTGCTTAGTATGTGTTGCAATGTGTCTTTGCTGACTCTTGAAGAGAGCTCTATCTGAAGTTGGTTCTGATGATGTTGTTCAGAAGAACAATCAAAGCTCCACAACCAAAACATCCAGTTCAGAGAATGAAACACCACAGCAATCATCTAGCTGATCTACAAATTTTCTCCACCATCTCATTATTTTGATTATCACTTTAAAAACATCCACCCATTAACTTAACCGTTAAAACTGATTGAATACATTCAATGAGTTTTCATATGAAACTACTCAAATAGTTTTATTCGTTTTTATTGAACTGTTTGATTGCATATTCTAGTGTTCACCTATTTAAAAAAATATCAAAGAAATCTAGTAATTTATTTAAAGTAAATTGTGTTAAGTTAAAACAAAACAAAGTCGACTGGCAAGTTAATTCTCAAACAGTTAAGAAATATCATAATATTTAAATGGACAAATAGATTTTGTAATTCAATTAAAATGTAATACAGTTATATATATATATATATATATATATATATATATATATATATATATATATATATGTAAGCAGATTTTAGTCAAATAAATTTGTCAAAAAGATTAATTGTTCTTTTAGTATTCATGTTTGTTTTGTTAAATTTTCAATCTTTACAAAGGACATCTTCATAAGTTATTAAAACTTTTGCTTTGTTTTTTGTCACAAAAACATACACAAAATTAATGTTAATATACAAGTTGCTTTTAGTAGTTCATTCACTTCGAAGATTATTAGTTCCAAAAAAAATCATAAAATGACTACAGCCTCGTTGCTATCTGCATTGTTTAAACTGTTTTCATTATAGGCTATTGACAATTGACAAATCATTATTAAAAAAAGTTTATGATGTAACTCTACACTTTTGTTCAATATAATAATAATAATAATAGTTCACATTTTGAAATCTATTCTTTCCTTATTGCACTGATTATTTACACTTTTATAGAATATTTATGATGATTATCTTGTAGATAAAGGGTAATCTAAAATAAGTGCTTACTCTGTAGTTCTCTTTTTATTGATTATCAAGTGTTTAGACAGACTTTGTCATGAAAACCTGTCAGCATTCAGAAGTCAGAGGAAGTCGATAGGATTCTTTAAATCTAGATTTTCAGCTATCAGTCGCATTACAAACAGACTGACCTGAAATATATTAAGAATAATAACGTGAAGTATCATCTTCTTAAAAAATTTTAAATAAGTTGATGTATAAATTTTTTAGCATATTCTTCCAATTATTCTACATATTGTTATCTTATTTTTCTGTTTAGTCTAAAGATATGCCAACAAGTAATACTCCGTCAGTTGAAGATTTGAATACGGCTCGTAAAATATTTGTAGCTGCTAGACGTGAATCACTTTTGCTAAATAAAAACGAGGTAAGTATGAAAGTGTGTAAAAGACTGTAACTAGTTTCCTTGATTTACAAACGTTTCACGGTAACATCTACAATGAAAGAAACAAAATGGAATCCTGCGAGGTGCGGGAGTCGTGGATGCGCACTGCTGAGGAGCCCCATACCAGGACGAAACGGCCGTCCAGCGCTACCAGGTTTCTAATGGTGGTCTAACATTGATCGATTCATGGTTTCAAAAATGTGTAACTTAACAGTCTTCACAACCCCGTAATGCAAATGAAATTATTGTAAAGAAATGTTTTTTTTCCTGCTGCAAAATCTTTATTAAATATATTGGTAATATTGTCTAGAGAATAATAAAAACAGAAAATCTTTTTATAACAATATTTACTTTGTAATTCTTGATTTTCTAATATCGAAAGTGATTATACTTTTGTAAAGTTAAGTTAATCTGATTTATTAGTCGGTCAACAGTTAACTTCATAGTTAATGAACTCACTTTTCAACGTTTGCATCATACCATATATACACTTTACTGAAATATTGTCAGATCTGTTCATAGGTTAAATAATTGAAAATGTAATTGGCGAATAAATTACACATAATAAATATATTCGGCAATTAATTCCACATTGTAATTTTACTCTTAAATGATACAGGATGAATCAACTAACTGGTTGAATGACTATTTGAATGATTAAAATCCAAATAGATTTATAAATGCAATAAATAGAATGAAAATAGCTATGTTACACTGTCTTCTGTAGAATATTTAAAAAAAAATCCCTACCGAAACTGCTACCTTGACGTGGTGGTCGGGCTTGCCTATCGTGATGACCCAACCGAGCTATATCGGCTAGAACTTATGTTCCTGAAGGTTTTACCATGCCAGGCAGGTCGATTGGAGAACGAAGAGACTAAAAGCAGCTACTCGAGGTCTGAGGGTTAAGTCGTACTGCTGACTGCAGAGAGGTGTGACAGCAGTAAGGCGATTTCCACGAACAACCAGCATCTGTAGCGATGCTGCCTTCTCACAAGGAAGGAAGGGTTAGAAAAGGTCGACCCTAAAAATGTCACACCTCACCTAACCTCACGGATTTCCGTCTCCTTGGGTAAGGGTGCCCACTAAGGGCTTTCAAGAGCGGAGCTAATACTCAAAATACCTCTTATAAAAAGGCCGTGCGTGACCGCCCTCAAGCAGTTGTCCTTTGGGCTCTGTGGTCACACACCCAGGTCGTTAAGACCGACGCTAATCAACCTTCCTTTTCAGGTTCCTCAAGAAACAACCTTCCACGGTGTGGGCAGCCGGGAAGTGACAACCACCCTCATACCCATAACAGCACACTAACTAAATAACTAACTCACTAATTATTAAATAAAAATCTTTATTTAATTTATGTTAATTTTAAATTTTTCTTCTTCTTTTTCTTTTTTTATGAAAAAATCTGCATTACAAATCAACAGACCTATTTCTAATGGACAGTGAATATATATATCTATATATACAACAATCGCATAGTTATCAATTATATTTATCACTAAGGGTATTTGAATTGTCAATTAGATATTATATTTGTCACCAGTTCATGCATTTGTTTAGGTTTTTGTTTTGTTTTTTTTTTAAAAATAGAAGCAACAATTTACTGTCTTTCACAGTGTAATACATTTATACATTTCAAATAAAATGACATAATCTACATACACATGTATATGTCAGTTTCCAATTTCGACATTTTAATTTCAAATAACATTCAACAATTATCACACAATCTTGAAATATTCGTCGTATATATTCAAAAAAAAAACACAAATATTAATTTACTGTTAAATTTATCTTAAATGCTGACAAATTTTTTAATTCGTCATTTCCTTTCTATATATAGTAATAAATTAACTAGGAACAAACTTAAATATAAATAAATTTATTTTTTTCTCCCTTTTTTGTTCATGTCGCTTCTTCTACTTCTTCTATATGCATACACATAACATCAAGTATTCATATTCTCTTCTAGTTTGTTCATTCAATTCAATGAGAACAGACAAGAAATTACTTTCTTCTGTTTCATTTGTATGTAGCCTTAATTTATTAGTCTATTTGATGATATTTTTTGTGTATTCTTTAATGCGTTCACTCTTTGTACAGCTGGCTATCTTGTAAGCATTTTTATTTCATAGTAAAACACAATGTTTTTAACCTATGTACACCAGTTGTCTTATATTAAATTTAATTTAGTTGAATACTATTTATTAATGTAACCTGATTCTTATTTGATCTGATTTGATTTGTCATTATAGTAAAAGTTATTCAATTTTGTGAAAATTGTAATTAATTCTTGTTTATGACAAGTAAATACATTTAGTTTACATGACATTTGATTCATTTTCTACTTAATTACTTTCCAAATATTTTTCTAGAAATAATCATTAGTTTTCATTGTTTCCAAAACAATAATTTTTCTCTCTCATTAGAGTTAATAAATTATCTATACGAAATTTCGATTGAATTACTTATGCCAATTTGTCTGATTGTGAGGTTTTTATGGATGGATGTCTATAAATGTGGATTCATTCAAAACAATCCTCTTTATTCTTCATTTCATATTCTTAGCAATAAAAAAATCAACCATCAATGTATATTAGAATTAATTTATGCTATTGGTATTCTTAATATTCTTTTGCGTTCATTTCAGAAAATAGACAAAGCTGGAAACATCATCTGTCGTGAATTTCTTTCTTTTTCTCTACATAGTAAATCATCTGATACAAATAATTTTCGGAAAATTTAGCTTCTTGATTTATTCAATTATTGAACGTTGAACTTGTGATCAGTGACACAAATATCTATGATGCGTAGGTTAGCTTCATAAAATTATCGCGTGGTATTTCAAATGAATATTACAGTATTAGGTAGATTATAACGTTTACAGCGATCAGAATTTTTACAAGTACTAAATCTAACGCTTGTATGAAGGTTTATTAGTACTTGATATCAGGAAAATAGGATTTCAAGGGATACGAAGGTAACATGTTTTAATAATAAGCCCAGATTCTTTATAAAAATGTAAATTAGTGTATTGAATGCACTTACCTAATCATTTCAAACGCTTAACAAAAATCAATGAACACATTGAGTTAACAAAGTAAAATCTCTCTCTCTCTCTCAAAAGTAAAACTGAGCGTGACTTCATTGCCTTTTACTGATGGTGCGCCGGTCATCTTAAATATCACTAAGGACATATTTACCTGTAGTATATTTATTAGAATATTCAGGATAAGAAATATTTTACTATGTTATGTGATCACACTGCACTTCTTGTGATAGCCGAGTAGTTTGGCTTTCGTGTATAACTCATATTCATATTTATCATTACACGTTCGGTCAGTATTTTCAACATTTTTGAAGACAGTCCTTGAAGTTCTACTTGAAGCCTCGCAATTAGGTTATACACATCTTAAGATGAAAACGCTTTATAAACTGCTAGAATTCAATGTTGTGCTTCAAAAGTAAATTTATGAAGCTTTTGAAATATCTCTTCTAGTTTCCATAGTTCATATTAATTATCTGTGCACATAAAACAGGTGGCTAAAAGTAGAGTAAGTATTTTTATTTCAGCACAATAGATGAATAGTGAAAAGTTTTTAAAACACTAATTGTCAGGTAGTTCTATCCGGCTAGTATGGCTAGAGTTATCATCTATGTGTCAAGCTTGAAACTTCCTCATACCTCGTAGCTTTTGGCATTCTGATGCACACAGCTTATGATAAAACTTAACGATACAAAACTCAAAGCTGTTTTGGTTGAACACATTCATCGTACTTTTTGATCCTACTGTATTTTCAGCATTCTTTCCCTCCTCACTAAACTAGACTTTTGCCTCTATAAGTGCATATAACGTTACAAGGAATCTCCAACCATCCCTTTCTGTGCTCCTCTCTCTAATTGTTGGCAAGTACTAATCATGACGCTGATGTTTGATTTCCAGTTTCAGGATTTCGAATTAGAGCTTATTTTATGCTGCATTTTTATGATTCCCGTAAGATGTGATTTATCCACTTTGGCATGTTTCCTTATGACCCCTCAGGAATTCATTGTATTTAGTTTGAGCGTGTCCTATCAACTTTAGGGAGAATTCCTATTCCAATTACTAGTCTCTTAACCAAGTAAAAATGAGTCTGTGAACCCCATTTGCGGGAATTTAGTCGAAAGGACAGTGTGCTATACTTTGCTAAATGTTTTAACTAAATTTAAAAGTAATGTCAGATTTCGCTAGCCTTTTCAGATGTCGTACTCTGCAGCAAAGCGTTAATGGCACAGAATCTCTCTTTCCTGAATTTGTGCCTTGCTTCATAAAATAGTTTGTGAACACTTGTCAACTTACTTATTTATTCATCTATTAAGTTTTTATGTGCACTTAGAAGTAAAGGAAACAGTGTTGCACATTTGTAGTACCTCTGTTCTGTTTCATCCTCCTGAAAAATGTGGGGAGTAGATTGCTGGTTTTTACTCTGTAAGTCGTTATTCTCACGGTTCAAAATGTTTTATATGCTCAGATTCTTAATTGGTAATTTTTATATCAACATTTATCCTTAAAGTTCAATCAAATCCTTTTTTTAGTTACTGATCGTCTTCACAAACCTGATTAGAATCCATTAATGAAAAGCGAATGCTTGTATATTTTAGGAGTATAATCTATAAATAATAAACACAGTATTAATTGAGAAATAAGTAGCGTCAGCTGTTTTTCCCTGTTTTCTCGGTGTTTTCCTTCCGGATTCAAATTACAAACCGAAAAGTGAGAGAGTTCAATAATTTCCTAATACTAACGTGGCAGAACTTACAAGAAAGTACGAAGTAGTTAGAATAAAATTTACATGCAAACTAAATTAAATGTGTCTCAATGGATGTAGGCACTTATAGAAACCCATTTATCACAGTAACAAGAACATTTTTATCTAAAAAGGAACAATAATCTACTCAGAGAAAAAGAAAAGGCCTATTCAGTTTGTTACAAAAATTAGCAACACACCATAAAATAGGGATCATACAGTAAATGCAAAGTTATTCAATTATTACCGTTTATCAACCAAGGACATGAGCAGTAAGTTCACAAAGTCGCAGAAAAGGTTTATTTGATTTAAAAGTCAGAAAATATTCTCTTACATTCTTACGGTTCGTTAATTGTTCATAAACCTCATGATTTACGTTTTCCATAGAATTAGCAACCGAAAACAGCGACGTCATTCATGAAAGGGGAGCCAATGAACGCGCAACATCCTAAATGTATGTAATGAAAATCAGTTGTCTGAAAGATAAAAGTATTGTATCAAATAATAAATACGTTTATAGTACGATTAAATGCTTCATATTGTGTTTGAAACTGACGTAATTATACAATACAAACTTATACTGATTACTTTAAATCCGAATTTTTGCTTGTTTTGTCAAAGTTCTGGATATATTAGAATCAATGGTAGACTTTGTAGTGGTATACTTTCGCCAAGATAACACAATTTCTGAAATCGAAACATTTATTACTGTACTTAATTCTGACAATAATCGTTATATTGTACTCCTTTTGTTTATCTGTACTAAAGACTATCTCTCGCGCACCAAGCGTGTTATTCCCACTCTGCTCTTCTCCTCTCTCGTTGTTAGCCGCTTGTGTTCACTAGTCTCGATATTATTTCGATATCACAAGGCTAGCGATAAACGCCTTACTCAAAAAATTCCCCCAGTTAATTAAACCACTCGAGGAGATTCCATCAGTGACTCACCATGAGGTACCTGCGGTGAGTCACCTGCGGAATACCAGTCACGGCAAAGCCTCGCCTACTGGCACCGGACAAATTATCTTTCGCTAAATGTGGGTTTGACAGTTTACCATCTACTGGTATTACTTGTCGTTCTCACAGTCCTTGGACCTCACCACTCCAATTGCTTCGCAAAAAAGATGGGATAAGTTGGCGACCATCTGGCGACTACCGAGCATTAAACGTAGTAACACGTTTCGATAGCTATCCCGTGCCCCACATGCACGACATCACGGCATCAATCAAGGTTACGACTATCATTTATAAAATCGACCTGGTATGAGCATATCAAAATATCTCAGTCGCTCTTGAAGATATCGAAAAAACTGCCACCACTACTCCTTTCGGCCTGTTTGAGTTCCTACGAATGCCATTCGGATTACAAAATCCTGCTCAAACTTTTCAAAGGTTTATCGATAGCATAGTACGAGACTTCAATTTTGTCCACGTCTGTATTGATGATCTACTAATCGCATCATCAAACGTAGATGAACATTATCAACGTCTTACACTCTATTCCAACGCCTTTCGGATGATAGAATAGTAATTAACCCAGACAAGTATGAACTGGGTGAGGCAGAGATGAAATTCTTGCGTCACATCATTATGCGTGGGGGTATTCTACCTTGTGAAGATAAAGTACTTACAATCATGGAGTACACTCAAGGAACTAATGGCTTTTCTCGGTTTGATTAACTTCTATCGACGTTGTGCTCCTCACGCAGCAGAACAGTCATGACCATTAACCGACTGACTTCGCGGTAATCCACGTAAACTAGAATTGAAAGATGCCGCGCGTACTGCATTTTTAGAGGTAAAAAAGCGTTAGCTGAAGTCCTGACCCATCATCCACACTTAGTACAACGGTTGATGCATCAAATTTCGCTGTAGGAGCCGTTATGCAGCGGAACATCTCTGGAATTTTGCAACCTATCGAATTTTTCTCACAAGCCCTACTCCCACTGAGACGAGATATAGCGCTTTCGGTCGCGATCTGCCCGTCTCGTCCTGGATGCCCTTCATGGGCTGTCTCATCCAGGTACCACAGCCACAAAACGTCTTATCGCTGCACGATACGTCTGACCTTAAGTCAATAAAGATGTCCATATGTGGGTAAACAAACGCTTACAATGTCAACGATCATAATTGCACAGGCACGTAGCCGCCCCCATCGGCACATCTGCTACGCATGGTTCTCGCCTGTATCATGTTCATATTGACATTGTAGGACCATTGCCACCATCGCATGGGTATGATCACAGACTCACGTGCATCAATCGTTTCACAAGATGGTCCGAATCTATTCCCATCACTTCTATTACGGTGGAAACAGTTGCTCACCACTTAGTAGAAAGATGGATAGCGCTTAACGGTTGTCCGTCGACTGTCACAACTGACCGAGGATAGCAGTTCGAGTTGGAATAATTCTCCTCGCTAATCCGGCTGTTTGGTACGGAGTGCATACGCACTACCGCCTATCACACAGCTTCGAATGGTTTTTATTCGAACGGTTTCATCGCCCACTTGAAAGTGCTCTTCGAGCACACGAAAACAACAATTGGTACGAAACCTTACCGCTCGTCCTCTTTAGTATCAGAACAAGTTTAAAGGCAGATATCCAATGTTCCGCTGCTGAATTAGTATGCGGCACGACATTGCGTCTGCCTGAGGAGTTTTTCACACCACAAAGCAGTGATAACTTCAATAAACCAAACTACGTCCAACTATTTTCCGAATTCACGTGAACACTGCCTCCGGTGTCAACTCGAATACAGCATCGACAGGTTACTCTCCCTGGAGAGCTATCTACCTGTTCACATGTTTTCATACGAGTCGATTCGGTACACAAACCCTTGCAACAGCCTTATGAAGGACCTTTTCACGTGATTTCTCTCCATGAAATAGGCCTCCTGTATTGATCGACATGGCCGCGTTGAGATCGTCAGCATTGGTTTTCTCAAGCCAGCACATGTTGATAACATTGCCCTATTTGCTAATCCGAGACCCAATGCTTATATACTGCGTATTTTGTATTGCGAATTTCCTAATATACTACACCTATAATATTGAATAAGTCCATTATTATTATTGTTAATATTATTATCATTAATTAATAGTCAATTATTATTAGTGTACGCCTCACTCGTATAACTTGGCAAAATATATCGATTAGATCTTATGCGATTTGTCTACAAATGTTAAATATTTTTTTTTAATAATAATAGATTGATATATGTTGTATTGTATTCATTGTCGATTTTATTTTTCCCTTAAATTTTATTCTCCTCTCATTTTTGTAGACATATACTTCTATACCTTCATCAGAATTAGAAAGGGTTGATTCATTAACTGTACCTTTATCCACAACAACAAATTCATCTAACAGTATTATGCCGCAATATATTGCACAAACTAATCAAATTACTGACAATGGGCTTACATCTAAAAATTTCTTCTATTCAAATTCAGGTCTTGATCTCACTGATACACATTATTTTACATTGACTGGAACAACTGAAGCGATCGATTTATCATTTGATCCAAGTGTAGATATCATAACTGTAAATCCAATTGATTTAAGTGCTTCACAACATTGTACCACGTTATTTTTTGGGTCAACCAATGAATGCACTGATAATACCTTTTTCACAACACATACAATATGGGATCCTGAACCAGGTTTCAGTTTCACCGATCTCTTACTTACTAATAATGATGAAGAATGTGAAACAGAATTCCCTGAAGTTATAATTTATCCTGAAAATACTATTTATCGTTCAAATGAAATGCAAACTTCCATTTTCGCTGCTACTACTACTACTACTACTACTACTACTACTACTACTACTAGCCAAAACAATACTACTGACAAGACAGTAACTGGTAGCGGACTCAAAATATCAGATACATTAATCTCACCGATGAATAATCACTATACTCCATCAGATAAACTAACAACTTCAACTGGAAAAGTTGGTATGGAAGGAGGGCATAATGTACAACCTCCACCTTTAGACTTACGCTTAATACAATCTAATAATTTTTATTCATAACATTACTTATTTTTGGAAGAAAAATATGTAAACTGTCTCATGTAAACATTGTCCATAAATGCACAGGCTTGTACTTTTTCTGTTTATTTTCTTTTTGGTTTATCTCTTTCATGGTGTTTTTTATCTTTAAAAAATAATTGGTTCATGTGTCATATTGTATATACGTTAACAGATTTGCAATATTTTCTTTTCTGTTATAAATACATACTTTCGTTAGAAAATGTGTCAGCCTTTTCTTGAAATAAGAGTTTTGCACGTATATACGTCAGTAAAATTAATCGAATGCTTCTTGTTTTGATATTTTTTTTGGTAATGTTTGTGTGTGTGTGTGTGTGATTCTTTTTGTGTAACTCATTCACGAAGCACAAGTTTATGTACTCGGTTATGGGTCACACACCTATACTAAAGTAGATGTACAGAGAGGTTAGATTATCTAACCCACACTGAAAGTATGATGGTTCACTCTTTAGGTCATCGCTCTATTGATTGTTTGTTTGGTCAAACGGTTTCGTGACTGTACTGCTGTCAAATTTCAGATAATACTATGTTATTTGTTGAATTTTGTACACACTACAATCTGACACATCATATATGCTATAAATTGCACAATGATGTGTGTTGATTTGAAGCGTAATAGAACTTGGTATTTATCACGTCAGAATATGTTACTGATTGTTTTCAAAGAGTTAATATGCTTTTTATCAATTTCTATATAATTTAACTGAGTGTGACACTTCATTTAGTTATTTATATGAGTGTTAAAAAAAATCTGGGTATAATCTAGCACCTAAAATAGAGTACGCCACAAAAATTGTTTAACATAAATATATAAACAACAACGGTGTATAATAGGAAAGACAGTTTAGTTAACAACATAAATAAGACAATTAAGCATCCCTTCAGTTGGAAACGTTCCTCCCACATTTATGAGGAATGTAAGAATCGCCATTAGTTTCTGCTCTGAGCCATGTCTAGTAACGTCTCAATCCACTGGGTCGCACCAGATCCTGAACCCTGAGCAGGGAGTTGTTATGATCAACAGATCTCAGCCTCATAATGCTTTCATTCACACGATGTTAGAAACTAACTCTCTCAGAGTTAACATATACGTTCTCAGGTTTCACATTCACTGTGCAGAACTACTCTCACGAATATGTAAACACAACCTTTAACATCACGAAGACGTCAAAAATGGTCCGAATTTCCACAAGCCACTCTGTCCTTCATCATATGTATACTGATCTCATTAGCGACATTACCAGTAATGCCTATATAGTCTCCCCAAATACAAACTTCTTGACTTCTTCTAACAACTTTTGCCAAGGTTGAATGTAGCCACAGACTCCTGTCAGTCCTGTAAAAGTACAAACAATACCCACGGACACTTTGGGATGATGCACATATATATAAAAATAGACTGTTGATCTACCAACAGCGATGGGCTAGATTCTTATTAAAGTGTTTATGTGTCGAATCAAAGTTACTTTACTTTCACTTGTGTTCTTCTGTTCTGATATTAGTTTTGTGTATCTGTCAATGATTGAATGTCTGACTATTTTTGTGAATACTAAGTCGAACTTGCATCATCATTTTCTTGTTACTCTATAATTAGTCAGAAAGTTACATAAATCAATACATGGACGGGAAAAAAAAGCTGTTCAGTATATTAGTGTTTAATAAAAGCCAAAAGCATACAAAGCTTTATTATGATTAAGTATCTTATATACAGCTTAAAATATCTGATGTTCTAAATAAATGTATAACATGTTAAAATCTTTCGAGTTGTTATTTGACTCTGTGTTCATATCTGGTTTTTTTTATCCCCATTAATAACCATGAACTGAGTTAACTCATACTTATTTTTTAAAACTAACTACCATATAAATTTCATTAAAATTAGATTGACCATAGCAGTAAAATCAAGTTATTATCTACCTGGACTTAGACGTTCAGTGCATAACACAGTATTTGAAATAAAAGGTTTTAAAACAGAGTTCTTGTGTGAAAATCAACACTAACATGCAATTAAAACGATTTAACGATACTACAACTGGATGGGATAAGACGAAGAGGTGGTCAGTGTATAACATGGCGCCTTGAGTACCCACTTCACTAATTAACTAAAACTTGTGAATAATTGCATTATCAAAAAGTTCTCCTTAAGTTGCGTATGTAGTAATAGAAACTGACCAAATGGCTTCCGTAATATTAACAGTGAGAAAACTGAAACCTTTGCATTTATATATATGTTCATAGTTGGTAAATTATTCGATTATTAGATCAATAGTAATAAAATTATCTATGATTAGAGTTGACTTTTTATTTGAGTGCAAAAACACATATACTGTCTGCTTAAAAATATTGTATCATTTAGTTTAGTTAATAATGTTACTTTTCTTCAAATTATTAAAAATTAAATTTGGCACGATTTGTTATTTGTTGATTGAATAGAATATGAACATTGAAAGTGTGTCTAATTTCGATAAATATGTCTGTAACTCACTATATATATTGAACATTGTAAAAATGTAATACATTAATTAATCACAAATCATTCAATTAATTATTTGCATACAAAACAAAATACAAAACATTATTTGTTTCAGTCAAACCAACCGCTCACGGCAGATTTGAAATCATGTCATGCGGAATGTGTCAATTTAACTCCTTTTGGTGAATTCCTAGTATGGACTGCTGAAGGTTAGTCATATTGTTAAGTATTTTTAAGCAGAAACACTTTTCTGCTTGCTTTTTTCAATGTTTATTAAATATTTTAAGATGTTCTAAAACTATAATTGATGATCATAAAAGTGATAATAATAATAATTTACTCCCAATAACCAAAAATTACATGAGTTAAGCCAATCTATAGGTAAGATCACAAACTGTTATATATGATACGGTATGTAATTAGTTCGATTGACTCGTTTTTTTAAAGAAGCTGGATAGTAAAGAACATTGGTGGTGAAACTAAGATTTACATCTTAAAAAGATGGTGCATCTTGTGGGAGTTGCATTACAATAAGAGGATCGCTGCTTATGCACACTGGAAATGTAATGTATTTGTCATAGGGTTAAAATGTGTCAAATATTTGCATTCATTTCTGGTTAATAGTCTCCAGGTAGCTGCTATAAAAATGCTCTTTGTAGAAGGAATTTCTATCGGACATCTGTTGAAGTTATGCTCTGGATGTGTATTCAGAGTGTTATATTATGATAATATATTCAAGGTTGATAGACGGAAAACCGTGAGCATGTTTAATTATAGTGATAAGGTTAATAGTATAGTTTAATTCGATTCTCTTCTTTTATGACATATATCCGTCTATAACAAAAAAATTAAAGAAACCGAACAAATGACCGATATATCGATCGATATGTCCCGTAGAACTATTTATTTATCATATTCTTGGTTCGGCTATGAAGTATATATTTATTGACTTAGCTAGTATTTTTTTATTTTATTAGATTAATATTCTAAATTAGATTTTGTGCTTAGTTAGATAGTTCGCATGACGAAGTATTAATTTGTGGCCTTGCATTATTATGTTAAAGAGTTTTATAAGAATACCTTACACATTAAGTGTCCCAAATATATATCTTTAGAGGCAATAGAGATCGAATACGCTGCTAGTTGGTTTATTGTCTTGAAATCATTCAGAGCAAGGTAATTTATAGTCTCTTTTTCTTGTTAACTAACTGGTAGCCCTTTCGGAGATAACTGAAAACTTATTTAGGAATGAGTTCTGACATATATCATACTTCCGATGCTGTATTTTGCCTAACCTAGTGTCATTTCTTAATTTATAATTGGATATATTGGCGAAGATAAATATTGGATTTGTAGAGTGTAGTAATCGGTGTACGAGATTGAAATAAAATGTAAATGTAAACTTAAATCTCCTTTTCCAAAGGTATTTCAATCCTATTGTGTCACAGTGCACAAAGTAACTGAGGTCACATTCCATTCTTTAAAAGCATCAATTTTGTCAGACAGTAATCGAAGTCGTTTGTATTTAATTCTCGGTGTTCAATTACAGTAAAGTATTTCCAGCAGTAAAATCCTCATTTTGTAAATATGAATATTAAAAAAAACACTTATTTGTCACAATGTATATTCACTTTTAAATGTTACAAATTTCTGTTGTGACAATTTACAGCAATGTAATTATGAATTAGATCGTTATCAGGCTTTAATATAACATATATGACAATTTGGAATCATTCAAAGCAATGTCTGAGTCATGTTGATAAGTGTAGACTACCTGGTTAGGATCCACGAGACGATAGTAATCGATGGTTAGAGACCTTGAATGACATGGCTCAAAATCGTTTGCAATGACCCAGGTGCATACACTCTTTGTGTTCTCTGAAATTCTAATTTTCTAAAATTCCTCATCACCCCTCTCTAAAGTTATCTCACTGAATTATACTTCTTGAATAATATTTTCGAACCCTACTCTTCTCCATTACCGCTAATACTTCCACTCTCTCTACCGCTATTGGATTTGAACTGACTGTTGCGTCTCTGTGCTAATGTGGTATGGCAACTTGAACTTATGTATGTATGTATGTACGAAGTTCTGCGTTGTGATTGACTGACTGAATATCTAAGTCAGTAATTATAATGAAACAGTTTGCTTAACAATACATAATAAGTAAAAGTACGGATGGTTATTAAAAAGACTGATGTACTAGTAGTAGCGTGGGTTAGGAATAGTGTTCTAGTTAAGGATGGCAAAGCTTCATTAGCCTAATTGTTTAGGACATGTGTTATGTATGTTTAACCACCATCTACTGCGATGAGCGATGTTGTCTGATGTAGGAGTAGGCTGAAAAAATGCCTGTGGACACAAAACCAACACATGAGACCATGTAATGAAGACATTGATAGTTAAACTGAGCCATGTTAATAAGTGTAGACTACATCGTTACGGTCCACTTTATACTCATAACCAGTAGTTAGAGACTTTGAATGACACATCTCAAAATTGTTTACAAAAGCGCCGGTGCATCCATTCTTCGTCTTTCCTCAAATCCTAAGCTTCTGAATACATCAGTATTTTTTTTATTTCACTAGTGTATATTTCCTCTAATCTTCTATGCCTAGTATCTTGCATTGCCATTAATACTGCTACTACCTATACAACTATTGAATTTGGCCCGACAGCCTCATTTTTCTGTGCTAATGTAGTATAGCAGCTTAAACTGGCGTACATACGTACTGGACTTTACGTTCCAACTGACTAATGAAGAAACAGCACAATTTTTAAAGTTTGTTATAATCATAGATCAAGGTTTTTGGCATTATACGTCAATTAAGTGAGTAACACGGTATTAATCACGCGTATTCTGATGAATTCGATTAACGATAACTGGCAATGATGAACGGCAGACAAACACATCAAAGGTGCAACCGTTGTATCAATCAATATAATTCGGTAATTTATTGACTCAGAGAATGAGTCACGTACTAAATGTTGAATACACATACACTCTATCATATACATATGTATAAAACGTGATCAAAGTTACACACGTGTAACTTAAAACGATGAATGTGCTTGCATGATAGAATAGATGAAAAGGTTAGAATAATTTATCTGATCAAAATTTAGAATAAATGACAAAGGCGTGTCACGATACTAATTGGTACAGCAGTATGATTTGTTTAACTATGTATTACTTTTCCTTGTTTAGTTGTATTCCTCCTGTATAATCTTAGATGACTAAATATCATTATGTGGACATAGTTCATTTAGCTTCAGCTTAGATTAATGTTTTGCTGCAGTTCACTAGTTCAGTACAACTGTTATCGAATTATTTGTGACAAAACTATTCAACTTAGATGGGTTTATAAATACGATTGGATGGTTTAAAGCAGATTCTGTCCCTATATTGTTGGAGTTTTGAAATTTGATGGAAATATCTACATTTTCAAAGAAAAAGGCCTTAGATACTTGAACCAGTTTCAATCCGAAGTACAATTGAGCTAGCTGGAAATAATCATCAGTTGAGTCAATTACGCAAATCCATCATATGAATGTCACTTCTAGTAAAGATCATATACTTTTTTGTATTATGGGTCGTCGTAGTAGACGAGACATAGGGTTACAATTGTTCATATCACAGATCAGTTTGACATATTCATTGGTTATTTGGTAAATCAGTTTTATTCACTAGAATTCTTTTCTACAATCGTGTAATTGGTAGAAATTCCTCACCCAACCTAGATATAACTCCTATAAAATTTTAGTGTTTATTATAACACTATACATTGGCCTCTTTTAATTATTTGGTGAAATTGTGTGTTTTTATGCATTATTCTATGCTCCTTTAAAAATATTTTCATCGATATGCAACATATACAAATGCACCTTCTAATTAAAAAAAAAATGTAAATGTAAATATAGACATATGATTTCTTTAGTTCATTATTTCATAGAATGTACTTAGTTGTAAGTTTTTTTTTTGCTCAATATGTAATGATTATTTATTTATTTATTTTTTCCTGAATTAAATCGACTTACATTTGAAGTGCTTTGTTCATGCTCTTTTCTTGTTTTATGTATGTACTATCATTGCAACATAATTTGTTTCTTTTATAAATATTACACTATTTATTCTTGAAATTGAACATTGACACTTGTTTATCATGTAAATCTCGACAAAATCAGTGACTTTATGAATTTATCTTTCTTGTTTGTTTTCCTCATTGTTATTGTCATTATTATTATTCTCTTTTTTTTTTTTTAATTACTTATTATTTGAAAGCCGTGATTTGGTTACGTCGTAATTATCGAATTATTGGTCGTGCTTCATTACCATTGGAATTATTCAAAACATGTCATAATCTATCAAACAAACCGAATCGATTACCTGTCCGATTAAGTTTTGAAGAAGTTGTTTTATTATTATCGAAAGGTTTTATTCATGGTGTTTTATGCAGTAGACCAGTACTATGTGTTGATGAACCACCTAAGAAAACAATTGAAGAATATCATAAGGCATTATTGAAAAATGCAGAAGAAATGGTAAATTTTGATTGATTACTTGATATAGTTTTATAAAATACCATGCTTGATTATCTGTTCTTTCAATAGAGTTTAAACGTTGGTATTTTTTGTATATATGTTGCACTTAAAACTTGAATAATTATGATTACCTAGAATACACACAAGACAAATAGATGAAAATTAACGTTTCACTTTAGATCCTCTTTTATATATGATTTTCAATTATGGATTATGATTATTGCATTTACTTTAGTTCGAAATTTTGCATATCGTGATACAGCTCAGTTTAAAAATATTTCTTCTATAATTTATGTCACATTTTTATTTGGTTAGTACTAGTTGTCTTTGAACTGACTTCTATACTTGCTAGCCTAAAATATATCAAGGTACATGATGGTTGAATCGGAGTTTTAAATTCAATCAATGAAAGTTCAATGGATTTATCACATTTATTGAATACTATATTTTGTGGTGTAGTAGTATGTTGGAAGAAAGTTAGGGCCGGCCAGACTAAAACATGACAGAAATCCATGAAGTCACTGACAAGTGGACTGAGTCATGTTGGTAGATGTAGACTACCTGGTTGGGGTCCGCGAGACGATAGTCACCGATGGTTAGAGACCTTGAACGACATGGCTCAAAATCGTTTGCAATGGAGCAGGTGCATCCACTGTTTGTGTGTTTTTTAATTCTAACCTTTTGAATTCCTCATAATCTCTGTCTTTCACTTTACAAATATATATCACTGAATTATACTTCTCGAATCATATCTTCGCTCCCTAATCTTCTCCATCACTGCTAATACTTCTACTATCACTATCACTCTTGGATTTGAACTGACAGTTACGTCTCTGTGCTGACGTGGTATGGCAACGTGAACTTATGTATGTATGTACGAAGTTCTGCGTTGTATCTGTCTGTCTGTCTTGAATACTATGTATCTAACCTTAGTATAACCAACTCAATGGTTCTTTCATACAAAAGCAATGTTTTGAAGACATCTTTAATCAAATACTAATCAATTTATTCTCTTAGATCTATCATCAATCTATCATATATATACGCAGCAATACAGATGAAACAACCATTGATTAAATGTACGACCTTTACTAAATAGGTAAACCTTTCTTTGGTATTAAGTTTGATAACGTTCAGTTAGATCAGTCGACTCAATTCAGTTTTATGTTATTCATTAAAAATATATATCTCTATTCATAATACTAAGTTTTTAATAAAAAACATTTCAAAGTTAACCGTTTAGCTTCATATATAATCTCTCTAGGTTAATATATTTAAAACTCAAAAACGATTGAAATTAGTTGGTTACTACGGTCAATTGTTGACTGGTTTAAAGTTGCGTCAACAACGTCAAGCCAAATGCAAGTTATCCAAGTCATCGTCAATTAGTACAATAAATATTGATGATCCGAGCTCAAAGAACAAAACGAATAATTTCAATTCATGTAAGTAGCATGTTTGTTCGTTTTTCCTGTCATAAAGACGATGTCGCCTTTAATCTATAAATGATTTCTTTTTGTCAAATGACTCAACTAACATGTGTTACTCATATTATTGTAAATACTTCTGGTATAAAACAAGTATGACCGACAATAATTTTACTGTGTTGAAGAATTTGAAAAACTGAATTCCAACTCACTTGTCTACTTCGTCGTTGCGGTCGTTTTCGGTTCAATGACTGTTTTGGTCGTGAGTGTATGCCTTGTTCAATATGTGTCCATGCTAAAATGAAACAGACACTTAGGAATCTCTGGTCTTCAATGGTTCAACAATAATGTTTAATTTGTTTATCGCTATCTATTTGGTCATGGTAAATAATTTCAAGTACAAAATACACAATACTGTTTTAAATTATAAAATTTAAAAAGGTTTTCTAACAATGATCGGTTCATTATTTCAATGAAACCTTTTTGTATATTGTTATTAAAATATTTTTTTCTTCAATCCCCTTTATTACCTAACTGCTAAACACTAACATTTTTAGGCAATATAAACAAACATTCATGGAAGATATGAAATTAATCAATTTCTTCTCCTTTTTATTTATTTGCTCAAAATATGTAGCTTCACATCTATCAACTAGAAAACGACGGCGTCAACGACGTTTAATTCAGAAACAATTGAAAAAACAAATGCGTCTAACGGCATGTAATGCTAATGACGGGGATAATTACGATGATGATGATGATGATAAGTACGATGTATATGACAGTGATCAAGACATTTCTGAGCTACCTGATTCACCTGTCACTTTGGATGACTTAATTTCGGAACATTATACTACACATCAAGGAACACCGAAATCATCTGTGATATCAAGTGAAAACATTGAAAAATCTTTACCGTATATTCCACAGCATTTGCCACGTCCTACACCAACTGAATGGCGACGTCCTGGTGAATATTCATTTGTTAGTCTGCCAAGAAATATACATTCTGAAGGTCTTTATTCAAGTCAGTCAATTTGTTTTAGCACTCCTAATATTGATGTTATTACACTTAAATTCTTTTCTCTCTATCATTAGTGTTTAATGGTTATCAGTTATACTATTTGTTTGTATTTTATTTTGATCGGTAAGCTTCAAGTGAAAATAATACGCAGATTAAGTATTGTAAAGAAAGAGGCTATATTTTAATATTACAAAGGTCTAAATAGTTATTTTCGATTGTGATAATCCTTTAGCCTCATTTATGAAGGACTCTCCATCCCTTAGTTTTGTATAAAACATGTTTCCTTCGAGGTGTGTGTGATAAGTTCAACAGTCAATAACCTTATAATGAAATACTAGATATCCTCACATGTTAAATAAGCTAAATTGGGGAGGGGGGTAAACTGGCTAGTACAATTTAAATTATATATTGATCCGTCTACCAACCAAACGACTAGTTTACTGCCCATCAGTTCGCTCCGTCCTATTGTATGGGTGCGGAACATGGCCAGCAAAAGTACAGGATATTCGTAGGTCTCCGAATCATTGCTCGTGTATCCTGGGATTATCGAGTAAGCAATGCTGCTGTTAGCATACGAGTATGAGTTAATGATGGCAAACAAATTGATGAAGTAGTGAATGTTCATCAGTTAAGGTGGTTGGGGGATGCGCTATGTATGTCTATCCACCGACTGCCCGACGAGCGAGGTTTCGCGGTGTAGGAGTAGTTTGAAAGAAACATAGGGGCGGCCAAACCAAAACATAGTACTAATCCATAAAGTCACTGACAAGTGGAATGAGCCATGTTGGTAGGTGTAAACTACCTGGTTGGTGTACGCGAGACCATAGTAACCAATGGTGACAGACTTTTAATGATATAGTTCAAAATCGATAACAGTCGTGCAGGTGCATCCAGTCTTTCTTGTCTCTTACAAGCTCACTGACTTAGTACCATTTTTATCTCTGAATTGTACTTCTTGAATCATATCTTCGAACCATACTCTTCTCCATTACTTCTCATACTTCTACTGTAGTGAAGGAGAACACAGGTGGGGCAACCGAATTGTATTTAACGAAAATTACGGAGTTACTCAGTAAAATCGGAAAACCATATCGTAAATCGTTAATTTGCAAAATATCAGTTCATCATATCGAACTGGACTGTTCCTGTTGCAAAACATCAATCCATTGTCACTATTCATGCGTTTCATACAAATTCCATTGTTTTCTAACTCTTCCTTTCTTGATCTTCCCCCCATCTTCTGCTGCCAGACATTACGTTGACGCTCACGTCATATACTACTTATAAGTAGCTCGCACCACAGCACCACACTACTACCTCTATCAATATGCGATTCGAATTCACAATTACTTCTCTATGCTAATGTAGTATGGCGACATGAATTGATGTACATATGTACCATGTTCTACGTTGTAGCTGACTGACTGATTTATCGAAAAACATCATCAATCTCGGTTTGATTTTTTGTTTTCATGATTTTAAAAGGAAGGTTTTCAGAGCATTTATCAATCAACTTATGTTCATTTTAATTTATTTTATGTAGTATGTCTTATTTTAGTGTGTTTTAAATAAAATTTGGAATAATTTTGACAAGAAAAGTTAATTTTTAAAATTCCATCCCCACCATTATTTCATTCATATTCTTTATTAGTTCATTACTGTTTCGTTTTAATAATTGATATAGCTGTTATAGATTAGCTTTTGAGAAAAAAATATTCTGCTTGAATTAGACGATAATAATGTTTTTATAGTAGATTGAGAACTGAATGGTAACCATTGTCATGTATGCCGAATCTTTATTTAGCTCTTCTCAAACTTTATCAATCAAGTTTCAATATGGCCACTGGTCTAAGTGACTTGATATCGCGTGCACTATGTTGAGATTTAAAATGGTGGTTGTAGGTGGCCCACAAGAGACCTTAGACCTAGTTTTCGTGTTATTTGTGACTTACTAACAAAGTACATCTATAATTTCGTGCAAACTAATGATTTCTGGCTAATTCTCTCAATCATTTGTAAATACACATCAGTTCCACAGGAGATCAGTAGCGATGTAGATAGCTCATTCGAGAATTCTCTGACGTTCCAGCTGAGTTTCATGAGATGGAATCCACGAGCAAACGTCAGTTCCTTCGATATTTCACGTGCATCTTACTAATGATTACCAAATATCACAAAGCCTAGGTTCAACAATTCCGGTTAACTTTCTCCAAATACTACCTTACGTGATGTTGTCCTGGCTTAATAAATAAATAAAATTCGTCATTCTTTTTTTCAAAGTTGTAGAATTTTAAAAAAAATATGCAAAAGATACTTCAAATACAAATTATTTTTAATTCATATGAACTCAAAGTGAATTTATCTATGGAAAACTTTACTGTAACAACCTTCATCTCATTGCACAAAGCTATTTAAACAGAGATGATGGAGTTTTTTGAAAACTGTCTCTAAAACTTTAGTTCATCAATTTCAATAAGCTGGATTTCACTACTTTGTAAAATAGACTAGGGTTGATTCTATATACTGCAATCTAATAATCCAACCTTTGTACTTCGTATAATCCATTAACTGTTGTATTGTTGTGGTTTTGGGACTATAACTAATTGTATATATATATATATATATATATATATATATATATATATATATATCACAAATTAATCTCAGTTCGGTTGCAATTAGGAACTAGGGAACATTGTACTGAGACCAATCTCTGATTAATACAATCTACAAATCAAATAAGTCTCCACAAAACCACTTCAGCAAATGTTTACAGTTTTTGTTTGTTTTTGTTAACATTTTTTTTCTCTGTAGTTGTTACTTGGTTAATTCAATTAATTCAACAACAATGTAAAACAATCAATTTTTCTAATCAAGATTCCAATAACAATAATAATATGAATAGTACACGGGATATGTGTATTGAACGTTTACAGTCTTGTTTTATTTATATGGATTTATGGGATAAAGGTTATTATATCAGTACGTCTGCTGTAAAAATGGGTGGTGATCTACTGGTTTATCAAGGTGAGTAGTAAACAAGTTGCATTTTATTGATCTTGTTTTTTTTCTTCTGTCTCATCTTTTTTCTGTTCTGAAACACCCAAAAAAAAATAGAATTGAAATTCCTCGCATTCATTATGGAATACCTTCAGTAATTATTTTTTGCTGTAAAAATATAAGTGTTGTTTCCTTATTTTTATCTAGTTACAAGTTCAATTTCATGGCTATTTTGCACTGTAATTTTGGTAAACGTTTTCTGTAAATAGTTCTGTTCACTATTTATTGCCGTAAACATTTTTTAACTTTTTTGAAATAATGATATATGTGATTTTCAATGTAATGTAGATTACAGTTTCAATGACTCTGCATACACGCTTTTTATCTTGTTTCTTATTAAGTAAATTTATAAATGGTGCTGTTCTTATTATCATGGACAAATAATTAAATTGACTTGAATTAATTAGATCGATTGAACGAAATCAGAAATGAAATGAATATATAGATTCATCTATATGTTTAGGTGATATTATCATTAAACATTGCATTTATCAGTCGATCTCATGTTTCTAAGTATTATTCTGTCGAGTAACTGGCTTCAAGAATAATTTCTTAGAATTGTGCAGTAATCAATATGAATTCTTATTTTCTTTCTTAACTATTGTGCGGTAATCCATATGAATTTTAATTTTCCTTTCTCATTATGATGAGTCCGTTAATTCAACTACGGAATATGTAATAAGCGATCAATCAGCCACAGAAAATTTCTCACTCGTTCTCCATCTCCTTATCAGATCACTTTTTGAATCATATTTTCGCTCCCTGATCTTTTCCATTGCTCCTAATAATTCTACTATCGCTAGCACTCTTGGATTTGAACTGACAGTTACGTCTCTGTGCTGACGTGGTATAGCAACTTGAACTGATGTGCTTATGTACGACGTTCTGTGTTGTATCTGTCTGTCCTTATCAGATCATTAGAAAGTCATCCGAGTGCTTTATGTTGTTATTACTCTTAGAACTATGTATGTCCATAAATGATAATGCATGACCTTTATTCAACTAAGTCAAGTGGAAGCTTAGAATTAGGATAACACTAAAGACCAGTTATTTGATAAATGCATACTGATAACCAAACGATCATTTCCAAAATCTCCCACCATTTTTTTATTTATTCACTCACGTGTAACAGTGATCACTCACTCACAAAGAATATCAGTAAATGATGACCTTTATCATTACTTGACTGAAATTCATAGAAACTGTGATACATTGTTCCCTGTACTCGATATAATTTAAGGGATTGTTAGTGTAAACCGGTTTTCTAATCTTTATCTTCATATAACGACTACCAGGCTAGAGCCTGCGAGATGAGAGTAATCGCTAGTTAGAGACCCTAAGTGACATGGCTCAAAACCGTTTGCAATAAAGCAGGTGCATTCATTCTTTGTGTTCTCTCAAATCCTAACCTTCGGAGTTCCTCATCACCTTTATCTTTTTCTCTTAAGTTTATTTCACCAGATTATACTTCTTGAATAACATTGTTAAACCCTAATCTCTCCGATTACTGCTAATACTTTTACTACTTCTACTAATATGGGATTTGAATTGACGATTGAATTATACGTGCCAATGTAGTATGTCAACTTGAACTAATGTACGTACGTACGAAGTTCTACGTTGCTGTTGATTGATTGATTGATTGACCTTCATATAACAAATGCTCATGTACGCGTAAATTGATTCATGAGTACATACTGAATTGATTTAATGATGATCTTTGCTAAAGTGAATAAAACGGTGAAGAGCAGTAAGCAATCAATATTGTTATTTGAAGTTTCGTATATTTTATTATTAATAATATTATTATTATAATTTAAATAATATATCCTTTGTTAATTCTGTTCTCTTTTTTTCATCTCTTCATAATTGATTACTTACAGGTGATCCACTTTTATACCATGGTAGTCATATTATTACAATTTGTAATCCGATGGATTCATTTCCTAATTCACAATTATTAACCAAACTACGTATTGCAAATGGTTTGAAAAAAGTACTTGTTCTAGCTGCAGTTAGTAATATGGAAATGTTTATTAGAAAATGTACAATTGAAAAAAGTACACATTCTGTAATTAAGAATAATGATGATGATGATGTTGATGATGGTAATTTTGTTGTTCCACAAACTAATGTCAGTGAACACTCAAAATTATCTAGTCAGTCAAATGAAATTACTATCAAAGAAGGTGTTAACAGTAATTATCATAGTAATATTAATGAAATACAACCTCATGTAATTTATTTATCTTTTCAATATTCGTCTTCTCATTCTAGTAATGCTCCAACAGTGTCAAGAACATTATAAGCAATACCATAGCAAATTGTTTCTTCCTACTCTTCATTATTTCTGTAAATGAAAATAAGACGAAAAATAGAGAAATATATTTTCTTAGTAAAATTTCCTTTCGTTTTTAATTTCATTTCATTAAATGCTATGCTTGTATTATATTTTAATTTGTGTTGGCATATCTTGAGAATGTTGACAGCTAGTAATTCTACTTATCAATCGGTCAAACCAATGCAAATGAAGTGATTTTGCGAATCAAGCATCTTTATTGTCTTGCATCCGACGTTATTCATTTAAGCCATTGAATCAGTGGTCTATATAACTAACTAACTTCACGTAGTCCAATCGTGATCTAGTGACATCAATAAATTCATGTCATATGCTTCAATGTACTTCAAAATAGACATTAAACCCCCTAATAAGGAAAATTGACTGTTCAGATAGTCCTCTAATATACTTTATTCAACAATGACTTATGTCACTGTTTTTTTATAGTTGTCACTCGTTGATATGAATTTAAACTGTAATAAAAGCATCATTGTTTTTCATCATAGTTAAATCATGATTGAGAGTAGATTCCAAGGCGCTCATCTCGTTCAATTTCTTCTAGGCACTTCAGCGGGATGTTTTTGCATTTCAGTGTTCATGTTCAAACTGAAATTCGGACACATTATTTTTTTTCAAATGCAGCTGCATCCAACTGGTGTGTCTCAAGTAGGATGGAACTCTTATCGTAGACTTCACTACTGGCCACAGTTCAACTTTAATAAAACCTGTAACCAAGTAGTAATATCTACACAATCCTCTCTGGATGCAGATATACCACTTACATTGCTTAACATCAACTATGGTAAAATAGAAGTCCTTACCGTTAACATTGATAGTGATTAACAGAGATGCTATTATAGTCACAAACCAATTCGCTCATATAAGAGAAAGTCTCTTCCGGAAAGGCATCAATATAATTGAATAATAAGTTGTGAATAACCTAGTTCAACCACAAATTGAATAAGTCATTTTATCAACAATGCTATTGGATAATTTTTACGCAGTAGGCCAAAATAATTAAATTTTAGATAACTAATAACTTATCATCAGTTTGGTTGTTAGTTCTTATAGTTAGAAAGTCTTAAACTCGGACGCTAAAAATATCTATTACCTTCTAGCTCTCAATGAATTTCCCACTGATTTTAGTTTGTCGTGAAAATTAAATAAACTTTAAATTTTCGCCTGACTCATTAAAAAGTTTCATAACACTCATCTTTCAATCTCAATAACTCTACAAAAATAATAGTCAGTGGTAATATGCAGAAGAAAAAGTTGTTAATGATGAAGAATCTGTTCTCAGATCGTCACTCGACTGACTGGAGCCCAGAAATGTTGCATGTGAAAGACCTAGCAACCAATGACATTGAATGATTATCGAATCCCAAAATAAATTAATTTTAATCCAGTTGTGATGGCCGTTTGAATTTCCCATTGATGTTTGGAATTTTAATTGATGAGTCTCTCTTGGTGTTTATGCATCTTGTGTGAATTGCCACTATATAACCATCAAGTTAGTAACATTGTAGGCAGAGATGGAAGGTGACTAACAGCGGTATCCAGGATGCACTGTTTATTCTATTTAGGACTTGTTAGATGGATCTATCTGCATTTCAAATGACCAATACAAATGAACTAAAATTCTCCTCATTCACCTCAAACCAGTGATTATCTGGACTCAGTAGATAAATGGATAACGCATCGGTGTTTGAAGCAGAAGCTATTGGGTTGGAATCTCAAAGTTAACATCGACTTTGGGATAAAGATACATACAGATGACAAGTCCGACATCTGGTAAAACAAGCGTCTTAAATTCTCTTGCTACCACCACTGAACTTTGCTTAGAATGAGTTAATTGTAGTTACTAATATGAACTCCGGAATCTGTTTTCATTGAACACTCACTCATTGCACGATTCTGAAGGTACCAGGTTTGATTTATGTTACTCTTGTGAGTACGATCTGTTATTGGCTGTAATTTTACTCTAAAACAGTACATTTGTGCAGTGCTTTCTGGTTTTCAATGATATCCCAAGAGTTATAAATATATTATATAAATTGTCTTTTACGAATCCTTTTTTAACTGTCAGTGTTGTTTTATTAAAACTGTGAAATTATTTTGAAATTATCTAAATTTCTATATGCTTTAAAAAAAATATCTGTCATTATTCTTTGGTTTACAAATATTTTTAATGAAATGAAAATTTTTTTTGATCATTTTCAGATTAAAAGAATCCATTAGAAATCAACAGGTTCTTACATATTTTTAGTTTTTAATCGTCACTGTTGATTAATCCGAAAAAATATGTTTGTTCAAAATTTTCACCAATTTGAAAAAAATGGATGAACAAGAAGATATTTGGTATGTAGATGACTATGACGAACAAGAACTACTGGAGGCTAAAGAGGAAGAAGAAATTTATTCATCAAAGCACTCTATAGAAGAAGCAGAATTTTTCGCCGACGAAGATGAGGATACTGGTGGATTCGAGAATGTATTATCTACAAAGTCTATATCATCAGAAATATTCTCATGTGCTTTACCAGTTTTGAAACAATCCTATTGGCTACTTATTGTGATACTTGTTTCATGTCTTCTTTGGCGTGTTGTACAATTTATACTAAGCAGATGTTTCTCTTCAAATGGTATGTGTGATTTATTGATACATATATATAATTATACAAACTCTCAGTTAAATGAATAAGCATATACTTTTTTTGACAAACATAATGAAACTTTCAATACTTCTTCCAAGAACTTTTCGCATAACCTCATCATTTAACAAATTTGAAAGAAGTGTAAACAACAAAATAATATGAAGAATATAAAATGCATAAATTTCACATTTTTCTTACCAGATTTAAACAGTCTACAGCAACCAAATAGTTAGTCATATAATTAAAAATAAATGTTTTCTTACAACTAAGTTAATAAAGTTAAAATAAGTGTTTTGTAGCATTCAACTGACAGTCTCATTATAATAACTAGAAGAAAATACCGGATAGAGCATTCAATTTAACTATGATTGATATGTAATTATATTATTGATAAAATGAATGACTAATGTCTTTCAAGCTGTTTCATCCTACTTCTTTAATAAGTGATCGCAATTATCGCTTGGATCTCAACTATGTAGTTTGAAACAATAAAATCTGTTCATTTAAGAATGGTGTCAGATTAATATTATATCTCTAATCTTCAGGTTTTTTAATTTTGTGTCAGTCAGTTACAATATAGAACTTCATACCTAAGTACATCAGTTCAAGTTGGCTATACCACATTAGCACAATGACGCAACTGTTAGTTCAAATTACATAGTGGTAGATATAGTAGAATTATTATTGGTAATAGAAAAGATTAGGGTTCCAAGATTTTATTTAAGAAGGACGATTCAGTCAAATAAATTTAGAAAGAGAAAGACAAAAATGATGAGGAATTCAAAAGACTAGAATTTCATAGAACACAAAGAGTGGATGCACCTGGGCCATTGTAAACGAATATTGAGCCATGTCATTCACGGTCTTTAACCATCGATGAATTTCGTCTCGTGGACCCCAACCAGGTAGTCTACATCTACAAACATGACTCAGTCCACTTGTCATTTAATTTTGTGTAATTTTTTATGAAGTTTAAAAGATTGTTTTCTTTTTAATTGTTTCGATTTATAAACCTACAATGCAACTAATTTTACTTTGAAATATAAAATAAGCAATAAGAACAAAAAGTAAAATTTTGATGATTCGTAGTAAAATGACAAATTAGTTTGTTAGTTAGTTGACTAATACTTATACATTATTGTTGTTTACACTCAAAACTATTCCCAAAAGTCATTGAATGTAGTACTCAGAACGTTTTCAAAACAAGATGAACCAAGAAAAAAAATTATGCATTCGTTGATCATTTTTATGTTTCATGACCATAATTAATCATTTGTGTTATGATTTTTTTTTCTAAAATGTAGTTTCTATTTAATTGAACTGTCCTAAATTAGTGTTTATCCTGTTGTATAGGCAATCTAACCATAATATTGATATGTTTACTATGGCAGTAGTATTTTTGTTGTGAATACTTTTTTTGGCGCTCATTGTTGATAGCTTTGTATGTTTCATATTGTTTTGTTCTCTTCTTTTCACTGTAGGAAGAATTATCCGCACATTTGTCACAATAATTCTTCATTTATTTTCGATTAGTCTAGGTAAGTACCTCCTTCATCGATCTGGTTGATGGTTGACATCTCAACTTTGCATGCTTAAAAATAAATAATCCTAGAGTTAGTAGTAATTGTTATTTTAGAACAACACAAACATAAGCGAACAATGTAGTTTTCGATTAGATCATCATCAGTCAGTCAGTCAGTCAGATGCAACGTAGAACTTCGTACGTAAGTACATCATTTCATGTTGCCATACCATGTCAGCACAGAGATATAATTGTCAATTCAAATCCAATAGTAGTAGAGGTAGTAAGGGAATTAGAAGTAATCGGAGAAGTTAGGGTTAGAAGATACTATTCAAGAAGTATGATTCAGTGAGAAAAGTTTAGAGAGTCGAAACTAGTGGTGTTGAAGGATCCAGAAGATTAGGGTTTGAGAGAACACAAAGATCATCATCAGGCTTTATTCTAATACACATAAATATTTATATGAAGATGTTAAACCATTCAAGGCAGTTTGAGTCAATAATCACTAGAAATAGATTACGTCACTACACGTAATAGGCAAAAGTACAGGTTGATAGTAGGAAGACAGGTGCATTGATAGTAGTTAGAAAACATAAAATACGATAACAAAATCCATCAACTAGATACTGATGTACAGTTTGAGATAGCTATGGGCCCACCTCTAGGTTCAATTCTAGCTGATTCCTTACTAGCAAATCTAGAAAATAGACTACTAAATGACGCCATTAAGAAACTTGATCTATATTGCCGGTACGTCGATGACACATTATTGCAGATCGAAACATCAGTAAAGAAAAACTCGGAGAACAATTCAACATTGTACACCCGGCTGGTGAAGAGGATTATGATGAAAAGCTGAATTTTCTTGACGTCACACTATGCAGGCGAAGTGATAACTCGCTATGTAGAAGCGTATATAGAAAAAATCCCGTTGCTTGCCAATACACTCACTTTTGTAGTTTTACACTTATCTGCTACAAGAGAAATTTAGCCAGATGTCTCGCTAGTAGAGCAAAAATGATTTGTTCAGTGGAAATTATCAACAGCTCACTGACCGTGATCGGCTACCCTAGCGCTTTCATAAAGAGGTATATGTATAATGTAAAAAAGAAGTCAGAGACTTCGACCGTTCGGAAGAAGCCTTTATTTGTTCAACTACAATTCAACGGAGATGTGGCTAGCGATACTCTACTGGACAGATAAACGAAAGTAATTGATAGAACAGTCTAAGCAGGCAAACTTGCGTTGACCTTCTCAAGTCGACCAACAATGCCTATCCAAACGAAGGATAAGTTACCTGAGTTGGTCTCCTCTGTGTGCATTTACAAATTTAGCTGCTCTTGTGGAGATAGCTACTACTACCAGGCAACTTAACCAACGGATGCGTGAAAATCTCACAGCATGCTTTATGAAGGGCCAGATAAAAACAATACACTGTTCCATCTTGGCACATCTGGTTGATAGTGGTCATGTTGTAGATAAATCTAGATTGTTTCGAGTAATCTCTCGTATATCTCCATCCTTTCCCAATAAACTTCGTCTTCTCCCTTTTTAATTATTTAAATTTATCGAGTTTTCGGTTATTACCAAATGTTAGATTATGTCAGAGTTCACATTTAAATTCTATTTATTTATTTGTATAGGTCTGTTAGTTCTATATTATGCTTCATATGATCTTTGGTGGATTGTTATTGGCCTAATAGTAACGTTAACAGTATTATTTACTTTGAATATCAATTCGGATACTTCTAAATCAAATGAGAAATATACCAATTGGGAATTATTTGTAACACTTGGAATTTGTTCATCTGTTCAATTTTATTGGTAATTCATTACAATTGTTAATTGTTTGGTCCTTTGTTCCCATGATATTTGATATGTTACATTTAACGATTGAATTTAATTATCTCTGTGGTTTTTGATTAAATTTCTTCCAATACTGGATTTGTTATTATAGATGCCATTGTGCAAGACTAATGATTAGTGTAAGGGATTTGTGTAGGCTTCTAAATGTTAGACTATACAACATAGACTGACCTTCTTAGTGTAACAACCACTGAAAACGCAGGAAGAACTAGACAACTTGTTTTTTCTTTGTATAAGACTCCTTAGCGTTGCCCATCCAAAACTCCACCCGGCGATAAAACTTGAGATCTTCAGGTCCCACGTCAAGCGCTTAATTAATAGGTTTCAAGCTATTCACTTGTTTCTTCTCAATATGTTAATGTGTACAAGTTCTAATGAACTGACTGAAATGATTTAAACACATTAACTTGTTAAAGTTTAAAATCTTCGTTGAAACAGCTGATAAGTTAAATTACGCATTTTACAAATTTTAACCACACTGATTTGATTGGTCATATTTATTATCAGTAAATGTAGTAGATATCGAAAGAACTCTACTCATGAATTAATTTTAACTATTCCATAGTCTCCTCTTTGTTTTTCGAGATTGAGTTAATATCTGAAAGTTCATAGATAAACTAGTTAAAAATTTGTGATATCAAGTTAATATTATAATTTATAACTAGTTTTCACCACAAAATATTATTGGTTATAAATAAGTAGGATATTAGACAACTACTCCTAGAAAGTTTTTAACATTGTTCACCTATCATCCAACACGTTATCAAGTCAAATATCTTCACATATTGGGATGACAAAATATCAATTAATACTTTGAGTCAGTATCTTATTGCTTACATTATTAGCGACAGTCAGTTTGCACTAGAACTCTTCTTTTCACATGACATAAAGTGTCATATTTTCTTTGATATCTAAATACACTCTTGGGTTTTATTCTTAGTGCGATTTCGAATACTCGCTTTTAAAGATTTTCAGGTTGTTAAATTTGTTTTTTGGTTAAGATTCTTTAATTGTCGTCGGCTCGTATTATTAAAAAATTGTAAATCTTTAAACTCCCAGCGTAATCGTTATTGTATATATGCCTATTAAATATGTTTACTTCACGTTTATGTGTGTTATGTTTCATGTAATACAAATTTATGTACCATATTATACAACTCACCGTTTTATTTCTATCTAATGTCAATAATAATCAATACTGATCAATGTCTACTACTAAGAAACCTAGGTTCATGGTTTCTCGCCTACTGCCTACAACACCCTAACGTCAACACTGTACATAGGTTGTCAAGGTACATAGACTAAGAGGCCACGATGCAGCTTAGTCGACAGAAGTCAGTCAGTACTGGAGAACAGACAGACAGGACATTACTCACTACTGATTAGTGATCAATTGATATGTATATCCAAGTATTATGGGATATCAGTCAAGGTTCACGTAATTCTGTGTTAATGTTTTGGATTGTGTGACTGATTGACTCGGGATTATTCCTACTAGGAGTAGCGTGAGGAGCGCTAGGATTGCAGAGATCAACTAACATGAAACTTAGGTCCTCTGGATTTACTACCAACTATTTTCAACCTCCTAACGTCATTATAATTGTACTTCAGCTGTTGTACACCCCCTATATGTCATTTACAACAAAATTTAATCACATCATGAGTACAAGCTACATTTAAATATCGTTCTTTTTCTTTGTTTCCTTAAAAATTTATTTAGAAATATATTTTATCGTCATTCAGCTCATATCTCTTTCTTCCTAATTTTTGGTCTCTGTTTCTTTTTATTTAGCGAATTTTACAAAAATCCTGTTAAATGGCATCAAATTCGTGGTATGTTATTTAAATCTATTTTAAATTGATAAATTGTGACTACGTATACTCTTTAATGCTTGATCACATGTTTATTGTATGCTGCTGATTGCAATGCATTCCACGAGCTAGATTATTTGATTGAAACCATGAATCAATCAGTTTTAGACCACTATAAGAAAACTGAAAGTACTGGACGGCCATTACGTCCTAGTATGGGACTCATCAGCAGTGAGCATCCATGACTCCCGCTTGCGGGACGTTTAATCCCAAGTACGAACACTTAACTTCTATATCTCTGAACCTGCATCCAACGGATTCGCGCAGCTGATGAGTCCTGTACTAAGACGAAACGGCTATCCGGTGCTTTCAAGTTTCTAATAGTGGTCTAACACTGATCGATTCGTGATTTCAGTGAAACTCAACAATCTTCACGACCATTTAATGAAAAATATATTTTGTTGTTGTTATTCTGATCAACACCGTCAGTAAATATGAACCTAAGTCGTACCCAATCATTCTGCTTTTCATGACTCTTTCATTGATTATTTGACCTCTAAAAGGTTTATTATCTTACTTACGCCTGTTACCCCCAATGGAGCATAGGCCGCTTATCATCTACATTCACGTTTTTATTCCTCTTGACTATGATGTTGATAGGTTGACCTCACATCATCCTCATTGAATACCAGACGGAACGGTGTATTTTCTTGATTCTGAATTGTCCTGAGCCACAGGCCTAGCCGTAGTTGTCGGAACGCATTTTTTATATAAGTGATTATGTTGTTTTGCGATCAATACTAATTCTCAAAGCTGTAAAAAAAACCAACATTAATTTTTTCGAAATATTTCTAACATTAACTGGAAAATTATTCATTTTTAAAGTTTTCGAGGAGTGATTTTATTGCGATTCATTAATGACAGCAATTGTGTTTTAAAATACCATACAAAAGATTGTTTTTAGTTTTTTTATGTCAAGTAAAATTACTAGAAATAATTGTTCTCCTTCTTCAGAATCATGTCCTTTCAAATTTTTCTGTCAGATTCGGATTTTTCAACTTGTTATCCTGTATGCTTTAACATGTTCACGTGTTCATGTCTAGAATGACTGCAATCATTGAATACAGTGGTTGTGTATCCACCTACATTAAAAAGTATCTCCATGATTAAAACATAGTTTCATCAAAATTTAGCAGAATTTCTATTATTACTTCATTGAAATCAATGTATTGCTCCACCTCATCACTCTGTCGAAATTTATTGAACTCCCATACATTCAACTTCAATCAATTCTCTATATAAATCAGATATCCTCATGCACTTGGAAAAATTTCTTTTGAATTTTATCAATCACTATTTGTCAACAGAATATCATCAATCTACTTCGTGGTTACTCTTCATTATTATTATATGAGGATTTGTCAAGATTAGTCATCAGTGTGATGTTAAGTTTCATTTAAAAAAATATCAAAGATTTTCTAAACCCCATTATTCTCTATACAAAGTTTTTCTTTGTTTCCTCCAAACATTATTATTTGAAAAAAAAATTCCTGTTACTCAAGTAGTTTGTTACATGCAGAACTAAATAGCAAACTTTCTTTTTTAATACACAATTAAAATGTTGTTGGGTTTTCATTTAATTTATCATTAACTGTCTTTTAATTACTTTTCTTGATATTTCTAGGTAGTATCATGATAATTATTATGAAATGTATATCATTTTCAATGGAGCATAGAACATTTTATCAAACAATCAATAAAGAGCCTTGTTTTAATAAATGGACATCATTATATCGTGGATTATTATGGTTATCGTATAGTCTATGTCCAGCTAGTTTATTATTTGGTCCATGGTTTAATCCATTACGATATGAAGAAATGATTAGAAATTATCATATTCATGGTAAATTGATTTCGTTGAAAAATGTAAGTTTTAAATAACCGCCATGCCAAAAACAAAAACTGACCATTTCACTATGATCAATTTTTATTGTGTTTTAAATGAAGCAGAAAAGACATTCAATGTTGTGAGTAACTGAAGATTAGCTAGAATTTTTTTCTCAACCTGTTGAATTAATTTGTCCAGTAAAGAATTTTCTACTAGTAACATTAAATAATTGTTCGATAGTATTAATGATTTTATTATAGTATATCGAATTAGTTTGATTTTCTTTTAGTTACTTGATTGTACATGACTAGAGTTGAGTTGTAAGCATAAAATTTCGTCTTATAATATATGTTCTGATGTTTACATTAATCTCTTGACCAATATTCCTTGTTGGTAGTTATATTTGTAAAATTCAGTGACATTATTACATCATATGCGTAATTGTGTAATTTACTATGTTTTTTTTAAGTTACAAAACAAAAGATAGTTTCTGTTGATAGGTTTTTTAGTTATATAACAGTTTGAAAATATAACATGAACATTTCATACGAATATTTGTCAGTATTTGAACGAAAAGTTTGACAGAAGGACATTATTTGGGAAAATTTTATTTAACATAATCTCAGCAATTGAAATTTAAATAGTTCCAAATTTTCGTGCTAAAAACTTGTCTGGACTTCAGGGTATTAATCAAAATTATTATTATCATTTCAATTAATCCATGATAGACATTAACACCGTTGGATACCGGCTCAATGGTCGAGAGATTAAGCGTTCACACGCGAGACCGAAGGTCTTGGGTTTTGATCCCCGCCTGTGTGATTGTGGACATGCACTAGGATGAACCGATCATCCAATGTTTCCAGTTTTTCAATGGCGATCTAACATTAATTGATTCATTCCAATCAAGCTCAACAATGTCCACACTCCTTTACTGACAAAACATGGATGTTTTTCTTTAGTTTGTTAAATTTAGTTCATAGTTGTCCATTGTTAAAGTACATCAATGATTAAAGCGGATTTCTAGAGTTAAAAAACGTAACATTGAATTTTTGTTTTAGCCAGTGTATGATGAAAACATTAGTAACTCTGTCTAATGGACACTGAATTTCCATTAAGTAAGCTTCACAGATCTCACCATCTTTATAATAACTGACTGTGCGCTATAGTAAATAGTTTTCAAATAAATTCTCAAGATTTTAATCGGAAGCAGTAAATAATGAAGCTTAACCGTTACCCAAGTGAAATTAGTCATCGTCAGTAGCATTTACATAAATGTAGGGATGGACTGGAAGAAAACTAGTGGCGGCCAAGCCAAAACATGGCACGAATCCATGAAGTCACTGACAAGTGGACTGAGTCATGTTGGTAGATGTAGGCTACCTGGTTGGGGTCCAGAGAGATGGTTAGAGACCTTGAACGACATGGCTCAAAACCGTTTGCAATGGCGCACGTGCATCCACTCTTCGCGTTCCTGTAAATCCTAACCTTCGGAGTTCCTCATCACCTTTGTCTTTTTCTTTTGAAGTTTATTTCACTAGATTCTACTTCTTGAATAACATCGTCGAACCCTAAAATTTCCGATTACTGCTAATACTTTTACTACCTCTACTACTATGAGATTTGAAGTGACAATTACATTTGTGTGTCATTGTGGTATGGGCAACTTAAACTGATGTATGTAAGCACGAATTTCTTTGTCGTTGCTGACTGAATGACTGACATAGGTCATCCGAGCACATTGTGAATTAGCTTACATTGAAAATGTGAACTTTTGGATTTTATTTTAACAGTCTAAATGTATCGCGGTCATTCTAGGTGGGTGAAATGCAATTGTTAACCTAGATCTTGTGTTACTTAATGGGTGGAAATCGTTAAATGGCACGAGGGCTCCTCTAATTGAGGTGTCAGTTCATGATGAAAACTCTCTGAATATGTTAATTATTTTATTTAGTAACCTTTATATTTTATAATAAAATATAATTTGTCTATATCTAAGCTTGGAATGTTACTGATTCCCGAGGGAAAAAGAACAATACTCGACTTGATTTGTTTGTACCTTGTGATAAGCATATTTTTAGAAAACAAGACTTATCTAAATATTTTGTCTACGTCACTATATGGATTCATTAAAATATAACTAGTTTTACCTGTGAAGCTGTATGTCACAAAGTGACACCTTTCACGTTTTAAATTAAATATCATTATTATAAAGTAACATCAAAAACTCTCTACTTTTGAAATAAACGTAATTTACAATGAGAAATTTTGCTTGAAATTTGATTTCAATTTGATTATTAATAGTTGTTGATCAATTCAACAAAAACATACTTTTTTGATTCAAGTTTTCTTAGCAAATTACGTGTCGGTGTTGTTGTTCGTGTTAATACTGTTCTTGTTTGTTTGTTTTTTTTTCTATTTTTGACAGACTATAATTTCACTGTTGCGAACAGTTAACTTATTCGGCCTATCTTTGTTTTATTTAACTTATTCAACTTGTTTCGCTAATACATTGGCTTCTATATTAAAATTTCAACCGTAAGTCTTATACTTACTAATCTTTTGAGGTTATTTTTTTCTAAAAAAAAAAGAAGGAAAATACACAGATGTAATTGTATTGTATACTCATTTGTATCAGAGCAATGGTCTAATGGTCAAACCAATAGGCTGTTAATTATTTTGCAAGGGATTCTAACCCAACTTTCGTCTACTCTGTCCTTAAACGTCAGGATAATATCACTAATTACCTTCACATTAGAAGTGTATCTCATTACTGATCTAACTTTGGATTACTATATTTGAATCAGTAATACTTATGACCTAACTGGCTCAAGATCATTGGCCCATTCACAATTCCTGTCTTGAAGATCCAATAAGAATATGAGAAGAACTGTTGATGTATCTGGTGTATTTCTAACTCAAAAGTTCACGTCATTATATACATAAATTATAGGACCATGATGCAGCATCAGTAAGAAATTAAAATATGCACCTAAGTCAATTATGTACAGCAAAAAATCTTAATAATATATTCACCAGTAATTCAGGAATGTGCTAACGACAGCTAACAATTCAAATGGAAACTTACAAAATAGGCAAACATAACAATCATCCAATTTTAGTGTTTAATAGTTGCCTTTTAGAAATATAAATCGCAATATCTCCACTTATCTCCTTAAAAACAAATAGATTCCAACGTTTGTCATTTTCATTTATTCATCTGGTCTTAACAATTACCGACTGCATAAATTGTCAGGGTTTGGTTGGTTAGTTACATGTAGTTTTTTATATCTTGACTATTTTACATTAACATTGATAACGTGTTGTGAATATGACTTATTTTCCACGAGGAAATTCTTTTTATTACAAACTGGCTTGCCCTAGAAATATAGGATCAATAGAAAACCTCAATGTTATTATAGGTTGCCTTTTCAGTGTTTATTCACAAACAAACGATTGACAAAACTGAACTGTCCAAGTGTTTAACTAACCTTGAGAATAAAATAACTGATTGTCATTATTGACATTTTGTTTATCTTATCATTTCTTTTAGTTAACACAGAGCTACACTTTGTGCATGCCTATAAAATTCTACAATAAAACCACTGATATCAAACTTTTATTTTCATTCTTTTCTTAGCTGGCTTCATGCTTATTTTGCATCACAAAGTTTTCGTTTCAGTCATTATTTCGTATGTATATCAAGTGAATGTTTCATGACAGCTTTAGGATATAATGATAAGTATGTAATCAAGTCAAACAATCAAGAAAGCACTGATGAGAAAAACACTGAAAAGAAAGAAGTTGTATACAAGTAAGTTTGATGTTCACCATCTCTAATTATTCAATCATTTCATTTATAATCCTAATAATCATGTAATCTATTGAACATTTCAAATCTGTGAAGCGGACTAATCGCTTTAAATGTTGAAGCATTATCCACTCTCATTTAATTTATTCAGCATTCATATCGTTCATTCAATCTTTAGAATAATTCAAAGTTCTCATTGCTAGAGTTATCAAAACTCTTCAGCAATTTTCAATATCGGTTTGTGAGCACCATTTTTTTAAGTGGTTACTATTTGCAAACCAAATGTCATGTAGCTGCTTACCTATTCTCTTTCCTGACTATCCACTATTATCTTCTACACAGGAAACGGAATTTCGATACGATATCAATATATATAACTCAGATTTATCATTGCCGACTGTTATTCACTGATAATAAAATATGTTTCCTGTTTCCTGTTCTATCCCAGAATTTTCACTAATGAAAATTTTAAAACTGCTCTAGAGAAAACATATTTTATTCGGCTTCCATTTAGTTTGTTTAAACTGTTGTCTTATACGTGCTCCATTTAAACTAATCATATCTTTATTAACTTAAACTAAACTAAGATACGTATTAGTTGATTACGTTTCATTAGTAGTGTTATATCTCCTACTTTAATCATACACTTCCTTTGTGTTATAAATCTACATTATGACAATATATATATATATATATATATATATATATATATATATATTATTGTTGAATTTCTTAAATTCTATTCAAAGAATTCTATCAAGCAATTATATATTCCATAATAATGACGTGAATTTAAAGGAATAAAATAAAATAATGCTTAATTAATAAAATATTTTCTGGAATTATTATTATTATTATTATCATTATTATTATAAAACAATCTATGCTCAGATTAGTACGCGTTCATTTCTTTTTCGTAATCTGAACACAAAGAAGATTTTTTTTTCACCATTATTTTCGATGTTTTGCATTATTCAAGACCTATTGTGGTAACTCGTCCATTGTTCATTGAATTTCCTCGATCGTTAGTTGAAGTTGTTATTTACTGGAATTTACCAATGCATTATTGGTTAAAACAATGTAAGTCATGATTATTGAATGATGTATAAAAGACTACAAGATTTTTATACAAAACTATGCAGTAATATTTAAAATATGGTAATCATCTCATTAATAACTGATAACAGACTTTCAGCATGTGTTTTGTTCATACGGTTTGAACATACGAATCTACACACCATACCAGTATGTCAACTACGAGGATGAACCTCTTCGGATTAATTACCACATTTAAATTCCTGATATATGTATATGTGCATGTTCATATTTCATACTGGGTAAAAAAAAATAAGCACAGTTATCAGTGATAGTTTATAGATAACGTAGTGTATCTAAATCTACCGGTATGAAACAAAAAAATACTTACAACCGAACTAATTGTTATACCATACAGTTTATGACATTCGGAACTACTCTTAGTTCGTCATAACTTCTTTTCTCATACGTATAATATACACAAGTCTCTATTGAGTCTCTCGTCACCCTGTGAACTAATTTACAGATCTTTTTCGATTCAAGGTACTATCTTTGCTCTGTCTTTTGTTGAATTCATTTCAGAAGAAAAGTAATTGAAAATCTATATTTCAACCATGTATACAGACAGTATCAATGAACACTTTTTGCTGCTACATTTTTATCCATACAATAACATAGTATGATAAGGAGTGGGTTAAAGAAAGCATTGTTATAGTAATATCAAAACACGACATCATTCTTTATAGTCATCAACCTGTTTGCTGGTTCAAATCCCATAAGTTAACAAACGTCAGTAGGATGAAACACTGAACCGCACTATGTTATCATACTTTGAGATTCCTTAAGTATACATCAACCATCTCATAGGATGTCTAAGCTTGGATTTTGAAGTTTTACATTGAATATATTATTTGCGAACCGCTGGGTTAAAATTCACTGATCTGTATTTTAAACTTAAACACTTTGAATTCAAACAAGATACTTATCCAATCTCGTCATTATTAAAAAATATTAACAAAGTTATTTTCATTTTAAAATTATCTGATAAACAATAAATTTTGTTCATCTTGATAAATGAATATTTTAGATTAACTACTTTTAGTTGAAGAAGTTTTATTTGAGTTCAGTTGAATTGGTAGATTGTATTCGCCATAGATTCATTTCAGTCGAGTTATCATTGAAAACTAAGGGATCCTAGAATGAGACTATTGAGTATTGCATTCACGAACCCATGACTTTCAAATCTGACTGTAAATGCTTAACTATTAGTGTGAATTAGTTGTCGCATTATTGAAAAGTCCTATACTAGAAAGAAATAACTTTACAATGCATCTTGCTTTTCAACGGTACCCTAATTAAGATACTTTTGATTAATACAACTTACAAATGAGTACATTTGTTTGAACTATTAGTAGTTGTTGTAAAATAATTTCTTCAACAATCTGAACATTACAGTTTTTCTTTCTAATTAGATGTTTACAAACCGTTACGTTCATTTGGACATGTTTATGCTATATTGGGAACTTATACGGCTAGTTCATTATTACATGTAAGATTAATAATTTATATATACTTATATATCAATTTGATTCTTTTTTCCGAGATAAAAAGTGAAGATTAATTATTTAATAGTATTTTATTTTTTAGTAAAACTGTAGTAAAATTTATAACAACAAAAATGTAGAATTTTTATAGATGATTATAGCATTTTCTCATAAAAACTAATTTTCAACTGGACAGTTTTTTAAAAAAAACCGCCTAAAATTTATTGTAAATTTACCAGTGACCAATTTCAAAATGGATTCTTTTGTTCGACATTGCTGAACCGCATTAGGACTTAGATATCATTATGATCATGTGATGTCACTGATAAGCTGAAATGGAAAGCAGTATTCATTTCGGTGTATTCATCTACAAAGTACAGATACTTGTACCTTGACTTCAAGGTGTATTCTAAGTGTCAGAGTTAATTTTACTATCCAGTTTCCCAAACAAAAGTAGGTATATTGAGATTAGAATCCAAGATTTAGCTGCTAAAAGTCAAACCCTTTAACCATTGAATCACTGTTCCACTCAAGTATACTTATCATGCTCGCTACAGGACATGTCCTGTGTTACTTGTAAATTCTTACCCCTTAAGAAGTTTCAAAATAAAACAAAAACATTCAGTCGCTTTACAATTCATATCTGACTGACTGACTGCATTTAAGCGTGATAAACAAACGTGAAACATTACTTAATATAAATTAATGGTGGTAGAACTCCTCTTGGACCCCTTCTAGGGTTTCTGCCGATCCCGATCCCGGTTGAAGTAGTAGGGTTAGGCATGAGGTTAGCGGCTCCATGCCGCAACAAATCAACTCTCTATAAAGGCGCTAATCAGTACAAATAATTTTAACCATTTAAACCCTGTCCTGGGAGTTGGAAGGTCTTTATTTAGAAGGGTTATGACTGCTCATAATAAAAGTAGAGTTCCTTCAGAAGTCAAGAAGCCTATGCCCCTTTTCACAACCACAGCAACCATTCACATAAGTACATGGAATGTTCTCACGATCTGGGAGATCAGGAAAACTACTCAAGTTGCTGCAGAGACGAAAACATACAACCTAGTAATATTCAGAATCGATGAAACATATTGGACAGGTTGGGCAACTAAGACTAGCTTCAGGAGAGATGCTGTTATACTCAGGCCATGAAGAAAATGCCTCACAAACTCAAGAAGTTGCACTATTGCTGTCCAAACAAGCACAAAAGGCACTTATAGGATTGGAATTTTATGGACCTACGATCATCAAATCATCCTTTAAAAGAAAGAAAGAGAGAATCACAATGAATAGCATTTAATGCTACGTGCCCATCAACTATAACAATGGGGACGAAGAAAATTGATTCTATGAGATACTGCAGTCAGAAGTCGAGAAATCCACAGCAAAGCATTTGACCAAAGTGATAGGAGACCTAAACGCCAAGTTCGGAAAGAATGACATGAGATATGAAAGCATCTTGAGACGACATGGAATAGGAGAAAGAAACGAAAACGATGAGAAATTCGCAAATCTATGTGCCTTCAACAAACTGGCCATGGGCGGCATCATATTCCTACACAAACGCAAACACAAGGCTACATGGGTTTCACAGGATCGCACTTCACAAAACCAAATCGACCACATCTACATCAATAAAAAGTTCAGGAAGACCATGGAGGACGTAAGAACCAAGGGAGTAGCTGACATAGCTTTAGATCATCACTTGGTGGTGTCCAAGTCCAAAACTGACGAAGCACTATACAGCTGGGCGAACAATATCACAAAGTTTAACACGGTTTTTCTTTGGGATATTGGCAAACTCAATGAATTTAAGATAGCCACACCCCCCGCCAGTAACATCTTCCAAGCCGTTCAAGATCTACTCAATGCATAGGAAATACCATGGAGAACAACTGATAAGAGATTAAAGAATGGTGGAGAAAGTTTGTAGCTCAGGTGGATAATTGTGGTAGTGTTTGGTTTTCTGAGCTCAGAGAACCAAACACCACAACGGAGATTAAAGAAACAGTAGCTTCAGCATATCATGAGGTTCTGGGCCCCACGAAGCATCATCACAAGGAATGGATCACTGGTAATACACTGGATGAGATTCAAAAAAGTGGGAACAAGAAAGCAGCAGTCAATATCAGCCGAACAAGAGCAGAGACAGTGAAGGCACACAAGGGAGCGAAGAGGAGCAGATCGTGTAAAATGCTTCAAGAGAAGGAAACATGAGACAGTTATACGGTACAACGAAGCAGCTAACTAAAAAATATGGTAAACTAGAACGACCATTCAAGAACAAGGAAGGGTAAGCGATTACCGATTATTCAAGTACACAGAAACAAGTAGGTAGAGCTTTTTGAAGAACTCCTGATTAGACCAGACCCACAGAATCTACCCATCATCTAAGCAGCACATACAAACCCCCCACTTGACATCGACCTGCGTACAACCGAAGAAACCAGTATGGTCATAGAAGTGACTGCAAATATGCTCCATGCTCTCTTCGGAAAAATATCGGAGTAGGAATAAGTTTCAACAGACGGGAAAGAAGGATTCCTCATCAAGATACCAGAAAAAGGAGACCTCAGCAAATCCGAGAACTAGAGAAACATCATTCTACTATAAGTAATAGGAAAGGTCTCTAACGAAATGTTGTCGAACCAAATGAAAAATTCAGTAGACGCCAAACTTCGAGATCAGCAGGCTGGATTCGGTAAAAATGTGTTGTGCACCTACGCAGTCGCAATACTATGGATCATCGCGGAACAATCAGTTGAATGAAACGCACAACTATACATTAGCTTCCTTGATCACAGGAAATAGTTTGACAGCATGGACAAGATAACATTATAGGGACTGCTTTGACACTACGGTATACCTAAGATGTTAGTCAACATCAACAACAATGGACTACAATGTATAATCTTGTATGGAACTTAGCTCACAGACTCGTTCCAAGGTTAAGATCGCTTTCGGATAAGGTTGCTTACTCTCATCCTTCCTCTTTATCCTGGTGGTTGACTGGATTACGGAGACCTCAGCATCTCAGCGGAAGCGTTGGAATACAGTGGTCAGCTCACCTGCAGCTGTATGATTTTCACTTGGTAGACGATCTAACCCTTTTATCCTACACACGAAAATAAATTCAAGAAAAGAAGGCCAGTGTGGCAGCAGCCTCTAAGGAAGTATGCCTGAACATACACAAGGTAAAAAGCAAGATCCTCCGATAGATCACAGCATGCACCAACCAAATCATGCTTGATGGAGAAGCTTTGGAAGACGTAGAAACCTTTACATACCTGAGCAGTATGATTGATATACTAGGTGGGTCTGATACAAATGTAAAGACATAGATTAGCAAAGCACGTGCATTAATTCAAAAATTGAAGAACATCTGGAACTAAAAACAACTCCCAACCAACACCGAATTTAGGAATTTCAATATAAACACTAAAGCAGTCCTATTGTATGGAGCTGACTCTTGGAGAACTATAAAAGCCATTGTCCAAAAGATCCAAATGTTTAGTGACAATTTTCTACGCAAGATACTGCGGATCTGTTGGCCAGGCCTGATCAGCATCAACCATTTATGAGAGAGAACGAACTAGCTTTCGGCTGGGGAGGAAGTTAGGAAAATGGGCTGGAAGTGAATAGGATACACATTGAGAAAAGAATGAATAGCATTTGAATAGAACTGGCAAGGTAGGCTACTCGGCGGTCTTTAAGCAGCTCACTGTTTGTATTAGTTCATTTACAGAGTCAGAGGATACATATTCGGCTAGAAATACAATTGAAGCTTTAATAATCTCTTGAAAAAATCTTAAAATTACTAGACATTTAAATGTGTGACCAATAAAATTAGCAAAGAACCTTCTTGGAAATTTTCACAGTTCCTTGATTAACTAAAGTTAATAACGTTTCATATTCAATTCTATAGACTTTTTTTAAAGTACACTTGTTGGCAATACTTGTAACAATCATTTTCATGATTTCACCTTTACTTTTAGGGTTTAAACTTTCAGCTGAGTGCTGTATTATTCTCTATTGGAATATATGCATATATTGAATATGGTAAGTATGCACATATGAATTCATACCCTTTGAAATGGTTTTCGATTATCAAAATTTGATAGTTTAGTGGATACCATGCTGGCGTTTATAGAGATAAGTACGGAATTTAAATCACAAGATAAACAACAACTCTAGGTTATAGGTGTTTACCCAGTAAATGCCAAATAAGATAAAACGCACTTCCTAAACACCACTGAAAACTGTAATCAGCTTCACTAAGATGAGCACAATTCACCAAGAAAAATTAATATGTCAATCTATTTGTAACTTAAAATTAACTCTCAACAACATATAACAGATTAACCTATTCATTGTCTATATAGTCAGTAGGAGAAAAGGTATCAAGTGTTATTGTTTATAGGCATAACCAAATTACCGTTATTTATGGCGTTTAACTTTTACTAATTTCTGTCTGTTGAATATTCTACTTAAAAATATAAGTAGTAGTTTGATTATTATTATTATTATTACAAATCGTTTGACAGGTAGAAATGTTTTATACAAACTGATTTCAAGTGTATTTCACAAGAATGATGACTCTACTTGACAGCTTTGTTGTGGTGATTAACATGACATTGATGACAAAAACAGCAAACAAAACACTTTATGAAATGAAGTTTTCTTTCATATAAGATATTTTATTTTGATAATTTCGATCATTAAATCACTTTTCTAATTTACCAATTGGTAAAGTTCACTGATCACAGTCTAGATCATGAATTTTGATATTTTCCACAAAATTCCAAGTATTACGCTGATTATCAATTTTGCTGAAATTATTCACACTGTCTTCAGTGCTTACTCTGTTTTACTCAGGTTATTGTTGTTACTATTATTTTGCTCATTTAGTAAATAAATCTTATATATAAGAATGCAATTATCCTTAAATATTTTATTTCATGAGGCTAGATTTAATCCTCACTGACTGTTATCAATGTTTTAAGTGTAGCGCAGTTTTGATTATCGCATGCAAAGCACAAATATAATGAATATTATAGCTAAAAATGAAATCTTTGATTAAAAATAACTCTCCTCTAATATGCTACACCTGCTCTCTAATTGAACATGAAAGCAACCGAAAGTGTTGGGTTCGGTACACTTTGTGAGCACTCAAAATGTTACGGATAACTTGAGCTTTGTTTATGCATAATTTAAAATGCTTATGTTTTATAAGATGAAAATATATAAACAACGTTGTGTGAATTACAAAACACGCCAAATCCACACTTTTTCTTGTGTAATCTACATGTAAAGGTAAATCTTCAGGGGTTAATCCGTTTTTCGTCTGTTTAAAATGGACTCTTAACCATATCACCGTAGTAATGATGCGCAGTCTCGGGGAGTACATTTGTTTAAACAAGCTGAAAGTTTTCTGTCTGCTTCCCATATTATTTTCTCATAACACTACTTACCAAAGTTGATCGTTAATACTATACTTGCTGTGTAGAATCACTTATACTAATTTGTGTCTTATAAAAAATTCAGACGGAAATTTACCTGGACCCGAATAAGAGAATTCTGATGCCTGAATTTCTTCAGTTTCAAGATAGGAAGACCAAATACAAACCTCGAGAAATAGATAAATCATGTAAAATCAGTGCACACATTGAAGTTTCGCTACTTACTGAGCGAAAATTTTCAATTTAGCCTATCTTTGTCCTGAATGACCCATATGTGACTGTGGTTTCAAGGTCAGCGTTATTGTCTCTCAGCATATGTGATATGCTATAGTTTAACAATTTTATTGTTCACTTTTACGATTATTAACAAGTACTTTTCTAGAATTATTGTTTAATATAACAATTGAATCAAACATTTTCATATTATTTAGTCTTTCGGGAAAAGTTAGCCAAGATTATGGATGTATGTATTGCTAGTCGCCCGTGTCCTGAATCCTGTTGTCATAGTGACAAGGTAAATGCAAATTTCATAATATACTTGACCATCTTATATGTATCATTATAAATACATATATAAGCAAACTAGATGTCATTTACATTTTGCTGGTTTCTGTACACCGACATCATAGAAGTACAGCTGAAAACTCAGATTCATTTTGTTTTACTAAAAGAAAATAATAAGTCAGCCCGGAAACGTCAAGATTAACCAAGTGCACGAGGACAAAAGGCAGGGAAGCAAAGCAGAGTGAAGTGAAGTGAAGCGAGGCGAAGTGGATGAGTGGGGAAAATCCAACGTGATGAAGCATGACTAACTATTTATCGTCAGACTAAAGTAAGCTACATATGTGATAGGCAAAGAAAGCAAGGCACATAAGCACTCAAGTAAAAACAGTTAAGGTTTTAAGCGAATAATTGACAAGGTCAAAACAAACATGTGTGAATAGTAACTCTTGCAGAAAATGTTAATTATTTTGTCCAAAAGCTAGGACAAGCCATGTCGGCTCAACATATCAGTACACAATACATTTTCCTGTCTTTCCACCTCTTCCGTCACCCAGATACATTCGCTGTCTGTAATTACTCATATGTAATTGTGATCATGTTTTATAGATGCGTAGATGATAGTATATCTATGTTTCTATTCCCTCCTATATTTCTTACATGACTTATAAAAATTGAGTCTACTTTTCATTCTCTGACTCGGCATATGATCAAATTGTAATACTTGATATAATCGCTATAGTTTTTATGCGCTTGTCTGTCATGCAACACTATTCTATCTTAAATACAACTCATATTTGACAGACAATAAAAGTTAGTGTTCGAATCCTAGTCGTGACAATAACACTGGAATTGTGTTGTATTCCAGTGATAAGTTTCAAATAGAATTAAGTGCCCATCCTAGATTTTACTGCTGGTCGCCATCTAACTTTACTAAAACCTCACGGCCGGTATATTTTCTCTGAAATATTATTCGATTATTTAATATATAATGCTTACATACTTTTTGTAACTTGTAGGTAAATTTATTACTCTAGTTGTGTATATAGATTCGAGGTTAATGTTTCATTTATTGGTTTTACTTCATAACACATACTTTCTTTGTCTGTTTAATTTTAGAATTCATCTTTTGTATATTGGTGTAATGTGGCCTTCAGTTGTTTGGCTGTATTTCATTTAGCTTATTTAGCTGTGATGTTCGATACAAGTGAACAACAATTTCAGGTATGATTTTAAGTTAAACACATAAATGAATTCCTTGTCTCGATTTTTTGAGGTGATTTATTGTTCTGAAATACATAAATACATTGATACGAATATACTTGTTTACAAAATATACATTTCAGACTAATGATCACTTTTGAGATTTTTACACATTGAAATCATCAACCAATCGTTGTTAGACCACCATTAGAAACCTGGAATTACTGGACAGCTGTTTCATCCTGGTATGGGACTCATCAGCGGTGCGCATCCACGACTCCTGTACCTCGCAGTAGTTGAACCCGGGACGTTCGATCTTGCGCACGAACGCCCAACCACTGGTCCGGCATCCAACGGTGTTAATGTCTAACTCTGATTGATCTTGATATGTTGTGCGCCCTCACCCATTTGTCTTCGGTACTTACTGCCTACACCCGACAGGGTTGAACTCCACTGGTCACGTCTTTTGAGATTCATTCAGATACAAATATTCGCCGTTTATACTTCAACTTTACTAGTTTAGCTAACCGTGCTCTACCCCTTTGTATTGTGTATTTTAAAGCCTACTGCTCCAGAGGTTGCTAAACAGACAGTTAATATCGCTTATTAATTAATGTATTTTATTTTATTTGGTAAAATATTTAGCCTATACGAATAATGAGATCGAATGTCAGTGTGCACTGACCTACTGAATTATCCATAGTTTTGATTATGTTATTTGCTTAAATTTTATTTACTGAACTACAATCCGCATTACTTTTATGATTTCTGATATCTGTCTGTTTTTTTTTACAACAGGGCTATAATATGTGGCATACTATGGATAAATGGTACAATTTAGGATTTCTCAGTCATATTGTAGCCTTTGCAAGCTACTTATTTTATTTATATTTATAAATCATTGTTGAATCAATTATATGGTTATTGTTTGTACATTGATCTATGATACTCTCAATATCACAATTGTATTGTGTGCATTTGTAAACGTATGCAAAATGTACTGTTTTGGCTTGCAATTGTACACAACAACAAATAGAGATTGTTGAGTTCTTTTTCAGCTACATTTAGACAAGTTTCTTGCATTCAATATGTGTGTTTGTATTTTTGTCTTTTTTTGTGTTGTTTTGCTTCAAGTTATTACTATTTCTGGCTTAGGCAACTGATTTTGTTTGTGTTTTTCAATTTATTCAACAACAACAAAAAAAAAGGAACTAAAATGTCTTTAAGTTGACTGATTGATTTTGAAGCTTGTAACTAACTTTCAACAATACAAAATGTATAAAAAAAACAATGATTGGAATGAGTTTTTGTACACTTACTTGATTTAATGAAGTTGAATATATTTTTTAAATCATACAAACTCTGTTTTTTTTTCTTTAACATTGGTTTAGTTGTAGAATTGTTAATGTTACGTTAATATGTTCTAAAATTGTGACTCGTGTTTATCTTCATTCCATTGAGAAATGTCTTGTTGACAAATTGAAATTGAATTTATATTATGAGGGAGTGTGATTGGATTTTGAACTGCAATGTTCAAATCCTACTCTGCCTGTTTCAGTTCTTGAAGTTGATTAGCTACACTACCTATCGTATATATATTATTTCAATTGGAAGAAAGTTTTATAATTTAACTAACTATCTCTTGGTATATTTAGTAAGAGAATAACTAGAATTCTGAAATTAGGACAAGAAAGCCTACTTCCTATCTGTTAAGATTGTATCATTAAGTAGTACTTCTGTTTTATAATATGATTTATATTGTTTCAGCTTGAAATGTCATAGATTTCTCAAAGTCACTGACTTAGTGTTTTCTATACACTTAATAATTAAGTATCCTTTACCATGTCCATTTCACTAGATTCTACTTCTTGAATAATATCTTCTAACCACATAGTCTCTCCGACTACTGTTAATACCTTTATTACCTCTACTACTATGGGATTTGAATTGACAATTCCATCTGTCTGTGCTAATGTGGTATGGCAACATGAACCGATGTACGTACGTACGTACGAAGTTCTACGTTGTTATTGATTGACTGACCATCTCCAAATGATTTTCTCTATTTACATGAAAAGTTAATGGAATAGTATGACATAATTTCACTTTTCATTCAGTTTATTCATATCTTACTTTATAAAACTCACACTTTAAAGCGTAATGTGACGTAAAATGAAAAGAATTGTCACTACAAATGTAGGAAAATGTAAAACTTTACTTTCAAAGATTGTACTTGTATGAACTCCATGAGAAAAAAATCATTAAACAATCCTTGTAATTACTTGACTCTGATTGAACATTCAAATAATTGGTAGAAACAATAATACTTTTTTTTCGATTAGTTGATATATTTATAAGTTTGAATAAGTTGTACGTATTATCTATCTATAGTTTAATCTTCCAATTAGTAAATTGAATATGAAAACACTACTTCATTGTAGATCTTATCAAAAACAATAAGATAAATGAATTAAAAGCCTAATTTATACTGGTGAATAGAATTAAATTTCCCATACAGTTTTGATTGCTCCTTTTCTTTGATCAAACAACATCCTATTCACTAATAATTTGGAAACCTCTTTCATCACTACACTGAATCTAGGATAATTATTAATTTCACAGAAAATTTAAGTCTTTATTTTGTTTACAGTTATTTTTCTTTGTCTGATCGCTGAACAGCATTAGTGTGTATTGTTTTTCGGAAAGTTACTTCTGATTAGGTCGTGACATTTTTATTAAACATTAATCTTGTCAGACAGATCTTTGACGTAAGGATACCAAGAAAAGAAGGTAAACATTTTTGGGATGGTCATTTGTACTAATTAGTTAATGACACACAAAATACATGAGTTTTATAAATCGATGTCTTGAACAAGTCAGTCGAAAGTTATTCCGGCCAACCAAATTCGAAAACTCTGTTTAACCTAGAACAAAGGGTTGACTTTTGAGTTGATTAATTAAAGTCTTTTTTCTACTGCGAACGTAGGACTGTAACTAACGTTCAATAGTTCCATTTACCAATGAAACTACTCAAGTTTGAGACAGTACCTGTAATGTTTTGACGCAAAATTAAGTGAAATATTAACTTTCACCTGAAGTTCCTACAGTCTATCCCGTCTGAATTCGTAAGCGTAAACTTCTTAGGCATTCCACAGTAATGTGTGATAACCGTTACTTCTACCTAGTTTTAATGTCTCAGCAGTTGGTTTCAATTCGTGATGCAAATTATCCTCAAGCATTAGTTGTAATTATTAATCATTAAATGAGTAACTCTGAGTAAAATACATTTATGCTATACTCAAAGTGATTCTAATTCCCGACAATCTATTAGGTTGAAAAGAATTTTGTGAGAAATTTCATATACGCATAAATATAGAAATTGTTCACTCATTAGTTTATATTCGTGTCGGAAATGTAAACCAATCCGGACTGATTCTTTTTTCATTCATTATCAATTTTTAAGTAATTCAGAGCACTAACATTGCATTGAACAGCATGCGATGTTCTATCGCACACAAAAGTTCCAGTAAATTAAGATATAATCATCGAATCACTTTCTCACTTAACGCTATTTAACTCGACCTAGAAACGAGTGCGCAAGTAAACAACATAGAATCAAATGGTATTTAAATAACTATTTATAAACCTTATTATAACCCCAGATGGGATATTTGTAACTGCATACAAATAGCTTTCTGAACAGAAAATAGTTTGATTTTAATATTGATAAACCAATAATGAACCTTAGAAATCTTGTAAATTATATCAAAACAGTGTGTTTGGAAGAAAGCTCGAGGCGGTCAAACCAAAACATCGTACAAATCCATACCATTATGGGGATTTGGATGAGCGATCCCATCTCTTTGTGCTAATGCAGTATAATAACTTGAACTAACCAAGTTCTGTGTTCTAGCTGATCGACTGGTATACCTGAACATAAACATCAGTCGATAATGTCCACACGAAGTTCTTAAAAATGCCAACCAGAAACTTTCTGCCGCAAAATCTGATTGCTTCTAATATTACGACTTCCTTTTTTATTCGGTAAATAGTTCACGGTAGGCTTTTTGTTCGTTTTTAAAATGTGTGCATTATAATTTTCAAATTATATATATACCAGTCTATACATATATCATAACTTTTATTATACATACGAATAAATAATTTAAAATCTGTGTTAACAACAAAAATCAATTGTCAAATTCGTAGTTGATACGAGTTCATTGACAGTCGATTTCTAAAAGAGAAATGAGAAAGGTTATCAGTTTAAATTTCATTCATGGTAGCGTTTTTTTTTAAAAGTGCTTATTATGACTGTAAGACTTTTTCAATTGGAGTGTCTTTTGTTCTGACATTACACTTTTATTTACAATCGAGATCATAGCATCAGCATATATTCCAATATGATGAACGGAAAGATGATGCTGAAGCTATAACAAAATAATTAAACAGTAACTGATAAGGTGTCACAACTTACCAGGGTTTTTTAATAAGATAATGAAAATGTATGATAGAAAATAATATATGACATACTACTTGAATGTTCAACTCGTCAGCGATCGATTGCATTTTCAATATACTGCTCAAGTAATTTTAACTACATTCATAGATAATCCTATCCTATCTTTTCCTCAATGGATCTTTCTAAACTGAGTTATAGTAAACTATTTCAACTCATCTCCTAAATAATACTTTTGATGATTACAGTTACTCTTTCATCTTCACCACTGAACTAACTTTTTAATTGATCAACTCAAATTTATGAAATTAAAACTGATTTTCATCACAATTAGATATCGTTTGTGAATTTTCGATAATAGGTTTTGATTTGTGATTTCACACAAGAGATTTAAGACATTGTTGTTATGACAAGCCTTCAGACCATTTGAAATTCAATAGATCACGTTTCTTAAATTATTTGGTTTACAGGATTACCCGATTATCCATTACGACCTGCTATACTTGTGTCTCCCTCGATAGGATTCATGAACCTCCTCAGCCTTAGCCCCTTGCTACAAGTCTGATGATACTTCTCAAAGCTGATCACTAGTAAACACATCATTTTTAAGAAGATTTGCTGATAACTGTTTTAGTTTTACCGCAGAATTTAAGAAGAACAGTCTTCGATTCGAAGACCGTTTAAGTAGCCGGAGAACATTGGACAGTTACTTAGTTTGACTTTTTGAAGTACTATTTACTAACTACTATTTTCGAAAACGAAACTTAATAAGTGTAGACCAATAACAAAAACGTATTCCAGTTTACAAGGTGTAAACTTGGAGAACGTTTAACTCAAACTGAAATTAGTCTGTGACACATTAAAACTATAAGTCAGTCATGGTTACTTAGTCATATTTTCAATCTGCAGAAGGCATTAAGAATAACTGGCAAAATTTGGTAATGTAGCTCTTAAACTTAATATCAATATAACAGTACTTTTTGTCCAGTTGTCACCACATAAATTAGTACACTGCTCATGAATTTCTGAACTTTTCTACAATGCACGTGGCAGGGATGTCAAAATATTGTACTATTAAATTTTGACCACCAAAGTTCACGCAAAAAAGTAATTAGACATTTTTTAGAACAGTGGTTCCCAATTACTCATTTTTAACCATAAAGATTCGAGACAAGTTTTGTTCTTGATAAGCTTTTTTGCAAAATATGTGGTGGATTAATGTTGTAGAGTCTTGTACTTCTTTTTTCCATGAATCGTAATGCACTTTCATCCTTATCTTTCAAGTAGTCATCAGTAGTGTTATAAGTAAAAAGAATCGATTATATTTAACAGGAAGCGGCTTTCATGAATGAAATCATAAAATCAGCTGGACCACTACTGATAATCAAAAGTACTGGAAAGCTATTTAATCTTAGTATACGTCTCTTCAGAAATACATACCCACTATCCCATCATTTGGAGTTTCCAATCCAGGATCTTTAGTGTCACATGTGAATGGCCGACCTTTAGGCCACTGAGTCCCTATCGAGTGGTAAACATGTCTAACTCTAGTCAATCTGCTCGATCGCCTTCAGCGGGTAACTGTCTTTCATTCAGCATGACTAGACTTAACGGATTTCGGCTTCTCACAAGAACTGTTGGACTGGCGTTTTGAAGTTAGTCGCTAGTGAGCTCATCATTATTATTAGCATGGTAGGACTGGTGAAGATTGTAGAATTTCGGTAGCTGAGATCATAGCTTACATAAGTTTGTAACTAAAATAACAGAAAATCTACAATTCTCACAATCGTGCCCTGATACTAATAAAAAGTTATTTAAAAGCCTTCAAGTATTTGTTCATTGCCATAATCATAACTAATTTTACAATTACCTCTCGAATTTCGAATTGTTAACTGGTAAATTTGCAACACTTCTCCAGGTATTGGAATTCGATAACAAGGATGTCACCCGATTATTCTCTGACTTAGTTTGAACCATACTTAAACGTGCAGCTTTTCCATAGGAAGGATTCGGCTGTCTTTTCGTTGTTTTAAATGAATCTGGTGATATATTTGGCAGAATCTTTCTAATATTCACATCAGTTGAACCCCGTAACTAAATATTTTTTTTAACATTGAACAAATAAAAAAAGGTTTACTTAAAAAAAACTATTAATTCATTATCACGTGAATAGTGGAAGAGTTTACTTCATTATGAAGCCCAAACGGCTGATAAACAGTCACTCACACTCGACCTTCTGAAAGAGAACCAGTTGTCAAATCAGCGATAACTTAATAACACATCAAACAGAGTAGAATTAGTGGAATAAAGATAAAAGGACTTTTACACTTTGAAATAACCTCTTGTCTTTAGTGTGCACACATCCACTTAAAACCTTGTTCAGCCACAAGTAACTCTGACCAGATCTACCACGAATGACTAGGATATTTTAAACAGAATGAAATAATCATGGTCAACTTACTGAGTCATTACTGTGCGGCAATTGTTGAATTTCATGACTCGCGTCACGACTAGAGTTCAACCAGTTCTGATGTGTAAGGTAGCGCACCAGTGACATTGGATGATGGTGTTTCAGTGTCGGGAGGTGATTGAAGTTGAGTATGTGCACTAATGGATGGATGATGGTCAAGTGCTCTAACGATTAAACGCTCACTGTAAGACTTGAAGGTCTTTGGTTTGACTCTTATAGGCATCATGGGTAAATGCAGCTTCGGAGTTTCATATTAGAAAGCAACAGCTGAGGCTTCTGTTTTTCAGTGTTTGTCTAACTAGCATCGATTCACGCTTTAGCTTATCAATACAGTGAAAATCAAAACAACACATATAAGCGAGCAAGATTTTTTCAATGAGATCGTCATCAAGCTTTACTCTAATATACATGAATATTTATATGAAAATATTAGGCCAGTCGAGCCAGTTTATGAGTAAGTGATCACAATGAAATAGCAGATAAAAATACAAGTCGATAGTAGGAAGTCAGGTATTCTATTGGTTTCAAGAATTCTAAAATAACAAAGTTCTAGTCATTATTTTAACACTATATATGGGAAGTAGGTCAAAGTTGGATAAATGGACTTGAAATATCAATCACAAAACATTAAAATTACTTGATAAGTGTGTAAATAATTAGATAGTGAAGAACATAAGCAGTAAAAGATGAAAAATAACAGATGTTGGATGTGAAAGTGATAACATTAAAATTGTCTACTGAGTTACATCTAGCAAAGAAAGGGACAAGGGAGTCGTAAATTTCTTCTGAACAAGTTTAAAGGTTCGGATTCTGACGACGATCTAGTTGAAAATACTATCTCCCGCTTTTATATGTTATTCTTAATAATATAGCATCAACATCATTTTCATTATATCATCTGATCAACAACTGAAGTAACCAAGGAGCAGTGAACGGATATTCCATTCATCTTTGATACTTATCAGATATACATAGTTCTTGATATCTGACTAAACCCACGACTTTTAGATTTTACTGCTAACTGAAGGACTTTAAAATAAGTTAACTGTTTTAGGATAGTAAAAGGCGAATCCATCGAAAACTACCATATTTTCAGTGATTTTAGATGTTGAATAAATATTTTAAATTCGTATGAAACTAGTTGTACAACGATTAATAGTTACCAAAAAGTTGGATTTTCATTAAGTTCTACAACTTGCATGCTAAAAGTAGTAAATTAAAGAAATATCCTGCTTTGAGGAAACTATTTTACAAGCTATGGAGTATAGCTTAACGATTTCTTAAATTTGTTAAAATCTGCAAACGTTCCAATTATTAGCGTGCAGTAATACCTAAAACATATTGTGTAAGAAATGGGATCATGAGAATAATAGTTGAGGTGATTGGGGTCGATTGGTGAACAAACAGATACTTGATCTTTTCCACTACTCTGCTTACCATGGATTTATCACTTTCTATTCAAGAGAAAAACTTTTTATATTTAATATTTGCAATATGATCCATACTACTAATGATTCCAGTTCTTTGTTATTCACCTTTCTAGACCTATTCTGATGTGTCAATATTCATTAATGTGCATCTATTCTGGAACATGCATCAATCATAATTGATACTTAGTGTCAAAATCAGAGAATAATTAATTATTGAAAATATCTCAGGCTTAAGAGGTATTAGCTACAGCTAAGCCGTCAAATTAATTTCATGTTATAATTGCCGAGATTATCATAACTCTTGGGAGGTTAATCAGACGAGAGTACTTCTTTTCCCGAAACGCCTGAAGGTTTTTGATCTGAAAGCTTTAGAAGTTATGAAAATCATGTCTCATGAATGCCTTATTCTTACTTTTGTGGCTTAATGGCTCAGTAAATCTTATTGAAACTAGGAAAAATAAAGTACTGATCTAAGTTGCTGGCCTCCTATGGTCAAAGTGTTCAAAGAAAATTCATAATGTAAACTTTCACGATTTAAACATCATCTAATGACATTCAGAAGTGCAATAATCATGCTAAAACTTACAAATCGAGAATATTGATCCAGAATACTTTTGATATCTTTCTTAGAATATCCTTTGTTAAATGGAATAACGATACCCTATAATGGGGAAATGTATTCTTTATTATTCTGCTCCTTCAATACAAAATGTCTTACCCTCCAAGGGATTTTTTCCAGCATATTCGGTCGATGTGAAATAGGCAGACCAACTTTCACTCTTAATAATTTATGATGATGACTGTTGTATGCTTCACTATAATCATTTATTAATGAAAAAAGACTCTGAAAACGAATATTTACAGTTGTTAAAAAAACATTTCTATAAAATTACAACAATTACATTACCGGATATTTGAGTGGTTTATACATCAGATTTTCTCGTCTACTCAAACCTAATGCACCAAATAGACCATTGGATGAGTATATTCCAAGCACAGCATGTCTAAATACATGGTTGTCGAATTCAGAAACAAAAGATATCGTAAATCGTTTGAAATATTCTTGACCTTGTGTAAGAAAGCTTGAAAATAAACACTGAAAGAATTCACTTACATAGCTAATATGGTCGCTTCTAAACATTTTATTGGGAGTGAAGCTAGCATCATTATTTTGACGACCTCTTCAAGTCTTTTCAATTAAAACGACCGATATGTATGCAAATAATTTTTAATAAATGCAATGGATTTACCTAACAATCGGTGCACCACGATTTATTTGGAAGAATTGCATCCCAGTATAATTGTATCTAAATTTTTAAACGAACAAATAGTTTATAAAAATAAACAACGACACAGGTTCAACTGGATGAACGCAACTTCATAACAGAAGTTTTAATAGCATAACTTACTTATATTTACCGAAAACGCTTCTTAATGTTAATTTTGTTCATAAACCGATACTGTCTACTTATCAAACGTTTGGTGATTTTGCAGAAGCTAAACAGTTCTACGCTTACATCCTAGTTCAAAAGCAATGAATTAGCTGATTATAAGTGCAAACCAACTGATAAACACTAAATGTTTATAGAAACCAGTTGTACATTTTCCAGTTTACCATTTGGCAACGATTTCTTCTGTCTAGTAGGAGAAGTAATTGCCACCATAGTAGTCTGATAAGACTTTGTTTAACACCAGTTTAGATAAACATATCGTGTGATCAAATTTAAGTCCAACTTTTTACATACACTATAAATAATGTGTAACATAAGAATGACTACCCATTTTGGTGCTGAATAAGGACCTGATCAATATTGGAGAGAAGTTGATTCTGACGGCATATTCAGTAAACCAGTTTATAAACTATGCATGTGTATCACTTACCACTTTTAAGTGTACTGTTTAGTCAATCAGAATCGACACGAGCCTGTAGTGGAATATTTAGGCGAAGAAGACACAACTGGTCAAAAGGAAACATTTATTATTGCACTCCTTTTGTTTGACTGTACTAAAAACACTTACACGCAACTTTCTGTTTGCCTTGCTGCCATCCTTAGTTACACACTGCTCTTTATATCCCCCAATTTATTGCTCTGATCTCGGTGTTCTTTCGAAACCACGAAATTCTTTACCCTACATTTACTTTTTATCACTTTGACGGGCTAGTAATTAGTATTTAGTGGTGATCATAGTCAATCTCGAAGCGATAACGCTGAAAAGCCTCAAAAAAAGTAGAGGTTGGCCCAACATTTTAGACTAGCCCAGTAAAAGATCAATTACAAGGAAAGCCTAAATAATTTCAACAGAAATGACGTACGAAGACTTAACCCTGAGAATTTAGATTGAGAACAATGAGATGAAGTACTAGAGGAATATAAAGAGTGAGTGCATGTGCTTATAAACCCTTTAATATGAAAACTAAAACATTTTGACGGTCACTCACTCCTATCATAGCATTCTTTTCGTCAGGTTATTCACATTATTTAACAAAAATATCAGCACTTTTAAAAATTATCAACAGTTCTGAATTCCACAAATGCTAAAACATGTCACATTGTAAACTTGATTTTGATATTTCCGACCATAGGTATTTATTGCTCATTAAATCCAAGATTAGCTGTGCTTCAACGGTTACTATTAAAATAAACCGAATGACAAGGACTTACTAGAAAAACAACCTATTTAAAATTTTGCTGCTGCATGTTCACGAAACATGCATTCAAAAATAAAAATGGATTAATAATACTGTGCAATAACAGGCAAAATTTTAAGTGAGAGGTTTTTGGGATAAATTAATGAGACTAAATCGAACTATACATAAAGAGCACGAGTAAAACATTTTCACCAACACATTTAAAAGAAAAAGTTTAAAAATTGGATATTCCTCACCCAAGTTTATTGAGGTAAGCTTGTACTTCATTCAGAAACTTTCCCGGGGTTTCATTTTTATCCATAGTAAATGCAGGTAGCTGCAGAAGCATTAGGAAGATATGAAAAATTTACAGGCATTTTTGACGTAACATGATCTTGAAAAGATTCATATAGATCAGTGATCTGCTCTTTACTATCGACATTTTGTTTAAGACAAAAATCGAACATCGATTTCCAAACATTTGAATCAATAGGGAATCCATTTCTGTTTATGAGAAAAGAAACACTGGCAGACATTTTGAAAATGTGTGCCTCAGATCTCTATGACTCTGATGACTTAAACAAACTAAAGATTATAATTATAACTATAATTATAATTATAATTTTTTTAAAGGATATACTATAATTTCCCTCGAAGACGCTTTAAATCATCTTAATACGTAACCAGTATCCGAAGTCAGTTTTACGAACCATTATAAACTAATTGTTTCCTTTGTGTTCGGTTCTTGTTCTTTCGGTATAACCACATGTAAGCGGTAATGTCTGATCAGTGGTAGTCCAGCCACTCCACAGCACTTATTTCAGTCACTTAGGGGTCATTTATGAATTTGTACGTCCCGTGCGTTTGTCTCAGGGAAACAGGATTTCGGGACTCCAACAGCTATCACATTACCGGGCCAGAGACCAGTAAGTTGCAATTTGGGAGAATAATGAGATTTCAGAACTAAGTTAATAAATATATAATTTAATTAACTGGTGGTGAGGATCGTGGGAAAGGATTTAAGTTTAAGCAGGGAGAGGAAATAGAGCTATTAATCAATATAAGTTAAGTGGTCTGAGTAGAGTTATGGAGTCAGTCTTCGCAATGTTTATTCTCTAACCCCATCACCAAAGTAGTTGCTCGTATCTGCACTCGATCCAGGAGATTTATATTTGTTTTATTAAGAAAAGGTTCGATGAATTGCGTATGTTTTAAACAAGGTTAAGAATAATCCTGCGGTGATCTCACCAAGTTGTCTTCGCTTAAAGTTAAGAAATGCGTCAGTATGATAATTAGAAGTATTTGTATTTTAGGATCAAGAACTACGAGATGAGCACAAACGAATGTACTGTATTTAGAATTCGAAATCAACCATTCAACAACAACCAAGAAGTCACTAGTTCATTCAAACTCCACATCCGCCACAGCTTAAATTGGAATCCAAGTGTCTGAAATCAACTGTACGTCTTCTTCTCAAATTCATCCTTTGTCTGTCCGACAGTGTATTGGATAAAGACTCTGTATTATCTAGAATGCTCTCATTAGTATTAGAATTAGCAACCGAAATCGGAACAGACTCACCTGGTTCCTGGAATTGTATTTGATCAACATGCCGATTGTGTGTACTTAAGTCATTAATATCTAGAAGTCGCACCATAGATTTCCCGATATTCTTCAGAACACTCCCCGTGGATGGTCGAAGATCATTGCCACGATAATATGTAACTTCTGCAGACTCCAAACATCTCATATTCGACCGAAGAATTCTTCCTCTTAATAGTTTTGATGGAGTCTCTTTCGTTACTGTATGTCTGGCATTTCTATATTGCAGTAGAAAGGTATCTACTCCCCTCTCCAGCTCATTAAATGTTGAGGCGGCAATAGAATAAATAGCAGTTTTTAACGTCCTGACAAAATTTTCTGCCTGACCATTGGAACAAGGATGTCTGGGAGCAGTAAACAGATGTTTGCACCCTATACCATTTAACCAGGTAGTGACTGCCTCTGCAGCAAAATGAGAGCCGTTATCAGTCACTAACACCATTGGAACCCCTTCTCGACTAAATAACTTTCTTAATGCTTGAATTGTGAAGTCAGAATTTGGTGAAGTTGTGAAAAAAACTTCAGGCCAATTTGAAAAAGAATCAATGACTACGAGTGCATAGTATTTACCAAGAAACGGGCCACCATAGTCTGTATGAATTCTCTGCCAGGCCTCCGACGATACTGGCCATGGAGTCCTCTTCGAATGCTGATTTTTTCAGCTTATGACACTTTTCGCAATTATTTGCTGTACGACAAATATCTGCATTTATCTCTGGCATCCAACACGTGAGCCTCGCCAAGGACTTCATTTTCTCAACACCTAAATTTCCACTATGAAGATCTTCAAGGACAGATTTACGCAATGAAGGAGGAATAACAACACGATCATTTAAACACGAAATACCATCAGGAGTAGTGGATAGCTCATCCCGCTTTGAAAAATAGACAGGGAATCTGCGTTTCAGATTAGCATTCCAACCTTTCCTTATAGCATTAATTATACATCCAAAGTTTCTACGAGTTTCTCTAATGAGATCTGGACGTTTCACTGGTAAAGCATGCACCAACAAACAGTCTGAAGTATTAACAGGTTTATCTTGTAATGACTGTCGAGAAATGTAGTCAACATGTTGAATTTGTTTGGCACTCCTGTGCTGAACCGTATAGTCGTAGGCTCTCAAAGCAATACCCCATCGTTGAACCATAGCAGCTGATGCACAAAAAAGATTTTTCAGGATGATAAATAAACTGTAAAGCCTCATGATCAGTAACAATAGTGAATTTCTTTTCGAATAAATATTTGTGAAGTCTTTTAACAGCCCAAAACACAGCTAATGCCTCTCGCTGAGTCTGTGAATAGCCTTGTTCAGTAACAGTAAGTTTGCGTGAAACATAAATAACTGGTCCACATTCCTGTTCCAAAACTGCGCCAATACCCACAGGTGATGCATCAGTGATAAGCACAGACTGTACGCTAGGGGAGTAAGTTCGAAGAACAGCATCACTTTGAAGAAACTTTAGTAGACTACGTAAGTATGAATCTTGTTCCTCACCCCATTTGAATGAATTGGATGTCAAAATAATAAATAAACAATTTGCAAGACAAGAAAATTAGGAATAAAGCGGGAATAGTATTGAAGAGCACCCACTAGTGAACGTAGTTCCGTAAAATTTTTTGGAGACGGTGCGTTTGTCAGTGGAGCTAGTCGTTTCATATCTGGTCTAAAACCATTACCATCGACGAGGTATCCAAGACATTCAAAACTAGATACACAAAATGAACACTTATTTGGATTTACTGTAATATTCGTCTCAATTAAACGACGCAATAAAGCAATAAGTCTCTGGTCATGAACTACCTTATCAGCATCATGAACAATCACATCATCTTGATAAACTTCGACACCTTCAAGATCACTAAACACCTTATTCACAACTTCCTGGAATATGGCTGGAGAACAACCTAGCCCAAATGGAAGGAAATTGTATTTAAACAGACCAAAAGGAAAATTGATTGTCGTCAAAATAGATGAGGATTGATCTAAAGGGATTTGAAGATAAGCATCTTTTAGGTCAACTTTCGAGAACACTTTAGAACCATGAAGTCGATTTAGGATATATTCAGCATCTACCGTCGTGCATATTTGCTTCAACAAACGGGAGATCAATGTTAGTCTATAGTCACCACATATTCTAGGAGTCTTGCCATCCGATTTCAGTGACGTAACAATAGGAGTACCCCATGCTGAAGACTGAACAGGTTCAATTACACCTTTTGTACACAAATCATTCAATGTCTTATGCACTGCATCTCGAAGACCGTAAGGAATTATTCGTCTTTTGAGAAAGACTGGTTCACCCTGTACTTGAAGTTTTATAGGCTGGATTTTCATACCTCCAATGCACTTAGCACACGTGGCTATCAAATCTTTAAGTAAAGCATCAGAATTTTCTTTAGAAACTAGGAGAGACAACTCCACTTTAAGCCTTTTCAAATTCTTTAAACCCAGTATTGACAGTCATGTTTCGCTACCTAAAAATTCACAAGGTATGTATGAGGAATTATCATCTCTTATTAGCAATTCACAACATCCCCGTACAGGCAGTCTGTGTCAAGTAATCCCCAATATTGATACTTCAGTGGGTCGTACCACAACGTTAGGATCTAAAGATTTCAAGTTCTTGAATGAAATAATGGACTCTATACTGCCTGTGTCCACAACAAAGTCATGACATGAACCAAGGGATGTATATAATCGCTTTGAATATGAGCATTACCTTTCGAAATGGTAGACAAAGATAAATGATCATTAGGATCAGCTGAATTATTGGAATCTGAGTTACAAGATTGAGTACTACTTGAGGCAAAATGAACAGTAGCTTTGCATACTGCTTGAATGTGTCCTATCTTACCACATCTAAAACATTTAGCATTACGAAATGCACAGGAATTACGAGAATGAAGTTTTCCACAAGATAAACATATGCCAAACTTGGTCTCACCTTTGTGATTTTCTTTGTAATTCTTTATTGAAACACCATTCATATTTACACGAGAATAGGAACCTCTCTTAAATGAACGCAATTTTGATTGACCCTGAGATTGTTTTTCATCATGACAACTAATCAAAGTATTGGAAATCTTCATCGACTGAATATCAAGTTCATTCAACGCCTCGTAGTTAATGCAAGCAGTTCTAACATCTTGAAAGGAACAGTTTGACATTCTTAACAGCTCTCTTTCCAAACTAGGTATGTTAATTCCTGTGATTAATCGGTCTCTCAGCTGCACATGAAGTTGATCACCGAAATTATATTTGACAGCCTGTTTCTGCAATTCAAGAATGAATCCCTTAAACTTTTGGTCATTTTGAAATTTCGCCCTTTCACGGCATTCAAAACTAGGGCACTTTATATGATTTATTAATAACTCCTTAAGCATTGCATAGTGAAGTGAGATAGGTTTTTCCGGATATGCCAAAAATTTTAATAAGCTGTACCCTTCTTTTCCGATGAATGTCAGGAAATGAGCCACAATTTTATCATCTTTACCGTCTTTCTTGCTCATACTCCAGATTTCAAACCTCTCCAAATAATCCTCTAAAGCTTCAGAAGTTGAATGAATATCTAACTGTTCCATTACAAGTTCCATCGCGACGCCATTATGAAAATTAGAAGTATTTGTATTTTAGGATCAAGAACTACGAGATGAGTACAAACGAATCTACTGTATTTAGAATTCGAAATCAACCATTCAACAACAACCAAGAAGTCACTAGTTCATTCAAACACCACAGTCACACTTGACTGTGTTGTAATTTGACGTGGGGTTTAGGCTACCTGTGCTTGTTAGACCGAGACTGTGCTCTGAGGTGACAATAAGGAGAAGACTTTCGTTGAGAACATGAGTTGTTTGGTCATTTGGCTCAAAATTATCGTGATATGACATTTTTACTGGCTGTTTCGACCCGTCTCCTTCTGCCCACTTCTCACTTGATGAACGGTTCTTTGAAGCTCAAATGAATCCTCTCTATTCCTCATTTCCCTTTGCCGTTTGGACATCAGAGAGTACAAACACCGTGGTTTGTATGCTTTATTGTATGCATGAACCTAAACCGATACTTTAGATTTGCCTGTATTTTGGCTGCTAGCTTCGTCGGACACTTTCGCCTGTCACTTCGAACCCTGGCATTGTATTTTTTTCTCAATGCCAGTTAGGAACTATAGTTGGACGTCGTTTTGTACTGCATTCTGAATGATTTCTCTCACTGGTTTCCGGTGACCCCTTACTGCTAGCCTCCACCAATTTCGTGGTCAAGTGCCATGTAGAAGAATCTTTCTCATGGTCGTGTGGTCTACCTCCATATAGCGAAGATAAAGTTCGTTTTCGTCCCTTCTGAGCCTTTCTTTTATGAATACGCTAAGCATGACTGCGTTACGGTCACAGTCTATTACTGGTTTGTGGATTAGGAGATTTTCGACTAGGAGCTGATCTTTTATCAAAAAATAATTAGTCCCGAACTTCTAACTGTCGTGACCGATCGTTTTTGTAACCAACATGAAGGAGTCGAACCATGCTTGCTAAGAGCCGAATACTCCAGCCAAGAATAGTGAGCGGAACCCCGGGTATGGTAGCGCACAAATCACATGTTTTAATGTCAAATGAAATAAGTGATTGAAAGGATATTTGATCACTGGGATCTAACACAACTAATTCCACGGAGATGCCACTCTGTCTATCAACTAAAGCAAGCTCAATGTGCCCCGGTCTTTGGAAAAATTTGTCTGAACCTACTTCCAAATAGTTTCTTTAAGGACCTGTCTGGGTCACAAAATTTCCTAAAAATACATTCGTAAATTTGCTTCATTGGATCATCATCATGAATCATGGAGCATCCTCGTATCTCTACGATATCTACCCCGTAACCGCACCCAATAGGGCTTTCGAATGTGTAGAACTTCCCACGATATATAAAAACGACACTCTTGAATCGACGCCAAACTTTATGCAGAGTACGGTCTAGTCTTGAAGGCCTTCAGTCCTCCCCTCATCTTGTATTGTCAACTTTGTGTTTAAATAGTCCTCCAGGATTTGTGGTGGAAACAGCCACCCAATCGGTGACACAGGCTCCCTAATGAGAAAGAAGCGAAACGGTTGACATGTGCTTTCAAGTACAATGTTGATGTTAGTCAATTAAATTATGACGGTACTTCAAGGTCAGTAGTGTCGCTTGGAATTGGGGTTCCGAGTAATAAATAGACTTGGTGTGATTTTTGTTGGTAATAAATATTTTCTGCGTGTAGAAAAGACTCATGCTTTCATTTCCAGAGAGCTTTTTACTATGTAAGGTTATTGGGACATTTTAATAACTGCATCGAGATGGTACTCGTAATTCAGTGATATTAATTCTTGATGTCTCGAAATATCTTGTTGTATTTCGGTTAATGTTGCTCCTTTATGCCTTATTATTCCACTCATTACCCGAAAAATGTACTATGTGTTTGGTTCTCCTTCAGTTACATTCTTCGTACTTTTTGCTGCGGTTTATTGCGAAAATTTCGATGAGGAACTTCTCATCAAAGATCTTGGTCATGGCTATACAGCATTCCATTTCAATTTCGCTGCTTCAACTTCAGAGTCTGTTTTCTATTGTGAGTTTTGTTCGTATTTAGATTAATTCTAATTTAGCAAAACACTATAACATTCTTCCTAAATCCATTATTCAAATTCTTAAAAAATATAATGTTGGTGAATTTCACCTTTCCATCTCAAAAGGCATATGGGATGAACGTTGGGGTAGTAACTTTGTTTCAGCTTCCTCTTCTGGAGCTGAACTATGGGCATGGTTTGGAAATCAAACTAACAGGTAATGCTTCTACTTAGTTCACCTTGTAGTGTTGATCAATCATGGTTTGAATTAACACATGCCCTTTCGGGATTATTCTGCGCTTCTTTAAACCGACTATCTACAAATGAACATTTCGTCTCTCCAATCCACTCTTACAAGCTGTTTGGAATATCAGAATTCACTAAAGTTCGTGGGGAGGTCCGATATTCTCAGCTACCTGGTGAGTCTTTGTGCACTGAAAATTTGACTCCATGGACTAAGTACTTACCATGCAAATCGTTTGTCGGTTTGGGAAGCTTTCTGCAGCCAACTTCATTGTTTAAATCAAATTACAACACTATGACTGTTGGAGTGAGACGAATATGCTTGGTAAGTCTAATGTATAAGGTTTCATAACAATTCAGGATTCAGAGTGTGATAAAATCGGACTAGAGCTCAAGGAAACATTAACAGTTGTCTTTGACAGAAGTTTGTTGTTTGCAAAAAGAACATGTAAGCGGAATTTGAAACTACTCTGTATTTGTTTATTTATTTAAATAATTTCAGTACAAAGTGTAACCAAAACATATATACTCTGCAAAATAAAAATTAAATTTTTAAGATGGAGTGAGGAAAGTATGAATGAATATGAATGCAAATTAGAGTATGGAGGTGAAAATAATAGCGATAAAAATGGGAATAGCAGTTTGAACAATCCGTGAAGTATGACGGAAGCCAGTAATTTGAATTCAATCAAAAGTAGAATTGACGTCTGGTATTTGTTACCTACGTGATGTGAACCATTCTTTTAGCACCCGCTACTATGATTTCATTTATTGTGTAATAATCCATCTTACTATTTGCAGTCCATTCTAAATGCAATCATCTAGTAGTGTTTTGCTCATTTTGAGGGTGATTTTTTTTTATCTGACGAAGCATTTCACTGACTCAAAACAATGCATGTCTTATGTATATTGTGCTACCTGCAGATCACTGTCTTATCGCATACGTTCTTTATATATCAAAAAGTACTAAATCAAGATATTTGTTTGAAACCAGTCTCTATTTTAAGATCTTATGGCCATCTGTAAATCCCTTTGAAGCAACTCACTCTATCATTAATTTCACATCTAGATTTCCGCTCAGCTTGTAATAGGATCACTTGTATCTGTTTTATTCATTCAGCCCATATTATTCAACTACCAGGACCGGACCATTCGTATTGATTTACTCATGGATTATATTTTACTTAGATAATATCTCAGTCTGTACTCGAGTTTTATGAACATGAATAAACATTCCTCTTTGTATTTCGTAAAGATCCTAATCATTCGGGCATACTTAAATTATATTATTTCTTACTGTTTTTGCTGTTTCAATAACTACAAATGTACATATAAGTTAACTCTCACAAAAAAGCATGAAAAGAATAAAATAAATATCCCAGTTCACATGGTTTTTCAATGTAATACAGTATTTCAGTTACCTCCAATTGTACAATAATGTTACCAATAAAAGACTAGTAAATGGTCAATTCGCTCATTTTATACAACTTCATGTAAAATGAACCCTGATTAAATCTTTATGTCGTCTCCACACATATGTATTATTGAATTTGGATATCCATTTTTTCAGCTCCTTGGTCTATCAAGAGTATCCTTGGTTCAAAATTTAAAGGATTTTGCGATGTCGCAAACTCCAGTCGCGTGTTCATCCTTACTTCATATGAAGATATGAATTTCCCTTTAGACAATAACCTAAAAGTCGACTATCTAGATAATCGTGTTCTGGCTGCATATTCGACCAGGGATGTATCCACGTTATTCACATCTTTCCCTTTCGAAATTACTGGAAAAATGTCCTCTTCACAGCACTTACCTCTTGTATCAGCTACCAAATATATTACTGGTTCTGGAAATGTAAGGGGTGGAGTCAAAGTTCTTCTCACTAGTCGAGCTAATTTCGATATAAAGATAATCTATTTTGATCTAATTCCATGGTACACACAAGTTTTTTTCAGTTCCTTGAAAATCTACTGTTTAGATCCCAAAACACAAAACCGGACAGTGATTTATCCACGTAAGTCATGATAAAGTTGTTTGTTTCTTGTGATAGTTTTGTCTTTCACACCATATTAGTTTTTAGTAACCGAAGGTTTATAAAATATATGAGGAAAACTATTGTCGTTTCTGTGATATTTTAGTACTTTTTACTCGTGTTCAATCGGGTTATTTTCGTTACCAGTGTCACGTCTCATCTGGTTTGTAGATCTTTTGGTTTTCATTATATTGTCGAAACTGGGTTAGAAATCCTCTCTCGAAACACCTTTTTACAATAAAATAACTACACTATATTTAGTAAGACGACTGGTTGCTGTTTTCATGTAATAGGTAATTTTTCATAAACTTAAGTGATCAATATTTGTAGTGCTATAATATTTCGTGAACTGTACGCAGCAGCCATTTCCGAATGAAGGTTTGTTATTCCTTATTTCAAAATAAATGAAGGGTATGAGTTGAAGAGGCAGGGTGTGTTATACAGATGGTCAGTTTATATGACAGCATTGCATCGTATGGATTTAGTTTTTTTTATGGATGGACAGCCCATATTTGGTATTTTATTTTTATGAAACCATATACTAACCTTGCTTCTTTCAAGACAAAAAGATGATCTTGAATAAAAATGTCTGTTGTATCCCTAATCATTGACACGTAACAAATACCGAAAACCAGTCAGGATCACGTTTTAGTACCAGTACCCTTGAGTCAGCTCTAAATCCCTATCGGTCCATAACTCGATGGCTCCCTGCCTCTTAATCCAAAAGTCCGTATCCAGCCTCCACCAAATTCGTTATATTGCAAGCATATAGTTTATAAACATAACATGCCAAACTATATCACACCCTGGAATGAGAAAATGAATTTATACATGAGTAAGCCAAAAATGGCTTTGAACTGCTGAATCTGTGAATAAACTGACAGATTAGGAATAGTAAATCATAAAAAACTAATTAGTGGGTTAGTCAAAAGCTCATGACAATAGGGATATAAATGTGGTAATCCAGTTACTAAATAATCATACACTGAGGCTATGTACAATAATAACTCATAAATCCTTCGTGGGAGTTATCATTTCTCTAATCTTCCTCAGGATATAGCAATATTCTAAAGTAATATCTGTTGAAAAAGCTTTAGATATTACAAAATTATTTGGTTCAATCACCAGTGTGTTTTATACTTTATACTTATATTTTATACTTAATGTTTCCTGAGCTACTACCGGCCATATATAATTTTATCACTTATCAACATCCGGAATAATTTTCGATGGCTCTACTGTATTTGGCTTTATATCTTGCACAATCGCAACATGGCTTGTTAGTTTGTTGCTGATAATGTGATATTTTACTTCAGTAGAATGAGATTTTCACTTGGAACTATACAGTTCCAAACCTGAAAAGAATCTTCTAAAATTAGTAAGTGCTAGGTAATCGTATACATATCTAAGGATCGTTTATCTCACCAATCCGGTGCAAATTAAGATGCTGTTTAGTTACACAGACGAACGGAATTTAAATCAAATCTTATTCATGAAAATATAGTAACAAAACGACTATTCGGTCGTTTGCTATTATTAAAGTTGCGGCATGACACTTTATAAATTTAAATAAACCTCGTTTTCTTTGTCTAATCAACTAAATTTTGCGAAGGAATTTTGGCGATGGATTATATGTTATCGTTATTTGCTATCTTATGCATTCTATCAATATTTTATGATGTCTAACACTAATTCATAATGTTCCATTATGTTGTATCAAGTAAAATTTCTAGCAGTCTAGTTTTTCGATGTCTGCTAATATTCATATTTATCTATCAGTCTTTATTAAATCACTTTAGTGCTATGTTTAGTATGAAGTGCATTTATTTACCTTGATAGATTGGTTGGCGATTAAACCAAGTTTGGCAAGAAAACGTATGGGAAGTATTGAATTAATTATCACTTTGCCTGCTTTTAATCAGGTAGTCATTACTTATGAATTTCGAAAAGTTTTACAACGCTGGAATGAGTTTCCACCAGACGCCAATCACGGATTTTTTCTTCCTGCAGCAACTGTTTCTTATGAGTTAAACGGTGAACAAATTGATTACTTAAATAAAACAAAGCATGCTGCATCACACAATTTGAATCTTCCGAATTGGGCCAGTAGTTATAATCAGTTTTTGTAAGTTTCATAGTTAATTATAGGTCTTCTAAATTGTGTTCTTAACATCCCAAGACAATTCATTTTGCTTTTTATGTTCGTTGTGGGCAGCTAGATAATGATACTGGTTGATTTTAGTTTGTGGGACAAGCCCAAAAGAGGTGTATAAACTCAGCAGTTATCGAACCTGGGTTTTCCTGTTCATCTCTTAAAAATCACGATAAATGCCAAACCAAAGTGTTTACTTATGTGACAGTAGGGTTTTCTATACTCACACATTAAAGTATAAATGACATTCGGATAGTTTGTAAATGAATACTTTTGCGTTCAATTTTTAGTGATTAGTATCACGCTTATCGTACACTTCTCCCCATATAATCCATAGTTTTTATATTCCGTGTTTCATTATATAAAGAAATCATAAGATATTCAGTGAATTCTACCGTTTTTGGTAGAAGATTTGTGGAAACAGAATTATATGAACGGTATTTTCTTTGATCAGCTCTACATTAAAGATAATCATATGATGAATAGTGTCGATATGATATTCCGTCACCATATCAGACTTACACAGACGACATCAATGTTATTTTAATCTGGTCCCCCAATTTAAAATGATTAAAAGGCCTTTTTCAAATGTATATTGAGAAAACGTTTTGCATGGCTTGCACTGTAACATAAAAGTTATTTGAAATTTACAATTTTTACCGAACCAGAAATTACTAAGACTATAAATCACTTTAAATGAGCAAAAGATTTCCAGACCCGATGAACAAGTTTTCAATGAAGGGACAACTGCATACTTTCATCTGAAATATTCAGAAACTACTGATATCTCGAAATCATTACTTAAATGATAAAAAAGGTGAACTTTACAATGCATTGTATAGCCCCGGATTTAGTTGTAATATCGCTATTTGACGACTTGTCTTGAAAAGTGAGTTTATTTTACTCTTTTTTGGAAGTTGTATTTTACCATCTGGTTTTGACCGTAAATTTAGAGACACTAGCCCCCTATCTTATTTTTGTTACGATAAACCTATGTTGCATCTCTAATGGCTAATAATTCAATCATTTACAATCCGATTAAGTTACTAACGTCTGGTCATTCAAACTAGGCTACACAAGACAAAAACTATAAAAAAAAAGTGATTCTCAAGGTGATATATCTCTTTACCCCGCGTTAAATTAGTTAAAGGCCATATGAAGAGTGGATGTTACCTAACTAGCCCTAAATATACACTTAGTTTTACAGTCTGCATAGGAAAAACTCAGTAGTAATATAAGCTAATAACATAACGTTCGGCTGTGTTAAATAATTATAAAAATTAAGGTAGGAAGGGTTGTCTAACCGGGAATAAGTGAATGGACTGAGATAGAATCTATCTTGTAGTGGAGAAATCAGACTTACCCGACCCGGATACATTCACATTTCTATATTGTATTACATTACATATATATATATATATATGTATATAACAACTTGTTTGCTCCTTCATACTAGCAATTCAATACAAACCAATATAACTCATTCTGCGGCTCAGGATAGCTTTGTCCGTCTACATACTCCTATATCCCTGGTCACAATGCCAACACCAGATTTTAGTATGCCATTTAACGTTCTTTGTTTGGTTTGTTCAGTTGTTGCTGTTGTTTTTGGTTCTGTGCATAAATCTACTACTACTGTTCTGAACGTTACTCCTCAAGTAGACAACGATTCACTGTTAAAACAACTGGTAAACCGCATCTGTACCAAGAGGAATACTTCAGAGTCAATGAATGGACAGAAAATATCAACCAGTGCTCCAGACAGTCACGATAAGAATGACTGATTTTATGACAAATAAATGTTACATACTTAAACAAGGACTATGATACATGTGTTTTGTATTTAACGTTGATTTTGTAATAAAATTTTGAATATCTCTACTTTTGTTTTTTTCGTAACTATTTTAACAAACATTAATCTACATAACGGTAAAAAAGTTGAGTTATGTAGAGCAATTTTTCATCTTGCACGGCCATACTCATGTAGCCCATTAATGTATTTGAGAAGAAAATTGCTACGTCAAACCAAAAACCATCTTTTAATATTTATTTGTATAGGTCGACATTAATAAACAGATATTTCAATTTCAAGGAATCAATGTACAAATACATACATCAGGTATTATTATGTTAAAATAGTTCATTCTAGTGAACTCTTCCCCGAGTTATGGTCACTATACTTGGAAGTGTGCAGAAGCCTTGTCTGATTTCTTGGTAAAGCATCCTGAAGAAGTCCGAGGACTTCGAATTCTCGAAGTAGGTTTTTTTCAATAACATCGATATATTATAGTTAGGGGCTGGCACAGGACTTTGTGGAATCACTGCAGCACTTCTCGGTGCCCTTCACGTCCGATTCACTGACAAAGACTTGACATATTTGGACACACTACATCTTAATGCTCAGCTGAATGGAATCAACAATTATGATTTTACTCCTCTAGATTGGAATTATCCTCTTGATTGGTCGGGTGAGATCTTTGATATCATTTTAGCATCTGATTGTTTGTATGATAAGAAAGGTGAGTCTATCATAATATTCTCATTTTTAGTATATGAACCTTTCTTGAAGACTGCGACTTTACTATTAAGAATAAACAGCAATGCATCTTTACTTCTTTCCTTTGAAAATCGCTGGTAATCTCTTTTAAAAAGTTATATGTACCGTAGCTCTTTTACAGATGGCGCAGTTTTGTTTAAGAAATATGGCCTCGAAGCCAATGTTTTAACTACGCCTGATAATTCATTCGCGAATATCCGCTTATTGCGTATTACCTCTGGTCAACAATAAAATGTTGTTCAGATGCTTTCTTAAATTGACTGAATAAATATGTTCATTCGAAATGTATCTTTTCCATTCACCTCTAAAGTGTATGCATCAACCCTAGCTTATCCTGCTTATAAATTCATAGTATTTTATCTTCCGCACTTGTTTTAAAGTTCTAAAACCGACCACTTTTAATATACAAAACACACAAACAATAAAGGTTCTGATGAAGAGAATTTATGGCTAACCGAGTTTAAGGTTTTTCAGTCGAATGACGCATGCTAATAACAAGTTTTCATCATTTCAGTTACTATATACTAACAAGTACCTCTCAAACTTTCATTGTGAATACTTTGACATATCTACATATTATAAACAATTCGTTAGAATGGCTATCCACCGTTAGTAACCAGAAACTGAGAAATGTTATAACTAAGCAAGATTATTTAAGTATTCTATGGTTCGGATTTGCAGAATATGATAAAATTTCTTGGAGTAACATATCAAGAAGGATGTATCTTATACTATTTGCTTTATCCAGATATCAAAAATTAGCTTGAGTTTCTGACGCTATCTTCCAATGATGAGCTACATGGTAGCATAATCCCGGTAGTCAGTAGGCATTATGGTTATATTCATTCAATACTATGTATTGTTAACAGTACTAAAATGTATAATGCTACCCCAGATAACAGTTAGGCCCCCACAAACATGTACCGAGAAAGTTTAACAACAAACTAAGACTGAATATTTAAAACCATATTTAACTGGAGGGGTCTTAAGAAACCTATCTAGATAAGAACCTCCTTTCATTCTGTGGCTTTTAACGAGAAAATCGCATGTTGCAGTGTTGGCCCCATCATGTACTATAAGTTTTCAACCAGCTATTATTGTGTACTTTACAAACAGTCAGCTGCAACATAGCACTTGGTACGTACGTACATCAGTTGAAGCTGCCCTACATGACTGAGACGTGGAATTGTCCGTCCAAATCCCATAGTAGTAGACGTCATAGCAGTATTAGAGGTAGTTGAAAAGATTAGGAATCGAAGGTATGATTCGAGAAGTATAATCCAGAATATGAAATAAGCTAGTGCATACTATTGCACACAGTAATAAAGGTTTTTGAATTAGTTAACTCAGCGTAAACATTTACAAGCAGTCTTCGGAATAAATGAAGAAAAAATATCAAAAATTGTTATGTTAATTGTTGGAATAGATACAAAAATTGGTATTCATTCACCGATCCATATTTTCCATCAAAAAAATGTACGTTTTACTAAACTATTTGATCAAAGACATGCGTATTTGTTCTTTTGCATTCTGAATAGCCTGTATTTCGTGAAAGAAAATAATTTAATACATTTTGATGATTTTGAAAACAGCTGGCTAAAATTATCTAATGAAACTAACACAACAAGCTCGGACTGCACTTCAGTCGTTTAAGCTTGTGCTTATGTAATATGGGAACATTGATCAAGACACATTTGTGTTAGGTCCTACGTCCATGACCAATGGTATTGAACTAGTTAGCGAATAGATTTGCGCTGGTTGAAAGCAAACTTAGTGCGGTAGTTTTTGAGTAAAGATATATCTCAAATTATTATTTTTAAACTCTAAAGCTGATATATTTATTCAACACAGCGCGTGTATTTAAGTAACGATTGTTGTGAATCTTCAACAGTAATAGCTCACAGATAAACAATAAGTAAAACAACCAACTGGAAACCTGGTGTGACTATGTCGGTGGCCTTTCACTATGATCATGTTTTGAACGTTTTTTCCCATTAGGAGAACCACCATTTTTGTTTATCAGCATCGTCAGTTTTTGTGTATTAAAGCTTAACTTATTTTTCCTGAAGAAATGAGGCCAGATTATGTAGAAGTGATGGCGAAGAATCGCATCCAAAGGTACGTCTATGACGAACTTATGGTAAACATATACCAACGAGCACACTGGCAAAATGAAGCTAAAATTACCTGTGCAACTGTTTGCTCTCCAAGTGGGATATCATCTGTCCTTGCACCAACTCGAGACACCAATGCGGTTGCGTCAGACTCTAACAGTATACTTTAAAAAGGATATTATTTCATTCCTCTACTTACCCATTATGGCACAGTTCATCAACTATAAGGAAAATCAAATCTAGATTATCCATTAATGTTTTCTTTTCTACTGATCGTTTAAGAGCTTGACTGACAGAATCGTATAAGCACTGAAGGGCACTAACCAGTAGTAACTTACAAAATAAAAGATTCACTACGTAACTCACTTCATTCTCATTAGCATCTCCAATGATATAAAAGTAAAGATCGCCTACGTTACGGTAAACACATGTCGCCCCATCCAGTAGCGTGATTTCCGCTGAATAAATAAAAAAGCAACAAACATCTATTTATAGGCAACAGCACGTATATACACTTATGATTAGAATAGTTTCAGGAGAATGGTAAAGATTAGTAGTAATAAGAACTGTTTGATCTTGGTAAACAGATAACAAATCAACTTTGAAAGCCACTTCGATGACCCTGTATTGGAAAATGTGTTATCAAGAGAGCAGTTCATAAAGGAGAAAGCATTTTTTTGACTTATTGTGCGAACGTACGTTATAGATGTGTCTGGGCTTGAGATTAAAGTTATTCAATGGGGCTTCTTGGTAAAATAAGCTAGAGAGAAGCTAACGTATACACGATTCTGCATAACATTCAGTGATCAGTCGAAATTACACTTGGAAGATGGCGCTAAACGGATAGAACATAATGACGGTTACAAAGTGTGTTTTCAAACCGTCAAAGTCAAGCATAATGGACGAGGTACATTTGAATTTTAAAGAATAGGTAGCTCAGTCAAATTTTATTTTAGCAAATGCACCATCATATACATATATGACGTGATTCGTATGCATAATCACTGCTTGTCTCAACAGGTGAAGCTTATTCGTTCAGGGATAAGTTGAAGGAAATCTATGAGTGGTCTTTGAAGTCAGTGGTTCTTGGTCTGAGTTATATTGGTAGATACAGACTATCTGGTTCGGGTCCGTATGGTCATTGTACTCACGGCTAGAGATTGTGGACAACATGGTTTGCAATCGCTCAAAATGTCGCAGAAGCACTTATTTTTATCTTTGTCTCAATCATGTATATCAGCTTCCCTTTATAGGTACCTCCTCACTGTCTTCTCAGAGTAGTTTCTATAACACCATTTCCATCTATTTCGCTTTTAACCTTATTAAATTCATTTTTTTGCTAGTAAAGTATGGAAATACATATGTATCAGATCCTACGTGGACGATAAGTGGTGTATATTGTGATCCTGTGAGCAAGCCTCATTTTCTTTAAATTACCAGTAATGACTTTCGATCATGAAGTTCACCAAACCATTTTAGGTACATGAAAAAGATTATGTGTAATTACAGGGACCTAAAGGGAACAACGAAATTTATTTAAGATGAACAATATATAGGAATTCTGAATAGGAAACTTTCGATAAGACAAGAAGATACCTTTCGTAAACACTATACGAAAGACAAATTATAGAGACGGAACCATGGTAAAGGGAAGGATGTAGCAAACTTACAGGCACCTTATGTTTAGATAACAGCAATCAGCAGGTAACCGAAAAATAATGTTTGAGCTAGCGATTTAGAGCATTTGGATCTTTAAGGACAAAATGACATATCGGATCTTCTCAGTTCACATGAAAATGTAGGCAGTGTTAGTAGTCACTACATGAGTCGAGTACACCGGCCATTGTTAAGTTATTGGATTGAATCTGGTTTTTGAGAATATTGGAAGTCATTACTAAAGGTTCCAATTTCTCTCAAAATTAAGACACTAGAATCCCAATAGGTATACAGTATACCCTCAAAATTATTTCTATCGTGTAATCATTATCTCACGAGACAAGTTTAAAAATTGAGATCCTGTTTTACTATCTGCGACTTTTGGATTCTTATCAAGACAGGAAATATAAGAAACCCTGATAAAGCTTTCGAAATGATCATGGATCTTTGCAGTACCGTAAACTATGAGGATTAACATGGATCCCTTGGACATTTGCACCTGCCATTGATGACGGCAAACTGTGTGAACGAATGTCAGTAATTTTCTGTATAATATTAAGATACTAACTGCTAGCGAAACTAACCAGCACCCTTTGTAGGTTTTATTTCATTTTTACGGGTACAAGGTGCTATGTTCCATCAACAAAACAGGTATGTTGTGAGCATTTGAAACCTAAGCTGTTAAATATCAGTTAGAATCAGGTTTATTTCTGAGCATAAATTACACTACTTTATTGTAGTAATACCAATTGTACCAACAGTATATCAAAAAAGTTTTCAAATATTTCAGTTTGTGGGACGTTAATTTAAAGATAAAAAAAGCACAAAAATTGAACAATATTACCGCCATTAGTCTTGCTTGTCTTTTTGAACAGTTTCGACTCGAATTCGAGCTGGAGCTTAGTAGTTGGGAACGATGAGTCATAATACTGCGAAATTAAATCTTGGTTGAGATGCTAACTGCTGTACCTTTGTCAAAATGCGCTTCCCTTCACTATCCAAGATTAGTATGCTATTAATAGAATATAGGGACGGCTCCTGGAAAAAATATCAAACAATCAACACACATACCAAGAGCATTGCAAGCGATAGAGGTAGTGGTTGGCAAGATATCAATATGCCCGCTGTTAAATAGTGACCTATTCGTGAAAGCACTATTGAATACCTTCGGGATTAAGATTCATCCTTTAAGAGAAGAATTCTGTAGGTCTGTCTGATTCTACTTCTAGTGGACTCACGCTTTCAGTCTTTCTTTGTATGACGTATCACAAGGTGAAAACATCACTTCAACCTGTGGTAGGCTCCAAGTACATATTGCTTGATAGGAAACGTGTTACGAGGATCTTGTGTCAGTAAATTGCTAATTCACTTAGCACGTCCTACAAGGCTTTGTATCCTATTGGAAGGCAAACTGAGGAATATATGTTTTCCAAAGTCAATTCCCATTAATGTTTTTCAAAATTAAATCGAACAATCTGCAACTGGATTTAGTAAATAAATCTAACTTCTCATGGTGCTCATAGTAAAGTCAGTCACTTAACAGCAAAATTACCGACTTTTTTGCCACTTTTGCCCTTTCCAAGGACTCTGAGTTGTCTTTAAAACAGGGATTCATTTTCTATCCATAATTTCCGACTGGGACCTAAAGCATCGCTTTGTAAATCATTTCTTGTGATAAAAATAATACATAGTTCAGCCCGTCTTTCACACCACTTCCGGACTCATTAAATTTATCGAAAACATCCCACATGGAACCGTATCAACAATAACGGAGGCAACTTGTAAATGTAGGGGATTTTATAGACTATTTTGTATGCGTTTACTCATTGTACAGAAAACATTATCAAGTTGAAAACACGTTGCATCAACTTAACTGATTTTTTGACACTTTTCTACACATGTCTACTCTTTTTTTATTCCTGTGTCTGTACGGACACTAGGTCCTAACCAGACGATCGCTAAGACCAAACATTAGTAACGGCAAACAAGTATAGGAACACCTAATGGAGACAGCGTGGGTTAATCATGAAAGAGTAGTGAATTTATGTAACACCCTGCTTTTATATCAAATATACTATTCTGCTGATAAGTTGGATGTATTCCGTAAGGGTTCACGGGGTGAATGTTTCAGACTGTCGGGGTTGGACGATTCACATTGACATATGTCGTAAAATATGATTGGATGGGCAGTCATGACATGTTGCGTCCTCAATATTGTATTAAATCTATTGCTCTAGCAGCACAAACAGACTCACCAATACTGACCTAAATTCAAATTCTACAGGTCTACAACCAGAGGAATCAATTACTGATTGGTAATAGACACGACAATTAATCCACTAGACTCCAGCGTCATTCCTGTGGTAACTGTCTAAAAATATGTCACTTGCATGAGCGTTGTTCATTTATTTACTGCCTGCGCGTGATGCATCGCAAGGTGTTTAGTATAACTTACGTAAAATCATGTCCGTCAAAGTGTATTCCTTTTTTTTCTCCTCCAGGAGGTTGTTTTATATCAGAGTAGTTTTTGTGTTTAGTTCTGTACTGATTTTTTAAGATATGTTCATCATTGTAGATCGGCATATTACCGGCTTATTGAAGAACTAGTTCACTTTGGTAAAGTCAAGGAACAGATTCACAAAACATTTGCTGTTTTAACCAAAAGGGACTAAGGGATTCTTGTTAGTTACAGTCAAAATCTTTGCGCGGCATGTTATTTTATAGAATTATTTCCTACATTGTGGCGGAGGTGAACCCACTGAACTGTCCATACACTTCATATCTTAGACATTTCGAACAGTTTTTATTCATGTAGCTGCCGAATAGCCGGTGTAATTTCATTCTACATTAAAATTGTGGTATTTTTACGTGTTCATTGATTTATTTGCTAATCAGTCTGCTAGCTACTCTCTAAAATATCTCTGACAGAATTTTCAAGAGGAACACTATATTCTTTCTAGTAATCTAAACTTTACAAAGCAATCAGCAAGATTATTTTTGACGCATTTTTTGTATCCAAGACACCTGGTACCTTGAGGAGACTAGAAAAGATACAGAAAGGCTACAAAAAAGTATCAAAAACTTATATTGAGTTTACTTAATCTATCAAATTCTGGGTCTGCGTTCTCTATTCATCAACCTGTACATGCCACTGGACTAACAGACACAGTGTACTGTAACAGATTCTCCATGACGTCACTGTCTAATTTAGAGTCATGTCACTTTTTACACTAACCAGCATTATCTTAGCAGTCAAGGTGTTTTGTTTCATAATAATAATAAAAGAAACTATTTCAGCCGACAGTTAGAACAATGCACTGATTAAGAAGGCGAAAGAGTTACATCGGTCGCGCGTGCAAGAGCAAGCAGTGGATTCTCAACAAAGCCTCATCTATCTTTCTCAAGATTTTTCCATTCATCTGCCACTTTACGTCCAGTATGTAACTTCCAAGCTAATGTATGTTGAACTTCAAGCATCAGGTGGTTTGGGTCATGTGCTGTTTCGTGGTCACTGCAAATCCTCTGAAGGCTTTTGTTAATAGAGTTTTCGTTCATCGAGTTTCTAATCTCTTATTCCGGAAGGTTCCAAAATCCGAGATGTAAGTGGGCGAGCTGCTTCCCAGTCGAAGATGCATGAAGATTATAAATACCATGAGGTTAAGGACTTCTAGGGAGTTTCATAAAAGTATACGCACTACGTTTCTTTTCTTTGTTTGCGTATTGATTGCTAAAAGTTGCCATCACAAATCCCATATCTCATTACTTTTGATATTTGTGTTACGGTAACACTTTCAAAAAAAGTCATTCATTATTGACTCTTTAAATTTCAGGTCTTTAGAGCATTAAGATGAACACATACCTTAGTGGGTCGCATACATAAAAATGAGCCTGGACTACCCTGGGACCTTGGATATTAATAATAACAACGCTTCATCTTTATCAACCCCTTTTACAACCGACACTGCCTTCAGTGAGCTTTTGCCACACCCACTGCAGATTGACTCATAATTAAATAATCCTAGGACGACAAATCAAGATGCAATAATGTAGATAATATGAAGTGTGAACCGGACAGTAATTTTAAACAATCGGGTGAAATAGTTTATAAAGTGGGACCACTCATAAGTTCTTAATCGGTGAGTGATTATTCTGAGGCTCTTCTTGAATGAGGATGAGGCAACTAATCAGTGATACTGAGGTTGCTCTCATACACTTGCTACTTCTGAGACTCGTGTTTCCAATAATATGCTAAGATCACTATTCTGCCAAGATAACCTGCAACATGCCTACTCAGGCACTAATTATATGTCTTATGAGTTTGCATTTGATGGAAAATATACAGTGAAAAGTATGGTTTCTTTCCACAAACTTTACTCTTCTTACTAAACTTTCGGTTACAATGTACCGACATACATCATCTTAGTTCAACTTCTCTTCTATTTTTCGGATCCCATCCACCCTCATATCCATTATTCTTCACTGATGTATACCCTAGTTTGCAGACTATATTATTACAATTTATTTTGAGTTTAGCAGCCTGTATGAATTTTACCATTGCTTTGTCTCCTCATCCAGGAACGTTTAAACAATGCTCTGGTCATATGACAAATCGCCTTTTGCTCTTTTTTTGTCTTTTCTCTTTTGTTTCTATTCAGAACCTTGTCAATGGTAAAAAACCATGATGCCTCTATGCGGAATGCACCTCACGTGCTTATATGAAGCGCCTTCCATTCGATACTTTCTAGCGAATTCACTCCTAAATTATGCATACCACCCAAGAACTCTGATCTCCGTCTACCCTAATTGCAATCACTTGTTGAAAATGTAGTTGTATCAGACTGTTCCTGTCGGTGACAATCAGTTCGAAAGTAGTGAACATAAAGCAGTAGCTTGTGCTCTATCTGTCCGTCCCTCGTATAACCGTTCCACCGAGAAAACTGGTTAGAACAGTGATTATAAATATATAGACAGGGACCTCCACATACCCTGCAAAAGTCCTCTAACTAGGATATGATCTTGTCAAGTAACAGTCTGGAAGATGCCGTTGACACATCCTCCCAGACCACTAACCTATATCTGTGGTTGCTTCTGTGCAGGTAAGCCTTTTTTATATGTAAACGATCCTAAAATAGTGCATTCATTTTCCACAAACCAACAGAACAATATGCATCAAAATGGGGCCGGAGGCGCTAAAAGGGAACGTCGGAGCCTCGAGCTACAATACTGATACATACGTAAAAGACAAACTGCTCAAACAATTTCCAAACTAGAACACTTCATGCAATGTAACATGACACGTCTCTCTCCTAAATTAAACATTAAATTCTATATCAAGCACTCCACGCCTTTAAACTGGCATTAATCCTGTGATTATTATTTTCCGAGCATATTATTATATTATCATCAGCCAATACCAACCATATTTTTTTCATCTTTATTCATCAGTTATTCATAAAATTCTATCTATATAAACTGTTTTATCGATTAGCTGATCGTCTTAAAACGGTCGTCTACTTTTTACTCTCTTGAATTCAGATTCTTCATCTTCTCTTTTTTCACACTGCACCCTAACGACCGCCTACCTACTTTTATTGTGGCTGGTGGTTCCGGAGTCCCGACTGGATCAGTCAAATGCACTTACTCAAGATTAACGTAAAGCAAACCCATAAATCATAGAGGTGAGCGAAAGTGGTGTGGTTCTGTAGTTAGACTTACTGCTGTTAGGTGCCACCAAAGAATTGGAACTGTATCGAAAGAATACCTACAATATATAACGTCGACAAATTTGGATTTGAGTAAGTGCTATATCATTTGCTCGCAAAATCTGCATCTGGTCGAGAACTTACAGAAAACTCACGTCAAAGTTTCACACGCACTTTTGTATTTGTTACTTAACTTTCTGTCCTTAGACCTTGGTCTGGGTAGCTATTGCACAAGATTGGGAGGAACAGCTGTGTTTTACTACGCAACCTATTTAGCTCGAGATCAATTGTGTTCATATTATTAGTTTCGACTAATTTATAACAATGCAGTGTTAAAGTATGAAAGACCAGCATTTGGGTTATGTATGTTTCATATAATCGTAGTTGCATAGTGTGAATGATGAATGGATTCGGTCTTGAAATCATGTTAAAAATGTTATCGGGTATCAAAGACGTATGCGCGCCCACACTTGGAAGTTCAGGACGTCATCGCATCCCCTCTGCTTAAAAGAGACATAAATCTCTTGGATCGAGTGCAGAGACGAGCAATCAAATGGGTGATAGGGTTGAAAAATAAACCTTACGACGATAGACTCCAGCTCTTGGGATTATTTCCAATGAGCTACAGGAGAATCAGAGGCGATCTGATTATGGCGTACATCATATTAAACACACCAAACCATCTCAATAAGAGCATCTTAACGATGCATCACCACAACTCCCCTTGGGGCAATCCTCGAAAAATTGCACATCAAGGAGCAGATACTCAGATTCGTGCACACCTTTTCTCATTGCGAGTCGTCGCAACTTGGAATGCTCTCCCAGCAGAGGTAATCACAGCCCCCTCAGTGGACTGCTTTAAGAAGAGACTTGATAATCACTTACTCACATACGGACTATTATCTCCTTCTTGGACAAGCTGTTCATGATGCATATCTTGAGACCTGCTAGTTGTTATCATTGCCATCTCCTCAGATCACTCAATCAACCTATCTCGCCTATTATCTCTGTTTCCTCTCCCTTGCTTACACTTCTGTCCTCTCTCACAAACTTCACTACCAATTAACAAACTAAATTCACATATATATTACTCAGTTCTGAAATGCTATTCATATTATCATTAGAATTTTATCCTTATTACCCTTATCACTCTCCACATTGCAACTAACTGACCTCCTGTCTGGTAATGTGATGGCTACTGGTATCCAGAAACCCTACTGCCCTGAAACAAACGTTTCATTCAAATCCCGAGACAAACAAACTGAAAACCAACTGCCAACTGACTAAAATTATACAGCCGAGTGGGTAGACCTCCATCTATTGGACATTACCAAACACCTGCAACCGTACTGAAAGAACAAGAATCGAGCGCGAAGAAATCAAACTGGTTTACACTAGCTCGTGAAAAGAGTATTGGATATGGTAAATTATCTGGTTTATACTAGCCCTTCACAAAAATAGTAGGAACTGCCGCTTTGGAATCAAAAGCTTACGGACTAAAGTTATTTCTACTTTCTCCATATAAGCAAAGTATTTTTACTTTGAAGAGAGTTTCAGGAGTATGACCTTGAACAATGTTTATCCTTCAAACACAAGGTCAGGGCAGTCGAACTCGTGGTTGGTTCCTGCCTTCAGTACTGTTTTGTGTCAGATCGTCTTTCGTGCTAACTGGACAATAAAATGGATAACGATGAGGTCGATGATGAATTTGGAATCTCGGAGGCCAGACAGCTTGTAAAAACGATGAACAGGAAGAACAGAAAATCAGGTGGTTTCCAGGCGATGGGTCTTAGTGCAGCAACCTTTAACGGAATAATAAAAAAGGGTTATAAACTACCGACTCCCATACAAAGAAAAGTATGCTGTCTTTATTTAAACTGTATTGCTTCAGGCCATTCCAGTGATTTTATCTGGTCGTGATATTGTTGCTATGGCGCGTACCGGGAGTGGAAAAACAGCAGCATTCTTGATACCGCTATTCGAAAAACTCCCATGTCACTCACCTGCAGGTCCACGAGCTTTAATTATGAGTCCAACTAGAGAACTGGCTATTCAAACTTTGAATTTCACAAAAGAAGTAACCATATTTTTTCTTTGTCTAGTAAATTAGCTTGGTAGATTTACACCTCTTAAAGCCACAATAATTCTTGGAGGTGACAGGTAAAGAGCTTTGTTTATTTTATTGTTTATATATAGGATGGAAGAGCAGTTTGCAGCACTGCACAAGTCGCCTGATATGTAGGTTAATTAAGCAGTACTAATGTTTGTAGCATTATTGCAACACCTGGGCGATTTTTACACGTTTTAATGGAGATGAACTTATCTCTTAAGTCTATTGAATATGTTGTGTTCGATGAGGGCGATCGGTGAGTTCTTCGAAGAGAAATCTATTATTGTCAGTCATTAATTTACATTATGTTTTATCCCGTTAATGTTTTAGAGATGAAGTATTTTTAAAGATTACTTTGTTCAATATCATTAACAAAGTCCAACCTCGATCGGTCAACCTTAAATTTCATTTTTTCATTAGGTCCCTTAATGATGCATATGATTATAAACAAGTGGGCTGAAGCTTGAAATTAACTTTTAGTTTAAGTTTTCAGTAATAAGGATAATAGACCGGTGGACGTGTATTTATTCTTGTAGTTTGTTTTCTAGTGCAGATCCAATTTCTAAAACGTGTCACTGATTGTGTTGATTTTACTGGTTGGATAAAACGTTCCAGTTAATGATCACTCGATAAGAACGGAATCCCACTCTGAGTTTATCTCATCGTGTTTTTCAACCTTCTTACAATGGCTTTGGAAATGATTAGTTATGAAGGTAGCAAAAAGTTCCAACATCATAACATCCAAATTATTGAAGATACGAAATCTCAATCCTTTACCTTGCGTTCTGCGATAAGGGGAGAGGGTTTAGATGTTTAAAACTCATCATGACATGTTTGGAAAGACTCGTCACTAACTTGGTTCATCCACACTTGACATGCACGATTGTGATAGTCCCCCTAGTCAGGCATGGAGCAGCGCCTTAGATACAATACTCTAGGTGAGTTGTCTCATTACCTACGTACGCCTGTTACACCTGATGGAGCATAGGACGCCGACCAGCATTTTTCAACCAACATTGTCCAAGATCTTCTTTTTTGGTTCTGTCAAACTGCTATTTACTCATATTGAGATTAGAGTGATGCCTCTGAAGTTGTCTCACTTGCTAAGATTTGCTTTCTTTGATATCTTGATATCCGTCTTCACAGTTTGTTGGTACTTGTTGTTCCTCCCAAAGCGTGCTGAATAGAGTGTGGAGTATCTTCGCATTTACTTCTGTGTCTGGTTTCAATGCCTCAGTTTGTGTGTTGATTGGTTCTGCTTGATTACCACCCTTGATTTCTCTGATGTCCATCATGATTTCTCCTATTATTAGTTTGTTAACATCAGTTGGCTGTCTCGCCTAGATGGGACTAAAACCCGAAGCATATCTTTGTCAAAGCGTTTGAATGCTCGGCAAAGTGAGCATAACCTTCGAAAACCTCTGGTGGGCGCTACACTTCAATTTGCAATTGTTTTCAAGTCATGACTTGCTGTTACCCTTAAAGATTTTTTTCATGCAGGCGTGGTGCCGATGAACCGTTGACAGTATAGTGTTAGTTATTGCCGTGTCTGATATGATCGTATAACTGATTTGTAGATAGTGCCTTTTGGTACTCTTCTTATAGTCGGTTTCCGTCCAGACAATGTCCCGTTTACTCTCACTGTCTGTCTCTGGCCACATCAAACTCTTTATCTACTTTCGTACGGGACCCGTCGTTCCAAAGATCGAGAGCCTCCGCACAAGCTTTAAGTGAGAAACCTTATCAAATGCTTTGCTGAAATCCATAAATATTACATAGAAAGACAAACCGTTATCTTAAGATGCTGTCTAATCCTCGTAATAGGTAATTTAGTTTAGCATAAATGCTTCATTTGAAAACCTTGTTGCTCAGGAGTTAACAGATTGTTTGATTCTACGTGACTTTCTAACTTAGCCCAAATTATTTTTCCTAGCAACTTAGCACTATGCTGGTTAGATTGACAGATCGGTAGTTTTACACGGTTTGCCTCTTATCATACTTAAATATAGGGCTAATCACAACATCCTTCTAGTCCCTAGGAAGCACAGTTTGGGAAAGGGAAATGCTAAACCGTATTATGTGTGGTTCTCAGTGTCCATGAAGGATGACAGCAATCGTGGATGTAACTCATTAGGACACTGTGACTTACCATGTTTGAGGTTGATAAGTAATCGAAGAACAGCTTTCTCTATCACGTACTGGTTCCGTGGCTGGTATCTTGGTCTATGTTTTGTCCAAGTTTCATTAAATTATATCATCGTTAGATTTAATGGCTTATGAATCTGGTTTTAATATTTCAAAATCGGATATTTCTTCATTCATAATCTTTGGAATTCCTCTCGATCATTTATCATATATGGCTTCACATACACCATTTTACAGATAAGTAGTATCAGTTTTATTTTGCTACACATTAAGATTACTAGTGTAAGCTTAAACAGGTGTTTGAATTTTATGTTATCTATAGATTAGAGGTCAGCTCCAGGATCATTCTTTTGCTTTGTTGTTCACTGAAACAAGTAATTACACATTCAGCGATTTCTTAACCATGAAATCCATTCATTGGACTTCGAATATCAAATAAAAGCGGTGTTGACAGATGACATAGTATATTACGTTCGCGCTATTCAGGCAAATATTATGTGCTATCCATAATTCTCAATTCAATAAACATGTTTAATGTCAGAATTTTCTTCGGTATTTATAACCGAATCAACTTATTCACGAAGTCATACTGCCACTCATGTATGAATTAATATTAATATTTCTCCGCTTATCTTTCATTACTATGATTTAAGCATTCCGTGCAAAGCACATGGTAATTCTGCTTTAGACGTATGAAGTTAACTTCAAAAGGTGGTCGAAATTTGAAATAATTATTCCTCAGAAACTACTCAAGGTCTGAGGGCGAAGTCGTACTGCTGACTGCAAGGGGGTGTGACAGCAGTAAGGTGTTTCCCTCGGACAACCAGCATCTGCAGCGATGCTGCTTTCTCACAAGGAAGGAAGGGTTAGAAAAGGTCGGCCCTAAAAATGTCACACTCCCCCTACCTCACGGATTTCCGTCTCCTTGGGTAAGGGTGCCCACTAAGGGCCTTTAAGAACGGAGCTAATCCTCTAAATACCTTTCATAAAAAGGCCGTGCGTGACCGGCCTGAAGCAGTTGTCCCTTGGACTCTGCGGTCACGCACCAACACTAATCCATCTTCCTTTTCAGGTTCGTCAAGAAACAACCTTCCACGGTGTGGGCAGCCGGGAAGTGATAACCGCCCTCATACCCGCAACAACACACGAGACAAAATTGTTCAAAATCGAATCCTTCCTACATTCCCTAATACCTCTCTTATCTCCACAACTAACTCTTCTCACATTCATTTATTACAGCGCACAGCTAATGCAAACGATGCGAGTTTGCGAAACGTCGTTCCTGGTCTCCTTAAACCCCGTTCCAAACTACATGTTGGAGCATTCAATGTACGGACATTGTGTCAAATAGGGCAACAGGCGTCATTAGCTAGGACTTTAGAATCTCGTTCCATCGATGTGTGCTGCGTCTCGGAAACGCGCATACAGGATCCGAGTAGTATCACTCATTTGACCTCACCATGTCAAGATAAAGAAGCAGCTCGATTTACCCTTCGTGTATCCGGTAGCCCTGATGCTGCTTCTAGGGGCCTCGCCGGTGTAGGTATGGCATTGAGTCGTAGGGCAGAACAATCTCTCCTTGACTGGATCCCTGTAGATAGTCGCTTGTGCGCCGTCCGACTGAACGGGACAGTAAGGACTCGGAAAGATAGGGACACTCGCCGTTGCCTCTTCGTCATATCAGCCTACGCCCCCACTGACTGCAGCCCAGATGATGTAAAAGATGAGTTTTACAGAAAGCTTTCGGACCTCCTCCAAAAAGTTAAGCGCTCTGATAGAGTTATAATGGCTGGTGACTTCAATGCACAAGTAGGTAGACTAAGTGAAAATGAAAGACACCTAGGTGGATGTTACGGTCTCGCGGCTCAAAGAACAGACAATGGCGACCGTCTGTTGCAACTGTGCTCAGATAACCAACTATTTCTAGCAAACACTAATTTTAAACATAAAGAAAAACACCTTTTGACCTGGCGACCCCCGAAGTCGTCTCAACGTTGGACACAACTAGATCATATCGCCATCAGCCACCGATGGAGGGGTTCGATAGAGGACTGTCGCTCGTTCTGGGGCACATGTTTAGATTCAGATCATGCCCTAGTGCGAGCACGTATTTGTTTGAGGCTTGCTGGACGTAGGAAAGACACCGTAAGGAAGCCTCTTAGGGCTTTACTTGATGATAATCAAGCTAAGAAAATATTTCAGGAGGAACTAGAAAAACAGTTGGGCGATCATGCAAGTGATTCCCATCCGGAGTCAGGTTGGAATGATATAAAGAAGGCTGTGGAAACAGCAGTGATATCTGCTAGCAAGGTAAACCATAAGGCTAGGATGAAGCCGTGGATTTCAGTCGCATCCACCGAACTGATGGATGCTCGAAAACGCATCCCACCTGACTCTGAACATGATGAAGAGCGTAGTCAGCTTAGGCGCAGACTTATAAAAAGTCTACGTAACGACCGTGAACAGTGGTGGGTGGCGAAAGCAAAAGCGATGGAAAAGGCAGCGGCGATAGGCAACACTAGACAACTTTTCCGCCTTATCAAAGAAACCGGTATTAGGAACCCGAATGTGAGTGAGACTATCTCGGAAAAGGATGGTCTTATTATCCATTCTCAATCTAGGAGGCTGGACCGATGGGCAGAACACTTTAGGGATCAGTTCAACTGGCCTTCAGCCACTCTTCGGTTGCCCACGATCTCCAGTCATCCTGAATGGCAAATCGATTTAAGTCCTCCCAGTTTACATGAAGTTGAGAAAGCTATAGGAAATCTAAGGAGAGGTAGAGCGGCAGGTCCCGATAGGCTTACCCCTGAGATGTTTAAGGATGGTGGTCCAGTTTTAACGGTTAAACTGACCGAGATCCTAGGTAGAATCTGGGAAATGGACGTAATCCCATCCGACTGGTCTCAGTCGCTAATTGTCCCAATCTACAAGAAAGGACAGAAGTCCTCTTGTGACAATCACAGGGGAATAAGTTTAACTAATATAGTTTCTAAATTGTTATACTAATTGTTATACTTAGACGTCTAACTAGAGCTCGCGAAGAGCAGACTCGAGAAAACCAGGCTGGTTTTCGACCTGGACGTGGTTGTATAGACCACATCTTCACACTACGACAGATCCTGGAACACAGACACACATTTAGACGTCCGACAATAGTCGTGTTCCTGGACCTTAAGGCGGCATTTGACTCTGTGGATCGTGAGGTTCTGTGGCAGTGTCTGTCATTGAAAGGTGTACCAAAGAAGTACATTAACCTTATACAGGCTCTCTACTCGAACACCACTGGTCGGGTGAGAGCATATGGCGAACTGTCATCTGAATTCTCTACATCAAGTGGTGTCCGTCAGGGATGTCCACTCTCTCCATTCTTGTTCAACTTTGTCGTAGACATCCTCTTAGAGTTAACATTAAGCTCGTCAGATTTTTCAGGAGTAGACCTTCTACCAGGTGGCTCGCTTATCGACTTAGAATATGCCGATGACATAGTTCTATTCGGTGAAGACGCTGACAAAATGCAGAGTCTTCTGACTACCATAAGCAACAATGCGAGCATGTTCGGGATGCGGTTTTCCCCCTCGAAATGCAAAATGTTGCTTCAAGACTGGGTTGCTTCGGTACCTGAACTAGTGATAGAGAGTGAAGTAGTCGAGCGTGTAGATCACTTCACTTATCTTGGGAGTCTCATCAGTGCCGATGGCCTGGTGACTGACGAAATCTCAGCTCGGATACAGAAGGCTCGATTGGCTTTTGCCAACCTGCGTCACTTATGGCGTAGGCGTGATATCCGTTCTCTAATCAAAGGACGAGTGTACTGTGCAGCAGTTTGTTCCGTTCTCTTATATGGCTGTGAAACATGGCCGTTAAGAGTATAAGATGTTCGTAGGTTACTAGTATTCGATCATAGATGTTTAAGAAGCATTGCTCGTATATCGTGGGACAGCCGAGTAAGCAATGCTGTCGTTAGGAAACGAGTACTAGGTAAGGATGGCAGATCAATCGATGAAGTGGTGAAACTTCATCAGTTCAGGTGGTTGGGACATGTGTTACGTATGCCTAACCACCGACTGCCTCGACGAGCTATGTTTTGTGGTGTAGGAGTAGGTTGGAAGAAAGCTAGGGGCGGCCAGACCAAAACATGGCACAAATCCATGAAGTCACTGACAAGTGGACTGAGTCATGTTGGTAGATGTAGACTACCTGGTTGGGGTCCGCGAGACGAAAATCATCAATGGTTAGAGACCTTGAATGACATGGCTCAAAATCGTTTGCAATGGCGCAGGTGCATCCACTCTTTGAGCTCTCTCAAATCATAATCTTCTGGATTAGCCAGCACCTTTGTCTTTCTAACCCTATCTCACTGAATTATATTGTTTGAATAATATCTTAAACCCTAGTCTTCTTTATTATAACATTACTACCTCTACCATCTTTATCACTATGGGATATGATTTGACATTTGCGTCTCTGTGCTAATAATGTGGTATGGCAACATGAACTTATGTACATACGTACGAAGTTCTACGTTGCAACTGACTGACTGACTGACTGAGAAAAGGTCGACCCTAAAAATGTCACACCTCACCCTACCTCACGGATTTCCGTCTCCAGCGGTAAGGGTGCCCACTAAGGGCTTTCAAGAGCGGAGCTAATACTCAAAATACCTCTTATAAAAATCCGTGCGTGACCGGCCTCAAGCAGTTGTACTTTGGGCTCTGCGGTCATGCTCTCAGGTCTCTAAGACCGACACTAATCAACCTTCCTTTTCAGGTTCCTCAAGAAACAACCTTCCATGGTGTGGGCAGCCGGGAAGTGACAACCGCTCTCATACCCTTAACAGCAAGCGAGACCGAATCGGTCAGAATCAAATCCTCAGCAACTAATTGGGGAATGTTCATGTTTGGCTTCAGATCCATGACTTTTCATCATACTGTATAGTAACACATTTCCCTATGTTCGTTAAACATCATTTGATGGAGAATTGCAACCAGTGTCTCATGAGCACTGTTAAGTGATTTTAAAGCAAACTTTTAACTCTCTGATTTTCAGTTGGGTCCGTGTCATTATTTCTGACTCACTTATAGAAATTTACTTAACATGCAAATTTTAGAGTTATTGAGTATTTAAAAGCCTGTTTTAGAAATGTAGCTAAATCAGTTCTTTATTCCCTAGATTTTATATCATTTTATCGACAGTTGTTGTCTTTGTCGGTCATCTAATTTATGTAATATACCACCAAGTACTCTCGGTATACCGAATGTCTTGTATGTCCAACTCAGCAGAAAACATTGTTATATGTGCGTACGATACTTAACTGTTTTTATTGTTATATATATGGAATTCTACTATGTACCCGAAATGTATAGCCAATAACGTCGCTTTTATTTTTACTCTGGAGAGCATTCAGCTTGTTTCTGATTTTGCGTTTGGAATATTGTTCCGTTTTTAGACTTTTCGAACTTGGGTTTGCAGAACAGCTTTCGGAAACTTTGAAACGTCTGCCGCGTAGTCGTCAAACCTTAATCTTTTCGGCAACATTACCTAAAAACTTGGTTGAATTTGCACGTGCTGGACTAGTGGATCCTATTCTGATTCGACTAGATTTAAATTACAAACTGAGTCAAGACTTAAAGGTATGACATGTGTTTTAATTTGTAGTAGATGTAGAGAGATGTATGTTTGATTCTTTTTAGTCGTCAGCTTGTTAAGAATCCACAACTTCATGATTGTTTACTTTTACATTCCTCTCATCAGAATTATAAATAATTGTTTGATTCTCAGACACATCACTCGTCTCCTAGAATCCAAATACGTAAAACAGTCCGCCTATCTACGTTGAATTTAACCTCATGTTTTATTAAAGCGTTTTTTATGGTCTATAGGTGTTTCAGAGTTTGTTGTTTTTGAATACTTGGCAAATCATGAATGAGATGCAGTACAATCGGTTGCACTAGCTCAAAATTATGTGTTATTAGTCAGAGGACAGTACATAAACAATATGCAAGTAATGATTAAAAATGTGCTCTTAGAGTGTTTTAATAAAAAACCTCACTTCTCAGCTCACATCTACACCCAATTCGATCATCTGTACGTGGATTATTGGGCCTGTGAGCAGTTTTTATGTCGGTAAAATGTATTCATTTTGTTATAATTTACAGATACTCATACCTACATCCTGTTTTTCCTTTTGGAGTTAAGTCCATGAAGTTGTTTATTTTTCCTAAGTTTCTGTCAGTATTGTCTCATTTTCTGTTATTGTTCTTCACTGGACATGTCTTAAGTTTCAAAAATATTGCTTTTTATTTAGCATTGTATACCATTATAAGTGTCTTTGATTACTCCTAGTTAGCACACATAACTTGCCTTCCGGAGGAGAAGAACGTAATTCTTGTACACTTATTGGGAAAGGTGATACACAAAGATGAACAAGCTGTAGTGTTCTTCGCCACCAAGCATCATGTTGAATTCTTCCAAATGGTAGGTAACCATAATGGGCTGGGTTTTTTTGACGTTTTTACTTTCGCTATCTAGTTTAATAATAAACTCGTGTGATACCGATTTTCACTCCCTAATACTAGTCTACTTGGTTTCACTAAGCTTGTTGTAATATAATTCTCTTATTATGGTAGCAATCTCTAAACTATCAAATTACTAACAAATGGTTCTAGAGGATTGTTTCGCTAGACGCTTGTTTACTCAGTTATTTTTAGGATAACGCTGAATGAGTTACATAGGAATTATTTTTGAGTTTCGTTCGAATAATATATGTCATCCCTGATTGTAATGTACTATTTCCAGAAAACCATCTAGTAGATTCAGTTTAGTAAATAAATTTGTACGTGTTCAGTCTCATTGATGATTAACTAGTCCATTCCTGTTAATGATGGGGTTCATTTATATAGTCACTGTGTTAAAACAGTTTCTACGTCTTGAGTTGCTAATTATTAGAAGAAAGCTGTCATCAAAGCTTAGTTGTACTAAATAATCATCCATGTTTACTTACTAGGTTAAGTTGTCAGAATAATTACTTGCGTATTTCTGTTGCGCTTAGCCTAAATAATAGAGTGTAAAAGTTACCCGTTACGATAAGCACGTCCGATCATCTGATGTTTTATGAATGTTATGCATTTTTTAAATCGGATTTGGATTTAAAATCCATCGAATTTCGGTGATAGACAAATTTAATAGAGAGTCTAGAGCTACAGTTGCGTATTTCCTAGGTTGTCTTCAGTCATATTGTGTTGTCTGGGTAGATTGGGCACATTCGATTCGGTTCCTACGAGACCATTAAGTTTACGTTTTACTTTCAAATTGTTTGATAAACTTATACCAGTGCAAACAGGGAGCAACTATTGAATCTCCAAATAATATATCTTACTTGTATGGATTATCGAGCAGATAATGCCACAGTCCAATCCTATATGTTTGTCAACCACCAGAAGAAAAAGGAAGGGTAGAAGTGGGCAACATTGAAAACGGTCTTTACTTTGAATGAGTCTGTGAGCTGCCTTCCATGCAGTGCAGTCCATCGTAAGAATTCCGTATGATGTTGACTGTCTTTTGAAGCACACCACATTGTCGAAAAAGTTTCTATAATGTCGTGGTGTTCAGGCTGTCAAACGCCTTCTCGTAGTCAAGTAAGTTGATGTATAGTGGTGAGTTGCATTCAATTGATTGTCTGAGAATGATCCATAGTGTTGCGATCTAGTGGATACATGATCAATCCTTACAATGCACAAACTATTGATTTCAAAGTTGGGCGTTCGCTGAATTTTTTCTTCTTTTTAACAACACTCAGTTGAAGATTTTTCCTGGTATTGAGATTAGAGTGATGCCTCTGAAGTTGTCTCACTTGCTAAGATTTGCTTTCTTTGATATCTTGGTGTGATATCCGTCTTCACAGTTTGTTGGTACTTGTTGTTCCTCCCAAAGCGTGCTGAAGAGAGTGTGGAGCCTCTTAGCAGTTTCTTCTGTGTCTGATTCCAATGCCTCAGCTTGTATGTTGATTGGTTCTGCTTGATTACCACCCTTGATTTCTCTAATGGCCACTGTAATTTCTCTGATTGTTGGTGAGGTAATACACACACAACACAGCGTGTATCTAGCATATCACACTTGATGGAGAAGCTTTGGGAGATGTGGAAACGTTGAGATATATGGGCATCATCATTGATAAACTATGTGGATCTGATGCAGATATAAGGACATATTAACAAAGCAAGGGCTGCACTGCTACAATTGAAGAACATACGGAACTCAAAACAACTATCATTTTCAGCATTTTCAATACAAACGTCAAAATAGTTCTGTTGTATGAAGCGGACACTTGGAGAACTACGAAAGCAGTTGTCCAAAAGATACATATATTTGTTAACAATTGTCTACGCAAGACACTGTGGATCTGTTGTTCAGACACCATCAGCAACAACCTACTTTGGCTGAAAACAAACCAGCTTCTGGTTGAGGAAGAAGTTATTATAATCGGCTGAAAGTGGATAGGACACGCGTTGCTGTTAGGATATTCACCAAATATCCTACGAAGAATCATTTTGTAAGTGTAAATTCTGTTGGTCGATTCCTAATGGTCAATATGATGGTCGTCCTAGCTACCAGTGTCGCGTACTTCAATGTTGTTGCTTATTGGTCGTCCTGACTTTTAATACCACTTCAAATGTTTTTTCCTATTGGTCTCCTTAACTGTCAATGTCACAGACTTCGATGCTGTTTCCTATTCAACCTAAATGTATAAATACGCATTATATGTAACGTTTTATGACCCGGACCTGGACCGAGATCCTCAGTCCGGGATCCTGCCTTCTTCTGGACTCGGACCTCGTACTTTCTGGATGCTTGTAGAATACAGGTTCTACTTCATATCAAGTCCTCTTTTATTCAATGGGAGGTTGGGACACTCGGATTAGAGTAGCATGTCGTGTCGTTGGATTCTCGATCCTCGCTCTCATTTTCCTAATAATTCAAGCATCTCAAACTGACATGTTTACGTTCATGCGTAACAGTTGCCGAAACCACCCAACTGTAACACAAGGCAAGCCCTAACTTGGAATCCTCGAAGTCAAAGGTAAAGAGGTAAACCAATGAACACTGTGCGCCGAGAATCGGAGACAGACATCAAACAAGCGAATTGCAGTTGGGTAAAACCGGAAAGAAAGGCTCAAGATAATGTTGGTTGTAGAATGCTGGTCGGCGGCCTATGCTCCATGAGGTTTAACGGGCTCAAGTAAGTAGATAAGTAATGGTCCTGTGTGCGTGTTCTAAAATCATAGCCCACCTTTATAATTCTAAATTCCAAAGTTTTAACTTCCTAACGTCCCATTCAATGTTTACTAAGAACATTGAGGATTTGTCAGAATCAGTTTCACATTTTTATCTCTCGGAGTAAATTCGAGGAATTAAATTTTGTCTGGAGGATCAATAATGCGTTTGAAAGAATGCTTGGAAAATATAAGGTAAGATTGTTGATGAAGTGAACGTGGAATTGTTTGAGACCTCTCGAATTTTCCAGCAAAAAAAATTCTCTTCTAAAACCCGAACAAGAAAGTTAGTTAACAAGTGTGATAATCATTAACTTCCTGGTTTCAAAAGCATCCTCTCTTATGATATTGTATTAGGTGCCGGGTTGTGAGACGGCGGAGAAGATTTGTAGCTCAGGCGGATGACTGTGGAGGTGGTGTTTAGTTCTCTAAGCTGAGTGTTTTGGTTGTGAAGCTTTCATTGTTCTTCTGAACGACATCATCAGCACAAACTTCAGATAGAAGTGAAGCATTCGAATTTCTCCACGTTTGACCTGTAGCTTGTTCTGCTAACCTCAATCTTGATTGGTTGCTGTTGACCTTAAACCTGTCGTTGTTTGCAGCTTTGTTTTGATTGCATCTCCCTTTTGATCTGTTTCTTGATCCTATTTCACCTATGATTTTCCTGATTGGTTGATAAATTGGGTCAATATCGATGTGTTTGTTGATTGCTGATTGACCTGAGTGCCAAGCTTCTAAAAATTCCCTAGTGTTCTTTGTCCTCCTCCTACCCAGTATTTCCACATTGTTCCAATCAAATGTGTGTCCATAATTGTCGATGTGTATTGATATAAGCGAAGCGTTGTCGTAGCGTTTGACTGCTAATTGGTGTTCACGTAAACGGAGCTGAAGAGGCCGTCCACTTTGTCCTATGTAGTGTTTTTCACAGTTTGAGCAATTTATTTGGTAGATGATATTTGGTTTTTCTTCCTTTGTCATTTTGTCCTTTGGTCTACATAGGATTGATTGAAGTGATTCTGTTGGTTTGTGTGCCACACCTATTCCAAATGGTTTCAGTAGTCGTGCTGTATGCTCCGATATGTCTTTGATGTATGGCAGTATGATCCGTTTGTTGGTTCCTGTGCTTGATTTCGCTTCTGATGATGGTTTCGGTTGATGTTTTTTGATGAAGTTGCGTGGATAGCCGTTCTTTTGGAAGATAGTCACAAGGTGTTTTTCCTCGTTTTCTAGTGCTTCCTATGTGCTGCAGTGTGTCTTCGCTCTCTTGAACAAAGTTTGTATGCAGTTGATTTTGTGGGTTCTTGGGTTGTTGCTATCGTAGTTGAGAATCACGTCTGCGTGGGTTAGTTTCCGAAATACTTGCGTTTCCAGTTTTCCTGTGTTAGTTCTGGTATTTAGTACATCCAGGAATGATAGACTGCTGTTTGATTCCTTTTCCATCGTGAATTTAATGTCATCGAAGACGTTGTTGATCTGATTGTAGATGTTCTCCAGCTCGTTCTTTTTGATGATGACGAATGTGTTGTCTACATAGCGAACCCACATTTTTGGCTTGATCACTGGTAAAATCGACGCTTCCAGTCTCTGCATTACCGCTTCCGCGATGAGTCCTGATATTGGTGATCCCATTGGTGTTCCTTTTGTTTGTTCGTAGACTCTGTTGTTGAATTGAAAATACGTTGTTAAGCATAGATCGATGAGTTCAAGCAGACTTTGACTCTGAAGCTTTGTATATTTGTGCAGATTTGTGTCATTGATGAGGAGCAGGGAAAGAGTTTCCGTAGCTAAGCTTGGCTCTATTGAGGTGAATAAGGCTGTTACGTCGAAGGACATCATCGTCTCTTCGTTGTCGATTTGAATCCCCGTGAGTTTATCCAAGAATTGTGTGGCAGACTTAATGGAGTATTTGGATTCATCCACCAGATGTTTTAATATCCTTGAAATTTCTCTTGATAAGTTGTAGGTCGGGGTTCCGGGGAGGGATACAATAGGATGTAGTGGTATTTTAGGTTTGTGGAGTTTTGGCCTACCGTAGAATCGTGGAATTATTGATCCATTGGATTTCATTCTCTATTGATCTTGTTTTGATATTTGTCCTGCTTTGACAATCCTATTTAGAGTCCTTGAGATTTGATTGTCCAACTTTTTTATAGGGTTTGTGTCGACTGGTTTATACACGCTTCTGTCCACAAACCTAAAATACCACTACATCCTATTGTATCCCTCCCCGGAACCCCGACCTACAACTTATCAAGAGAAATTTCAAGGATATTAAAACATCTGGTGGATGAATCCAAATACTCCATTAAGTCTGCCACACAATTCTTGGATAAACTCACGGGGATTCAAATCGACAACGAAGAGACGATGATGTCCTTCGACGTAACAGCCTTATTCACCTCAATAGAGCCAAGCTTAGCTAAGGAAACTCTTTCCCTGCTCCTCATCAACGACACAAATCTGCACAAATATACAAAGCTTCAGAGTCAAAGTCTGCTTGAACTCATCGATCTATGCTTAACAACGTATTTTCAATTCAACAACAGAGTCTACGAACAAACAAAAGGAACACCAATGGGATCACCAATATCAGGACTCATCGCGGAAGCGGTAATGCAGAGACTGGAAGCGTCGATTTTACCAGTGATCAAGCCAAAAATGTGGGTTCGCTATGTAGACGACACATTCGTCATCATCAAAAAGAACGAGCTGGAGAACATCTACAATCAGATCAACAACGTCTTCGATGACATTAAATTCACGATGGAAAAGGAATCAAACAGCAGTCTATCATTCCTGGATGTACTAAACACCAGAACTAACACAGGAAAACTGGAAACGCAAGTATTTCGGAAACCAACCCACGCAGACGTGATTCTCAACTACGATAGCAACAACCCAAGAACCCACAAAATCAACTGCATACAAACTTTGTTCAAGAGAGCGAAGACACACTGCAGCACATAGGAAGCACTAGAAAACGAGGAAAAACACCTTGTGACTATCTTCCAAAAGAACGGCTATCCACGCAACTTCATCAAAAAACATCAACCGAAACCATCATCAGAAGCGAAATCAAGCACAGGAACCAACAAACGGATCATACTGCCATACATCAAAGACATATCGGAGAATACAGCACGACTACTGAAACCATTTGGAATAGGTGTGGCACACAAACCAACAGAATCACTTCAATCAATCCTATGTAGACCAAAGGACAAAATGACAAAGGAAGAAAAACCAAATATCATCTACCAAATAAATTGCTCAAACTGTAACAAACACTACATAGGACAAAGTGGACGGCCTCTTCAGCTCCGTTTACGTGAACACCAATTAGCAGTCAAACTCCACCACAACGCTTCGCTTATATCAATACACATCGACAATTATGGACACACATTTGATTGGAACAATGTGGAAATACTGGATAGGAGGAGGACAAAGAACACTAGGGAATTTTTAGAAGCTTGGCACTCAGGTCAATCAGCAATCAACAAACACATCGATATTGACCCAATTTATCAACCAATCAGGAAAATCATAGGTGAAATAGGATCAAGAAACAGATCAAAAGGGAGATGCAATCAAAACAAAGCTGCAAACAACGACAGGTTTAAGGTCAACAGCAACCAATCAAGATTGAGGTTAGCAGAACAAGCTACAGGTCAAACGTGGAGAAATTCGAATGCTTCACTTCTATCTGAAGTTCGTGCTGATGATGTTGTTCAGAAGCACAATGAAAGCTTCACAACCAAAACACTCAGCTTAGAGAACTAAAGAACTCCAGCACAAGGTGTCGGGTTTTTCCGATTTATCGCAAATGGTTGAGGTCCTATTGTATCGGTGATTGATTGAAGTTGGCATTTAACACTGTTGGGTGCCGGCTCAGTGGTGTTTAATTTTAGCGGCCGCGTGAGAGGCCGAATATCCGAGGTTTGTTTCCTTCCGGAGAGGTCGTGGATGCGCACTGATGACGGGTATCCTACTAGGATGAAACCGCCGTTCAGTGTTTACGGTTTTTTACTGGTTGTCTAGCACTAATTGACCCATTATTTTAACAAAACTCAGTAACCTCCACACTCTTATGATGAAATCGCAATTCGTTGAGTATGATTTTTCTCTTGTATATTCATGTGGAGGTTTGAAGAACAAGTGTCTAATGAGTTTACTTTTTCTTACAGCTATTAACTGACCTTGGCTTCAGCTGTACATGCATTCATTCAGGACTTGACCCAAGCGCACGGAATCTTTCTCTAAAGAAATTTCGCTCTCGAACTGCTCGTGTCCTACTTGTGACAGATGTAGCTGCAAGGGGTGTCGATATTCCTCTTCTTGATAATGTAATTAATTTCCATTTTCCTGCCCAACCGAAACTCTTCCTGCATAGAGTAGGTGAGTCAAAATATTATTCGTCTATTTATTGTAATTCAAGTACATCAAGTATATCTCCGATAACAAACTTCGCTTCACTTCTAATCACAATGAACAAACTTTTGTGATAACTTCATCTAAATGAGGTCTGTCGTTTATCTAACTAATGATAGGATCCAGCACTGCGTTGTGTTTGTTTATTTGTGTATATCTAAACCGTAAAATTCCTTGATTGGATTTCTCAAGGAATGAATGTTAAGAGATAATTGATCAGTTGGTTAAAGTGTTAGAAATGTATCCATACTTTCTTTAGCATCTACGCACTCTTTCCACTAATATCTTGTTTTATCAACGATTTTTCGTGGTAACTTTAGCAATTCCTCTGTCCTTATTTCCTATATGTTCCTGTGAGCTTGTTCTCTTATTGCACGATGTTTTGTGTTCCTCATTAAGTCAACCCATTTTGTGTTGAAATTGGATGTTGAAAACTAATAGTGCAATAGATGATGAATTCATCCCACGATTTATTATCTGAGAAGGTGTACAAAAGTGAAATTTATATTGAAAACGTTGGGAGGTGTTTTCTTAGCGATCCAGAGCAATTGAATCGTGTATCAGCTTTAAATTATGAACCTAAAGTCAACATGTCCAGTTAGTTATGAAATATCTTATTTCAGTACAAACTATAATAAAAATGTTATAACTAAAATTTCCTGATAAACTGTTCATTGTTGTCTTTTTCTGTAATCATTTTTCTATTTTTGATATTATTTCATACTTACCTTTCAGGTCGTGTTGCTCGTGCTGGTCGACATGGAGTTGCTTACTCTTTAGTCGATCCAGAAGAGTTACCTTATCTCTTAGATGTATTCATGTTTTTGGGTAAAGAGTGGAAAGTATGTCAACCATCAAACAACCAAATTGAATGGGAAAGTGACTGTGTTGGCAGAGCACCAAGAAGCATTATGAGCAATCTGACTACTCGTATTGAAAGCATTTCGTCTGGAAATTCTTCTCTCGTATGTTTAACACTAAAATTATATGATGATTTTTTGTTTGTCGTACTTATTAGAAAAAGAATTCATTAGTTACAGTCAGTACGGGCAAAAAATATCTGAAATAGGATTGCTCATATTGTGACTAATCAAGAAGGCAGTTTGTTTGCGTTTTCTATGCTGTATTTAGTGCTTGCTTCACAAACTGCATTCGTCTAAAATCAACCGATGTCCAACTTTCATTGTTTATGTTAGATTAGCTAACTAGTTATTATGAGATCGAAAATATTTTAAAGTTCTAAATCTATGACTAACTTTATTTAATTTCACCCTGTTACTGATTGTTCCATAACTGGGAAAGTACTTAACTAATACTAAGTTATTTCAGAGAAATAGCCAAAGTTAAACTGGTCATCTACTCGATTTGGAGCTTTCTGTTAGATATTATTTTTAATGATTTCAAGATTGCGCACCAAATAAACATCAACTAACAGAGGTTAATTTAGAACTTACGCTGGGTAATCTTCCAGGTTTAGTGCTGAAAAACGAGCCTTCTACACGTGAGCCTCATCAGCTAATTGAATGACAAGATAAAGAATGAATATATACATCTCTTCCAAATAACTGAGTCAAACCGCAATCGGTAGCATTCACAAATAAACATCTCTTATCTATCATTTAGCCTAGAATTACCATATATACATAGGTATGTGATGTTTGAATAATCCAGTCGATCAGCAACAAGTTTTCCAGCTCATATTCAGTGTCTTTTTGAGATGGCATGATATTGTTCTATCTTCCTAAATGCTTCAAAATTTAAACCTATGTAAAAACTCGTCATCGATCAAAAATAATGTTAAAATTTGTCAAAAACAAAAAATTAGTTTACGTGTTTTAGTTAATAACTGCTTTTTAAAGAATCCATTTTGAAATATTCAGGAATCGATGAAAAAGGTTTGTAACAATGCGATGAAACGATTCCTTCAAACTCGTCCAAATGCATCTTGGGAATCTATTCGACGTGCAAAAGATCTAAGAGATGCACACTTTTTATTACCTGTTCACCAGCTTTTTGGTAAGTATTCAATTGAAAGATTTATATTAGATCAACTTTATTTGATTATATTTTTGGGAGAATTTCATTACGAATTTAGTGAATACAAACACTGCATTACAGATTTGCACACTTTTGAAAATAGGTAAATCATCAACAACTCAACTCTATGCACTTATCATTACGTTTTCAGTGTTTTGAATCTCATTCCATTATAATTGTGTGGTAAAATGTAGATCTAATAAATTTGATCATACAACCATAATAATTGTTTAAGACACAAGAAGTAGTGTAGTATCAAACTAAATTTCTTATGAAGAACTACACAATGACAACATGAGATTTTATTTCAATCTAATTTCATTTTCAAGGGTTTAAATTTCAAGTGTTAGCGTCCTGCACAATGAAACAAGATCTAAATAGTCTCGTTATTAGCTACAGTATTGTAGTGGTGTTTCGTTCTCTGAGCTGGATATTTTGGTTGTGCAGCTCTCTTTGTGCTTCTGAACAACATCATCAGCACGAACTTCAGATAGAAGTGAAGCATTCGAATTTCTCCACGTTTGATCTGTAGCTTGTTCTGCTAACCTCAATCTTGATTGGTTGCTGTTGACCTTAAACCTGTCGTTGTTTGCAGCTTTGTTTTGATTGCATCTCCCTTTTGATCTGTTTCTTGATCCTATTTCACCTATGATTTTCCTGATTGGTTGATAAATTGGGTCAATATCGATGTGTTTGTTGATTGCTGATTGACCTGAGTGCCAAGCTTCTAAAAATTCCCTAGTGTTCTTTGTCCTCCTCCTACTCAGTATTTCCACATTGTTCCAATCAAATGTGTGTCCATAATTGTCGATGTGTATTGATATAAGCGAAGCGTTGTCGTGGCGTTTGACTGCTAATTGGTGTTCACGTAAGCGAAGCTGAAGAGGCCGACAGGTTTAAGGTCAACAACCACCATTCAGGTTCGAGGTTAGCAGAACAAGCTACAGGTCAAACATGGAGAAATTCGATTACGTCACTTCCATCTGAAGTTTGTGCTGATGATGTTGTTCAGAAGAACAATGAGAGCTTCACGACCAAAATATCCAGATCAGAGAACGAAATACCACCCCAATCATCCACCTGAGCTACAAACTTTCTCCACTATTTCAAAATTATATAGCTACAATATAATATTACACTTAGTGATTTACTTAAAGGAAATAATGGGCCTGTATAATTCAAATTGTCCATCAACAGGATAGACATAATGTTGTGTTAATTTTCTCAACGGATGTTTTATCGATGCCCTATTGCTGTCTTTATTATATTCACTATACTCTTGAATTCTCATTATTTTCTTGTATAGTTTCTTTTCCATTATGAAAAGTATATTTTTTTCGGCTTTGTAGATAATTCAACAGAGAAAGAAGATGGAACAAGTAATGAAATATTAGGTGTTATACGACACCTCAAATTGCCTGTGAGTTACATGCATTAAACTTTTTCATGTGATGATCACTGTTTCTGTTTTGATCCTCTTAGACAATGAACACTTTTTTCAGTTTCGTATCTCATATATACAGAATATTTTTTCTTTAACATGTAAAAGTAGTCGTCCGACCGTATAATTCATTCAACATTGCTCTTATCAGAATACTTTATTTTTCGTTTGATTGAATTCATTCTGAGTTTTAAATTTACTGATCACTGGTATTGTCAGGGAGATTTTTCCCAATGACCCTTCTTTTTTTTAGGACTGAGTTGTGTACAAAGACCTTATTGACAAGAAACAAATGGTCAAAATATCTAAATCAGATAAGAAATAATAAATATACAACCTTGTAACTATTTACGCTTACAACCATTTTCTCTTGTTTCTGTTTTCAAGAGTTTTAAAACTTTGTTAATCTGAAGCAGGTTTTCAACACACATTGACAGCAACCTGATTATTAAAAACATTCTAGAAACAATAAATAATTGTTTCATTATTAGTTTTGAACACTTTTATTTATGGCATCATGATTAAATAATCATTGTTGAGAGACTTTTTTAAATCAAAATCTTACTGTTCAATAATCTTTCAATCTCAGTCAATTGTTGATACGGACTAGTTGAATAAATTTTGTTGTGTCGATCAGATTGTTTTGTTTATCATCATGAACTTTGATCTCTCAGCTCATTTTCCTCCTAATTTATAGTCTTATAATCTATGAACTATAAAATGTGCATATCCACTAGTATACTGAAATTTAATCTGTACAGTGTTTTGCCTACACAGAAACGTACATTTTGATTGTGCTTCAAAAAGCTTTTAAAGTCCTTTGTCATACTTACTTTCTTACAGACTATATTTGAAGCTTTGGGTAAACATGTAAACCCTGAAGCTTTTGCTACAATGACGAGGAAGCGAAAATTACACGATCATATCATAGCACGTCGTGCTGCTCAGAGATCTTCAGACCAAACCGTCAATGTATTAAAAGTAAGGTATATATAAATATCATTCTGATCAGTTGTTTAAAATGCACAGTCATCATCGTCTTCAAAACACTACTCCACATTCTTTTGTAACCCTATGATTCATGCTGAAGTTCCTCAACGTGGTCCGAGGCATAGAGAAGATGACCTAATATGCGCAATTATTTTGAGACACGAGCTTCGTAGACCTGAACATATTCTACAATTAATTGTTTCAGAGAACTCCGAACTGCACATCGCCTAACGATACTTGGGTCGAGTATAAAAACCTATGAGTTGATCAGTTAATGATGTGAATTAAGATCTATTGATTGTTGACATTTATCTGAATGAATCATAGAGATAGTGCAATTCAGCCGCCTATGAAGTTATCACACATTTCGAAAGAAGAGTCTCTTCGATCATGGGAGTCATTAGTTGAAAGATATATCGGTTAAACATCGTTGCACTCATCAATCTGTAAATGATGAATATAACTGAATTTGTTTGAATGGCTCCCAGAGGCTCAAGAAGCCGAAGATATTCCATCCAGTCATAGCCAAATAGAATTTCTAGAATCTCGACATGACATACGGTGAGTGGATAATGGTGTAACGTCACTGTTCACGGATTGAACGGTTACAATGATGTTTTCAGTCTCTACCGAAAACCATAAATACTTAAGGTTTCCCTGCGCATTTCGACACTTATTAGAGTAAACACTCCTTCCGGTTTTTGATTTTCAATATGGGGTTGCACTATTCGTTCTAGTGCCAAAGGTTGTAGTTCGTATTAGCTGTATGTAGTAGCAGACTTAAAAGAATTATAATCCTGTTTCTTTCGTTTCTCCTCTTGATTACTGATATTTGCATTGATATTCTCGGTGTACAATGCTATTCTGTTAAAAAATACAGCTAGCCAAATGAATACAGAATCATTCCATTAATCTGAAAGTTATGCTAGTCGGTCAATGAATAAAGCGTTTTTAACTAAATTACAATATTATAATCATAGTGCTTAGTCATTCAGTCAGTTTTCACAATCACAAAATATAATGTAGCGAAAATTCAGTGGTTAGAGGCCTCGACCTTCAACCACTAAATTTCAGGCTCAAACCTTTCCCCATGTATTTGGGTTTAGACAACCAGGTAGTATCACTAGCGCTCACATTTAAAATGTGTTTCAAAGTCAAGTACACATACTTGTTATTGGTAAATAAGTTAGCATAAACTACTGTTTCACTTATACATTTGAACAACGTTACTTAGATCGTTCTAATCTTTTTTTTTTCTTCTCCTAGAATTTAGTAGAAAGAAAAGTCTCATTAACTGATCAACTAGGTTCATGTAATGCTAATGATGAAATGTCAGAAAATTTAGAAAATATTGACTTCTTTATCCCATATTCACGTGGTGATGAAGCAACAGAGAATGGATTATCAATTACTGGAACAAAAAGTCAATTTTGTTTAGATGCAGCAGCTGCTTCATTAGATTTACCAAATGATGAATCACATCATGTCAAGTAATGACAAGAGTATTAATGTTTGTTTTTTTTCTTTAAAAATTTGTTTATTAATTAACTTGGTTTCTAACCAACTTAGCTTATATCTACTTGTCATATTTTTTTTTCGTGCTTATAGAAGTGATTATCTTGAATATTATTTATTGTCGTCTTATTCTTCTACTGTCTTGTCTTCCTCACTCACTCTACTATTTAAATATCTAAACAAAAAGTAAAAGGAAACAGTACTTATTCAAATAAACCTAAACGAGAAAGATACAGTAGTACTGGTATTAGTCTTTGTATAGAATTTAAATAGGAGTATCTCGATCTCCAGAGCTGATTGGTTGAGTGGACAAATCAATATGTACCACCAGTTTAATCCTACTCAAAACATGCATTAATCAGGACTATCATGTTAAAATTCACTTGTAGCAATGGCTTTATCATTAAAACACCAGACTTTCAACTATAATAATATATGGATACACATCTTGCTTCATAAAAACTGGTTTCTCCACCCTAATCGTAGTATCATGAGCCTTCACACAAGACTAAGCAGCTTAAGTCAGAGTGCATAAAACATGCACATAGTAAATGAGTACCATCATGTATTTTATTAAAGGATCATTGGTAAATTATATTTTCTTATTCGAAGCAAACATTCAGTGATCTATTTTCAATATGAATTTATCATCGGTAGTTAGAAGAGTTGAATTAAAGTTCCTATAAATTATTAAATTCAGAGTCATTAAACGTCACTACTATTTGCTAAACCTTGTGCAGTACGCTTATTTTTACTACATAAGTAACATAACCTACGTTTTTGCTCTGTTATTTATTGATGATAATCCAGTGGGGTTTCAGGATCACGTAATCGAAAGCTTGTTTGGGATCGTAAACGCAAACGATTTACCTCAGAGGATGCTGCTCAAGGTAAAGCAAATATGAAACGCATTAAAACTGAAAGCGGTGTATGGATTCCCGCATCATACAAAACTGACAAGTGAGTTATTATCATCAATTGAGTTCGATTTCCCCTAAAAATGGTACATGACCAATCTCTGTGATTGATTTTTCGTACTAAACAATCGGGTAGTGACTTTAACTCTTGCACAGCAATGTATAAATGGGTGTCTACAGTAATCCAAATGGAAACATGAATATTATGGAAAAGGGAAATTATGTATTGATCCGGTTATGAGATGTCATAAAATGAAGTATTCCTTAATGATGCTTCTAACGCATGATATTTAACGTGGTTAATTCAAATTGACGGAAATCGTATGACAAAGTTATTTCACACTATTCTCAGATTTTGATTGTAACTTGCTGATTTTTTCCACAATGTAAAATATTTTTTCAAAAGAACAAAACAGCATATGACATAGTAAATTCTACAGGATTGAGTTGCTACTGATATTTCCTGTTTTATAAAATCCATTAATATTATGAATATAACGGCATCATTGCACTTGATGTTTATCCAGTTTTTATATTCTATTCAAGAATCACTCAGCAACATGAATAGTAATGTATCTTTATTTACTCGACTTTTGTTAAATCCATCATCGGTGCAGAAAAGTTATGTCAAAGCGTCTTCTTTTGTTTTTCCTTACAACGTTACACGTCATCATCGGTGCTTGTTCACTCAACGGTTTTTGGGAATATAACATTTTGCATCATTTTCCCCTTCGACTGTATGCCTATCTCAATTAAGGTAGATAGAGACCAAATCAACATCAATTCAATGTATTAAACTAACCAGTGTTTATTTGTTTTGTTTAACAATATCTACGTTGTGATTAGCCATTATATAATTTATTCATTTATTTTTTTTCCTTTCATCAAGATATAAACTATGGCTTAAAAAATCCAAATCGGATATTATACAGGAAACAAGCAAATCAACTGAAGAATCATCCACTATTATTGATACTTTAAATAAACATAAAAATATTTCAAAATATGGTGATGTGATTGAATTGCCGGATACCGATGAAATGGGCGGTAAATCGAATCATTTTCGTAAATCATCAACAGGAAAGAAGAATAAAAAACAACAATTAACACCCAAATTTACAATAATTGGATCACAGAAATGGCGTAAGTAGAAATTTTTTGTCAATTAGTTAATTTTATTAATTATTTATTAAACACTAATAATATGTGATTAAATTTTTAAATTAAACTGTTCTGTATTTGTTTTTATTCGGCTAACACAATTTAATCAATCTGCCCCTAAACTAGTCATAAGAACAATTATCAGATGGTATCGAAACTTAAACTGATGCACGTATATACCAAGTTGTACGTTGTTGCTGTTTGAGTAGCAGTATGTAGTCAAAAGTTTCGGTCATTGCTATTACACAACCCAATAATCAAATACACGTGTACACTGAAGATAAGACCTAAAGATACTATGTTTTTTTCAGTAAAGTTGAGTGGTATTTTTTTATAAGCTTTACCTTATACAGTTTAGATATCTGAGTTGTGTATCTAAAACCTGCATATAATAAGTTGTTCAATATTATTTCGTGGTATTTATATTTCTAGTTAAATTCCTTAAACACTTGTATGCATGAATCTGATTATGCTAAGTAAATAAACACACAGCTTGTACAAAAATACTAAATTTCTCCATACACATGTTTTTTTACATTTCAGAGGACCGAGCAACTGCTCGTCAGAAAGAACGTTTACAAAATGCAGTTGAAAAGCAAAAAATACGTCAACCAAAAGGATCTCGAACATTTGGTCAACTCAGACGACCTGAGCAAATACTGAAGCAGCGTAAATTGCGCGAAAAACAGAAACAACGTGCTCAGAAAAATAAGAATAATAACCAGTCACACAAAAAACGCAAACATTAAATTATTTCAACCATTCTAATTCTTGTACAGTTGATTTCTTAAAATTAAACTAATGCACTAAAGTAATGGGAATTTGTTGTAAACACTATACACTTCATTGTTTACGATGATCTATTTTATTAAAACAATAGGAACTGAGCTAGTTCTGCATTTAACAACATAGCCACTGCAAAAGCCGCAATTATACATTGTTACAATCTAATTTTAATGCAGTAAGTTAGTTCTTCTGCAACACTAGTCGGAAAAGTCGATTCAGAGGCCTTAATAATATAAGATTAGCAACATAGCAGCTTGTACGAAGAACACTAAATCGTGAACGGGAATATTTATGTACAACGTGACAGATTGTTCAGGTAAAATTTACAGACACCACGCTGTCATCTGCTATTCAGATGTTAAATGTTTCTTTCTGCACGAAACTATTCAGTCCGTTCGAAAAGTTTTATTAATGAATTTCTAGTCCCAATTTATATCGGCACTTACAATCAGTCATTAAGTAATGGGTGCTTATTGTAGTTGTGGCTAATTGAAAAACCCAATTACTCAGTTTTCGTGCTTACTCGGCTATATCACTAATAAGCAAATTTATATCTTTCTGGTTATTGATCAAATATCACCATCCAGAGCACGATAGCTTATATTCAACGGTTGTCAAGATTGTTAGTTATGATTTCCCTATGTAGTCTAGTCATCATAATTCTCTCCTTGGCTTATTCAGTCAGAAATTAGTTTGATGTAACTACAGAGATAACAGATTATCATATCGATCTGGCTAACAAATTATTAATCAGTCATTTACATGTCGAGTTATGCCACGTAATGACTCACTAAGAAATCTAATTGAACAATACATGTACAGTATTTTCATTTAAGAAACCTAATTCGCTTTGACAGTACTGCTAGGCTCAAGAACTGAATTTCTAAATTTTCTAACGAGTTATATTAGTTATGTGTCCGTAAGAAAGATTTAGCTATGCTTTTGTAATATCTTAAGCAGTATGGTGTGAAGAGAATAGTTTAACATTACTTTACCTTATCTATTATTCTTGGTTTGGTGAGTCAGTGGCTTCGGAGTTTTGAACACCAATGAAGTACTATCGTTGAGAGTTTCATGGGTTGAAATGTTTTTACTGTGCAGTCAATCACCTCAGAGATTTGTGTGTGCCGAATAGAATAACATTTTAGACACGTCCAGAAAGCTTAAGTTACTTATCATGAGAATGGAATTCAATCGGTAGCATAGGTGATCGAATATTTCAGTTGGAAATTCTAAATAACATTTTCACAAACTAGTAGTAAGTATATCTTGAAAAGTTATGTCCGAAGGTAAACTTTTATACTAAGTATTGAAACAAACAAGCTACCACAATGAAATTGATGTTAGCACACCGTATTGAAACTGTTTCCTCTGATAAACTGATATCATATTGTGATCAAATATCACAACTTAACATCAAATAGTTTATAATACTTTCGTTGATTATATGTAAACCGCTGATTTGCCAGCCAAAAGAACAAACGAACATTTTACAAAAATCAAGTATATATTTCACCAAAGTAATACTTATCACAGTGTTTGATATGAAAATTAAGTACAACAAATCCCAATGAAAAATAGGTAGAATAAAAAAGGAAATACACATTTCATTTTTGATCTTTTCCAATATGGTAGTCTAGAAATTCTTTCAGTTGCAAATAAATCGGTGGATATTCTCGTTGTTGCCTTAATTGGACCTAAAGAACAATTAATAAATTACAATATACATGAGTCTATCAATAAAAATAACATATGTCTTCATTATATTTTAAGGTATTAAGATTGTTAGAGAGAGATTTAAGTGCCACTTTTACTTCTTCAGTTTAAAAAAATCACTTAAAAACTAATATGAAGTTTTGGAAATTGAACTCTGTACATGAACAAAATATAGGTCTTTGCGCTTTCAATGAAAGCTGGTGTTACACATCGTAGTCTGAGTTTTGCTTATGACAACTTGATCAAACTATGCTGAAATGAAGAGTAAATCGAAGAAGGCGTTGTATTCAGATTAGAATATGGAGCCAGTCTGTAAAAGTGTCAACTAATGAACTGAGGTAAGTAAGAAAGTGTAAACTTACTGGATTAGATATGTGATTGTGGTAATTTATGAAGATTGATTACAATGGTGCAAATGCATACATTTTTAATCTCCAAGTATTTAGCTTAGTAATATTATCACGTATCTTTTATCTGGGAGTTTACGGAACTTACACCATGTGATGTCTACTTTATTTCTTCATGAAGTGAAGTGCGGTAACTGCGCTATTTATTATCAACTAAGCAAATTCTTCATATCGATCATTGACTCGTATGAGAGATTTATTTGAACACTTAGTATTCATCATAATAATAATGAGAGTTCTTACCTAATAATAGGAAAATTTTAAAGAAAAATCCGACGAACGATTTAATTAACATCAGTTCCATTTTTGAATCTGTGTTATCAGATTACTTAGGCAATACATGTTCTACTTATTAAATATGCTCCATAAAAAGGACAAGGAATGAAGGAAATGGTACACATAAATTTGGATTACATTTAAGCTTTTAACTTTAGCAACTCTAAAAACGATACACTTTGTAAAATTACCTCATGAACGTATGCTGAAAGACCATTACGTAGAAAAACTAAACGTTCTGTATCATTTTGCCTCTTTATCAACCAAGATACATAATAAGTTGCAGACCAACCTGCAATAATATGCGGATAACGAATTTCATCCGGTGCTCTGCTAAACAAATGTTGACAAATTAAACTCGGGAGTAGTAGACGATTTGACGGGGAATCACCTGAATTCTCTTTCGCATAAATCTGAGGAAAATATATACAATGAGAATATATTATTGCACAGTATTTAGTCAGTTACAACGTAGAACTTCGTACGTAAGTATGTCAGTTCCGGTTGCCGTACATCATTAGCACAGAGACGCAACAGTCAGTTCAAATCCCGTAGTGGTAGAGATAGTAGAAGTATTACTGGTAATGAGGAAGATTAGGGTTCGAAGATATTATTCAAGAGGTATAATTCAGTGAGGAAGATAGAGATGATGAGGAATCCAGAAGGTTAGATTTTAAGACAACACAAAGACTGGATGCATCTGCGCCATTGCAAACGATTTTGAATCATGTCGTTCAAGGTCTCTAACCATCGGTGACTTTCGTCTCGTGGACCCCAACCAGGTAGTCTACATCTACCAACATGACTCAGTCCACTTGTCAGTGACTTCACGGATTTGTGCTTTGACCGCCCCTAGCTTTCTTCCAACCTACTCCTACACCACAAAACATAGCTCGTCGAGGCAGTCTGTGGTTGGGCATACGTAACACATGTCCCAACCACCTCAACTGATGATGGTATTTAGAAAACATGAAAATGTATTCATGTTATTAGAACTTGATGAGAGCAGATGTGGTTTACGCAAAAACACTTAAATCAATGCTAATGATGATAGAAAGGTGACTCGTAGAATGGTTAAAACATTCGAATATCAACCAAAAAGTTATAATTCTGAATTATACTTTATTTAATTTGGTTTGGCATAGTATCACATCTACTCTCATGCCGAAATTATGTGTTCAAAACCAATTACATAAATTTTTTTATTTGAATCAATGAGTGGTATGATCTAAGTTAGATAAATTTTACAGGAGTTATTTGTTTTTTTTACAGTGATACAATGATAGATTTATGATCAACATATGACAATTGAAACCTATTTTTTGGAACATATTAAAATAAATTTTAGTAAATATATATTTCAGATTAGTGATAACAGATGAGATATGTAAGTAGTCTAAATAACTCATTGTATAATTCTCTAACTGTTAGCAATATACTGACTATTCAAAAGTTTGGTATATTTCACTATTCAACTAATTAAACTGCTCTTTTGTTTTCCTTGTATTCTGCTTAAGACTGATTGTCTATTACTGCTTTCATTATTGGAAATGTCAATTTTCAATTTGAAACAATAATTTTTTTTACATGTGAAATCTACTATGTGTAACTATTCAGAGTAACTAAAATGGGTAAACAACTAAAAGCAAACCTTTTAAATGAACATATTTACTGTTTATTATTAATATAAATTAACATTGTAAATAGGCATTCAGAAAGTTCTATTGTATTGAAAATTTATATATATCTTCTATACAAATGAACAATGCTGATCACATTTTCATATCAATCACTGTATTTGAAAAAATAAGTGTGTAAATATCATGTTGAACAGTGACACAAATAACGCCTTTAAGTTAGTTAAACTTAATCCAATAGCAGGCAACTGAATACATATTTTACAAAAAAAATTACCTGAACTAATTGTTCATTTTCCATAGATAAAACAGAAGGAAATTCTCGTAATTGTTCATAAGATTCTGGGACCAGTTTACTTAATGTATATCCATACTTTGGACAGCATAATGGCATTAAAGCTAATTCGAATTCTTTACAATCAGCAGCTAATTTAAGACGTATTGATTCTTTTGAAGAACGAATTAGTGTTGAATGCCAAATGAAATTGTTGATACACATGGTAAGAATTGGTTTTAAAGCATCTTGCAACGCGAATTCACCGCAAACATAACATCCTGACTGTATATATACATTAGGTATTGTGTTAACAAATTTTGAAGGTTGTGAAAGATCAGAGAAATATTGTTGACGAACTCTTGCAGTAAAATCCTATTCATAAAAATTTGTCAAAACAAATAAATCATTAAAAAGTTAAAATGTTGATGAAAAATATCTAACATTTTTCTATGGATCATTGATGAGTGAGGCGAAACTGCTATTAATTTTATTCTACTGATATATGTACTCAGATTTTTAGAAATGTATGAAAACTTAGTAATCATACAATTAAAAAAAAATTAATTTTATGGTACAAAATTCATGAACATTAGAGTATTTTCCTGAGGAAAGGCAAACAATACAAGCTTACTGCAAAATCCTCTAATAGTGTTGAATAGATATTAATTCGATAGGTTAATTAGACATACGTAAGTAGAAATAATGTCATCGGAACAACTAATTTGATAAATGACAAAATGTTGGCTTATTTGAAATAAAACAATTGGTAAAAACAAACTTTGAGCAAGAATTAATTAAGGTGAACAAATTTCAGGACTGTTAGTCATATAGAGAATTCTAATTTAAGTACTATTCATTGGGTTGGAGACCGTTGTATGGTACAGTTACTTTTCATTTTGCGTTGTGATATGCAGTCATATGTACGGGTTGTTGGAAAGAGATATTAAATACTCCTTGGTTTTAAATAGCTGCTTAGCCAGTATTATTTCATGGTAAACTTATTTTAATTAGAGTTATGGAGATTAGTGTTTTTACACATTTGAAATCATCAACTTATTTTAGAATCATCTCTTAATTCTAAGCGGGAGTTTGAAATTTTATGCTGTTGATATTAAGGACTACGACTGATTGGTCTCTGGTGTTATGTGCTCTTCAGTAGATTTACACGATGGGATGGAGGTATACCCCTCTGGCGGGTCCCACATGGAACGAAACGCACGAAATGGATTCCAATGTCAGGCATATACTATATTCTTCAGTTCTTTTACATAATTTGAATACAAGTACTCCTTCATCAAATAGTACATTTCTTTATATGGAGGAAATTCACTCGATTTCACATAAGCACCAACTACTTGAAGCTAATATTCAGTAGATGGAAATAAAATCTATACGTAGTCAATATAAAAGAACGGTAATTACTAATCACGATAAAAGTAGACCAAATTTACTTAACAATGCTATTGTGACTAGTGGAGTTCAACCCTGTTCGGGTGTAAAGCAGTGATCACCGAAGACAGTGGATGAAATTGCGTAGGATCGTGGATTGATCGAAGTTAGACATTTACACCATTAGGTACCGACTCAGTGGCCCAGACGTTAGGTGTTCGCGCGCAAGACCGAAGGTCCTTGGTTCGAATCCTGTGATTTACAAGAGTCGTGGATGCGCACTGCTGATGAGTCCCATACCAGGACGAAACGGCCGTGTTATGTTTTCAACTTTCTAACGGCGGTCTAATATTTATCAATTTATGATTTCAAAAATTAACTGAGCAATCTCCACTAACCCCATCATGCAAATGTCATTGACAAATAATGTGATCGATGGAATCCAATCAGCACTAAAGGATTAGATAAACAAAACATTGTCTACCACTCAATCATCAATCAAAGTTGTATTAGCTTCCAGACAAAATTCAACAAGATTGTTAGCTTAACGTTTATATTCAGTAGTGGCTATCAGTAGAAAACAAAATGTTTTGTATCTATTGCGAACTCGTCTGTTACATTTCAACAGGCGTATGTGCTTTAACTAACTAAACTTTAATATGTACACTGTTTCAAACACTAGGATACTATCTACCTGGATATCAGGTTATGATAGCGGTCCATAGTTTTGGCCTTTTCTGTTGTTGTTGTTGTATTTTATTGTACTGAGTCGTTCAGTGAAAAAGCCTTTTTTTTAAATTCATAAATTGTATAAATATAGTTAAAAGGATTTATATTTTATACACAAAAGTATCATTAATTTTCTTAAAAAGACATATCACTAACCTGTAAATCTTGTAGATATTTTGACTTACTACTTAATTCATTAACTGAAATATCTTGATATGAATCATATTCATTATGCATAGAATTTAAAAATTCATCTATTTTATTACTAATAGTTTGCAGAAATGGATTTAAAATGGAATTGCATAAATTATTCAAATGAATTGCTGATGATTCAGAAATTAATTGTAGTGGATTTTTGATCGGTGGTGTCATTGTGGTAGTTTTAAGTGTCGATGAACATTCTGAATTAGAAAATGTAGATGATTTATCATAAGGATGATGATGAATGTTGGTTGTTGTTGTTGTTGTTGTCCCACATAGATTGTTCAATCGTTTATTAACAGTTAATTGTAAATTTGTTCCAAATTGGCATAGAAGATTAATTAAATGTATATTATTCTGTTGTCCAGGTGTTTGTGAATCGATCAATTGTACTGCACTAGCACCAGTGGAGATTAAAGCTTCAGTTTTAGTTGCAAATAAAGCAAGTAATTTATCTAAATTACGAGTAACCTATTTTTTTGTTTAAAAAAAAAATTGAGTAACAAATAGAACAAGGAATAATCTAAGTGTTTGTACATTGATTAAGTATGTAATATTGAATAGGAAGATAAATTCAACTTAAGTTAACTTAATGGTTAGTATCAGCGTTACAATTTGGAGTGTTTGTGTAAACAATATAATGGTGAATGTTGTGTAAACAATATACAACGTTTGGGTGAACAATAAAACCCTATAATAAATGTTCTAGCATTTTCTGGAATCATGGATATAGGTATTTCTGTTTTAGAGATAGTTTACTAATAGAACTAAAATATTTAAAGTATAATTATCAACTAATATTTGTATACAGAGGTTATTTCAGTTTAATTTATCAGTTTGTACGAGAATATACTCACATATTTGCCAACAACCTAAGCATATAGAAACAATGTCACGTCTGAAATAAAATTTGTATCAGTTGAAATTGCTATACTTCGATAATAGAATAGAGATATGATCAGGAAATGAATGGAAACATGTTCCTAACATTGATAAGTTCGTCACTTAGTATGCTTGAGGCTATTACGAGTTCACCTTAGTCGATAAACGCGAACGAGACTTTTACCAGCTTCCAGGGAGGCTACCTTGAATCCGAGGCTGAAGTGAAAAGTCTTTGTAAGCGTAGAAAGTATATTCTACAAACACCCAGCAATCACAGTACAATCAAGCATACAACTCTCGTTTATTTATACAACATAGGAACATCCTTGAGACGGTTAAGAAAATAGCATACTAAAATACACAGCAGCCAATCACAGCCATGGATTTTCCTGGTGGGAATTGAAATCTCAAGGTCATCTGATCAGCCCATGCTGGCAAAACGTGAAAACCAAAATACGGCATTATCAAGCGAATTTTGGGGATCTAACATCCCCAACACATGAGTGTATGAGTGATCAGTTAAAAATGAAATTTTATGGTAATTCAACGCACGCCTAATCTTAGTAGACTTTATCAAGGACGAAAATGTGTCGACGTACAAATAGTGTCCCTCAGAATACACAGCAGGTGCCAGATCTCGTAAGTTAGTTAACAAGAGTCTGATATTGTTTTGTCCAATGTAAGTTGTTCGTGTCTAACCAAAAAGTAGGAATATTTAAAAATATTCTCGACGTTTATAAAAAAAACTTATTAAATATAACTAACATAAGCAGTTTAATTTCAAATGATAATAAACCACTTATTGCTCATTTGTTATTAATTTCAAGATAAACGTTCTAAACTTCTAGTGAGTTGTAATTTGTGCAGTCAAATATGTTATGAGTGGGAGAGTTACCATCAATGAGATGATATGAGGATCGTGCTCTGTTGAGAATTTGTCAAGATTGAAATTGTGAACTATTGAATTACAGCCCAGTTAGTCTAGATAAATCAAGTTTTTTGAGAGATTTCAACAACCAGACAGCGTATGGCACTACGTTGAGCTAGCTGTGATTGTGCAGTAACATGTTACACTAAGCTGAAATTGATTTCTGGCAACTTTGAATTGTTTCAACTGACTCTAATCCACGAAGATAACAAGCTTATAAAATAACCTTAAGTATTACTCCTAATCTCAATTTACTCAAGGAAAGTCACTCACTTTAAATAAAAGATCATGGTGAACAGTAACATAGGCTAATTCATTTACAGCTGTTTGTATGATTTCATTCAATTCATTTGTATCTGGTCCAGCTGTTGTAGATGTTGAAAAAGCCAAAGTTACCCGATCGAATAAACGTGATACACTACGAGATAAATAAGCTGTTTCAAATGGATGCAACGCTCGAATCAAACATGAAGGTAGTTGTTCTGAGATAGTTTGATGATGAATAGGCGATAATGTATACTGATCATAATTACTATGATTAGAAAGTTCATTTGAAAAGGTACTCGTTACACGACGTTCTAAATCTAGTATTAATTTTAATAATTTCGGATATTCGCCTTCAAGTAATTCTTTAATTATTGGTGATTGATTAGAAACAACAGAAAGTTTATTGGCAAATTGATCTGATGCCCAACCAAGGAATCCTTCATTTGATAGTAATGCATTACGAATAAGTGTACGATTATCATTGACTTGTTTATGTGATATTAAATTCTCAGTAGAAGACGGTAAGTCAGTATTATTTTCTATGATAAAAAAGAAATATGTAAAAGAATTGTTAATCATTATAATGTACACATTCTTTACGATTTGTAAGTGTATACAATTTTTTCGGCATATTTAAACATTAGTAGAAAAGAATAAATTAATGAATGACTTTGAAAATACATAAATTTGAAGTAAACAGATTGCGCCATTTAAGTTTAAATATCAATAGAATATACGAGAAATATAAAAAACAGCATACACCTATTTCGTTCTTGTAAGAGATTTATATGCAGAAAATATTCATAAAATTATCTGGAATATCAGGCGTCGTAAAGAGTATTCAGGCAATGAGTACCATTCAAATATAGATAACAAATTACAAAGCTTAGCTTATAATCAATAATTTACTTTACAATTATTGAAAATAATTACAATTAACATTCGAACTAATTAACTTAAAAGATTTAGTTAGATATCTAAAATCTATTTCTTATTCCAACCATAATTTGTGATTTTATTATGAATTAATACCATTTTAATAATACACTTTAACAAACGATTATCTATCTATGATACAGTAAATGGTTTATTGCAAGTATACAAGCGGAAAAAAATTCTATCATATTATTTTACTTAATGCCGAAGGGTTAAGTGTGAATAGGGCACTTAAAGATTCTACTAAAAGAAACAATAACCGATAAATAACATTTTCATAGTGATAATACAAACCTTGACAAGTTAAGGTTTGTTTAAAATTGGCTGATGCAAAAATTAACAATATTGAAGAATATTTTTCGGAATTTTTAGTATTTTGCCAATTCGTAAGCATTTCATGTATTAGCAATTCAGCCAAACTAGGATACAATTCAGAAACATATTGATCTAAACGACATATGCTTGTCATACATACATCAATATGTGTTTCACGTTGTTTCATTAGAGTTAATCCAAGTAGACGACTACGAGAAATAAGCTGTTCCATTTTATCAATCGTTCCATCTAAGCTAGTCCATACAGTAACATGAAATGCAGCTGCTTGACCACCAACTGCTGATAATGAAGCTCTACCTGAAAAAAAAACACAACAACAACGGAAAATTACTGCACATTAGATCAATTGATAATCAACATAAAAACATACAATGTCACCTGGTTTGTAATTTGCATTAAACATTTGTTGTGTTAATGACTTTCGGAGAATTTCCTATTTCCAAACGTTGATTAAATTTAACCAATCAAATGTATTTAAATGATATCATCAAGTTCTGATGTGAACCAGGGACTGATGTATCCAGTTGCGTTGTTCTTCATTCATCCACTAATTACAGCAGAACTCATATGAAGCTTTTAAACTCAAATACTATAAAATACAATCTACTTTGGATATTACCTAACATTTTCGCTTACCACTCCATGTTTTGATGCATTTTATTGATTTCATTTTATATTAGCAAGTACATTAATGTTTTCACTTAATTAGTCTTGATTTCTATCATATGGATGAATGTTGAATTATTCTTATTAATAAACCTAATCACTTGATTTTTTGGTACACATAAATGCAATAATTGAAATTTATACTTACTATTCTATAACAGAATGATTGAATGCATTTTATAAATTAAATAGTTATCTTACTAGAGAAAATATTACTGATCAAGATAAGTCTGTCTTGATAGAATTATATTTTATCAGATACTGAATGAATATGTTGGCAAATTCAGTGTCTAGAATCAAATAATTGTATTATAATTGGTTTTACAGTTTACCTGGACCAGTACCTCCTTGCTGTATTTGTTGACGTGTTCGCATACGTTGAGTCAATGAATTTATATCAACGGAAGAGGATAGTACAGAATCAAACTCTGATTTCCATTTAGTTACTAGTTCATGAATTACATCCATTAACATATTTAAATGGTAGAAAACCTAAACAACAGTGTAAAGGTTTGGGAAAAACAACGATAAACGTTAAAGATAAAAAAGTATATGAATCTACAGTATAGTGTTATATTACGGAAATAAATTATTATGTTACCTGAAGAACCAATTAGACCATGTCAAACGTTAGTTTACGATGAAATTCGAAGTAGACAAAATTTGCCAGAAAACATAACCGTTTAGTCACCACTAGTGATGGGCTTACCAGAATTCTATCAAGAAATCATCATCTGTCATGTATGATACAATAACATATCGATGATAATTAAATTCGTTTTATTTAGCTCATTCACTAGGTACCTGGGTATAAACCATACTATTGGTGTAAGGGTTAATAATACTATCTAGTTGCTGAAACCGCATGTAGGGCGGGATCCAAACCTGGGACCAAGTGGAAGAAATTCGAGGACCGTGGACATTAAGCCACTGCTAGACCATTGGATGTAGGAGATAGTGCTAAATCTTAAAATGATTGAAGATGAAAACATCAACTGTTAGATTCCAATTTTATGACTAAGTGATTTCATGATAAATGGAACAAGGTCTAGAAATTTTGGCTCGAATGTTATGAAAGATTGTTTATTATATGCTACTAATGAATTGCAATTTAAAGCTAAAAATTTATTTTCAGTGCTTTTTAGTTTTTTTTCCGATTGTTCTTTAAATGATCCCAATGTCGGTGGATGAAAACTCACGTTAAATCCTATAAAACCCAAGGAAAACTACCTGATTTAAGTTAGAATAATTAACAACTCAGAAAAAGGGAAGCTCCATGTATTGAGAAGAAACACAAATATCTATTTCATTGACTTGTAAGTAAATCTCTCTTTAAACACTTTAATAATATACCAATGCTTTTCAATTGCAAACGTTTTTCGTGCCTTATGTTTCTTCTGAGATTAATGTTCTTTAGAAACATGATATATATATATATATATATATATATATATCTTTTGTGTAAAATCATTTACTTGATGGACAAATTGTCAGATATGCCCGAAGCTACAGTTTACTTACATCTTATTCTTAAAAAGTTATTTAAGCAATTAAGTGTACATAATTATTTTGTGGAACCTAGCCAATAATATTTTATCACAATACAATACTCGTTTTCAAAAAACACGAAAGTTTTAGATAAATTTAAATAAAAACTAAAACGGTTATATTGTATACATCGCTGATAAGAACTAAATTTTTTAAGGCGTATCGTATAAACACTAGAGAATAAACTAAACTGAATCTGTATAGCAACTTCGGTCTGGAAAGATATATACAATAAATCAGTCAATAATACTGAGTGGATCATATAATTAATTTGACACAGTTTCATTGTAATAACTGAAATAGAGAGTTTTGTCAAGTAAATTGTAAACAATATAGCTGGTGTGATTCATTAAGGTTGTTTGCATACGAAACGTGAACTTGTTGTTAGGCCACATAGTGATAGTAGTGTGATTACTAACACACTAAGTAATATATTCCTTAAAAGTATACATTTAAAATTCATCAACAATATTACGAATAAAGCTTACTTAATAATTTATCTATGAATAACTGTTGTCAAAAATTCAGCAGAAAAAGTGTTAAAAATAGAAAAATCCTTTTTCTATTGCATAAAATACCACCTAAACTGCAAGATACTGAAGAATAATGTCTACTAGCACACAAACCATTTTTAATAAAACAGCCGATGTAAAAATTATGTTGTTAGCTATGGAAAACTATAGTATGACCTATTGAACTGACCCAATATCATGTGTAATTGTTTTGTTGCGTTCAAGAATTACTACACGTTCGCACTCACAATTCATACTTAGTAAGAAAAGTTAATATATTAAATAGGAAGAAAAAACAATTTACCTGTAGTCCGGTAGCTAGTTGAGTTTGATCCGATAACTCATAAGATGAATTGATTAAGCTCCATGCTTGTGACACCATACTTTCTCGAACTTGAGCTAATGTACGATTATACGATTCCAATACATGGATTCCTTCCCATTCCATATTATTAAAAAGGAAGTCTAACTCATTCATATACACTGCACATTGACATAAATCTTTAGATCTACCTATTTAAATAAAATGGTAATGATAATGATAATGATATTATACTAAGATGGAAAAACTCGCCTTGAATTCGCTTCATTAGTGTTGCTATTCGAGATATATTACGAAGAACAGCACAAGTAGTATGTAGATTTTTGAAGTGAGTTACATTTGTAGATAATGTTTCATATGGATCACCTACTTTCTTCCTAACTTTTGATAAGGAAACTGACAAGTTTCGTATTTTGTCTTCGACTGTCTGCAAAACATTGTGCAAATTATCGATGTCAGAAGCTCTTTTAAACAGATCAACGTGATTATCAGCTACATGCTGATGAATCAAAGTAGCTAACCTATAAACGATAGAAAAACAAATAGCATTACGTGTAAGTCAGTTGCAACGTAGAACTTCGTACGTATGTACATAAGTTTATGTTGCCGTACCACAGTAACACAGACACGCAAATGTCAAATCAAATCCCATTGTCATAAAGATAGTAAAGGTATTAATGGTAATGAAGAAGACTAGGGTTTGAAGATATTATTCAAGAAGTATAATTCAGTGAGATGAGGTTAGAAAGACAAAGGTAGAGTTGCTGACGAATCCAGATTAGGATTTGAGAGAGCTCAAAGAATGGATGCACTTGCGCCATTGCAAACGATTTTGAACCATGTCGTTCAAGGTCTCTAACCATTGGTGACTTTCGTCTCGCGGACCCCAACCAGGTAGTCTACATCTACCAACATGACTCAGTCCACTTGTCAGTGACTTCATGGGTTTCTGCCATGTTTTGGTCTGGCCGCCCCTAGCTTTCTTCCAACCTACTCCTACACCACAAAACATAGCTCGTCGAGGCAGTCGGTGATTAGCCATACGTAACACATGTCCCAACCACCTCAACTGATGAAGTTTCACCACTTCATCGATTGATCTGCCATCCTTACCTAGTACTCGCGTCATAACGACAGCATTGCTTACTCGGTTGTCCCACGATATACAAGCAATGCTTCTTAAACATCTATGATCGAATACTAGTAACCTACGAACATCTTCTACTCTTAACGGCCGTGTTTCACAGCCATATAAGAGAACGGAGCGAACTGCTGCGCAGTACACTCGTCCTTTGGTTAGCGAACGGATATCACGCCTACGCCATAAGTGACGCAGGTTGGCAAAAGCCAATCGAGCCTTCTTTATCCGAGCTGAGATTTCGTCAGTCACCAGACCGTCAGCAATGATGAGACTCCCCAGATAAGTGAAGTGATCAACACGCTCGACTACTTCACTCCCTATTACTAGTTCAGGTGCCGAGGCAACCCAATCTTGAAGCAACATTTTGCATTTCGAGGGGGAAAACCGCATCCCAAACATGCTCGCATTGTTGCTTATGGTAGTCAGAAGACTCTGTATTTGTCAGCGTCTTCACCGAATAGAACTATGTCATCGGCATAAGAGGGATCAAATTAAACAAGAATGGAGAAAGTGGACATCCCTGACGGACACCACTTGAAGTAAAGAATTCCGGTGACAGTTCGCCATAAGCTCTCATTCGACCAGTGGTGTTCGAGTAGAGAGCTTGTATAAGGTTAATGTACTTCTTTGGTACATCTTCCAATGACAGACACTGCCACAGAACCTCACGATCTAGAGTCAAATGCAGCTTTTGACCATATCTGTATCAACAAAACGTTCAGAAGGACTATGGATGTGAGAACCAAGAGAGGAGCTGATATAGCATCAGATCACCACTTGCTGGTCGCCAAAATGAAAATGAAACTCAAGAAACACTGGACAACGGGACAGACAACATCACACAAGTTTAATACGGTCTTTCTTCGGGATAGTGGAAAGCTCAACGAATTTAGGATAGCCCTAACCAATAGGTTCCAGGCCTTGCACAATATACTCAATGGAGAGGAAGCAACATTGGAGAACAATTGGAAATAGATCAAGGAGGCAATCACTTCAATATGTCACGAAGTTCTGGGTCACAAGAAGTACCATCACAAGGAATGGATCTCTGTTGATACTCTTGCAAAAATTGAAGAAAGGAGGAACAAGAAGGCAGCAATCAATGTCAGCCGAACAAGAGCAGAGAAAGTTAAGGCACAAGCTGAATACACGGAAGCAAACAGGGAAGTGAAGAAGAGCATCAGAGCTGACAAACGAAAATACGTGGAAGATCTAGCAATGACGGCGGAAAAGGCTGCAAGAGACGGAAACTTGAGACAATTGTACAAAACAACAAAGAAGCTCGCCGGAAACTATCGTGAACCAGAACAACCAGTAAAAAGCAAGCAAGGCAAAGTAATCAGCAACACTGAAGAACAGAGAAATAGGTGGGTAGAACACTTTAAGGAACTCTTGAATCGACCAGCTTCACTGAACATACCCAACATCAAAGCAGCATTCACGGACCTCCCATTTAATATTGTCGCGCCTAAAATTGAGGAGATCAGTATGGCCATCAGACAAATCAAGAACGGAGAATTAGCACGACCAGACAACATTCCAGAAGAGGCAATGAAAGCAGATGTGGAAACAACTGCGAAAATATTTCACATTCTGTTCAACAAGATTTGGAATGAGGAACAAGTACCATCGGATTGGAAAGAAGGATACCAGATCAAAATACCAAAGAAAGGCAATCTCAGCAAGTGTGAGAACTACAGAGGCATCACTCTTCTCTCAATACCAGGCAAACTCTTCAACAGGGTATTGTTAAACAGAATGAAGGACTTCGTAGATGCCGACTTCGAGATCAACAGGCTGAATTCCGACTACGAGAACGAATTCGATAGCATGGATAGGAAAACACTGAGGAACACAATACGCCGAGAAATAGAGAAAGATATGAGAGGAATGAACAAACGTTGGACAGAACTGAAGGGGAAGCCCAGGACAGAGTTGGTTGGAGAAAACTGGTGGGCGGCCTATGCTCCATTGGGGGTCAAAGGCGTAAGTAAGTAGTAAGTAAGATTCAACTAAATAATTTTTGACATATCTACTTACTTTCTCATTCGGTCATCTATTATAAGCAAAATGCTACTTCCTTACAAAATAAAATGATTACCAGAAAATGTCAAAACTTAGTTCTGTGCTTATTGATACTTAGTGACAACAGAGACTCACAACTTTTGAAATGAGACTTTCTGAAATAATAGTTTCAATCAGTCAATAATACATGTAAAGTGTCTACCTATAGATGGTTGGATTCTCAACGAATTAAAATAGTGGCATCAAAAAATTGGAAACCATTTACTGCCAATAACCGTGACCTACAGTTCCCGCTTCATATCTACACAAGGGAAAAACCCTGAATATGACCAGTTTAACAGTTTTATTGTTTATATTCAACTTAAGTGTACTGGAAGATCTTAGTATATCAGTTGCCTTATTTTTACATTTTAAAATATTAGATGGTAATTCCTACTAATCAGAAAATATAATGAAATGATCACACTGACTAGACACAATCAATGTGAAACTTTGCCGGTATCCTTTAAGACTATATCAGTACAATTCCATAGACCAATGGACATGCTCTGCATATTTTCAAACAGATCATTAACTTTACTTTCGCAATGATGAACTAAGTAGTGTTTCGTACTCAAAAGCTTAATTAAGAGTAAAACAGTATATTATGAGTTAAATACAACCAAATCAATCGTAATTCCTACTTACTCTCTTATCCGATTATCTATTGTACACAAAACATTTGAAACTTTATTAGTACCAATGATATAAGAGACGAATAATCTAGCATCGAAGTCTGCATTAGAGAAATTTTCTGCCAAATTTTCATCCATCAGATTTTAAATGATCATCGTCTGGAAGATAAATAAATGTCAGTTAACAAATGAGATGTTATAATACTTCGTTTGATTTTATGAACTAGTATAGTGCAAAACAGTGCATAACTTTAGCGCTAGAATACACGATAGTTCGGATACAGTAGCTGTGATGTGACATTTTTAGTACGTTAACACGGTACGCCAATGTGACCTAAGACCAAATCAAGGACTCGTTCTAAACAAATATGGTTGTTCTACCTAGCAAAACCTTATTGATGAAAGAAATACGACAGAGATTGCATTAACATTTTAGCAATTACTTTTGTGTCAATGTGTTTCGACTAAACCAAAATGTAAGGACCGATTGATAATAAACGCATGCGGATCAGAATGTATGTTAAAGTGAAAATTTGCCCTATTCTTAATACCAATACTTTTTGAGATTGGATACGGCACAAAATATGAGTCCAGATAAAACGCGACTGTATTGAGAACGGTTTCTTTTAACATTAGTAACTTTGAAGTGATCAACAAAACATGAACTATAAGAACTGCTGTTTATAAGATTTGACGTGATTAAGCACTCCGTCGAAGCTAAAAGTAATACGCACTACCACTTTCGGACACGAACAAAACGCCACACACATTCAAACCTAACCGCGCTTTCCTTCACATGACCTCGAACGGTTCGACTGACTGTGGTCATTCTGAAATTTCTGGGGCTGAAGTATGCTTCTTCTTTGTGGGTTGGCTTCGTTCTTAGGTTTTAGGACACATTCATGATGTTTTTATGTCTGAAAAAGACTGAAGTCGTTGCTATTATCGCTAACTATATTTTTTTTCAGTGTGAATATCAAATTGGTTGCTACTCGACTACATTTTCTGTGAACCAGAGGTTGGCTAGCTTTGTTGGCTAACTTAACATAGGAAAGCAAGAAAACAGTATAAATTAAAATAGCCACAAGCGATTGTAGAGTCTGATATTCTGTGTACCTCTTCATTTCTGATGTGGAAGTAATGCCTGTCGAACGTTGAGTTTGAAAGTGGCTTCCTCTTGTTCATAATAACTTCTTAACCTCGTTGAATGAAGCCATTTATCAATAATAACTTGTTTTATCGTTTTTTACTGATGCATTACCAGTTGTCGTACTTCTGGATTATGGAATACATCAATCGGCTAAACCAGTGCGTCTAGGTGTATCACACTAAGTGCTTGTAGCGGGCGGAATACGAACGGAACGAATTCACTAGGCGATGGTATTTCTATTTATTTTCCAGTTACGATCTGTAAGTGAACTAATACGGTTTAGTTAAGCAAGTGGGAAGTTTGTTTAGCTGCATTTAGAAAAAATGTGATGCAAAAGAATGCTGAGTTAAGATAGAATAGCTTCTCCACGTCAGACGACAAATCATCATCATGGTAAACTTGCGTGAACTTTAACATTTAAGCAAATTGGATAAAAATAATCAACGGGATAATAATAATAATTCAAAGCTTTTGTGATTGAGCAGTCATTTGAACAGATATTGGACCTCGTTTCTATAAATCATAGCCAATGGCCCTGATGTTAGTTTAGATAGACCAAATAATTTCGGAGAAGAAGTCATCAGCGACACTCCTGAACTAGGTTGAGTTTTTAGAACAATCTAGGTCTATTAAAAACCTGTTCCACAAATTTGGATGGCGAATGAGCAGAACATTCTGCCAGTTTGTTTAACTTTTCGGAATCTTTAGAGTATTGCCCTTATTGTGCATCTGGAAAGAAGTGATATAGTAAGAAGGAATGAATACCAAGAATTAAGAAATACCATTTATAGGACGATAAATAAGGGCAAAATTTAACTGAATGTACCTGATCCTACGAAGTTCCGGCTGTAGCTATTGACATCTTTGATGACCATTCTTGTTACATGAACACTTCGAAAGAGGTTTGGTGAATTTTCTTTGTACATCTTCAGTTTGCATCAAGTCATTGTGCATGCAATTATTGTAAGCTAAAATTCTACATTCAGGAATTGATATGAAACACTTTTATGTTAAAATCTAGACTCAACTTTCTTGATGTTTATGAGCCACCTTGCCTTGGATATTTGAGACACAATCTGTCCTGAAAATTTATAGCTTATCGTTTGCGATCAACCGTAAGAAATTCACTATCCACATGCACTGAGACTGTGTTGAAGTTGATTGTAAATGTTAGGACAAGTACATCGTTTCTCACAGTCTAAATTGTGAGTAGTTGAACCCTTTCATAAAATATCACTGTTTCAACCAACCTATTTGACCGCTTTGGCCATGAAATCGATTTCAGTGAAATTTTCGATACACTAAAATCTCCTCCAGTGATTAAAACTTGTGTGGTCAATGGAAAACAAGATGGAATATTTATCAGAAATTTATCAAAGTTATTAGATGTTCCTGTGGCTTATAATTTACAGTAACTTAAGTAGAGCCTTTTACAACGTCATCCGCAAGTTTACATGCTTGAATGTCGGAGCGGATATAGATAATTTCACCATCTCCCTTTTGACGTTGTATATTGGTTGGAAGAAAAACGTAGTAATCAGGCATTGATGATTTTCACCCCATTTCTACAATGCCTGGGTCTATTCGAAGTAAAAGGATGTTAAGGTAACTGGCTTTGTTGGATGGATATCTGGTATTGAATGAAAGGATGAGAAACCGAGAGATATCACGATGAAGGTCAGAGAATAGATCCTAAACGGTAGTTTAGAGAGTATTCATCTGATTGGTTAAGGTAAGAATTGTGTTGGGCTATGAGATGGGTAAATTCAGTAGTATGGTTCCCGAAACTTCCGGAGACCTGAGGTCATGACTAACCGTATAAGTACCATCGTTTTTCTGTGTATAAATTAAGCATGGCGCAAATGTGTTCTTTCCGTAACTTATGCCTTTCCTTTTGAGTCTAAGTTGTCGTGTCGCTTTAAGATAGGGTAACTGGGGACGTCTAGGAAATGAGATCTTTAGTTTATTCAGCTGACATCAGATTAAATAATAATGACACCTGAGCAAAATTAAGTGGTGTCAGTACAATATGCGATGTTCTATTACACAAAGATTTTGTTAGAGTTCATTCAAAGAACAAAAATCAAAGTTACAGCTCTACTGGATACACTCAGCTAAAGGCTTTCGGCCACTCGTGCGGACCTGATAAAAATTGGGTACATTGTTCAACGGATCTAATGGCGTCAGCCTGTAAGCTGAGTTAACTCACTCCCAACATCCCAACCATAGTTCAACTATGTCTCATTTTCGAACTCTGCCTTACCTTGGTTTCGGGCATCCTCAGTTTGGAAGGTGTTGTAGATAATAGCTTTATCCATCTCTGGAAATCCGAGACATCCTCATGACAACCATGTATTTTTGATCTAAACTTCAAACATTACACATTCGCATGGAAGGTGCAACATTAGGTTTGACCAATAATATACTGTGAGTCGAAGAGATATGGGACTCGGAGGTAACAAACAGATTAGATGTGATCCACATATCCCCATTTCAGCAAGTGGTAATGCCTTTCAGGTACAGGAAAATAAATAAACCTCTTAATTCTCAATCATAAACATGCAACAAATCATTACAGATGTTATTGTCTGAACATAAGTCGGTTCCTACTTGGTAGTGTATAAGCTGTTTACCGCATAAACAAATTTTTGTATATGATTACACACTATGGAAATCTAAGGAGTTAAATCTCACCGAATACCTTTCTTTATAGGTTCATTGTACCATTTTGTACAGCAAGACAACAAAACGAATTCAGTATGAACAAATCGATTACAAGGATTCCGAATAATGAAGATTTTATCTCTAGCTGCTTGTTGAATACTTTCCGGTTTATGAACCTGTATTCTCGCTAACTACAAAAATCTAAATTTCATCTACCACGCTCAGCATGTAGGAAAACCTAAAGGGAGATTGAAACATGTAAATAACTGAAAAATGAGAAATCTATAACCTATCACAAACATTTTCTGTCTTCTTAGTGATATATCCTTACTCTGTGGTAATATACCTGAACACTTTCTGGCTGACACCTGTATAGTTCTACGAGAAGTCAGCTTTGGCTACCTGGATGTTGTGCGTACAGACTTCGTTGTAAAAAGAGAAGGAGGAACAAACACATAATCAGAATCAGGGATCATATTCAGAGACGCTGATTATCCAGTAGATGAACATAGTGATTAATCATGTTTCTGTCCGTAAATATTCTCAGAATTTCGTTTTGAGCGAGGAGCTTAGTTTTTATCTGGGTGTTTACACTAGTTTGGCTTGATAATTATGTATGGACGCTAGTTATCTTGGAACAAAAACGGATCAAATTATGAAGAATTACTAAACATATTATGTTAATCTTTCGAAAATTCTTTAATTCACAGTGTAGTTCAACTGCTTATATTTCCACGAATCTTTAACGGGAGCATTTTTCATGAGTTAGCGATCGCGTTGATGACTTGAATAAAAGTTCACGAGATGGTGGGGCGCAATTCACCTTTTCTCTAGAGCAATAAACTACTCAACATCACGAGTTTTTGTTGAATATTAAAAAAGTTGTTGTTTAATTTGATTTGCGTATGATGATAAGCAGATGAGAAAAACGCAATAACACAGAAATCGCTTTCTGACAGCTGACGTGGCTCTAGGCTGAAACCCTTAAAATTCATTTTTAAGACTGCCAATTTTAAATTTAGTATTTTCATATATTCAAAACCAAATACTGAACTATTAAGAGTAACGCCATGATTTATTGAGCCAACTTAACGTCTGTCTTTCCTTTCTGAACTCGCAAAATTTTTGTTTGGTTGGCCAGTGTAAATGTTAAAGCATTACAGAACCACTATAAATCATTAATTCATGATTACTCTCAAATAGCACAGCACATATTCATCTGTAGTTGACAATTGTAAATAACACAATGTCGACTGTAAACGATAAAACCCAAGATACTGTAAGTTTCTAAAAAGACAGCGCGGAAATAAAATGAATTAGTCGGATTTATAAATTATTGCAATTCTTGGTTTCTTTAAGTTCTGATAGATAACTGCAGAGCTCATTCTTACTCGTAGCCGTATTGACGTACATTTATATTACTGGATGCAGGGACAACGTAAGGATCGAGACTTTTGCACTCAAAATCTTTTCATACTCATTATTGAATAACACGAATATGATGCCTTCACAAAACAAGAAAGTCAGTAGGTAATTTTCTGGTATTTTTCGAGTTAATAAGAGATTTTCGGCTAACTATTTAGTCGTTACAAGACCTGTTTCATGAATAGGTGCTTTATGTCTTGAGTGATGGTTCACTAGGCTCGGATTCACAGTTGTGTTTTACGGACAGAAGACCGACGAAATGTTTTAATCTTACTTAAGTAATCTCCTGGGGGTTTCTGGTATTCAGCATGGTAAATGTCACTCTTGCAGCTCATGTGGCTTCAAAACCCTAGCCAAAACCACACGAGAGTGGGGTACGGCACTAAGATTGTGACTTAATCTTACCACAAGATCATCATGTAAACACACTTATTGTTAAACCATTAACTGTCACACCCGGATGCATGCTATTCTGAGTGTAGATCACAGCAGGAGGTGCATAAAATCGGAAGTTGTATTTTATGCTTTTACTCAAACTTTCTTGGTTCAATCAATGTAATAAAACTAATATCAGAATTAAACACAGATCACATTGTTTACTGATCAGTCATAGGGAACAGCTCAACCTACACAAAGGTTCCGTTGTTCCATCACTTTAATCATTTCGAAACTAACCAATTCTTATTTACTGTCTAAAACTTCAAATTTTCTGAGCCGACTGGTATAACATCTGATTTTGGAAACTGTTTAACTCTCAGAAAAGGGAGCTTTGTTGGACTTCACAATAATATCATTTTATTGCCTTTAATATATTGACGTCAGCTTCAAATTATTTTGGAAAATTTGAAGTGTTTTGTTTCTTCAAGTCAAGGATTTTAGTTACTCAGGTTATGTAAACTTGTACGCCAATAGAAGTCGCCTTTATTGGCGCGTTACTTGTTCATTGGCGTTCAAGGTGGTCAGATTATGCCACACAAGTTACCCTTTCGTGTTGTGTATGTTTCAAGTCAAGACAGTCATTTTCCTGTCACGGAACTTAATCACCATTACCCAGGAACTAAGGGATGGGTTTCGTCCCGCTTTTGTTCTTACCCACAACAGCTAATTTTATCTTTGGAAGCGAAAGCTAGTTTTCGCAAAATACAGTTGCTTTGTCATCAGTACCTAATCGGTTTGTTCGTATAGTAGACTTTATTCTGTCGACTTAGCATCTAAAATCGAGTTTTTTGTCGGAGATACACCGGATGATGAAATGGAACATTTTAAAAACGCTAGGTATACTAGTCTTGGGTAAATTAATTTGCGCGAAGTTTGTATAGCTTTTTCTTACTAGATATGTGGCACCTTCGGACAATCAGGCAACGGAATATAAAGTGAGGGAACTAAAGTCAGTTCATCTGGAAGCTTCTGGCTCATACATTCAACTATCTCTCCACAAAAATTACCCAAATAGCTTAAACGCATATAGTCAGGTAGTTTTAAGTGTTCGAGTTTTTTATTTGTGTAGGTTGGCATTGTTGCTATAAACGTGATTGGTGATTTTATTGACAAGAATGGACAGTCAGATTCTGATGATTCGACAGTAGGTTTTTGCAGGTAGGCTGTTAATTTTTATGTAATTGGTAAAGCTTACCATCTTAGCACACAAAAAATATGTTGCTAGCAAAACAGTTTCACATTCTATATTCTTTTAAGTGTAAATTACATACCTACATGTTTATTACATCAGTTTATGTTCTTGCGAACAATGTAGCACTGTATATTTGATTCCTAATTTATACTTAAAATATATTTGTCTATTTTCCTACTCACAGAGGCATTTAAATCCGTTTAACTTTAGTTATACACTGTTTAACATGGGAAAAGTACCTTAATTGATTTTGTTAGTCCATATTTTGTTGTCTTATGTGAAAATATCGGAGAGTTAATTGCCCTTTGTTTCCATTATTTTGTGCGGCATTTATGCAAAAGTTTGAGGCTTCGAACTTCCTAGTGCTTCGTACGTTTGTACGTTGGTGCATATTGTTATAAATAAGCCGACTCAAAAGACTAAGTGCCAAGGATGTCCTACCCACTGCCTTCTCTTGGTGGGGGGATGCTGTTATCGTACGAAAGTGAGAGGACGAAAAGTAAGTTTTCTGAGCTTAAATCAGGTCAACAGATATGAATCAATAGTCTACGGGATTTGAAAAACCCTAATTCCAAACCAAAGGTGCAGATGCACTCCATAATCCTGACGGGGTGGCGAGTGAACCTATTATTGGTCACGGGCTATCATATGTGTTTAAGCAGTATTTCAGGCCACTTCCCATTTTTACCAGTGTTTGTGTTTGAATAGATTAATAAATAAAAATGAAAAGTACAGAAACGATCCATGCATTGTAAGATAAACTGAAGTTGATCCACAGTTTCTTTACCTTTGGTTGCATATGTTTAGTAAATTCGATTAATAAATAACTGGATTTGGTAGCGATGGTTGGGTCGTATGCTGAATAAACGTCTACGTCACTTATTGAATATAATCACTCGTTCAGTTTCTCCAAAATGACTTCAGTCGATTATTATCAACGTAGAACTGGACACAAGTGTACATTAGTTCAAGTTGCCACACCGCATGCATAAAAACGGAGCGGGAACCAACGAAACATAAAATAACGTAGAGTTCTGTGTTCCAGGAACTTACGTTTTTACTACTACAACGAATCGAGATAAATGTAATAAAATTGCGTCTACATCACATGTATTATTTGACTGTAATATAACGGAAGCACTTTTCAGTTACTTTGTGAGGTATCTACAATAACAGGGTTGATGTTTAACCATCCATATGAGGCAACTAGTATACAGATGGCATTTTTTCGAATGCTTTTAGTTCTGCGTTTGTTATATTCAGATACAGATAGATACAAAGTTATGAATCTTAAGAAAGGTCTACAATATGTCCATATCGTCAATAATTGGTAAAGTTCCAAATAAGCAGCCAGATTATTATCAACCTTATTTGTCTACTTTTTTTTAAAGAGGGCTGGTGTCAATAAAACATTTGTTACGTTCGAGTCTTCGGTAACCTTGTATTTTTGTGTGACGTTACTTTGTAATCTAAATTCGTCTTATTATGAATTATCTAAGTAGTTGCATTTTCATATATATGTGTTCCTGCATTTTCTAAAAAACAAGTAGGATCTCCAAAAAGCTGTCTTGCCTGAAAATTTTAAAATAAATAAATATAGTTGTTCGTGTTCCAAGCAGTTAAATGTTTCTATAATTATCTTGGACCAGTTCACTTGTTGATATAATAGGCAAGGATTGAAACCTAACAGTCAGGTCTTAATTCATTGGAGTGAGTGGCATAAAAAACTAATTTTCTCCACTCACTTATGAAATCTTTGTTCGTATTCTACTGTTGATAATTTGTTTATAACCGTGTTGTTTTGAGGTAGTGCTCCCATTCTACTGGGCAGCTATTTTGTCATCCGATATCTATTAAATTGAGGGGTTTTTCTGTCAGTTTATCCAGTTTATTCAGCAACCATCTTGCACCCACTTTGTGTCATTGCTTGTATCTACTGATCAGCATAATGTTTACTGGTTTTAAAAATCCAAAATCTTAACATTCATCAACAGTTGTACTAACTACTTAATTCATCATTTTGTAATATGTGTGCACCCATAAATGTCTAATTTCAAAATAATACGCTCCAATAATCGATTATTTGTTTTAATCTTCAACTCAATATATTTCACAAAAGTCGTCCTCTGTTTTTATGTCAACTCGTAAATGATGTAGTGATTTCTTAGTCTTCACTTTCCTCCTATTTTAATGGTGTATTTTTATTTGTCTAGACCAGATTATATACCTCTCACTGAAGATTTAGCGTTTGATATGTATCAAGATCCCGAAGTCGCTAACGTAATAAGAAGGTTGGAAAAACAAAAACGTGTAGCTGTTAAGGGTATGTACCAAGTTTTTCTTCAGTTTTATTATTTAAGAATAATGGGTTCCGTGAAGATAAGTTTGGTACAAAATTGAAATTGTATAGAAAAAATTGGAACTCAAGTTGTGAAATATCAGTATAGAAAACCAATCGCCTTTGATTAGTATTTTCATAATAATATTGGATTCCTAGCCATATTCTTTGACTATCCAAGTTCCTAATCTAAATAAAGTGAACCAATTGGATAAGATTTAACCATCTTTAACTTTCGCTACAACTAAATTCATGTTTATTTTCGTTCACCCTCTGAAAAGTATCTAATAGGCTTAAAACGGTAATTGGTTGTTTTACCTCGTTAGAGATTTTTATTATTAGTCTGTCTTGATCTAGCTCTTTTTACTATTTAACCGAAACAACAAATATACCAGACGGAGATCGTTCCTTCCGACAACTTCTTGTCAGCTTCTGCAGTTATACATAGAAATTATTACAGGCGAATAGTTAAGGCAAATACGACTCTTAAAAATTAAAGCATATTAATTTAGCAGTGTTGGTAAAAATAAAATGAAATTCTACGTTGAAGTAGCCAAAGTGTGATTTTAAGTCAGTCAAAATTATAAGATTATAATTACGATAAATGTAAAATCAATATATAGATTTTAATCGAGAATCGCATATTTATGTGCTATAATTTTTAGAGGATTTACTTAGCTTAAGCTTGTCTGCCCCTTTGGAATATTAATTTAGTTGTTTTAAACGTAAAACTTAGTACGAAGTTATTGAAAAAAGTACTTTTAGCTCACATAACTATGCTTTTAATACATCTCGCAACCTTCTAAACACTCGTACTTTGATTATACAATTTGAATTTTATTAATTCAACAGAATCACTTATGTGATGTTTCCTGTTGAATAGGTTAAAAATTTCTTTATCACGGTTACTTAAAAAGCAAAAGTATCAATTTCTGTGCTGCAATGAAGCACAGTGATCTCTACTATAAAGTTGCAGGCGAATGTTAAAAGATTTTGCTAAATCATCTGGAAGACTAAATTTATTCATTGAGCCCTACATTTGCCGAAATAGATGCAATAATTCATAAAAGGCAATTAATCTTACTATAACAATACAGGGTTAATAATCAACTCTTCGGAGTATTTTATTTAATAAGAATCACGTGTTTATTCAAAAGAGTAAAAAACACGTCTTATGATTTATCCAGGTTTTATTCCAATTGTTCTGAGTCGGGGTTAAAATAATAAATCAATAGATATAATCTCAACAAAACCAACTTTATTCAAATCATTCAAACGGTTTAACAATCTTGCCTTTGGTTGACCACAATATATTAATCTCTAAAAAAATTCACATTTATATCAAATGAACGAAGAATATTCTTTTTAATAAATTCCCCACAGGTTCTACAATTATATATCCAAATTATTAATCCAAAAGGTAACCAGGTTTAAGGCGAAAAGTATTATGTGGATTTCAGATTGTCTGTTATATAAATCGTTAATGTTGGGGTGACTGTATGAAATGTTCACTTGAATAAAGTTATGCGTAAATTCAAATCGTGAGATGGATGAATGGCCAGAATGAATATGTTTAATGCGGGATGAGAAATGTAATATTAACTAATCAGAAATAATGTAATATGGGAAAAGTATGAATGATGTACGATTTGGTGTATAGGACTGGGTGCTGAATAAATTTCTCAAAACTTTTGCAAGTGTCATAATAATAATTATGATAATAATACTAATAATGATATTCGTAAATAAGATAAGTTTGAACTACGAAATGCAGAGAGAAAAATTGCATGGACGTTGATTAGATTATTATCACCAAAATGATTGTTAACTAATTAGGCCAGAATTTGGTCAAGGTAAACCCGACCGTAGCTGTTAACTTGACGTGGTGGTCGGGCTTGTCTGTCATGATGACCCAACTGAACTATATTGGCTGTAACATATGTTCCTGAAAGTTCTACCATGTCAGGCAGGTCGATTGGAGAATGATGAGACTAAAAGCAGCTACTCAAGGTCTGAAGGCGAAGTCGTACCGCTGACTGTAAATGTGTATGACGGTAAAGTTTTTCCATCGTACAACCGGCATCTGCAGTGATTCTTCCTGCTGAACTAGTGAAAGGAGTGAATCAGGCGAGCTGGTTGACTGCTTCACTTTTCTTCATAGTCCCATCAATCCTGATGGCCTAGTGACGGACGAAATCTCGGCACGGATACAGAAGGCTCCACTGGCTTTTGCCAACTTGCGTCACTTATGGCGAAAGCTAGATATCCGTTCGCTAACCAAAGGACGAATGTACTGAGTGGCAGTCTGCTGCGCCCTACTATATGGATACGAAGCATGGCCGGTAAGGGTTAAGGATATTTTCAGGTCATCAGTATTCGATTATAGATGTCTTGAAAGCGTCTCTCGTGTATCGTGGTACAACTGAGTAAGCAATGCTGTTGTTAGGAAACGAGTTCTAGTTAGAGATGGCAAATTAATTAGTGAAGTGGTGGAACTTCATCATTTGAGATGGTTAAGATACGTGTTATAAATGCCCAACCAATGACTGCCTCGACGAGCGATGTTTTGTGGTGTAGGAATGAGTAGATTGAAAGAAAGGTAGTGGCGACCACACTAAAACATGGCACAAATGCATGAAGTGACTGACAAGTGGACTGAGTCATGTTGGTAAGTGTAGACTACGTGGTTGGAGTCTGATAGACGATAGTTAGAGACTCTGAATGACATGGCTCAAAATCGTTTGCAATGGCGCAAGTGCATCCACTCTTTGTCTTCTCTGAAATTCTAATATTCAGAATTCCTCATCATCTCTATCTTTCTATTCATAAATTTATTCCTTTGAATAATTTCTTCGAACCCTAATCTTCTGCATCACTGCTAATACTTCTACTATCTCTACCATTATGGGATTTGAATTGACGATAGCGTCTCTACCAGTATGGTATGATAACCTGGACTTATGTACGTACGTACGAAGTTGTACGTTGTAACTGACTGAATGGTCAAGGTAAAAGAAGTAGTTGAACATATTTCTTTTAAACACAAAGCTCTGGATTCTTGATTTAATAGCTATTGCTTCGGCTTTTTGAAGGATTCTTAGTCTGATGGATTTATGCAGATTGCTGTTAACACGATATATTATTGAAAATGATCGCTTCATTTTGGCTACATAGCCTGTTTGTACTAAGTAAGCTAGTATCGAGCTCTTAACTGATTCAAGTATACCTTCACTCGACCAAACTGGAAAGTGCTTGCGGGCACGAAAATTCAAATTCCTAGAACATCTGCCGATGTAAGTTGCTCCGCAGGAGCAGTTGAGTTGATAGATGTAGCAAGAGGTGACTAGTCTAGGTAATTATCTTTCAGTTTCACAATAGCAATCGAACATGTGGAAATCATTAACCGTAGTTTAGCTTCATAAAAGGTTCTTTGGATTGCTCTGTGTAGCTTTAATATTCTTATTTCACTTGATGCATCTCCTCTAAATTGTAGATATATTTACGGAGACTTTTTGATCACAGTTAGGACTTCCTGATACTCTCTTCTCATGGCTAAATGCTTGGTTATGAATTTCTCAGGATACCTATTTCCTTTCAGAGTATTTCTTAATGTATCTTATTTTTCTGCAGCTGCATCTGAGAAGCTAATAGTATTGGCAGTGTACTGAAGTGTCTTAATCAGGTTTCTTTCATATTGTAAAGAAATAAATCGAAGAAAATTAGTATATTGGCCAGTTCAAGTAGTTTTCTTGTTTACGTTTCGTTTTAATGACCCATCTACTCTCCTTACAAGTAAAACATCTACCAAGGCTATTCTACCTCCATTTTCTTTCTCACACGTAAATTTAGTGGCCGGATGAACTTGAGTCTCTACTCATTCAGTATGGTCTTTACAAAGGATGAATGTATCGCCTATATATATATGCATTAAAATGAAAACTTAACAATATGCTGTGTCAATGGACTGTTTTCTGGTTTAGAGAGAAAAATGTCAGCCAGTGAAGCACCCAATGGTGAATCCATCGTTACATCATCTATTTGTCTGTATAGTTTACCACTGATATTGGAGTTTAGGTTACTAATACATTTTCCTTAATGATATTAACAGGGGTTGTAGTTCCTAATTTTTCTTCGCTAACTAGTTTACTGATAGATTTGACAGTCACCGTGAGTGGGACAATGGTAAACAATAATGTAACGTGTAAAGACATCATAGTTTGTTCTTAAGTATTGATGTTTTTGACGAAGTCGATAAACTGAAATACATAATTAGTACTATACTTCGCTAAGTGTTTGTTGAGTGGTTTTAAAATGGTTACTAACCAATTTGTTACAGTATGATAAGGCGACTCGTACATACTGAGAATTGGCCTGAATGGGATATCCGCTTTGTGTACCTTCAATTATTCGTATAACCTTGGTAAGTGTTTACTTATCGGCCTAATTGTTTCGTTTGTGTTTGATGGGATTACCTGTTGACCTCTAAGCTTTTTTAAAGATCTGGTTAGTCCATTCTTGATCTTAGTAATAACGTCTTTTTATTGATTTAGTTTTTGGAATTTTAAATGATCAATCAAGATGTTATTCGTTTTGTCGATTTGATTTGTTATAATTTATCCATTATATTTCAATCTAGCAAGTGAATCAAAGTAATAAATACATAATGATACAAAAAATTGCAAAATAATAATTCAACTTACCAATGTTCTAAAATATTCATTTATTTGGATAATTTTTTTCATTTCTGATCCGTTAAATATTCAATCTGTTAATCGACATAATCTACTTCATTGAATGAGTAATTCATTATTCGTGAAATCGGTTTGTTTTTGTTTACCACGAATTACCTATGTTTAATTTATTTTTTCGATTGCTTTTAGCTGAACGTTTTGACCAAGCTCAAAGTATACGAGATGCTATAATTCAACTGCACCAGGTATGTATAGTTTCAAATGAAAATTTTTATATTCATATATTACTTGTTGAATAAATGTTTGATCCATTTTATGTAAAATAAAAGTTTTAACTCTTTAATTTTTAAATATTTGATAGTGTTGATATTTTAAACTGAATATTAAATTTTGCAAAAGCTTACTAAAACTTCATATATCAATCGTTTATTAGATAAATGAAGTTAGTTGTACAATCTATTTTTATTTTGCTATCTTTCAGGTTGGTGAACGTCTTGGTATATTAGCACTTGAAAAACAACAAGCTGTTGAAGAAGAGAACTATGAACAAGCTAAATTGAAAAAAAACCAAATGACTGAAATACGTACTAACATTTATAGAGATATTGATATAATGAAATTATTATCGAATAATACTTCAACAGAACAAAGTAAACAAGTTTATGGTCGACCCAATAATCAGTTTCTTGATGCGGTAAGAAAACTAAAATGACGATTATATAATTTTAATAATGTAAATGTACTTATTTACTACTGTTATTATTATCATTATTAGTATAAGGTTGTGAATAGTTTTCAAGAACACTAAACTTGGGATCACTGCTCGGTCATTTCGTCTTATTATGGGGTTTGTCAGTGGCATTCATCTACAGCCTCTTGACTGGAGATCGAATCTAGGATCTGTATCGCATACAAACGCTTAACTTCTAGACCAGTGAACTGGGGTTCAGTGGCGTACAGCCTTTAAGCAATCCGCAATATTGAATGACAATCTCTCATTGTCCTCGGTGTGTGCCTTATCATCATTAGTATTATCACGTCTTCACTATTAACGATAAATCTTGTAACTGTGTTATCGTATTTTCCCTAACTTCATATATGCTAGGTGTTTTCACCGTTGTTGACACATTCCAAATGAGAATAGTAGAATGTAAGAGGGTAAAATCGTCAAAAGTATTCTAGGATTTCCGTTCATAATTCTCTTTAATTGTGTTAGCAAAAATGCATAACTAAGATGATTCAATCAATAAAGCTCAGTAACAGACTTATGGTTAATTATTTCTCAGTAATTAATCAAAAGAGAGTCTGCATTTATGGTTACATATAAATACAGTCAAAAAATCGTCTTCCTAATTCTCCTTAAAGAGTATGCATACTAATTTACTAAAAGAATGAATACCCACATTTTGTTCATATTTTCGATAACCGCCAGCAAGAGGGATTCGCGATGAACATTTTTTCTTTTCTTCAAACTCTTCCACAGTGAGCATTCAACTGACGAGTCTCACATGGGATGAAATGTATGTCCTGAATTTCTATGTTTCTTACAGATCAAAATATAATCAACTTGTAACTAAAAACAATATTGTGGGCTATACTAGAGAGGAATCTACCATAAGCTGACCAAAATAAGCAACAAGAAAATATAAACTGTTGTAAATAATAATAACTATTCATGTTTTATATACACATTTTCTTTCTTCATCTCTTCATATTAGTTTTAAGTTTTTGTATTCGTTTATTTTCCTACTTCAGAATGACGACCGAAACAAGAGTAAGTATGGCGGTTTATGAAAATATTTGTGTTTGTATGTGTATGTGGTTATCTTACACAATTTTGATTGAAAATTCAACTTCTTATTCTCAGAATTAAAAAGTTACATAGAAAAATCTACTTAACTGCTTTTATGAATTTCAAGACGTTGTTATTTGAAGCTTCCAACTATTATTTATTTGTAAGTGTTTGAATCTTCCCGTCGTTGATGATGAAGACTGAATAGCGGTCTACAGTGGAATAAACACTCGTGACTTAATGACACTATCGAGACAGTCCGTTCAGAATGCACATGCGCTAAAAGTTACTGAGTAAAATTTGGTACTTGTCGTCAAGAATAGGAAGTTTCAGATATTCAAAAATAAATAATAAAATTCATTCTTCTTGCACAAGCTAGCGGCTGTTTGAACTAAGTCAGTTAATGGATAACAATTTAGGCATTTGAATCGCAACGTTCTGTATTCAAAATATAAGAATTAACAGTGGGTTACAGCAAAATTGAATTAACGGGACCCAACACTAGTCAAAGCAACTATTCATTGCTCACTGCTCTTCGATGTTATTTCGACTGAGATCAATGTATGATGAATACAATCAATAGATTAAAACAATCTTCAGTAAAACCCTGTAACTAAAATAAAACACTAGTCGTTAAACAAAATAAAAGCTGTAACTCGTATGAATCGACCTAAAAATATGCAGATATCTCAGGAATTCTTAGCAGTGACTGGTTTTTTATTTGGTCATTACCTTCGATTTTCACTGATCAATATATTTATCTAAGTTATTTTTTTGAATCTGTTTGCTATATAACTTATTCACATCACATATTTGATATAGTAATTTCTGGATATGATAGGACTTTATTATTCCATACTTATACATAGTACTGGTAGTATAAACACGATTGTCATAGAAGAAAATATGGCGCTACTAAAAAAATACATACTTATGAATTTGTTTTATTTACTGGAAGCCAGTTCTACTGTTTGCAAATGAAGCAATTCTTTGAAATGTTTTAATATAATAACAATAATTTGTCAAATAAAGCAACCAAGGTGCGAAATAAACCGCATGAACTTATTATTATTATTATAAAGAGAGTGAAAATGTGTATTTGCTGGAACTTTGACTATTAAATAGGAATATTATAAAAATTCAGATAACAGTTAATAATCGTGAAAATTGATTTCGTAATGTATACATACTAAAATTAGGGGTATGGATTAAATAATCCTAGCGAGAAAAGGCGATGTTCTGAGAAAATTTGAGGTTAAAACCTTAGTGTAAGAAAAGGTTGAATAAGTTTCTTTAGTAAACGTAATTCCAGTTTTTCTAAATCTGTGGTGAAATGCTCAGGAATCGACACCAAAACAGTACAATTTTCTTGGTATTACTGAAGCTCTACTCATACATATACAGAAGTCAGAATTATCTGTACTAAAAGGACTTATTTAGTGTGTTCTCTTTCTATAGTTTTAATCTTTACTGTTTCCTATTCATCATTACCTATTACATTGTGTATTAACCTGTTATTGTGGACAGTTCTATGCTCTTTAGAACGATTAGCAAATCTACTAACACATACAACGAATGACACATACATTCTTCGTATTTCTTCTAGTTGTTATCGAATGCCGTAGTCGAGATTTATTCTTTTCATCGTCCAGTTGATAAGCTAGTTGTGCTAGTGTGCAAGTACAATGCTTCTATTAATTCAGTTGTCAGTGATACTTCATTTTAATTGAAATTAAGTAAACATGTGTCCCTTTTAATCATTGTTGTTATTTACTGGCAAAGTCTATTATATACGATTAAATCAAATTAGATTTCGTTGTTCAGCAGCAATTTAATCTCCTTTTTGAAATATGTTAAACATTACAAAATGTATGTATCAACAAATTGCAGTCGATACTTATTACGCAAGAACAGAAATAGCTTTCAAAGTTCCCTATAATATATTTACAGATTGTTATATGTTACTCTTTTTTTTATTAGTTAGTCGATTATCACCAATACGTTTTCAAAGCTTGCTAACATCTGGTGATCAAAATGATAATCGGCATAATGATAGGTCATTGAATGGCAATAACAACAATCATCATAATCAAGGTGTTGATTATTTTCCATTTCGTCATGCTTATCCTTCAACTGATCCTGACGAACGTCCTTTGCCAGCTCTTAAAAATAAACATAAAAATAATTCAATAGTCGGTCCACCTGACGAAGAGCAATATACATCAGAATCGACAATTCCAGTTATTCATGAACACTCTTTTGAGAATTTCAACCATTCTGAACATATACCATCACTTGACGCGATTGAAGTCGTTCAAAGAAACATAGATACTCATGAAGATGAACAAACAATGAAATACTTAGAACAAGCAGCTCATGATCGTATGCTGGATGAGAGGGAAACGTCTCAACATCGTAATCTTAATATTCCCGAGCCAATGAGCGAAACCAATCGACGTCAGGCTAATGTAGCTATTGATGTTGTAGGCATTAACCTTGTAAGAATAGTTTGTGATTTATATTTAGTAATAATGCTTTGAAAAAACAAAATCTCGAATACATAATTTGTATAGTTAATTTATTTTATTTTATTTTAAATAAAGTACATAAGATAACACTAATCGAAATCGCATGCTTCAAATAATTTCATTAGTTGCTTTGTTTACTACTGTTCCCTTGGATTCTATTCGAGTAGTAAGTATAGAAAACAACAAGAGGTTAATAAAATTTTATCCTCTATCACATTCATGTTATTATGAATTTATACAACAGGGTGAGTTATAGGATCAAAGTAATTCTTAATTATTACAGTTTCACTGAAAATTAATTAGTCAATATTAATGCTTAATACATCAAGGTAAATAGAATAAAGTTAATAGTACATTGTTAATTTTAAAACCAGTAAATATTATTATTTTTCAATTAGCTTATGTTACTTCTCATGTTTTATTTATTATTTTTTAAAAAGAGCGGTTGTTTAATACAACTTGAATTATTTATCTATTGTATACATGAAGATCATTGAAAAAAGTAAATATATATGCAAATATGTTTATTTTTCCCATCACTTAAACTTTTTTTCCAATTTGTATTTGATCTATGCTGCAGAAATCGTATGTTTATACTGTCCGTTAGACAAAAGTTGTTTTACTATTGGGTTTGATATTTTAAGCTTTTGTTAAAACCAATACTTTATTGGTGTCTAATGAATGCTTATGGACAATCATCATATATGCACATCAAAAACATTGTGTATTGTCTACATTATAAAAGCAGTTATCAAACCCAGAGAAAGTTATCTTTTTTTAATCAATTTTCCATTTACACAATTACATCTAGGTTTGCAAGCGTTTACCTAACTAGGGCATAATTTCTTCTACTATCACTAATACTGTCACTACTTATATTACTTCAGTATCTTGCTATGCTTACTGGACGTAGCAAATTGAACCCGTACACATATGCATCAGGTTCTATATTATTTATGGGTGGCTTCTCATCATACAGTGTATCATTTACTTACTTATGCCTGTTACCACTATTGGAGCATAGGTCAACTCCGCTTGGGGCCCCCTTTGGATTTACTGCCGGTCCCAAGCCTGGATAAAGGAGGAGGTTTGGACACAGGGTTAGCGATCCCATCCTGTAGAAAGCCAACTTGGTAAAAAAAAACGCTAACAAGAAAAGACAATTCATACAGTATATCACAGTGACACTTAACTTCTTATTTCTACAATTCTTAATTCTTAAACGATAATTTGAGAATGGATTTTGTCTTAAACTTTATTAAACTCTATTCTACATGTAATTCTGTAAGTAATAGAGAATGATATGATTATTATATGATGAAATCTTTATGTTCATTAATGATACTAGGAAAAAAAATTAATAGTTTTTTTCTCATTTCATTCATATATAGTAAAAGTTAAATGGGACCATCTTTTTTTAACGCTCTTTTCACAACTTAAAAATCAAATAGAGCAGTTTTTATTTTTTTTCTAAGATTAATTTATTTCCATATATTTCATACTTCACTGTATACTTTCTTTTGAATATTGACTTCAAAATACCATTGGGCTTTTCTATCAATTGGGAATAGTTTAATAGACTAGTTGATTCATATTTGTAATACCATATAAAACGAATATTTTTTGGTCATTTGTAAATTTTTTTTGAATAATAAATTTCTTTTCAACAACTTATCAAATGGTATATTCCAAATGAAATCATCTTATTATGATGAAAGTTTTTCTCACAAAGTTCAATGTATAAGAAATTTTTCAAAAATACTCTTATGTAAACTCAAAGAGTTGATTAATGTTTCTTTCATTGATATAAAAATGATTTTATGATACCTAATTTATAGTGAATTATGTTTATTAATAATCTTAATACAATTTAATTGAACACAGTTAAAAAAAAACACTAAATTATTCTGTACATTGTTAACATTGTTTATTTACAGGTTACAAAAGCCTATAGCAAATCATGGATTTTTCGTGAAAAAGCTCTGTTTGAATTAGGAGAACGTGTCACTGCATCGAAACTTCCTCCTCCTGTAACACTGCCGGATATGGCGAATCCTGATCCAAAAGCAGAAATCCGGTCGACTACATTTCTTTTACGTCGTGCATTAAATGATCAAGTATGGATCGTAGTTTTTAAAAAAATGATATTCCACAAATCTGATGTGTTTAGATATTGATATTTTACTTCAGCTGTTCAAAACTGAATACATTCATATGTATACGTATATATATATATATATATATATATATATATATATTTATATGTATATATATATATATATATAATTTGACAAGTATAATTCACTGAAGCAAATTTGAAAAAAGTCATGAGGAATTCAGATTAGAATTTGAGACAAAACGATCCATCTGAGCCATTGCAAGTGATATTGAGCCATATCACTCAGAGTCTCTAACTATCGTCTACCAGACTCCAACCACGTAGTCTACACTTACCAACACGACTCAGTCCACTTGTCAGTCACTTCATGCATTTGTGCCATGTTTTAGTTTGATCGCCCCTACCTTTCTTTCAATCTACTCATTCCTACACCACAAAACATCGCTCGTCGAGGCAGTCCTTGGTTGGGCATTCGTAACACGTATCCCAACCACCTCAACTAATGAAGTTCCACCACTTCACCAATTAATTTGCCATCTCTACCTAGAACTCGTTTCCTAACAACAGCATTGCTTACTCAGTTGTATCACAGTACACAAGCAACGCTTCGAAAACATCTATAATCGAATACTGATGACTTGCAACTATCCTTAATTCTTGCCGGCCATGCTTCGTATCCATATAGTAGGGCGCAGCAGACTGCCGCTCAGTACACTCGTCCTTTGGTTAGCGAACGGATATCTAGCTTTCGCCATAAGTGACGCAAGTTGGCAAAAGCCAGTGGAGCCTTCTGTATCCGTGCTGAGATTTCGTCAGTCATCAGGCCATCAGGACTGATGGGACTATGAAGAAAAGCGAAGCAGTCAACCAGCTCACCTGATTCACTCCTTATTACTAGTTCAGCAGGCAGAATCACAGCAGGTGCTGGTTGTATGATGGAAACACTTTACCGTCATACACACTTATAGTCAGCGGTACGACTTCGCCCTCAGACCCCAAGTGCTGCAGAATGAGCGGCAGTCTTCAATGGAGCCTCTCCACTGATGGCTGATAGCAATGCGTCCTAGTTGGGTTCAGTGTTGAGTCGATTTTAGGTTGCCATAGTGAAAGTTGGTTTTCGCTAGAAATAATCGGTTATCTGAGCTTAGCTGCCACAGACGGTCGCATGGCACCATAAGATCTACCCAGGTATCCCTCCTCCCCACTTAGTCTACCTACGTGAGCATTAAAGTCACCAGCCAGTTTTACTACATCAGAGTGCTTAAGGTTTTGGAGGAGGTCCGAACCCTTCCCTAAAACCTATCTTTCATCTCGTGCGATCTGTAGTCATTGGGAGCGTAGGCAGAGACAGCAATGAGGTAGCGGTGAGCTTCCCTATATTTTTGAATCCTTACTGTTCCGTTTAGTCGGACAGCGCATAAGCGACTGTCGACCGGGATCCACTCTAAGAGGTAGTTCTGCCCTAGGAGTCAGTGCTATACACACACCTGTGCAGCCACGGGAAGCAGAAGCAGGGCTTTCAGATGACACACGGAGCGTTAACTGAGTTGGTTCTTTATCTGAACAAGGTGGAGTCAAATTAGTGATTCTTATCGTAACCTGTATGTGCGTTTCGGAGACGTGGCATACATCGATGGTGCGAGATTCTAGAGTTCTCGCTATGGAAGCTTGTTGTCCTATTTGTCACAAGATCCAAACAATAAAAGCGCCAACATGTAGTTTAGAGCGGGGTCCCAGGAAACTAGGAATGTACTCAAATCGTTAGCATTAGCGGAGCGAGATGATGGATGCATGTGAGAAGGGTTAGTCGTGGAGGCAATGGTTAATAAGAGGTAGATGAATGATTTGATTGTGAACAAGTTGACCTGGTGTGCTGTTAGGCAGTCACTTCCCGGTTGCCTACATCGCGAAAGGGTATTTCTTTTGTAAGTAGGTTAAATGTTGTTCTTAGCGACCTGGGAGCGTAACTGAAGTTCCCAAGGGACAACTGCTTGAGGTTGGTTGCTCACAGCCTTTATATAGGAAGTTTTCAAGAGGTCTCACCACCGGAGAGAGAAATCAGTCAACCAGCCTGTCGTGGTAGCACCTAAAGCAGCATGTATCACAGCAAATGTAGCTCGGTTGGGTTATCGCAGTAGGCAAGCCCGACCACATTGTCAAGGTAGCAGTTACTGTCGGGATATACATATATATGTCTATAGTCAATTACTTGTAATACACCTTTTCTTATGCCTTTCTCTTCGTTGTTTTTATTTTTTCAGGTTTTGTCAATATTTCGTGTAGCTACAGAATTCATCAAACCAACAATTGTTGATTTTGCTGATAGATATGGTATTCCACGACCTGATTTATATTATTGTCTGGATAAATTAACTCCAGTAATTTTTCAACGAACTGGTGATACTTCATCACGTATTAGAGAAATAGCTAAACGACAAATTTTAGATATGGCACAATGGCCACAGGTTATTCAATTTTTCTTTCATTTTGTAGAGATCATTTTTCTAACTGATTATTTAAATTTTCGTGTGTAATAAAAATTTTGTTTTTCAGTTCGTAATATAATTATTATTTGATCGAAATAGCTGTACCTATCATACAAATCATCTGATTGAATCATTTGTCAGGCTTTCAAAATGTTATGAATTTATTAGAAAATTATTCACCAAAATGTTTGAGCATAGCTTTCATTCATGGAAAGAATCATTAAAAACCGACGGAGTAGTCTACACACCACCACTATTCATCTAGGGATTAAACATTGTACCTTATAGATTTCACAGTAAGTTTGGTATTGTTTAGTTCAATGAATTGAAATACAATTATCCAAATTTTCAAATGTAATCCACTTACATTATATTGTGATGATCGTTCAACATTATGAGAGATAATTATCACACTTCTAACATGATTTATACTCATCTCTCAAACTTTGTCACTAGAAATACAAGAATTCATTTGGAAGTTAATCGGTAGTTAGAACATGATTATTTTTAAAGAGAATGAGGTAACCGTGAAATACTTACTTTCATTTTTAGTAATTCCTCAACAGACATCAATTAGTAATGTAGACTAATGTTAAGCTAGACAATCTTTGCAAGTCTTGTTTTTATCTTAAAAAAAAGTTGATTTTTCGATTATTTATAATCAATAATTAATTAATTGTTGTTGTCTTACAGAAACATTCATTTCAACTAATCGTTTTATTTCTGTCATTGTAGATGAAACAAAATACAACATTTTGGCATGAATTAGTTCGACCTTTTTCTCCTGTAACATTAGATCGTTTAGCTTTAAGTCGAATTGAACTAGTAACAGAGTTGTATGCTAATCGTGGCGTCGATCCTGTATTTTGTAATGAACACGGTCATGTCAGTCAGGGGAGTTTTACTTTAGAGGCATTAACTTTATTCACTGCAAAATGCTTAGACCATCGATCAAACGAAGTAAGTTTGTGCTGAAGATTTATTGTATTACCGGTTAGATTTTATTGTTCTCTGCCTTAGCAACGACTGTATACAATCAAAAATCTAGTATTTACATCTTTATTACTTTTCTTCCCTATATTTGCATTTTTTATGCTGTTAGAAGTGAAATTGCAGATCACTTTAACTTTTCATAAGCCTCTATCTTGTTGCTTTTTATGTACTATTGAATCATAATATACATAAAATAGATTCACATTGTCTTTATCAGTAAATCTTTAAAATCAAAGAAGCATTCAAAGAAGGATATTTTTGGTAGTTACCATATCCTATTTTTGATTTCTGATCATTTTTAAAGGTTCGTGAGGCTGCTGAAAATCTTATAGTTGCTCTTTATCGTTCCGAAGATCGAGCTACTGTTCGTAGACTTATACCTTTAGATGATATGAATTTCAATCGTCATCCTTTATATAGAAGGTTACTTAAAAAATTTGATCGGATTGATGGAACGTACGATCCACCATTGAAAAATCGACCACCTGGAATTAAAGCTTCGGATAAACAAAAAGAAGTCGAAGCACTTCAGGTAATAACATTTAAAAAAAGTAATTATAGTTTCTTCATATTTCCGGTCTTCCTTATAATTTTTCTTTCCTATTCATCATAGCTTTAAGGACGTGCATTTATTGATACAGACTATTGAATTTATGTTTGAAATCTGTAGCATACTTTTCTACAAGGTATTTTCTCAGAAATACCTGAAGATATATTATCACACCCCAAGTACAGTTTCCATGTTTAATAATCGGATGTCCATTTCGTCCCTACGCGATAATGTGCATCCGCTTTATAGTCTGTACTTTATCGGTATTGAAGTATGTTTTGAGGTCCTTTGTTTCTCAATATCTGCAAAAATGACTTTTTATATTAACTGTTCAACAGAAACCCCTTTGTGAACATCTTACATAGTCACGATTATTTTTATTGCACACGTATTCTTACTTATAATTTATAAGTAGTTAACCTTTTATTCATTATTATTTAAGACATGCTTTAATATGTAATGGTTTAAGCATTAAGGATGGACCATATATTTCACTTATTTTAGTAGAGTATAAGGAATATTATTAAAATTGAATCTCCATTTGTTTATTTCTCAACAAGCGTTGCGTGTGGAAAAGATAAAAATTTACTAACTAAATGTTAATATTGGAGACTATGAATTATTGTAGATTAGCTTTCAGTAAGTTCTGTAAAAACGTATACGTTGTTTCCTTTTCACAATGACGTCATCAAACGAAATGTATTGATTCGACTGACGTATATAGGTTTCTCATGGCTTTATGATGTTCTCTAAGTTTAACCAGTAGTAATAAAAGGTTATGCTGTAAAATTTATTTTGCTATTAGACATTTCTATGATAACAGACTTTTTCTGAGTGAGTTATTGTATTATTAAATCTGTTGGATTGTTTGATTTTAGGCAGAGGTTCAACAACTTCGTGCTATAGTCGAAAATGGCAATCGTAGTCATACGACTACACACAAGCCTAATTCACGTGTATCACGTACTGTAGCTTCACAAAATCATGATAGAAAATCTGCTTCAATATTGAAAAATAATGATCGTAAATCTGCAAATAATCCACAACCTGCACCACCATCTATATCACCAAATCGTCAAAATCATTCAATTAATCGTCATGGTTCACGAATTATAAAAAATGGTAATCCACATAGAAATTCTCCAGTTCCTAATGTTCAATTTGAGATGAATCCACAACAGCATACTGAAGAAGCAGAATTTTTACTTAGTTTAGATAAAACATGTATATTTTGCGGAGAACAAAATGATTCATTTACAGAAGAAGGATTAGATATACATTACTGGAAAAGTTGTCCAATGCTCCATCGTTGCCCCAACTGTAAACAGGTATATAGTTGCTTTTCGCCACATTTTATATCTTGCTTGGTTAGAAAGAATTTTGTTCAAATAATCTAAATATTAGTACACTTATTCGTTGATAAAAATAGCTTTTTCTGAAATTTAGTTTTAATTTGGAATTCAGACCAAACAATTAAGTGACTTAACGATAAGATCCTCTTTTATATCCTTCATATCTGAACACTTTATAGCTTACTTTACTTACTTACTTTCATATTAACCAGTCTCTAAGGCTTACATTATATGATGCTCTTCATGTTCTCTCTTTTCAAGTGAGCTTATGAAAACTATTTTCTGTATGAGCAAAATTTAATAAGATTATATATATTTAGTCCAATTACATGTTATTACTTCACTTCAGATCATTTGGTATGTCTTTTAGAAGTTTTATACAAAGTATGGCTAACATTTTCTGTAGACGTAAATTTAATATATACAAAGTTGAAGCCACTTTTATACATTACGCAATAAATATGTTCGATTTCTATCCTGTCACAGATTTTTAAAATTTTCTTTTGAGAAATTTTATGCCATCAAATGGTTTAAAATCGTTTCATACTAAATCATTCCACTTTTGTCATTCGATAACGTTTGATTTGCAACCGTTGAATACTATAAAACCTTTATTATGTCCGTCGCGGAAATTAAAGCCGGGTGACGCGTGTCCGAATTCCACACGGAACACTGTTCCTCTCATGGTTAGAGATACACCTTACTTGTAAGTGATAAAATGTACAAAATGTACGTCCTTGGTTTCTCATCGATTACTTCAAACCATTTGACATCTCAGCATATTGCACACCATGTCGAGTATCTAGACTAGTGGCTTTACTGTAGCTTGGTCAATAGAATTCGATTATTGCTTAAGAACTAGACAAATATGATGTTATTAATGAAGGGAATTTGTGGAAATGATATTTTTCATAGATCGAATCACGAATTAATCTTAATTAAACCACTACTGGAAACCTGGCAGCAATAGGACAAAACGGCCATTCAGTGATTTCAGGTTTCCAGTGGTGGTTCAACTGAGATTAATTCTTGCTTTGAACTATGAAAAATATGACATTGACCACTACTCAATGAATAATCAATCACAATTGTTCTGTAAATTTTCATTTTTATGGACTGAACAAGGTCATCTGATCAGATTAACTTAATAGTTATGGAATAATCAAAGTGCTCACTTTTATTTGAAGTAAACGTTAATCATTCTTTCCTGAACAATGTATTCTCTTCAAACTCAATATTATCAATTCATACTTGGTCAAGGATTAACAACGACATTCTACGGACACAAATTCGATTCACTGTGTTATTATGTCTTGTTATAAACGGTAGACAAACCTATTCGAATAGACAGGATGATCCAAGTGATAAAACTCCTAAAAGAATGAAACTTCTCTTGTTAGAAAATAAAAAGACAGTTTTAACTGACAGACTATTAGATTAAGAAATTAAAACCAGTCAATTATGCATAAAATTAAAAACCAACAATAGTATTCGATATAATGGATGATTGATTTAAGGGTTAGAAAGTGACATTTACAAGTTAATCAATGAAATTATACTTCTATTTATTTGTATCGCATAAAAATTCATAACATTAATTTTTAAATTGACGAAATACTAGTTCTTCGTCTATAATATTTGGTAGTAGTAGTAGTGTTAAGCCATTTAACTTATATATATGTATGTATAACTAATTGACCATGTAAATGTTTTTCATAGGTAGTTGAAATAGCTGGTTTAACAGATCATTTACTTAAAGAATGTGAAGCTTGTGCACCGGGACAGTATGTTCGTTGTACTAAATGTTCAGAAGCTGTATTAAAAACACATTTAAAAAATCATTATTGTGTACCTGTCAAATTGTCATCTGGACTACGTTGTCCACTATGTCATCATGATTTACCAAATTTACCAGATTCAGTTGCTCCTGGTGGTCCAGAAGATGTTTGGAAAGCTCATTTATTAGGTTCATCTAATAGTAGTATTCGAATTCCTCACTGTACAGAGAATCCAAGAAGTGTACAAAATCAACAAAAGAAATATAATGGTTATTCCACAAAAAACACCAATATTTCAGAAGCTAGTGAGTGTTAGTTTTTAAGGTTTTAAGATATTTGACCATTTTTCGTTTTTGGATTTGATGTATAGTTTTCATTACAAGTTGATACCAATTGAATTACTTCAAGTTTAATATGGGTTCCTGTGATCTTTTTTACAAAATCATGATTAATGTTTAACCATATTGGAAGTTTCACAGCTGTCACCAAATATCATTAGATAAAGGTTGACGTTCATCACTGATTGCTTAAATTTGGAAATGTTAGATATCAAATTTCTGACTTCGTTGTGTAACGCCATCTTGGCAGTTACTTACTCTAGTAAGATTGTTGGTTGCGTTAGATTTGATAAAGGGTTCACTACTTTGGTGACCCACGACCCGGCTCCAATATTTATGAAATAAATCTCTTCATCAGTTTCCATATACTATACTCAGGCAAACTCCGTTTGTGCGAAGGCGGTAATAAGAAGCCAGGTATGGATTCGGTTGGATGAATTTATTTCAGACAAATGTTCATGCAGACATGATAACGAAAAGCATACAAGCAAAGCGAAGTGAATTAAAGTGGAAAAGGCAAGAGAGCCGACTCCATCGACTAAAAATTTATAGTCAGACAGAAATGAGCCCAGACATGAAATAAGTGAGATAGGCGTGCATGCGCACGAATAAAAGCAACGTAGATATGAACGAATGACTGACAAGGTCAAAAGATAAATGGAACGAGCCCTGTGAGCTAGATATGAAAGCACTCACTACAAGATATTGGTAGCGTGCACTGATGAAGAATACGGCTGTTACTCACCTTACCTAGCTTACTTCGCCTCTAAAAAGGTAAATCATATTTTTAAAAATCTAAACGACTGAAATCGAATAACTTCGATGTTTCTCTTAGTGCTCTGTCCCAAGACTTTTTGGGTGAATAGTTAGGCACCAAAATTTTCAAATAAAAATATTTAGTTCACAAATTAACTGTGTGCACTATACTGTGGATATGATAAATTATTTGGTGTGAAATAGAAACAATCTGTTTTAAGATAAGAATATTTGTTTGTATACAGATCTAAAGTGAATGTAAACATCGGTAACTAGATTGACAAAAGTTTCTATTATCTTTTGGCTTAGTCAGCTGGACAGTATATCATATTTTTTTTCAATTTAGTCTAGATATCAACACATTTGTAAATAGATTTGTGAGATGGTGGAGAAAACTTGTAGCTCAGGTGGATGATTGTGGTGGTGTTTCGTTCTCTGAGAACGAAACACCACCACAAATAGATTTGTCGAATTACAGTTGTATAATTATTGATTTCACAATGAATAATTTTTTTCTCTCTTAGAAATTACAATTAGATCGTATGTTGTTAAACAAATGATTTTCAGTTCAATAAACACTGATGTGTCCACTCTACTCTACTCTACTCTACTCTTCTCTTTATCTTTTTTCTTTATTATGTAGATAAAACAAAGAGTGGAATACCTCGACCATCAAATGTAAACAAAGTTCATCCAGTTTAATTTATACTTTTATTCTTTATAGTTTGCTTGCTTGCTTGCTTTGTTTTGTTTCGGTTTGTTTGGTACTATTTTTTATTTCAAAACTAATTCATCTTTCTAAAACAACAGTTACAACAATAATATACTGTATCAATCTTTTTCGAAATAAATTTCTTCAGTCATGTAAAATTATTTACTTACCTATTAATATATTCTCACTTCTTAATAGACTTCTTGTTTATGAATGAATAAACGTAGTCGTGTAAATGTTATTTATTTTGTAAGAACAAAAAAAAAATTGGTCCTCTTGTCGTCATTTTTCATGCTTTCTTTTTTAATGCTATGTCGTAATCACATCAATAATGTACTTTTGTTTGAAAAAGAAATATTTGTAAGATAATTTATTGTGTAGATGAATTATGATAATTCACACTACTGTTAAATAATCATTATGTACCTAATAATTTTTTTCTTTTGGTTACAACATTGGGTTTTTGATATTGTTCTGGTATTGTCATGACCGGTCTACTATGTCTGTTTATATTTGCTAAACTATGTGTTTGTTTGTATTCTATCATTGATATTTTTTATCATTCACCAATTTAAATGAAGACTTAATAATAAAAAAGACGAAACCAGTATTGATTAGCTTAGTTTTTTTCCTTTAAACGAAGTTTTTTTAATCTTGCAGGTTTCATCAGTTCTGGTGGGTTTGTTTCTGAATCAGTTTTGACATATATATTCAGAAAATGTAATTAGTTTTTGTGTTCTTACATCACTTCTGGCATAGGCAAGGTGTTCACCGATTAGCTCCCTGTCCAATTCTATGACTGTAAAACATAGTCTCTTAATGTACAATATCCACGTAGACTACAGTTTTTTTCGCTATAAATGTCTTCGAACATCCTTCGCATATAGTGGATAGATCGAATAAACATCGACTGACAATTTCAGCTGTTGTAGGAGTAGGTTGGAGGAAAGCTGGGAGTTATCAAACAGGAACTTGGCATCAGTTCGTCAAACCACTGACTATTGGTCTGACTGAGTTGGCGATCAGCGGCGACAGGGTTACAGTGATACAGGTGCATTTATTCACTATCTTTAGGTCATTAAGTCCAAGTATTCCTTCATATATATCCTATCAATCTGTCTTTGCAAATCATATTCTCAGTGAATGATCTTTTTCTCTGTTGAAATCATGAACTAATCTTATCTAGACTGAGATGGCCGTTTCGCCCTAGTATGGGACTCCAGCAGTGCTCATCCACAACCCGGCACCTTTGATCTTTCTTCCTAGTAAGTTTCGGCAACTTGCATTAAAGCACGCTTGTATCAGAATTTGAGTTGATTTTGACAGACTGATCAAGCATCAGTGATAAGCTGGCTTGTGATCAACTTACAGATTATTGCAATAATCTTATTTTGTACGGCTAATAATCAAGTATCACTTTGTCAAGCAATTCACTTGTTTATTTTTTAAAGTTGGTTTATACAGTCCATCTGGAAAATCGTTAATTTCGCCATGAAATTTTCGACTGTAATTGGTGAAAAATAAGTCTTTTGGGTCTACTCAGTGACTACTTAAATATGAGGAGCGTAATGAAACTTAAAACGTCTGATCCAAATAAATTTCGAACTGAATGTGCGAGAGATTCAACAGTGAATAGAGAGTAGTTTGCATCAAATTCTAATGACTGAATTGTAAGGGTCTTGTGGCTAGATAAGTAATATTTTGATGAATATTGTTCTAGTAACCTGTTGCGCTTATCTGCTTTTTTTAAACACTAATTTAGTACTTTTTATTATATTTCGATAGTAGTAGTTTTTTTGATAGTACAATAAAATCACAATGTAATTAATGATTTAGGAATAGGGACAAGGGTTGTGATATTGTTGAAAGTTCGACACAATTTAGTGTGTATTTACCTATAAACTAAGTAAGACATAGTTTTCTCTCTGATGTAGAGTGTTTTCTCAAACAACAGAACTGTGCATGAATGATTTCAAAGTTTTATTAGTTAATAAAATATACTTCATATTCATTTTGTTGCTTACTAAAATGGAAACTTAGTATGAAAAAAACTGTGCATGCGAAAGTCTTTTTCAGTTGATCTAAAACAAATTCTTTAATTAAAAACGTGAAAATGTGTAGATGCTTCATGATGTAATTCAGTGGTCCATGGTTTCATTATTTACAGTTAATCAATACTTTATTGCTGATCAAACTGCAATAGACATTGACGGTGCCATATTTTTCATGTTAAGCTGTTGGAGTTAGTCGGAAGGGAACCGTAAACCTTGGTTAAGCGCCGATTGGCACTTGCACTGTTCAATCTAACGCTAACTAACAATTATGTATAAACCGGGAGTTCATTAGAAGAAAGGATAACTCACCACCAGTAAGACGTATTTCTGTATACAGAAGAGTTAAACACTTATATGCGTAATGCTTAATATGAACCATTCTAAACAAGGTTCATTTATAACTTTGGTGTCTCCTCATCTGCGGATAAATCTTTCGCCTTTTACTAAAGATTTCCGTGGGGAGGCACAATACAGTGAGTCTTATCTCATTTTTTCCAACTCCGTCTTCGGACGGAGTATAAAACTTCCACGGTGTGGGCAGCCGGGAAGTGACAACCGCCCTCATACCCGTAACAGCACGCGAGACCAAATTGTTCAAAATCAAATCCTTCCTACACCCCCTAATATCTCTCTTATCTCTACGACTAACTTTACTCACACTCCCTTTTCTCACTGCACCGCTAATGCAGGCGAAGCAAGTTCACGAAACGTCGTTCCTGGTCTCTTGAAACCCCGTTCTAGACTACATATTGGAGCTTTTAATGTACGGACATTGTGTCAAATAGGGCAACAGGCATCATTAGCTAGGACTTTAGAATCTCGTGCCATCGATGTATGCTGTGTCTCGGAAACGCGCATACAGGATCCTAGTAAAATCATTAACCTGATTTCACCTTGTCAAAACGAAGAAGCAGCCCGATTAACTCTTCGTGTATCTGGTAACCCTGATGCTGCTTCCAGGGGTATTGCTGGCGTAGGCATAGCGTTGAGTCCTAGGGCAGAATTATCTCTCCTTGACTGGATCCCAGTAGGTAGTCGTTTGTGCGCTGTCCGACTAAACGGGACAGTAAGGACTCGGAAGGATAGGGACACTCGCCGTTGCCTGTTCGTCATGTCTGTCTATGCTCCCACTGACTGCAGTTCAGACGAGGTTAAAGATGAGTTTTACAGAAAGCTTTCGGACCTCCTCCAAAAAGCTAGGCGCTCTGATATAGTAATAATGGCTGGTGACTTTAATGCTCAGGTCGGTAGACTAGGTGAAAAGGAAAGACACCTAGGTGGATGTTATGGTGTAGCGACTGAGAGAGCAGACAATGGCGACCGTCTGTTGCAACTATGCTCAGATAACCGCCTATTCTTAGCAAACACCAACTTTAGGCATAAGGAAAAGCATCTTTTGACCTGGCGACCCCCGAAATCGTCTCAACGTTGGACTCAACTAGATCACATCGCCATCAGCCACCGATGGAGGGGTTCGATAGAAGACTGTCGCTCGTTCTGGGGCACATGTTTGGATTCAGATCATGCTCTAGTGCGAGCTCGTATCTGTTTAAGGCTTACTGGACGTAGGAAAGACACCGTAAGAAAGCCTCTTAGGGTTTTACTTAATGATAATCAAACCAAGAAAATATTTCAGGAGCAACTAGAAAGAGAGTTAAGCAACCATGCAAGCGATTCCCATCCAGAAGCAGGTTGGTATGATATCAAAAAGGCTGTGGAAACAGCAGCGATATCTGCTAGTAAGGTAAACCATGAGGCTAGAATGAAGCAGTGGATTTCAGTCGCATCCACCAATCTGATCGATGCTCGAAAACGCATCCCACCTGACTCTGAGCATGATGAAGAGCGTAGTCAGCTTAGGCGCAGACTTATAACGACAGCGAACAGTGGTGGGTGGCGAAAGCAAAAGCGATGGAAAAGGCAGCGGCGATAGGCAACACTAGACAACTTTTCCGCCTTATTAAAGAAACTGGTATTAAGAACCCGAATGTGAGTGAGACTATCTCGGAAAAGGATGGGATTATTATCCATTCTCAATCCAGGAGACTGGATCGATGGGCAGAACACTTTAGGGATCAGTTCAACTGGCCACGAGCCACTCTTCGGTTACCCACGATCTGCAGTCATCCTGAATGGCAAATCGACCTAAGTCCCCCTAGTCCTAATGAAGTTGAAAAAGCATTAGGAAATCTGAAGCGAGGACGAGCTGCAGGTCCTGATAGACTGACCCCTGAGATATTTAAGGATGGTGGTCCAGTTTTTTCAGCTAGGTTGACTGAGATCTTAGGTAGAATCTGGGAACTGGACTTAATCCCATCCGACTGGTCTCAATCACTGATTGTCCCAATCTATAAGAAAGGACAGAAGTCTTCTTGTGACAATCACAGGGGAATAAGTCTAACTAATATAGTATCTAAAATATTGGCCTCAGTAATACTTCGACGCTTAACGAAAGCTCGTGAAGAGCAGACTCTAGAAAACCAGGATGGTTTTCGACCTGGACGTGGCTGTATAGACCACATTTTCACACTCAGACAGGTCCTGGAACATAGACACACATTTAGGCGTCCTACAATAGTTGTTTTCCTGGACCTGAAAGCTGCATTTGACTCCGTGGATCGTGAGGTTCTGTGGCAGTGTCTGTCATTGAAAGGTGTACCAAAGAAGTAGATTAACCTTATACAAGCTCTCTACTTGAACACCACTGGTCGAGTGAGAGCTTATGGCGAACTGTCACCGGAATTCTTTACTTCAAGTGGTGTCCGTCAGGGATGTCCACTTTCTCCATTCTTGTATAATTTTATCATAGACATGCTCCTAGAAATAACCTTATCCTCGTCTGAATTTTCAGGAGTAGACCTTTTACCAGGTGGCTCGCTTATCGACTTAGAATATGCCGATGACATAGTCCTACTTGGTGAAGACGCTGACAAAATGCAGAGTCTTCTGACTACCCTAATCAACAACTCAAGCATGTTCGAGATGCGGTTTTCCCCTTGAAACGCAAAATGTTGCTTCGAGATTGGGTTGCATCGGCACCTGAACTAGTGATAGGGAGTGAAGTAGTCGAACGTGTAGACCGCTTCACTTATCTTGGGAGTCTCATCAGTGCCGATGGCCTGGTGACTGACGAAATTTCGGCACGGATACAGAAGGCTCGATTGGCTTTTGCCAACCTGCGTCACTTATGGCGTAGGCGAGATATCCGTTTGCTGACTAAAGGACGAGTGTACTGCGCAGTGGTTCGCTCCGTCTTACTTTATGGCTGTGAAACATGGCCAGTGAGAGTAGAAGATATTCGTAGGTTACTGGTTTTCGATCATAGGTGTCTTCGAAGCATTGCTTGTATATCGTGGTACACCCGAGTGAGA